AATAAAAGCTCACTACTACTACTAACACCACGAACATCTGGAAGCAACCCGATCACACGAGAAGATGGATGACCTAAGCGATGGTGCCATAAAACAGAAGTATCTTGAACTTGAGTATGCAATGACGTCAAAGCCTCAACGCCACAAAAGGTATACAGACCCTCTCTCTCTCTTTCACCCGCTCCAATCAGCGTCCTCGTAGTGCGGTCCTGCAAAATCAATAGCTTATCAGTGATTTGTCCCACCAAGTGATTGTCAGTGACCAATTGACCAAACGATATCAGGTTTGTATCAAAGCCATCAACAAGATACACATTTAGTAAAAACAGTCGCGAAGTAAGGCGAACTGTGCCGATATTATTTTTATGGATAAATCAGAAAGAAGCAAGACAGAAAAATAAAACATCGTACCTTCAAAGTTCAAACGGAAGTATCAATAAAGATGAGACAAAAGACCGCTAAGTCTCTAAATCCACAGCAGGCTATATATATTACACACATATTATATTTTCATATTTGTTATACACACATTATATATATATATATATATATTGTATATAGATTAGTATTGAGTGGCTGTACAATATTATCTATGTATGGTTAATTTTTTTTTGGAAAAAGGAGAAAACACATTCTCTCAAATCTCAAACTAACCAATTCGATTTGTATGACAATCTTTGAACTATCTCCTGACCTCACATCCACTGATGCAAACACAAAACATTACCAATAGTATTAATACATTTTTAGTTACAAACAAATGTAATATTAATCTACAAGTTATGAAAGAAAACAAAAGGCAAATTACTGTTAGCTCTGTAATTTTGTAATAAATAGTTTTGTTTCACTATAAAATAGTATTCATAATTACTGGAGTTTATAAGACAATATTCATAATTCCAGTTTAGATTTGTAACAAAGTGTCATTGAAGATTTCTTGCATTTAGTTATTGAGCAAAATTATCTTCCAGAATGTTGTTTGGATGAGGAAATGGAGGCAGGTTGAAAATACAAACAACTTTCACATGTGGTGAACACTAGGCGATGTGAATTGTGAAGCATGAAGACAACTTTGTGCCTTTGCGTAAGTTGAAAAATTAATATCTAATGCTACGCTTGAATGGACATCTAAGGCTACGCTTGAATGGAGACAACATTTTGGGGGCTATGTTTGAATGGAGACAACATTTTGGGGGGTATGTTTGAATGGAGACAAAGCTGTGAGGTAACCGCCTATATCTTACGATCCATGCCTTTTTATTTGTTTTTGCTCTTTAAGAGAAAAACAAAAACAAAAAGTCCGAAGGCGTTTTCATTTTTTCTTCAATGTGAAGATAAAACATCTAACACTTGTCTTTATAAGCTTAACCCAAGATGCGCATATGCTTTACAAACCACTAAAAAAATCTTCTCGGAAGTAAAATAAAAAGAGCACAAATTTCCATACAGCTAAACTCATACATCTATAGTTGATAATCACATAAATATAACAATGCGTTCTTGTAATAACAATTGCAGCATGTAATGAGAGAAGACATCACACCAAAGATTCTCTACTTCACATGTCTACATAACACACACAAACATTATTTGCTTCTTCTTTTTTATATATATAATAAGTAGCTCAGACAGTTTATATATTATTGAACTACTAACTCTACGAAAAAACTATAATCTAATGGACTAATACAAAGGTTATGCACAACCCCACTATCACTCACCCCTAATGGACAAAATCATAAAGATCCAATCAACAAAAAAGATAAAAACTCTAAAAAATACCTAAAAAGATTTCATCACCATCAGAAATTTAATACTCAGATTATTAGTTCATAGCTGGCTAAACTATACCTCACCACAAGACAGACATCTTCATGTTCTTCTTCCTTCTTCTTCATCTAGCTCATAACTTAGATCTTACAAGAACCCATTACAAGTCTTCCTTATGCATCATCCTCCATTGGGCATTGTCTTCAACTCATTCACAGTGGCTCTAATCTGCTCCTGAACCAAATCTAATCTCCTCGAGTACACTTCCAACTCAAGAATCTGCTGTCTCCTCCACCGTTCATCCGCTACTCCCTTACCTCCTCCTCCTCCACCAAACCCTAGATTCAGTGACGGCATTAGCGTTGGGCTTAACACACCTAGAGCATGACCACCACCTCCTGGGAACCCTCCTACCGCAGCCATCATCATTCCCGTTGTACCATTCATCATCTCTTTAATCAGAGGCGACACACAGTTCCTCACCGTCTCTTCTATCAACCCTCCTAGATTCCTTCCCTCACCAAACTCACCAATGGCAGCCACATTCTCGTTGAGGTTAACATTTGTAGCTGCATTTGGCGCTGGCCCGTCACACGGATTAATGGGCTTGTCTTCATCGATCTTCCCTATCCTCGATCGTGATCGTTTTCTCGACCCACCACTGCTACTCATTGTCACTTTCTTCTCCAAGCCGTTTTCAGAATCGAAGTCCACATTAGCAATGGGGATGTTGAAACCTGAGCTACCATTGGTGTTGTTGTTATTAACATGGTGGTGGTTGTTGGTTTCCTCGAAATCCATCACGGTGTTATCTTCAAACCCTATGATTTTCCCAGTTTGATTCCAGATTTTCCTAGAGATGTCGAAAGTGGCTTGATCATGAGGGCTTTTAAAGAACACCTCTTTACCTGAGCTGATCTTGCTCATCACGTTCCGGTACTTCTTCTTCAGCCGCCGGAGCTTCTCCACAAGCTGGTTCTTGTTGAAATCAAGCTGAAGCTTCGACTTTATCTGCTCGTAAAACGGCGCCGTGTCAGGCGGATGCGAGCTGCTACCACGGTGGCTCGTGATGTAGTCGAGGAAGCCACGGAGGAGCTCGATCTCGTCCTCATCGGTCCATAGCCTCTGGAAAAGCCGTCTTGAGTCGTCAATCGGTGGTCTCTGATGGACGATCTCCGTCATGCGATGCCATTTCGGATCGGAATCTACGGGAATCGCGGCCACAGGTACGGCGGATCCGGCAGGAAGAGCGACGGTTACGGTGCCCGTCGAGGATGATTTCTCCGCCGCGGAAACCAGCGGAGCTGTGGAAACAGCAGAAACCATAGACGGAGAATTCAGATCTTCGTATTCGGGATCGTCGTCGTCTGCCTCGTTTGGCTCTTCAGGCATAACCACATCTTCGTTCTCTCGTAAATCCTCGTCGGAATCAGTCTCTCCTCCTCCTCCACCTCCTCCTCCGCCGCCAGCGCTGCCGTCTTCCTCTAGCTCCGGCGATTCAACAGAGAAAACAGCGTCACGGTGATCAGCAGATGTCATCTTCAAGAAAACACAAACGCAGCGAGACAGAAAAAAAAACAGAGTGGAAAATTCGAATCGTTTCAGCTTCGATGGAATCAGGACACGAAGAGAAGAACCAGATCCAGATGGAGATTGGAGAAAGAGGAATTGGGTTCACGAGGATTGATACGCTTGTGTGTTGGGGGTGGTAGGGCATGAGAATCTTCGGCTCGAGCAGGGGTAGTTTCGGAATTCACGAAATACAATTATTATGACTGGGCATTGCAGGCAAGTGGTGGTCCAGACTCGTTCCCGTGCTGGGTTGTTGCGGTTTAGTTGAAGCCTGATCATTTCGGAATAGTCCAAAGTCAACAGCAACCGCATCTCACAGAAAAGCGTTCCTCAAACGCAATTCTGTGTATGAGCGTTGACAAAAAAGTTGCGTGTATATAACTTCCATACTTTTCACTTCCTGTTCAGCCAATGTTGTTTAATAAGAAGAACAAATTCCATTTATTAGAGTGAACTTGGTTTTGCACAGAAACTTGGGACGATAAAGATAAAAATTAATTTCGACGGGAGAAGAAAGTATTTACCAGTTCAATTCAAATGGAGGGAAGAAAAACAAAAAACAAAGTCAACAAGAACCGAAATTGAGTTTTTTGTCTTTTCTTTTTTACTTCCGTATTTAAAATTCACAATTTGAAACAGATTATTTTGTTAAAGCAAGTGCATTTCTTCTTCGACTTCTTCTAATTGCCATCATGAAGAATAATAGGAAGAAGAATGTGATGAAGGAGCAGAGCCTTAGTATAAACGGAACTTCTCCTTAGTGTTCTGGAATACTTGCTCAGCAATAACTGCGCCATTCCCGTCTGCTTTCTTGATCTCCAGGTTAGATTTCTGGTAAACCCCGGTGCCTCTCAGTGCATCAGCTATGAAGTCATCGAACCCGATGGCTATGGCTGCTTCGGCTTTGGCTCCATAAACCAATCTCTGTTCACAAGTAAAGAGATGAGTACTCATCAGTTAGACCTTATGTAATGAAGAGACTTGAAAGGTGGGTTTGTGCAGACATGCTTCCATATTTTACCTTGAGTCTCGAGAGATGAATGGCTCCAAAGCACATAGGACACGGCTCACAAGATGCATATATCTCGCATTCTGATAGCTCGATTTGGTTGAGTTTCTTGCACGCCTGCGCGTTCACAATGGATTCAATAATGAATGGATGCACATCATTGTTGGATAACCGGTTTTAGCAATGTTTCAAGATCAAAAGCTAAGTGACTTCAACAAATTTCATCAATCCGATGAATACTCTCTTGTACCTCTCTGATGGCTGTGACCTCGGCATGTGCAGTTGGGTCTGTGTATTTCAAAACCATATTGTGGCAGCTAGCAATGACCTCGTTCTTATGCACAATAACCGCGCCAAATGGGCCACCATCACCACACTCAACTCCCTTGTAAGCTTCTTCAACAGCTTGGGTTAGGAATTTGTGGTCGCTGTCGTGCACAGCTGATCAAACACAAAGTAGAAACATAAACCACGGCAATTTCTTCAAGTACCTATTATTTCCAACTAACTAAGACTGTGGAAAACAGAATGGAATGTGACAAGGGCGTATCACAAAGTCAAAGGTCCCTGTGAGTTAGAGAAACGGGATCTTTATTTTGCCGTGATGAAAGATATCTGTGAATGAACTAGTGGGGAGTAGAGGAGCGGATAAGCTTAATTTGTGTGTGTACAGTTGACGCATCAACCATTATAGGAATCAGAAATGATCAAGCTGAATGAGTGGAACCATTATTGGGGAATATATCATAAGTGATCACCATAAGTACGCATCAGGTCCATACCTTGTTGGTGACCGGCAAAGGCAGTAGCCACGGAGATGGTTCCGTCTTTTGCTTCCACTACACAGTTCAATGATAGAGCAATTAGAACCTCCAAACATCAAATGAAAGAGCAAAGAAATAAAAAATCAAATATGACATAGCTCGTGTTCTACGCACAAAACACAGCAATTGATCAACAACAGCTCATGTTTACTCACGGCATAAGCTACCAGACAAAAGAGACATATAACATTATACTTGTGATACAAGTAAACATCGCCAAAGGAGGAATCTGCCAGCAAAGATGACAGAAAACTAGAAGCCATTGTTACTAATCTAAAAGTCAAAATCACCTAAAATTGAACACAACTATAAATTCGCAAAGCAGGACAATCAAACCGTAAGCATATGTAAAGTGTGATGAATGTATAAAAGAGTGGCTCCTTGTCACATGTCGTCTGTGATTGACAACGAGTATAATTGTGTCATAGGCAGTGGTAAATTCTGGTAAAAAAAAAAAAAATCATTTGCATGTGAAAATAAATGACGAAAATATGAAGGAATGGTCCAAATCGAAGGAAAATTCAAGATTCCCGATCTGAGAATAAGAGGAAATAACAATTCAACATTGAATAAGCTGGTGAAAAAGTTCGATTCGGGAATCGCAGTAGGGAGATAGTTGATCTGGGGAAAACAATCGATAAGACGATCGATTCGGTTGTATAATCCAAAACCAAACAGCTGCCACTAATAATCAAAGTTCTTATCGGATGCAATCTCCAGCAGAAACACACAAAATAGGGGAAAATAAATACTCCGATCTTGATCGACAGAATCAAAGGCGATTATAAGCAAAATGCTATGAGTAGAGAGATAAAAGTGAGAAGATCGTTAATAGTTTACCCTTAGCTTCTTCCATGACTGAGAATTTGAGGGATGATTCGGGGTAATCCTGGAGAAATCGAAGAAGAGCGATTGTGTGGTGGGTGAAGATTGAAGAAGAGGAGAGCCAATTGATGTGTTTATAAACAAATCAGAGGAGTCCAAAAGAAGGTTGAGTTTTGGGGAGATAGAGACGAACCGAAGCTGATGTGTGAGAGAGAGAGAAAGAGAGATGAGTCTGAGATTAATTGGAAAGTGAGCAACCAAGGAAATTGGGTTTTATTAGCCAAAAGAGCGAATTAGACCTGAAAAAAGAGTGGAAGAACTGTTTAAGGCTAAATACGCAACGTTATGAGGATTCTTTTCACTAAACGAATAATAGTAACTAAACTTTCCTTAACTGACTAAGTATAATCCAGTAGTTTTGAGCAATCTGTTTTTTTTTTTAAGTTTTATGAGAATATTAGGAATTAGTTTCTCATATTCATCATGTAGTAAGAAAAAAGATTACAAAGATCGGAAAAACATGAGATAAAAGAGAAATTCATACTATAATTTTCTTTCTTTTTTGGTCGAAATAATTCATACTATTATTGTTTAAAACATTGTTTAAAGTTTATCTATTTCTTCTAATTGTTATTCTGTTTGTTATACTTCTTCTAACACAACTACTGATTCACCAGTAATCACATCAAATATTCCGTGATGTTACAACCAAAAAACATCGAGTATTTCGTTTACATACATATATTGCAATTGATTTTTTATCAGGCCCGGTGTGATCGTGGATTAATAGTCGTTAATTTTAAAATATAATAAAAAATAATAAAGAAAACTGAAAATGGCACAATAATAGAACCGGGATAAGTCTTATGACTCAAATCATAAATGGGATCAGGAACACGTTAGCATTTTGGTAGATACGACTCATCTTCCATCAAAAATTAAAAAGACTCATCTTCCATTAAATATGCAAATTCATGTGCCGTAATCGGTATAGGCCATTTAGCAGTATTGTGATAAATGAGTAGTCAATATGGTTCAGTTTGTTTTTTTTTTTGGATTTTTTTTATTTAGTTTTTAGTCTTCTTGTTTTAAATTCAATTTGAAGCTGTAGTTGGCTAGTTGTGATAAAATTACTTTTTGACTCTTTGTTTGGCCACAAAGACTCCTCATGAAAATATTTTTGAAAAGACTTAAACTGGCACACTTTGTTACTAATGTTAGACAAGTATTCTAAAATCAGAACCATCAAATGCCAAATTGGTATGAGAGGAGGACACTTCTCTTTTAATAGACGAATAAATGTATGTGTGAGTATCTTTACTTAACATGCGATATAAAAAGAGTCGAAAACAATTTGTTTGTGCATACTCAATCATTGAACGAGAGAGGTGCACGTCACCGAAATGAGTTAGTTAAACGAATAACGGAATATAAAAAATTGGAAATAGGCCATCTTTGTTGACCTCCACATGGAAACGCATCGATGGTCTTCCTTAGATAACAAAAGTAATAATTTTAAACATTTTAATATAAAAAAAAAACAGTTATACGTTACAGTGGTTGTTGGTAAAAACAACAAATACATACGTTACAAAATGGAATATGGATGATGGTGGTAAAAACTTTCTTAAAAATTTGACAAGAACAAGTTTCGTTAAGCAAGATTGTTTTAGGTCTTCTGAAGGATATAAAACATAATTTACGAAATCGAATAAAAACTAATAATACATATCCTCGCGTGTACGTCTTCCACACTTTCCCAAACCTCCCTCTTGTCTCCTTTTCTTAACAGAAGGAAGGCGGTGCCAATGCTCTTAATTTAACTTTAACGTAGTATATAACACATGACAAAAATATGGTTGAAGTAAGAAGAATCCTATGAAAGAAAGCAATGATAATTTTTAACATATTTTATTCCACTCGTTCGGCGAGAGATCTCATAAAGAAGATTCAACTATTATAATTTAAAAGCCAATTAATTAATTGGTTAATTTAATATTAAGGACAAAATTTACTTAAGAATTCTTTAGCCTCAAAAGAAAGGGTGTTTTTACTTTCAACCTACTTGAAACCCGCTTTGGGTGACAGTTTACCAAGACAAACTCTACATGTCACTAGTTGATTCATATATCTTTTGTGGAGATCCTAAAATCGTATATCAACTTGTTGCAGGCTCACAACTATGGTCTCACCATATTTTATCATTTGTCTAAATGACATTTCTAGGTTAGCTGATCCCATAAGCAGTAAATGTAGCTTTTTGCTTGTGCGTAACGAAGCAAAGACCGTAGCAAATGATTTGGTTTCCAAACTTTCTATCTTGGATAACTCGATATTTCACCATTTTACTTATTTGGTAAACATTTTACTTTTCAAAATTGTCCGCCTGGCTAAAATTGAAGTACGTAATGTTTAGTCTTGTAATAAGAAACTTTGTCCTTGGCTAATGCACTCAAGTCACCGAAACGTAAAAGCAATCAAAATCAACATAAGTCGGTTGAAAACAAAACAAAGAATACTAGTGGTGCGAATACTAATGGGTTTTTTTTAGAGGAACCAAGGAGATGAAGTTTTTAAATGATGTATTCAGCAAAATCTTTAGCATATGGGTTCTCTAACGCTTAAAGCAAAACCCAAAACGAGATAGAACGAGTGTGACAATGACAAGCACAAAATCGAGATGTAATTAGAAGAGGTCTAATAGCAAACATGGCCATAGAGAAGGGATGATGCAGAATAAAACCCATAATGCTGCTGCTGTCTTCAACATCTTACTTCTTCTTGGGGTCACCAGCCTTGGTCTACACACACAAAGAACCGTTAAGTCAAAACGAAGGGGGAACCAAATCAGATAAAGCAAATGTTTAGGTAACAGGTAACATTGATCTCTCACCTTCTTAACACCACGGATTTTCTTCGCCCTGTTCTTCCTCTCCTTCATCTGTTTCCTTGATCTCTCGATCTTGGTGTCAAGTCCGTTCTGTCAATCACATCCCGAATCATTTTAGTATGAATTCGCAGGGAATCCTAACTTCTACGAAAATTTCGAATATTTACGACTCTGAAACTGTAACATCTCTCACATCAACAACATCATAGTTCCATAACAAAACGGGGAATATAAAAGCACTACCCGTAGAGCTAGACTAAAACTAGACTGAATATAAACTAAAGAGAAGGCACATTACTATCAAAGAAGTAAGAGCGGAAAGAGCATTTACCCTGATCAGCCTGTATTTCGGCTCGAATTTCTTTGCACTCTCGACGGTGTCATAGATCAAACCAAATCCAGAAGATTTACCACCTCCGAAATGGGTTCTGAATTTGAAGACAAAGATAGCATTTGGATCCTTAACCTCGTACATCCTTGCCAACTTCTCCTTCAGCTCAGCCTTGATTACAACAGAAAATAACAATCAGAATCTTCTCAAAGCTCTAAGAAAAACTAAGAAAAACGCATAGCTAGATAGCCTGATTGTAATTGAGACGACAATGGAAGTAAAGAGTATACCTTTGAAACATTGGCTCTTCCTGGGTGGAGAACATCAATAACCTACATTCATAAACCACCATAACTAATTAGTACATAATCTTAGGTTGGAGGAAAATTCCAAACAAATAATAGCTTTATGTGTTTACACTTTACACCAAAAAACTTGCTATGTGAAAGTAATATATCTTTGAAAATCGAGTTGCTCAATTCGAAATGAGCGATCAAAATGTAATATAATATCGAAATAGAGAAAAATCATGTTGTCAAAACACTAAACATCAAAAGTTGTAAAATTCAAATCTTTCAAGGCAAAAACAGAAGAAATGCTCCTAAGAATCCGCTCATCTAAGTCTTTCTACCTCCCAAGAGTTTATGATTCGATGGCGAATACGCTACACTGGCAAATCGTATGGAAGATAGAGACTAATGGATGCAGTGAAAGATGGAACTCACAAATTGCTTCCTGGAGAGAAGCCTGTTGGTCATGAACTTCCTGGTCCTGATGGTGACTGCTTTTTCCGCCATGGCTGCGATTCCTACGAGATCAGATTGAGCTCTCCGGTTGTGAAAATCGACGTTTGTCCCTCGCGGCAGCCTTAGAAAAGAGAAGCAGCAAGCAAAACCCTAGATGATTATATATATATCTCTCACTTTCAAGTATTTAGGGTTTCTTTTCTTACTGGTTCTAGTTTGATGGGCCAAACTTTAGTGGGTCTTATTAAATCCAATGCTGAGAAAGTGTATTAGCTGGTTCGAAACATACAGTTCAAACGGACGTCAAAGCCCATTGGGCCCAAACATTACTATATTATCCACACCAAATTTAGGAGGGGTTAGTTATATTGCCTTATAATGTGGTAAAGTAATTTTTGGGAGCTTTTGACAGCAAGAGTCTTGCATAACTTTGTTTAGTTTATTTACTTTTTACTACTGGTATTCTGGTAAGAGTGGTGGTTCATCTTAAATACTTTTTCTTTGATGTAGCAGCTACAAAATATATAGAAAACATTTGTACCTAATAAGATTCGAACCCTTCCAATGTGATTTCAATTATGGTTGGAGCTTTCTAATAAATTTGAATTTACAGTGAAAAAAGAAAAGCAAAATTTATTTGCCATCTGTTAACATTAACGTCAAAAGCAATTGGAAAAATCTTTCTGCATGCGTTGTAAGTTTACAAAAAATGTTTTATGATAAACTGATGATAATTTTTTTTTCCTTTTCAAAAATGTGAGTTTCTTTTCACATATACTATATAAATAACGGTAAACGTAAAATCAGAAATCGAGTTTAAGACAATTAAGGTTTAATGAGCTATATATAAAAGTTATTCTCCAAATAATTACTGTTTGTCAAGTTACTGTAACTATTTCTACACATATTAGCCCCAACAAAAAAAAACTTATCAAACCCATTAACAGGAATCGAAAATGTCCTTCCACTAGACTTTTCAGCTGTTGATTCGATTCTCACTTTCATCGGATAGCTCATCGCAGGCTATGGAAGGTGTTAAAAGAGAAAGATTCTGGAACCATATATATATATATAGTTAGTGTAAAACGTTACTTGACCCACAAGAAAATCCCTATTCTTGGTCAGATTGGTGTTGTCCCGAACGTGATCTCCTCAAACCGTCCATGCTTCTCTCCACACCCGTTTCTGCAACACTGCATCACTTTGAAGTCCATGAGCGAGTGGTTCGAGGCGCAGTTGCAGAAGATGCTCTCAAACTCGAGGCCTGATCTCCAATTTGGAACCAGAGAAGCAATCTCTCCATCGATCATGTTTGCTATCTTTGAGACATCTCGGTCGTCCATCTCCAGCTCTTCCACCATCTCCCTTGCAACGCTAATTGCTGTGTCGGTTTCAATGTCAAACGGGAAGTATATGTTTCTCACTAGCCCTGCAAAATGGAACTGTAACGATCCTTGACTCTTACTAAAACCAAAACAGAGAAGAAGAATGGTATAGAGTGTAACAAACCTTCCTTGTCAGCGATTCTTAGTCGCAGGAACAGTCCATCACCATTGTCTCTTCTCTTCCCTTTTATGCTTATATGGACATTGTCAAAATTCTCATCGTCTTCTTCTGCTTCTTCATGATCATCGTTTTGAAACTCAAAGACCTCTATTCCCTGTGACTCCACTGTCTCATCTCCATTGTATTCCCATTGGTTTCTTTTATCGTGGATGTAGTAACCGTTTGAGTAGTGAGGATGATCAAAAGAGTTTTCTTTGGTTTGGTCGTTGCAGTAATAGTCAAGTATATGATAAGAGTGCCTAAGAGGAGTCCCAGCTTCATCTATCTGACCCATTTGGCTCTCTACGGGTCTCAAATTGGATTCAACTTCATCGATACACAGAAAAGGGTCCTCTAATAGTTCACGAGCAGAGAGCCTAAGAGACGCAGTGGCTAAGCATTTCTCTATAAAGCCTTTAACCTCAAGATCTTTCACCTTGTCTAATGAGTCTGGTTTCTTGCCCTGAGAGAAAGAGAATTTTAGCATCTTTAACTCAATGCAAAAGCTTTTAACAGAATATAGGGGAGTTGATTCTCACCGATATCACTCTCTTGTAAATCTGAGCAGGGTGAGTACACTCACTGTACGGGTAATCAAACGTTACTAATTCCAAAACACACATCCCAAACGAGTAAATATCGACTAATTCATTATATTCTTCTTCATAGACTTCGGGAGCCATGAACTCTGGTGTCCCTAAGAGGCCAAAAAAAAAAAACTTTCAGCATCAGAATCCAACTATGAACTCACCAAAAGCAAAAGCACTGAACATATTGCATACCGACACAATGAGCAGCGTGAGAGTTTTGCAAGATAGCAGCAAGACCAAGATCCCCAATCTTGACTTCTCCTTGGTTCCCATTGACGAATATGTTGTCACATTTGAGATCTCTGTGAATCACAGGAGGGTCATGGGTATGAAGATAGTTTAAGCCTTTCAAGATCTGTCTACACCAATGCTTCACTGCTCTTATGTTCACTCTCTTGTGCTTTAGCCTATACCTGCATTCACCAGATTTCATTAAACCAATAACATCCTTAATGTATTACATGTTTATGAGTCAGTAATCAAGAGAAACATAACTTAGATACGAGATAGACAGAGAAGCTTACTGTCTCAGGGTACCAGAAGAAAACATTTCAGTGATGAAGTTAATGATTCGATTCTCTGTATCGACCCAAGAAGTGTAGAATTTCATGATGCTCTTGTGTTTCAGTGTTTTGAGGAGATGGATCTCACAGTAGAGCCTCTCCAGTTCTTGAGGACTCTGCAAGAAATCGTAGAGCTTTACTTGGTTCCATGCTACTTCTATACCTTCATACTCATCAAATCCTCTGTAACTGCAAATCGAAATACAGGAGCCACAAAAATAGTTTTTGTCTAATTCAGAATCATTAAACCCAGCTTTTTGATCTATGATCAAGATGCCTTTTTTCTGTTTATGCAGAAACTAAAAATGGTTTAGGCAAACAGAGAAAAGTGGATTATTTTCCTATTTTGTATAAATTAATCTACCAAGTGGGGAAATCATTGAGGAAACATAAAAGGTTCAACCTTTTTTCTACTGAAATGATAAATCTTTTAAAACTCAATCATGATTCGACCACCATTAAAAACCCAAAAAAACTAATGGAAAATCTAAGGATTTTTATGGTTTAGGAAAGGAAAAAATAATTAAACTTTACTGACAAAACTTGATATAAACATTAGAACAGGTTTTGGTAATGGTAGGCAAGAAACTCCAACACCAAATCTAGAAATGTTAAAACAAAAATTGAAAAATTTAAGAAATTTAAGAGAGAGATTGGATTCTTACACGGTCTTTGATGATCCTTTACCCAGAACTTCACTGTACTGCAACAACAAGAACACGCAAAAACCTTAAGAAATCAAAAGAGAAGCAAGCAATTAACTGAGTTTGGAAGTTGAGAGGGATAAAATTTACTCTTCCATATCTTCCAGAAGGATCAACTTCAACAAACTCAGAGTAATCTGGTTCAAGATGGCTGAGATTGTCCATTATTACCCCAAGCAGAATCAAAAAGAGCAAAACATGGAAGGGAAATAAAAAGAAAATCCCAGACCAATATATAGTAATTATTATATTAATAAATTATCTCCTTTTTGATATGGTAGGTTTTGGGTATTTTTTTCTTTCTTGTAGCCTTTTCATTATAGTCATCTTTGTACCTCTGACATAATAAGTTAAGCAAATAAACATTAAACTCGTGTAAATGAGGAGAGAGGTTTCGTTTGAGCTTGAAAGACAAAAGAAAACCAGATTCTTTCTCTTTCTTTCCTTTATTTATTTTTTTCATTGATTTTTTTCCTTTTTTGATTTATATTTTTTTTTCTTCAGTTGTTTCTTTAAACATAACTATCTCATGAAAGCTGTAGGCAAAGGCGGTTGCCAGACTCAGAGAGCGTGGTCCAAAGGAGTAAACAAATGTTTGATTTTTCTTTCTTTTCTTTTTATCCTTCTTTTTTTTGCAACAAACAAATGTTGGATTAAGAATAAGATACATTTTTTTTAGGATAACTACCTATCTTTACATTAAAACACATTTTTACTAAGATATCTACCCATCTTTTCAAATCAAAGATATATGAGAGAATGTTTAAATGAGAGAAATGTTTTATCTTATTAGTTTCTAAGTAGACGAGTCTTAATGAGTATCATAAATGCATAATGATTATGTTATTATCAATGTCAATGTTGTTTTGTATTATCATTCAGATTCAGTTCCGTTAAATGAACACTATTGATAAAAATAGGCATTTTTTAATTTAGAAAAAAAATATAATATAAGTATAATAATTAAGTAACTTTTGTAACATTAATCAAATTTTTAATGCTTATAAGATCAATTAGATTAAAAATTCAGCATCTGTAAGATAGTAATTATAATTAGATCATCATAATAAATTATAATTTAGTACATAAACCACCAAATCTAGATAATTAAATTCGATGGCAGTCATTTGCCTTGGACAATGTTGACTGTTTCTTGGTGGTTCCTGGGTGGCGTATAACATGATATTCTCTTTACTGTGGTGTTGCACTTTCCTACTTTCCTTTCCTAGCTCCAAGCCGAAGAAGGAAAGAAAAGAGAACATGTCGGTTCTAAATCGGGTTAGAAAAATCCATCATGACCTAATATGTTGTTTGGATATGAAGCGATAACTTTTGAGAGCAAACGATAATCAAAATCTAAATTTTGTCTAAAGTATATACAAAAAAAAAAGTCGAACTCCATCAATATGTGAACATCGGAATAGTGAAGCATGTATAGAATTTATCTGATCCAGATTCGTATGCCGCGGATTGCAAGACCTTCGAGTTAGATATTCAGGTGTTATACAAAAAGTTTTCTTAAAACTTCCGTTGATACTTAAAAAAGTTTCTGAAATTTATAAGAAATTAAACTCCTATATATATATATCATACGTGTATTTGTTTTTAAATTTTTGTAATAAACTGCAATCTAAAAACTATATCAGTTTTATTTTTCGAGTTTTAAAACATACCATCCATTATCTCAAAAGATATCTGATCTTATAAAGTTTTCTTATAGATATAAATAAGATTACCTTTAAACGAAATGCGATGGTGGAATCACGACGATTAACACGCTGTCCAACTACTACGAGATATTTCTGTAAATTGTTTATATTGGTTTCATTCTTTTCAATGGTAAAGTTTGTCGTAAATGACAAAAGTTGATATGATTAAGATAAGCATCAAGACGAAGAAAGACACTTTAGACTTTACAGTTAATAAAAAAAAACAGTAAACAATGAAATTATTTTGACGATAAATAAATAAGTAATTCATATTTATTCGGGCTCACTTCTGTTTCGCAACTCCGTCGGCGATTCCGTGGTTGTCTCCGTACAGATATAATAAGTAGGCAAATTATATATGTAACTCCAAAAGCAACCATACCACCAAGGCACCAGCCCCTTTTTTCACCACCATGCCTTTTAATTTGTTTTACCAATTATGGTGGTGAACAAAATTAATCTTTAAAGGTGAAGACTAAACTTTCTTTCCTTTCATTTTTAGGCCATGTTTGAACTCATAATATGTACACTATCATATTGAAATTAATTTTCACAACCTTTAAAGACCTCCAATATTTAACAAGGCATGCATGTAAATTCACACTAATCAAGTAATTTTGTTATCCGAGTGAATGGTTAATTAAAACAGAAAATTCAGATTGTCAGTAAAGCGAAATCTATAGCCCCTTTAAAATTGAAACAAAAAATTTGAAAGTGTGCTATTTTGGGGATTTTTTTTTTTTGGGAATTGCTCTAATCTTTATTAATGAATAGAGAAAACTGTATATACAAGGATTAGGTCAAATAAGGGACCTCTATAAATAAACTGGAAACGTAGCAGTATATATACTGTATACAAAGATATGGTACGTACAACTGAATATTATCAACACGAATATTCTTCGTTAGAATGAATAAACAAGACTTTAGATGAATCAGAAAGAATAACTACGATTTGTTTATTGATATTAAAGAGATATAATTCAAGTGTTGAATAGCACATGATGCCAATAGTAATGAGAGCTACCAAGTATTGTTTTGAAATTTAGTTTATTCTTTAATCTCTTATCAAATTTTACAAGTCGGATCTTAGGTCGTTAAGCTCATCTCCCAAGTCAAAGCAAAAGGCCGACAAATTCAGGATCACGATCTCGCACTCCAAGTTTGGCCGTCATGCAAGAGTCGAAACGAGCTGCAAGGCCAAGCGGGGATATGTGAGAAGGGATCCACATTTGACAACTTTCGAGCCCATAAAAATAAAATAGAGGTAAATTAAGCTTCATTGACAACTTTATCCACACAAGAAAAAAAATGCTTCGTAGACAATCGAACTCCATCTAAAGATGAAGATAGACACAAAACGTAATTTATATTAATGGGGCCTCGGGTTTTGACGATTTAGTGTGGGCCTAAACTGTTGCCTTTATTTTACATGAGCACGGCCTTGCATGACCAACAGGCAACAGTGAACAGACAACTCAGATAAGCTAATTACCAACCAGTATCTTCAATATGGATCTTTACATGTAAACCAAAAATTGATTAAAGCGAGATAACAATCTGTAACACATCTCATATTTTGCCGTCTTTGTTTACCAAAATGTATGGCTGTGGTTTTTCTCAGCACCAACCTATATTGCACTTGAAGAAATTTATTTGCATATAATAAATATTGGGAAACAAAAATTTTCATTAAACAAAAAAGATTATTGTAGCATCTGGCTTTGAATGTAGATAGAGGTAATAGCTCCCTTGGATTTGTACATTGAACAATTGTGGGGTGAGTCAAGACTGATGATTTCAGTGAACAAACTTGTTTAATTTGAATCTGCAACCATTATTTCAACTTTCAGTGACTCTTCAATGCTGATTTGATTCTTTAAACGCTGCTTTAGGGGGTAAAAACTGAACTAGCGTGAGAGTGAGACAATGGACTTGTAGATATAAACTTTTTACTCTTTTTTTTGGTTGGATAAACTTTGTAGTACTGAATCGTATGTTGGTGCAAGTATCTTCTATTATCTATATGCATGCATCCCATATTAAAATAAACTAAAAAAAAACAAACAAACCTTGGTTATCAAATTAGGTCGATTTGTCATATAGTAACGAAATTAGAAAAAGTTTGGTAGTAAGCATATTTATGTGCAGTCGTGGTCTCAACTCGCATCGGCATAGCTTTCCTAATATAGTAATGTTAATGATGGAGCTTTGAATTAAGATATATATACAAGACTTAGTCCCCAAAAAAAAACACAAAATATTTTTATTTTATTTTGTTTGAGTTTCTCTAAACTATATATTACGACTCGACTGTTTAAAATTAAATTAGGCAATAGATTAGAGACTAGGTTGAATAAATATATCAATGAATAAAATAAACTTGCATCGTTTCAACATGTTTGTTTATTAGTATAACTAAGAATTGATTCCGCGCTTCGCGAACACTTATAAGTTAATGTTGAGTGAAGATATATGAAATAGCGACTATTATTACAAATTGTTGAACAACTAATTCATCATATTTGTTTTTTTTTTAAAAACAAATTTCTCATTCTCATTTTCATATTCTAATATCTTGTTATTTTCATATTCCATTCCCTTTTTTCATCTTCAATATCTTATTTTTCGTGTTTTTCAAAAAATTTCTTGATCAGTTTTGTATTCTTCTTACTGTTTTTTTTTATCTCTTTCATCTTCTTCTTCATCTCTTTGATTTTTTTTCTTATTATTATTATTTTTTTTAATTTTCTTCTTTATAGTTTGTTATCTTTATCTTCTGCTCTTCTTTTTCATCTTCAATGTCTTATTTTTCCTATTTTCTAAATTTTTTCTTCATCAGTTTTGCGTTCTTCTTCTTTTTAGTTTTTATTTTTTTACTTTTCATCTTCTTTTTCATTGTCTTTGACTTCTACTTTTCTTTTCTTCTTATTTCAGTTTTTTTTTTTTTTTTTTTAGGTTTTTCTTTTTTTTCTGATTTTTTTTTTTTTTTTAATTTATTTATCTGGTGTATGTTTTCTTTTTCTTTTACTTCATCTTTACATAAGTCATCTTTTTATATTTCTGATGGTTCTTTTTCCTCCTATTTTTTAATTTGTTTTCATCATTGCTTTTTTTTTATTATTGTCGTTTTCTCTAACTTTTTTAAAAATTGTAATAATATATCGTTTTTAATAAATAATATATATATATAAATGCATTTATATAAACTTAAATTTATTTTATTCATTAATCAGTTTCACATTCTAAATTTGTGAGATAAGTATTAAATTTTACTGATTTAGAGTTGATTATAGTAATAAATGTAATTATGCTTTAAATAAACAAATATTTAAAATACTTTTTATTGATACTGATGTGGACACTAAACTCTCTAATTATATATAAGATTTTTAAAAAATCGATTATCCCGAAGAAACGGTTTCTACACGCAAAGTGGGTGTGAGGGGAGGTGAATCGTTAAATATATAAATCAATAAAGAAAATCAGATCCCGATAAGAATAATTCAAAATTGGGACCTAAAGTTCACGTTAATGTCGGTCGATCGGTTCAAAAGCATATCAATAGTTTGACGTGGCATAAGTTAAAATTGGGGTTGTCTAAATGGAAACCGTTAACTCATGTGTCCAATTCTTATGCATCATAGATTAGTTACTTTCATGCACTAGAAAAGTTTAGCTACGTTTTCTTGTTGGTAGATTGTTACTGAAGGTATGTAGTAGCTCCGACAACTTTGTACATTTTATGGAAACTACTATGTAATTTGTAAATTAGTAATGTATGCATGCGAAACTACAAAATTTACGTCTGACTATACTGACTACATTTTTTTTATGACTACTGACTACATGTAATTTAATCTTTCATAAATTTAATAATTAATTTTTTTTTCAAACACAAGAAAAAAATTTATGTTTCCAATAACAAAAAAATATTCTATTTGTTTGAATATTTTTTTTCGACATTTTGTTTGATTGTTATTCATGTAATCATGTGCACCTAGTGAATTATATGTTTAAAAGGAATAAAAGACAACGGTATTCAAGAAAAAGGCCCAAAAAGTCCAAGAAAGATGGGCCCAAATTTGGGTTGTAACGCATGACAACTACTCATGGACAAGTACACGTGAGTACCATTTCCTTCCATACGTATAAAACCAAATTATTTTCCTCGAATTTAGTCTTAGCTTTATACTTTCTTAGACTTTTAATCAGTATTTTCATGGACATAAATCAACAGTGACGAATAAAATCCTGTTTCTTCCGAAAAGTTAATGAATTTGGATCTATCGACAGAGAGATACATGGCGAATAAGGCAAACAACATAGTTTTGGAGTTTTATTTGTTATCAAACAACAGTATTCGAAATCAGAATATATATTATAAAATAATTCACCATACAATCTCCAGAGTCCGGATCCAACCAAACAACATAGCTTTTTATTATATAATATCAACAAAACAAAGGGTAGAGAGAGAAAAAGGGCTTAGATTTAGAGAGAGAAGTAATGGCTGTAATGATGATGATGAAGCTGGCAGTTTCTGAAATTTAATGAGTATTTTATTTTCCTTGTATATAATTCTCAAAATATGGTAATTGGCTAATTGCCCCGAATTTTTCCAAATTTTTCGTGTTATAAAAGATGAATTCTTGTTGCTGAAGCATAATATTTGGTCGAACAAAAGGCAAAAGCACAGCATTTTGGACCATCATGATCCATAGACATTACTGTAAATAGTGTTTTCTCATGGATATCATTTATGTACGCAGCATAAAAGATCGCAACATTAAGAGTTAGAAGATAAAAAAAAAACTTTTTGCAGTTATGCTTGTCTCGTATATAGTTCATAGTATTAATAACGAAGTCATATAAATGATGCCTGATGTCTTAAAAATTAAAATCATATGCAGTGGCTTTTATAACACCAGCTCTACGTTCGGAAATAATAATTTAATGCAATGTGTACTTATATTTACATAAGTCGTGCTTGCATTTTGGTTTATTCGATGGACCAATTTCAATCCTCAAGTTATTGATTATTTATTGATTGTTACGTTTGGTTGGTGATATTATCACAGGAGAACTGATCAACAGAGTTTAAAGATTTGATTGTCTTGCGATGGTATATGAATAGTTTAATGTCATCAAAAACAAAAATAAATTTGTGAGAAAGTAAAAAAATAAACCAAGTTTGGGAAGAGATGATAGAACATTACTTTTTGTTTGTTAACAATATAAAACATTACTTTGAATGATTCTCGAACATTGAATATCCATACATTCACTAAATATTCAAAGAGTTTAATAGATCCTGGAAATACTAGGTAATGTGTTTGATAAAATCAAATGTTTTGAATACAGTTACAATTAAAATCTACAACTGGAAGTTTTATACAAAATTATCATCAAATACCGGATACATACCTTGAATTTCAAAAAGATATGTGAACCTAAAGTGTTTAACAAAATTATCCATACAACAAAATTAAAAGTCTTATTTAATTTTTGTTTTTAGGGGGCAACGTTCTCGATGTCAATTTTTGCCGACTCAATTGTAGTTAGGTTTTTATTTGGTGGTTTAAATACGGTAATAAAATTTTGAGAGTGAAAGGAGTCTCCTTTTTGTCTGTTTCTGTCTCTGTTTGAGTTTTTATCAGAAAAGAGTAAACACAACACCCTTTACTTTGGCGATTTGCTTCCTCCTCCTCCTCTCTCTCTCTCTCTCTCTCTCTCTCTCTCTCTCTCCTTATTCTCCGGCTTTCAAATCTCTTTCCTTTGATTGTTGATTTTTCTTGTAGACAACGGATCCAATCGACGAGACTCTCAAGCCAAATCCCATGAGCATTCTTCAGATTTCGATGCAGTTTCTCATTCTTTAAAAGTAATTCATCGGTCTCATCAGGTAAAAAAATTCAAAAAATTCAATTTTTATTTTCTTCTTCTCGACTTACAGAATCAGTCATTGTCTTAGTCAAAATTCGTCTGTGTATACGGTTCTTAGCGTTGCGCAGTTTGGCTGCCAAGTGTTTGTTGAAATTCCGGTGAGAGAGAGAAAAAGAGAGACTGGGATTGGAAGTTTACAGAGATGAAGGATTTTCCTTCTTGCTTTGGTGAAAATGGCGTTCAAGTTGCGGATTCATCGTCTTCAAACTCCGGCAAAAATGCCCAGAATCTGGTGACTTGCATCTACCAGTGCCGTATTCGGGGAAGAAATTGCTTGATCACAGTGACATGGACTAAGAATCTGATGGGTCAAAGTGTAACCATTGGAGTTGATGATTCCTGTAACCAAAGTCTGTGTAAAGTCGAGATTAAGCCATGGCTCTTCACAAAACGAAAAGGGTCCAAGAGTTTAGAGGCGTATTCGTGTAACATCGATGTTTTCTGGGATCTCTCCTCCGCAAAATTCGGATCAGGCCCTGAAGCTTTGGGAGGATTCTACGTGGGTGTTGTTGTAGACAAGGAAATGGTTCTGCTTCTTGGCGATATGAAGAAAGAAGCTTTCAAGAAGACGAATGCTTCACCTTCATCACTAGGTGCTGTGTTCATTGCCAAGAAAGAGCATGTCTTTGGTAAGAGAGTGTTTGCAACAAAAGCTCAGCTTTGCGCCGATGGGAAAATCCATGATCTTGTGATTGAATGTGACACGAGTGTCACTGATCCTTGTCTCATTGTTCGTGTGGATGGGAAGACATTGTTGCAGGTGAAGCGGCTTAAATGGAAGTTCCGTGGCAACGACACGATAGTTGTTAATAGAATGGCTGTGGAAGTTCTCTGGGATGTTCATAGCTGGCTTTTTGCTATGCCTTCAGCGGGAAACGCCGTGTTCATGTTCAGGACTTGTCAATCTCCTGACAAGAGCTTGTCTTTCTCACAGGACATGACTACAACAAACTCCAAGTCTCAAAGTTTTGGTTTTTCGTTGATTCTCTACGCGTGGAAGAACGAGTAGAAACAAGATTTTATGGGTGCTAACAAAAACCTTGAAAGAGTCTGTTGATTCCTTATCAACATTTGTTATCAAAAGCATGATTAATGGGTTGATTCATAATTGGTTTATGCAATGTATTTTCTTACACAATGCTGGAACCTGATCAGTCTTGACGAACGCTAGCTCTGTATACATCAGTTACTTATGTCCTGGAAAGTGTTTCGTTCTATCTGAGAAATCAGGTCAATTGGGTGAATTTTTAGATGTTTAGCAAACTTTTTCTTACTCTCTTTCTAATAACAGATTGCTCATCCATGAAGATTCCTAAGTTTTGTGACTCAGTAAGTCAGATATTTCTTGACTTTCACATTTCGATTCTTCGCCTTAATGTGGTCTGCTTCTTGCTTTTTCACAAGACCGCAGAACTTGATGTTTCAAAAAAAAATTAGAGTTAAAATTTTGCGTCTTCAGTGAAGTCCTAAGTTGGTATTATAATCACTGGAAAAGAAAAATGCTATTGTGTCTTTGAAGTATATCAGTGGAAAAGAATATAAAGTATTCGTCAGAGAGATTCTACTATAAGAAGTTTAAAAGATTTCGAAATGTCAAGGTCACAGAAGCTTTATGTGGAGAGAGTAGTGGTTTATATGTCAAATGCAAACTGCACGCTGTTTAACTGAGAATCTCTGCAACTGCTTGCCATTTAATGGACTGTCTGTCTTTTTGGTCAGGTTAAATTCGTGAGTATACTCAAATTGAGAGATTGTGTTACTGCAACATTCTTTTGTGACATCATCACATGTTTGCTTTTCTCTTTCTCACGTCTATAGTAAAAATAAAAGCATGCCACGTGGTCCCTACCCAAACATAGCATATATTCATTTTACCCGCCCGAACTTTAGCTGATCCCTGAGTCAAACTATACGGGCTTAATAACAAAATTCCAATGTTCGATAACGTTTAAACCAAAAAGTAGAAAGTAAAAAACCCATGTGTGTACATAATTCACCATTTATGTCAATTAGCCGCGACACTTTTGTTTTTGAAAATTTTGGGGTTTCTATTTTTTTTTGTGTGTACAAAGTAGATCCATATTAGATCCAAAAGTAATTTTCTTTTGATTTGGTTTCGTTGGATTTTTATTTATTTATTTCGTATTCGGTTATAAATACGAAAATAATGTTACCATATCCTTCTCCCATACCCCGATTACCTGAACTCTAAAACAACCGAATCATATCGACCCGAATACCCGCAGGCCCAGCGGGTAAAAAAAATGACATTGGTTGCAATATTTCTGGGCCATACAGCCCATTAAAGAAGAAGACGTGGCTCAAGTCAAACGACCACATTAATAAGCCCTAAGAGTAACTATAAATACGACTCCTCCGCGACTTTTTTCCATTATCCTTCTGACCCTCTCTCTGTCTCTCTTCTTGTTCGCGAAAGGTTTCGATCACACTTTCAGTCTCTTTCGGTGGTGTTGCTTTTTGTTTGCCCTTAGAGAAAAATAATCGCTACGATGTACTCGGAAGAAGCAGGAGCGAGTTGTTCTTCTTCTTCTCGTAAGAGACATCTCGAAGACAGAATAGGAACCTCAGAAGAAAAAAGGAAAAGAATGAGAGATTATTATCCTCGTGATCAGAACACAACAATCATCCCTCATGGTTGGCTACATTGTCCTCGTTTTGGTCACGAAATCGGATGCATCGTTCCTTCAAAAGTTCCTCTCAGTGACTCTACAACAATAGTGTTCCTCTTGAAAAAAGATACACTTTCAAACAGTGGGTTACTAATACAGATAAGAAGCCAATTGGTATGGTGATTGATCTCACCAACACGGCTCGTTACTATGATCCTAGCACAGAGTTAAGACAGGAAGGCATCCACTATGTTAAGATTCGTTGCACTGGTCGTGATTCCGTGCCAGACTATCTCTCTGTGAACACATTTGTCAACGAAGTTAATCAGTTCGAGAAACACAACTTGTCAAACAAGTATGTTCTCGTTCATTGTACGCACGGCCATAACCGCACAGGGTTCATCATTGTGCATTACCTCATGCGCACGAGGCCGATGATGAGCGTCACACAGGCTCTTAAAACGTTTTCTGATGCCCGCCCGCCCGGTATCTACAAACCGGATTACATCGATGCTCTGTACAGTTTTTATCACGAAGTCAAGCCTTTGAGTGCCGTTTGTCCAACCACTCCTGAATGGAAGAGGTCTGAAAACGAGTTTTCACCACTTGCAACGCAAGAAAACGATCAGCATGAGGAGAATGTTAAGAAGAATATGACAAATGACGACGTTTTGGGGGATGAAATACCATGGGAGGAGGACGTTTGTTACCGAAAAGTTTGCTATGAGTTGATGAATATCAAGGGAGAAAGAGATATGAAGTTTCCGGGCTTGCACCCTGTGTCCTTAGACAAGGAAAGATTACAACTTTTTGAGGCAGAGATACTATTACGCGACATGGAAGGCAGATGGAACTCGGTACATGATGCTCTTGACTAGAAAAGGGTGTTATCTGATAGATAGGAAGTTCAGATTTAGAAAGGTGAAAATGCGGTTTCCTTGTAGAAGTGATCATGATAAAGTGCATCATTACACATTGCTTGATGGAGAGATGGTTGTAGATAACTTTGTGGATGGAAAAAGGCAGGAAAGGAATTACCTTGTCTATGATTTGGTGGCAATCAACGGGGAATCAGTGACAGAGTGGCCTTTCAGTGAAAGATGGGAACTTATCGATAGAGAAGTGATCAAGCCACGTAGTGATGAGAAGAAGGTGACAAATCATCGGTACATATACGAGCAGGAGCCTTTTGGGATACGGAGAAAGGCGTTTTGTCTACTCTCTGCTGTGGAGGAGAAGCTTTTCAACAAGTTGATTCCTTCGCTTCCTCATGAATCTGATGGACTGATCTTTCAAGGGTATGACGATACTTATGTTTACAGAGAAAACAGAGGTTTACTCAAGTGGAAGTTTGTGGATACTGTTGACTTTCTGTTTGAGATGGGCAGAGATGGGAGTCAAATGCTCTTCTTGTATGAACATGGGAGGAAGAAGCTTATGGAAGGCTACTCGGTTGAGTTTAGAGGTGATGGTTGGGACCACCCGGCTAGTTACTCCGGGAAGCTTTTAGAGTGTTCATGGGATAAGGAGAAGGATGTATGGGTTACTATGCGGGTCAGGGTTGATAAATCTGAACCAAATGGTGTAAGAACTGCTCTTAGCGTGATAAAAAGCATAAATGATGGTATCACCAAGGAAGTTTTTGTGCAGGAGATCAGAGAGATTATTCGTCTTCCAATGTACGTTGAGCGCATTCGAATGGACACTCAGGCCTACGAACGCCGCAAGCATGGAAACTGCAGAGCCTGATGAATGGTTTAGTTGGAGAAAGAGAAACTGTCTCAAAGTTTTTGTATGAGATTAGGAATATTTATTAATGTGAAAACTTGGTTCAAGATTTTTGTATAATAGTTCATCTATCGTCCAAATGTAGTTTATAGCAACTCTGCTAAACAACTAAGAGGTACACTACACAGTTGTCTCGTTTTCTGATTTGAAAGTGGAACCAAATAAAAAATGATAGCGTTTGCGTCTTGTGGGACTTGTAAGCTTGCGATCAAAGTTTCAAGCTTCTTAATGCAGAAGATATGAGTTGGAGTTTGGCCGGAGCTTTCTGCTTGTACTCTTTCTCTACTGCAGCTGCAGCTAGAGAGTGAAGCTCCTGGGCCGTCGACGCGTCTCTCTCCTCTTTGTACCTGCCTTTTGAGAGCTGTGCAATCGCGGATGCACACTGTAGGAGGTTTGGTGATTATATGTTCAGCTGTAAATATGTGATAAATCACCATAGAAGAGGAGATAAAGACTTACCAAACAGATTCCGAGAAGAGCTCTGGTGCTTTTTCCGCCTGTTAAGTCTATGGTGGCTGCATAGTATTTTCTTGCCGAGTTAAGGTTTTCTAATCCACCTATTGTGTAGAGAACCTGATTTGGAATTGGACACAAATGAAAGAGCATAAATAAAAACGAACTAAACTCAAATCTGATCAAATGTGGTCTCTTTGAGGAAGTTGAACTTTACATCGGCATATGCAAGGTGGTACAATGGAACAGTAGGCTGAGATAGTATGAGCTCTTCGTAGCAGAAAGCTGCTTGTTTGTACCTGTAATCGAAACACAAACCTTAAAATCAGTAATAATATGAGATAAAAAATTGATGTTACTAGTGACGTAGTTTGTTTGCGCAACATCATCTGGAGGGAAGAGGATATAAAGAGGTTTACATTTGCAAGGAAAGATAAATCTCTGCAAGTTCTCGCCATGCGTCGTGATCAGCCATGAATCTACATACAAGAAAAAACGATGAAGTGATCTCGTATAGTGGCTCTCCTCTATATATACTACATTAGGATAAGTAAGCACTCACAATTCAAGATATTTGCTAAGAAGCTCAATGGCTAAGCAAGGTTTTCCTAATGCCTTGGTTATAGCCACCCTTCGTTTGTGTATTGCCTGTATAATACATTTTAAGTTGCACTTACAAAACTATACACTTGGAAGCAGATTGAGGGTGTTCTCAACAAAGAAAAGGTGGGAAGACTTACTTGGTCAAGTGGATTATCCTCCAAAAGGCTCGAATATGCTTCCTCAGCCTCTCCCCATAATCCCTTCGCTTCAAGCAGCAACGCCTCCAGCCTCCCTGAAAATTATTGCCAAAAGGTGGTTTAATTGGGGTCAGTGTAAACTAAACTCGAAAGAATCATCAGTTTAAATAAAACATACGAGTATTATGGACATATACATTTAAAAGACCCAACAATGGTCAAATAGAGACAAGAAAACTATCCAGTACAAATATGTGAGTTAGATAAACTAACATAGCTGACATAACTGGTATACTTCAGATTTGATCAATTCTGCTTAATTAACAAAACGGGAAAAAGTATAAGAGAAAACATGGAAAAGAGACAAATACAATGCTTACATTCTGGTTCAAGGACCTAATTATCAATACATGAATCATCTGTTCTAGAAAGCCTATATATAGAGTGAATTTTTCATTGCTGACATATTTACTTACCAACCCTTTTGCTCTCAGGAAATTTCCTCTGCAATGTCTTAATGCAACTCTGCAACAACAACAACAAAAATAAGATCGTGAGATAATATCAACATCGATTCCGCACAAGCTGAAAGATGCGTGAAATAAGAAAATCGTTCAAAAGGAAGAAATTTGATAAAATCATTCGTAAGGAAGAAAGTGTTAAACATATATACACACCTGTGCGACATCAAGACAGTTGCAGTCCATAGCTGCAATTGCCACCTGCTCATTTAGCGCCCATTCTGGATTAAAAAAAGATCAATCTAGTTACATTGCATAAGCTTAAGAGCAGCAATTTATCTTAAATAGTTATTCCATTGGCAAAATCAAAACCCATTACATAGAGAAAGTAAGACGAGAAGGATCATAGCAAGGTTTCTACGTTGGCCAAGCGATCTATGCAAACTGTAGCGTAGTAAACGATTAGTGAATCTAGCTACACACATCACCGATCTTCAGAGCAAAGATGAATCGGGATTGCGAAACAAACATACCATCTGGACCGAGTGCAGATCGTTTCTTCGGATCATTCAAAATCGAGGAACCATGCTTTAACACCTTCTCCGACCGGCGAACCTTGAGCTTCCGAACAAGGCAAAGATACTCCCAAGTCCAGCCTCCGCCATTTTCGACCTGATTCTCGAGCTGGTTCAATTGCGTCTCCTCTGTTTTCGTCACCATCTCTCTAATTCTCTCGTGATTGTTGTATCTACGAGCCTTGTGGATCTGTTTTGTGGGAAAGTCTTGTTCTCGACTCACTTCCCCAACGACGAAGAAAACTTCGGACCGGTTCGGATTATAAGTGTACCGATACGGATTAATCTCAGTAACCGGCTCATGTTGCTTTACGATGAAAATTTTTACGTGGGCCGGTTTGTTGAAAATGGCACTTACGTTTGAAACAATGGCGATCAGAGACATCAAGTATGTAAGAACTTAAACTGCACTTTATACTTCGTACTTGAACTATGTGGATCATAAGTTTTTTTCTGACTGGAATAACGATTATAGAGACTAAAGAAAGCTGTAAAATTTTGGTATCAGTCTTTCTTGGACATCACTTGTATCAGATACAGAGGTTAGCTTCAAAGAACACAGCCTAACTGTCAAATAATTTCTAAATCGTGGAAGCATCTTGCCCTCAACAAGTTTCAAAAAGAAAAGACTTAAAAAAACCCTGTTTCTTAATCTTCCTGCTTACTAGTACTAGTTTCCTTATAGCTCTTGGACAACCAAATCGCCGTTTCTCTGGGGGATACTTTTCCAGGACCAAACGGTTTCAGTAAAACATTCAGCTCATCATACCTCTCGTCAAGAAGCAATCTTGCGCTGAATTCAAGCAGTCCCTCAAGTGCCTCAGCACGTTGCCGATATGAGCTAGGGTCAAATCTTTGTCGCCTCGATGCACCTGAGGAAGCTCTGCTTGATGCTCCAGCAGTTGCATTCTGATCAGACAAGTCGCTTTTGGTTTCTCGTTCTGGTTCAAGTGTGAATTTGTCTTTTGTGATTGAGCAGTCTAGTGGTGGCTCTGGAGGCGGGCTGTATGATCCTCTGGACGATCCTTTTTTCTTACGCACAACGGGAGTGAAAGGCATTTCTTCATATGAAGCTAGCGGGAATTTGATCGTGTCGATTCTTGGCGAGTTTACAGACACATCCGGAGAGTTTAGCTGATGGAGTATGCCGATACTCGGGGTGTACAGAGAGTCATTCGTTCCTTTTACAGGTTTATGTGAGACAGGCAAGGAAGCCCTACGAATCACTGCCGCTGGTTTCTGACACATGAGATTGAAAAAATGTAAACAGACTGAATCAGCAATTAGTAAGATAAGGGGGTCTTTGGATGAATCACTTACCAGACCACCACTCTTAGGCTGGTTTGATCTCACTGGCACATATTTTGAACTGTTAGAAACCCCTGAGTTTTTTGAAACTGCAGGTCTACGAACAACCACTCCAACATTGTCATTGGCAGACAAGTCCACTGGCCTCCGCCGGGTCAGATACGTGTGTAGTGGTTTAACAGATGATACAGAATCTTCCTGGTCAACCACGAACCTGCTTGGACCAAAGCTTTTGCTTTTGCCAGAAGCATGCCTTCTCTGCTCAGGATAGCTTCTTCTCCTTGCGGATTCAGATTCTGGTAATTGAGCAGACAATGTATCGTGTCCCCGATAGCTCAGCTTGAGAAGAACCTTTTGAACGTAAGGCTGAAGTAGAGGCTGTCTGAGAAGATCAGAAGCCTACACAGAAGAAGAGAGATATTACACATCAGGTCTGTACAGCTGAGGTTAAATGATGATAAATTCCACAAAACTGTGCGTACGCTTGGTCTGAGTTCTGGATTCTTCCTGAGCATGCTTTTAACCAGACTTCGGCTGGAGAAAGCAGGAACGCAAATCATATGGATGTTCTTGCGCGATTCAGTAAATTTTAATAGGTTCACGTTACAAATAAGAATCTATACTTACAAGCCAGTAGAATATTGCACAGGAAGTGGAGCAACGATCGATCTGTTTATCCTGTTGATCAGCCCTTGCATGTCCTAAAATGCAGAAAGTTGTAATGAATATCAGAAAATCATGAACATAGGACATAGAAATATGATATTGAATGTGTGGATGGAGAAGAATTTACAAAGGCTTTGAATGCTGGTTTCAGAGCCGTCATCTCATACATACAACATCCTGAACGAAATTGAAAAGAAGGATGGACTAGATTAACATATTTACTATCTAGAGCAAAAGTTAGTTTTTCAGCCATGGATGAGAAACTTGCCCAGCGACCAAATATCAGATTTTGACCCGTAGGGAATATCAGCAAGAAGCTCAGGGCACATGTAGCTTGGTGTTCCAACCACCTGATATAAAACAAATCAAATCATTTCATTGTCTAAGACCAGTGGTAACAAATCATTGAAAAAGTCTAAACTCTATACTCACTGAAGAAGCAAGGTCGTCTGATGTCAAGATCTTGGCAAGTCCGAAATCACCTGCAAAAGTCATTAAAATCAAATTTTCACAGGATCTGAGAAAAGGATATAAATTGACATATATGCTAAGTCTCTTACCTAGACGTATATCGTGATCCTTTGTCAAGAATATGTTTGAACACTGGATCAAACCAGTAGATTTTGTATTAGTAAGTTTCGAATACGGAGATTATCAATAATTGTGTTATGCTCAGAACCGGATATCACAACCAACCTTGACATCGCGATGCAGAATGTGACTGGCGTGCAAGTATTCAAGTGCCATCAAGAGCTGTACCAGCCACTTGCAGAGTTTCTGTAAACAAAGCAAGAAAAGAGATTCAGAGCTTTCTGTACCAAAAATCTTTCAGAAAACAGACTTTAGTTTAGATGTGTGTAACACACCTCTTCAGAGAATTCTACGCCGTTCGCTTTCTTTATTGCTTCCGCCCTGTAATGCAGAGGATACAATGCATCAGAAACCCCTTCAGAGTCAAAACTGGGAAAAAGTTATTGAGAAGGAAACAACAATTTACATGTCACCGCCTTTGCAATAGCCTATAACAATGCACACATAGCAGCCCTGAAAACACACACCAGAGAGCCAATTATATTCTTTCATAAGTAGACAAATAAATCTCTACTGGAAGTAGCATAAAGGCTTAAAGAATGTACCTTTTCAACCCAAGAATCTTTATATTCCACGATAAACGGATTTCTTATCTTTGAGATTAGTTCCATCTATAGGTAGATAACAAGGAAAACTGTTAGTAACAAAGCCTTAGTCTGTGACATTTCTTTGAAAGCCCGTTAACATAGCATTCAACTACCAGTGCAGACTCACATTCCAAGTAATCTTTTATAGTGGTTAGATTAAGATTGATCAACCTAACTTACAGTCTAACAGGACTGCAGACAAATACTATCCCTAATGGCTATTGGAAAAGGAGTTTGAATCTCAAAAAAAAAAAAGAGCACCATCATGGGCAATCATCTACACCTCTGTCCTTTTAAAATCTCAAAAATTTCAGCTCAATAACCACAACACTGGAAAAATGTGATATTTCTGAAAGAGCCACATCGTGTTGGTTTCGAATTTGACATACAAAGCCTCCCGAAAGCAAATACGTAAGTTTGTGTATCTGTAACACATTGAAATTAGAATTAACCTCCTGATGAGCAGATCTTCTTGTTCTACCCGTCTGCCGAGCCAACCGGATTTTCTTCAAAACATACCTTCAGACATCAAAACAACAAAAGAAGAGAACATAACAGAGAATCAATTGTTGACATCACAATCATATACACATCACATGAAAACGTTGAATTTAACTAAAATCTCTTTCCAGTTTCCATTCAAGTGTTGACAAGTTCTTACAGTTTCTTCTCATGCTTATGCCTCACCAGAAGAGCTGAGCCAAAGGACCCTTTCCCAATTTGCTCAAGAACCTCGTAATGCTCCATTGACAAGCTCCTTAAAAAAATATTATCTTCTTGTAAAGAATCTGAAGCCAAATCAAGATAAACGGAAACAAGCAATGATCAGTTTATCTCAATTCTCAACTCATGGTTCTTGTAAGCAACACTAACCGTACCTTTCCGGACATATAAACATTTGAGGAAGAAAAGTAGCTATAAAAGTGAAAATCTAGTAAGCTAGTAAAGTAAGCTTGCACGAATCTTCTAAGTTTTTTTTTTTTTTTGTTTAGTGAAATCGCCTGCCGACCCACCAAACTTAATAAAGTCAATTTGCCACGAAAATGAATTTAAGGGGTAAAGCTTAGAAAAGAAAGGTTTCCACATCATGAAAACTGACTCTTTCTAATAACACATGCCCAATTAACAAAAGAGAAAGTCTTGAATTGTTTCTTTTTTTGGCTTGTTAAAGTTCAACTCTTTATTGCAATAATTGGGGAAATTTCCGGATCGCTTCTACTCACATTTGCAAATATGAGCAGACCCATCAAGTTTTAAGGGCGATTAAACAACAAAGAAATAAAAAAGGAAGAGTTTTTGAGCTCGAAACTAAGTAAACACAGAGAGAGAGACGGAGAGAGAGAGTGAGAAAGAGAGGGAGAGAGAGGAGCAAACCTAAAAAAACGTCGGTGAGAGATTGGAGGATTGTGATTGCGGCATTTTCCGAGAAGAAGCTACAAAACGGCACCGTTGCGGAGGAAGCAGTGACTGTGGAGAGAAAAAGGCATCGGAAGCTGGGAAAGAAGCTGCTTCGCCATGACTGCTCCTCTCTCTCTCTCTTTCTCTCAGTGAGGAAAACGACAGAGTTACCGTGAGAGACGTAAATCAACACTTTCTTTTTTTCAATATATAAATATCCTGACACCCCTATTAAATATATTGTCTATTAATTGTTTCCAATTGTTTAATATAACGCCGAATATATTTTTGTATAAGTATTAGTATTAACACAATTTTCTTAATAATTGGCCAATTTTCAAAGGTAAACAGTGGACATTGCTCTATTTTAAGAGAAGCAAAACCTAAATAGAAATGATGAAAATTATTTTTTGTCAAAATAAAAATAAAGTTAGTTATGTGTCACGGTGTGATTTTGAAGATATGTTTTTCTTTCATCGAAATAGTAAATCTAAGTGTAATCTTTAGTTGACCAAAAAAAAGTGTAATCTTTAAATTGTAAGATATTACATTCATATACTTTTGGTATGTATCGTTGATTATAACATTTATTTACTTAATGTCTATTTAAAATTTAATCAACTGCAAATTATATAAATTTTTTTTATTAAAACCATCTATTCTATTAAAACAGAAGCACTTTTAGTGTCTGTTTCCAAACATCCCTAAACTTTTTTTATAATATTTTATTTTATATTATAATTAATTTCAAAAATTAGTTACTAATTTAGATATTGTTAAATTTCCTTAAATATAGATTATATTTATTTTAAATTTTAAATTATTCAATTTTTTTATTAATTAAATTTAATCACGAAATTTTAGATTTAATTTAATTTAAAATTCAAGAAAATATAAATATAACAATTTTAATTACTTTAGAATTCCTTAAATACATGTTAGATTTAATTTAAAATTTTGAATTTAAATAATATTTTTATAATAGCACAAATGGTAAACAAATATCTTATTGTATTGTTTATCATAATCAATCCGTCTAAAACATCAAATATTTAATATTGGTAAATTTTATATTTTACAATAATATGATAAAGCAAGTTAAAGTTATACATTTATAATAACAATCTTATACAGATTAGTTTGTCAAAACATGTAAGATATTAAAAAATGATTTGAGATAACTAAACGGACGGATTAGCTAATTCATAGATTTATAAATTGTTTATGTGTAAATCTAAATTTACATAATAACAAAGTTCATAATTAACATTATAAATTAATATATACTTAATTAACTCATATTCTTATTCTACTTAATAGATAAATCTATACTATTCAAAGTTAAACATGATAACAAAGTTTTTGAATTAAAAAAATAACAAAAATAAATTTTATTAAAAAATTATTAGAAATAAAAAATGAAAAATTCTCGTGCGGACGCACGGGATTAGAATCTAGTTCATCTTTTTAAAAGAGGTAACACATACTTATAAGTTATATCCTATACTGTCTAAACCATCATATATGAAATCAAAACGTTTAAATCCTTAAGCCGCGATTTAAAATACTGCATTTAGCGTCATATAACTTAATTTAAGTGAATCATTTGGTGTCTGTCACATGTAATTAGTTTAGATGAATCCTGTAACACCAAGTTTGTTTTATGTTTATGGTACAAGTGTTTGGATCCGATCACACAAATAGTAAAATTATCTTCTTGATGTTTTTAGCAGATAAAAAGAACACATCAAGTTCGGCTCCGGATAACATATTTCTCGATGTCCAAAAAAGGATAACATAATTTCTCGTCGGTCGTTGCATTAAGAATAATTGTTTTTTTCTTTTTCTTTCAAATATCGGTTAGGTGTTCGAATTACGTGTTGCGGATATGACTTTGATTAGAATATTCCTGTATGTATCTCTAACAGAAACAGTGCGGTCTCTGTCATGGAGCTTCGAGGTTCCTAATAAGTACTATTCTATAAAAGAACAATCGATTACAGCTAAGTAATACAGTGTGTGTGAACTGGGAAGTGTGAACACATCCAAGTTACTAATCTTGTGATATATATATATATATATATGATCATCACATACGGTTATAAGACTAAAAGTTTTTATACTGACACTTATAACATGTAATTGGACAGTATATATAGTTGTGCATTCATTGGTATATGATATCAGCCAAATATCGAACATACTTAATAATTTTGTTTCGTAAGAGAATTTTCAGAGACTAATTGGTCATTGTGTGTAGTACATCAGATATGTCGATAACATTGCAAAATTTATGCAAAACTAGAAAAGCTAAATAAAGAAGGAATATTCTAGAGAAAGAAAAAAAACCTAAGTAAAAAGTCAACTTCGAATGGATATGTGAGGAATATGAGAGAATACCAAGTTTACTACAACTCTATGAAAATATATTTCCGGATGGGACAGATCTTCAAATTGTGTTTGTAGATAGAACTTTAAAAGAAAAACAATGGCAAGAATTATCTTATCTTTAACGTAATCCCATAAAACAATGATATAATTATTATGTATCACACGAAAATTCAAACATTAAAAACACACAATTTGAAGAGTAAAACAGACAATTTAAAAATATTTTTGTCCAGTTTCTCTTCTAAATATTTGGATTCTTAGAGTTTTTTTATTTATATATTGAAAGACCTGATCTCATCATATAGATGTTAAAACTTAAAAGTCATGAAAAACTTAAGCCAGAAATGGAATTTAACCAGTTGTTTAATCAAGTTCAACTGAATTCCACTGTTTGTCGGTGCACGTGTACGGTCAACCAATATAGTGAATATACGTTTCCACTGATGCGTCAAAACAGTAAATGACACTATTGATATTTAAAACTTTTCCATGATAACCAAAGTCCAAAAATGAGGTATTATTCAAAAGGACGAAAAGGGATTATAACCTGATAATATATGTATATATAGGGGTTTATTTAGAACTCAAGATCGAAACCTGAAAATGGAACATTGTTTTTTTCGCCGGCACCATCTGCATCTCCATGCATGGCTGCAGGAATATCAGGATCTCCGGTTCCAACCCGGTTTTCCACGGGTCGGGATTCGAGATCTCCGGGTGACGTGGCGGTGGCGGTGGCGGTGGTCCCAGCGGAAGGTTGGCTGTACAAAGCTGTAAGTTGGTGAAAATAAGGACAAGTCCTTGAGTCAAGTGGTCTCTTCTTGTTGACATCTTTTGTCTTCCTAAAATACTTGTTGATGTTTTCCCATTTCTCTTTGCATCTTTTGGCACTTCTCTTGTACCCAACCTCCAACATTTTCTTGGATATTTTTTCCCACAAAGGAACAGCTTTTGAGGATGATGATGACGATTGTGATATCCCATCTTTACGATGATGATCATCATCATTCATGTTACTGATACTGCGTCTAATGTTGATAAGAGCCAACACCTCATCCCTAGGCCATCTCTTGCCAAGATCACTTTTTTCATCACTTTTTGGAGGTTTTGGGTTTTGGGTTTTGGTTTTTAGGGTTTTAGTCGAAATGGGTTCAAGTGCTTTTTGTATGGGTTGAAGAGAAGTTAATTGGTTATGTGGAGTTAGGGCTTGAGATAATGATGAAGTTTGAGACTTTCTGCTGCTTTGGGTTCTTGGTAGAGCTAAAGACGATGAGTCTTGAGAAGAGCTTTGGATCTTAGAATTCCCACCATCATGATGATCATGGTCTCTGAACTTGGATATGAACTTGATGATGTTGGCATTTCTATCACTAGCCATGGCTTGTTCTTTTTCTCTAATCTCTACCTCTTTGCTGAGCCTCTCCATCTCCTGGTTCTTCCAAGCCTCCTCTCTTGCCACCTTTTCTTCTTCCTTCTTCACCATGTCTTCTAAAAGCTTTTTATGCATCTCCTCTTGTTGGGCTATCATGTTCCTCACAAGACCTTCACAAAACCCTTTCAACACACCAAACTTCCCCTTCTCTTTCTTTCTCTTCCTCTTCTTATTGTCTCTCATGATCATCATCAAGCTTGATGATGATGATGATTTCGCATCATCTTCCACGTTTCTAACTTTGCCAGCATTATCAACAGAGTTTATTTTCCCCATTGATGATTCATCTACTTGACCCTGATCCTGATGATCTGTTCTGTCCACCTCCAATAAGTCTAGTGCCCTTTCGTCCTCAACGTTTCCTTTTCCCTCTAGTGAATTGTTCCTCTTGTTTTGGTTATCACCAACTTCTGATGAGACGTAGTCATCATCATGACCATGATGATAAAACTCTTCAGACTCACTAAATATCCTAGAATTTCCCTTGTTGTTGTAATTCCTGATGTGATGATCAGTAGTGTTGTTGTTACTACTGAAATATCTTCTCTCTTCTTCTTCGAATTTCTCTTTACATTCTTGTGGAGTCCTCTTAAACCCAACTTCTGCCAACTTTCTACAGCCATCATTATTTCACAAACGACATAGCATCATTAATAATGCGAATATACATACACTTATATACCAAAAATATACAAGAGCATAATCATTTGTAGTTTTTTCTCTTTATATACACACATATTTGGTGACAAAAAAAATAACACAAATTCGTACCGATTAATTTCATCGTTCATTTCTTTTCAAAAATGTGATAAATTATTATAAATCAATGGCCAATCATTTGGTAACATCAAACATGAATTTCCCGAAAGTGTTTATTCCAAAGCAAACGAGATACATAGTGTATCAAATCAAATTGAGTAACCTGAATTCCGATTTAAAATAGGCGTAGGTTTATCAAAATAATGTACATGTACACATATAAACACTCAAGTGTTGATGCGTATATTGTATAGAAAAATATATGTTATGAAGTTGTGGGCGTATGAAGATGTATTACCTTGAGGTGTGCTCCCAAGTGAATTCAGGAAACCAATTCTCCACCGTAGATCTGAATCTAAGAAGGGCAAGGACTTCATCACTACACCATTGACGATGATGATGGTGGTGATGATTATCACCATCATGACCCATCCACTCAGAAGTAGCACCACCATCTTTGATGTCATGGTGATGATCATGATGGTGAATGATCTTACGGCTATCGAGGCTCAACATAAGCTGGGCTTGATTTGTGTTATAGGAAGCGAATGGGATAGGAAAAGGGAGTGATCTTTCCGCCCCCGGTTGATGCAGCAGATGCGGAGGAGGGGGAGGTGGAGATGCTATGAACCGCTGGATTTGCTCCGGTACTTCACCATCATCAAACATTTTCTTTTATTCTTCTTCTCTTCTTCTTTTTCTTCTTATTATTCTTTCTTTTCACTTTGCTATTCACATCGAAATCTCTCCTTTCTCTCTCTCTCTTTTTGGTCTCACTTTTCTATATTTCTATTCTTTTTTTTTGTATATATATATATATATTGTTTAATTCTTGCATAATAAGTAAAATATCTAAGGCTGGTATATGCCATTAATGATTAATTATTGTTTTATATATATATATCTTAACTATGTATTTTCTCTCCCTTTTCTTCTGATTCGACTCTCTGTATAAGAAATTTCCTAGAACACATTGCAATATTTGACAAAAAAAGTAATTGCAAGAATAAAAGAGAATGCTATAGATACTATTCTATTTTTTTTTTTTAAAGGATACTATTCTATTTTTGTTCTATTAACATTATTGATAATATTAGAACCATTCTCCGATTATTTGGAATATAGTTAAAAAAATTGGAATATAGTTGCGAAATGAAACAAGGGAATCTCATTAAACAATTGAGAGTCCAATGATAATTTGAATCACGGTCCAATTTTTTGCGGATGAAACAGTTTCGATACCATTTTACATAAGAATTGTGTCCAAATTTGTTCTCTGATTGAAAACATACAGTAGCAATTATACGATTTGTTCTTCTCTCTCTATATAGTATTATATCTAAGTAGTAGTGAAATTATAAGACTATTTTTACTCAAAATATGCCGTGTAGATAAACACGCGTATACCATCCAAGTTTATTTTTTTATTAATTCTTGCATAATAATTGACTGATAGTGAGTGTTATACATTTCATATATGTAAAAAAAATATTTTAGATTTAATTTACAAAATGGCAAAGACAAAGACAACATTACTAGAAAAGCCAAACATCACCTCTCTATCATTTTTTTTCGACCACCTCTCTCTCTTATTTATCACTGACAATATGTCCGAAAACAAGTAAAACGAATCATTTAGCCCATGTTATAGCCACCCCTTATGCTCAAACAAACTAAATGAAACCTAAGTATTAAGAGGAAACCCGTACAGTTTAACACTATAAACATTTTTAACATTTTTTTAATGTCAACTTTAGTTTAACAAAAAAATTTACACAAAATGCTAGTGGGATTTTGTTTGAGAAAACAGAGCTTGACTTGAAACACGAACTAAACAAGAAGGAAAGTGAATAAAAAATGAAAGAGATCTCTTTTAAAACTCAGAGCAAAACCAACGTTGGTCTTCTAGTGCTTGTATTAAGATGAGGTTGTTCCTAATGACTTGTCATTGCAGTAATGATTATCGCGTTTGTTTAGGAAGGTTGATTGTGGCGTCTCGAGATTCAAATAGTCCAAAGATGATAGAAATCGTTTTGAAATATTTATCCAGCCCCCATCGTGAAAAGCATAAGTTGAATTCTGCTAGCATTTCAAGAATGTTTTAGAACGTTGCCATGCCAGCTCGTAGTAGCTGCATCTGCAACCGTGGCGGTGAGAGGAATTCGCAAGTCGCAAGTTTTTGTACCCTGTGATATATAAAAATCTACCAATCGGTGCCCAATTATCATATTAAAACAATGCAGATCTTCCATCTTAATTTTGATCCGAGTAAACTTAAAGCATTGTTACAAAGTTTAAGCAATTTGCGCCATATCTATATAAACATTGAGTACGATAATTTATAAAACCTTTTTTCAGACTTTTTAATGTTTTTTTCCGTAAATCCACGTGATTGAAACGGATATAATCATAATCATTAATTTAAACTAAAACTAAATCAAAATGATAGTTCCTAGATATGTTTCTAAATAATTGGTATAGAATTCATGTTTAATGGAGAAAAAAACATTGATCAAACAATAATAACGCATTTATGTTTAAGCTTTTAATTAAAGCACATTAATAGGTTATATTAAATTCTGCATAAATGTTGATGAGGGTGTTGTACTGTTGTTTAACATAAGAAAAAAAATAAAAACATCAACTAATGTGAAATAGATTCTTTTCTACTTTTTGTGAATACAAAATTGGATGCTTTTTCAACTCATTTATTTCCATGAATATCTAGAGAGTACCAAAGTTTAGTCATTTATTTTATTGGGAAATAAATTTGTGTTTGTCTTATTTTTTACATCAAATGTTCTTGTCTTTATTATGATACTATACTTTATTATAAGATTTTGTAAAAGGGAAAAAAATATAGAAATTTGGAGGTACATTAGAATCCTATGCAGAAGCAGATGCAGATGATAGTGTAATAAACGGCAAGCGGGAATGGCAGGGCACGTGAATACATGCAGGAACTGGGTCCTCTTTTATTTATTATTTTTAATTTATTATTTTATGTCCCCTTTTGTCTTTTAGGTTTTACTCATCTGCTTCTCAGGTCCACTTATTTATGGTGCACCTCACTCTTCTCTTGTCGCTTTTGCGTCAGCACTTTTCCATTGGATCATGGAATACTATTAGGACGAGGTACAAATTCTTTTTTTTTTTTTGGTTTTCAATACGTGCAGATTCTCGCTTTCCCTTTTTTCTTCTTCTTTCCAATGTCGGTTTTACTTTCATGTACTTGCTCAAAAACGTCACCATAAATTATTCCCTTACATATATAATTCCTTTTTAAGGTTAATGACATTTTTTTTTGCTAAACGTAAGTCTAACATTAGTTATTATAAACGTAAGAGCGAAACTAATCTAACAAAAAATAAGGGTTCAACCACGTCCTCCTTGATAGCAGCTTTCAGATTTTCCGGTATGAACAATAACAACCTAATAAGCAAACTGTCAAACAACATCATACATATGTTGAGTTTTTTTCTAAAGTTTGACTGTTAGTTACGTGCCAATAAAACTCTTTGAACAGATGCAATAAATAAAATCCACATCAAAAGAAGGCTCTTCCTCTGAATCAAAGTAACACTCTACTACCAACTCAAAAGTTTTCAATAAGCATACCAATGTGTTGCCTTGAACATTTCGATACTAAATATATCCATTGACTACATCTCTACACAAATCAGGTTCATCAATAACAATAGGGTCTGTGAAGTCTTTGATAGTTATACTCACCATTTATGAATCCATTATAAGTCATGTTTATAGGAGTAAGTCTTTGGACGTGCTCCCATGGAACCAAGGTCGAAACGATTGAGGAAAAATCATTACTAATTGTTTTTCTACTCACAGTTTAAAATGAACCGTTTTGTAATCAATTGATTAATTTCTAGCAAATATCAGTTATATATTTAAATGGATCCTACTTTTTATTTATTTTTTACGATATTGTTGGATCTGTGTTCAATTTGAATCTCAATCTCATGTTGCAAATTAAAGAATATTAGATCCTAGTTGTTTATCTGTTCATATATACATAACTTCTTTTAGTAAAGTGAGATTCCTAAAGATTAAAGCATTTAAAACACAATTTACTGCATTTCATTTTTGTCGTTATATTGCACTCCATTTACATCAGAGAACCAAACATATTTAAAGTCACGTTTAACATATGAAGAATTTACGATCAACAAATTTGTTTGATTACGATGTTCTTTTTTTTGTTTGTGGGCAAAGATTACGATGTTCAAGATCGTAAATTCTATTGAAAATTTATGTATTTTAGAAGCAAATAGTCTAAACTGATATATGAGATATCCCAACATATTTGAGAAACTTGCATATTGTTAATCAGTTTATGGTGATCCAGTGATTAAAGTTTAGTTTTATGTATTTTTACTATGATTTAAGTGAAAAGAAAATTTGACTTTTCCATAGATTTTGGAGATTGTTTGGAATTCCGATAGTTAATGAAGAAAAAAAAAAAAGAATAAGAAAAAGCATATTGTTATCACGAATCTGAGAAGGGAACTCTTTTTAGTTTTTAAACATCTTCCTACTTAGGTGTATAAACCGGAGGAAAAAGTGAGCGGGACATTAAGTTGGCTTAAAAAAAACATAAAGAGAGGCTCACAGACCCAAAAAGCCCATAAAGAAATTGTGTGCCCGATTTAAAAAGACTTTTTGAGTTTTACAAATACAGAGCCCACGGATAAAGCCTATGACGTAACCTCTGAACCTGAAGCCCATATAACACATTCATAATGCATATGCTGCTCCCTTATATTTAGTGTTGCAAGTGAAATAAGAGGCTGCGTTCGAAACTTCGAATATGAGTCTGTAGATTGTTAAAAACGACTAATTTTGAAGGCGAAATTGATAATTTTATTCAAATTCACATCACAAAATTTCCCACAGCTCAATTTAGTACAGTTAATATACAGAAGAAGAAGAATAACATTTTGAATTCGTCGTCACTTCACTTGCTCATAACTTCGACGCCATTCTTCCCGGCGATAATCACCGACGTAGCCATTCCCAGAAACAGACCGTGCTCCACCACTCCCTGAAACTTCTCGATCTCCTTCGCCGCCGCGAAACCGTCTTTCAACGGCTGCTTGAAGTACAAATCCACAATGTAATTGCTGTTATCAGTCACGTAAGGCTTCCCATCTCCGTCGATTCTCAGCTTCGCTTGACAATCGAATTCCTTGAACAGATCCTGCAATCTAATTAGGTTAAACTCCCAGCAAAACTGAACCACCTCCACCGGCATCGCCAATCCACTCCCACCGAGTCCGTCGACGAGTTTCGTGTCGTCCGCCACCACTATGAATTTCTCCGCCACCGCCTCCACCATTTTCTCCCGGAGTAAAGCACCACCACGACCTTTGACCAGATCCAAATTCGGATCCACCTCGTCGGCTCCGTCGATCGCGAGATCTATCCGCGGATGCGTGTCGAGCGCCACGAGCGGGATCCCTAACGCTCGCGCCTGCTCCTCCGTACGCTTCGACGTTGGGATTCCGACGATATCGGAGAGTTCGCCGGAGGCGAGGAGTTTTCCGATTTGATCAACGGCGAAGGCGGCGGTCGATCCGGTTCCGAGCCCGAGAACCATCCCGGATTTGATTGACTCGACGGCCTTCTCCGCCGCTAGCTTCTTCAGGTCATCCTGAGAAAGGGCTACGGATTGGGCCTTTACGGAGAATGAGACGGAGGTTCGGGAGGAAGTGCGAAGCGTAAGAGAATGTGTACGCAGGGATAAGCGAGAGGAGGAGACGAAGGATAAGGAAGCCATTGGAGAAGCAGGAGGTAGAGAGAGTGTGGATGGAGGAGAACGCTGGTTTGGGTTGGTTTTGGATGGAAGAAAAATATAGGGGTACCTTTGGAATTTCGATATAGTTTTGGGGTCTATTTGGAAAGCAACTTTTAAGGTCGTCCTCGGTTGGTGGTTGGGTAACTGAGATTGTACAACTTCAATTTCCCAAAGTGATATTAAGCCCAGAGATTTGCTAAAAAAAAATTCTAGATACAATAATGTTCTAAGTCAAAAAACTGATTAAGCGTTACCAAACAAAAAAGTTGATTAAACTCGACAATAGAATTGTAGGATATTACAGAAACATATTCAGTAATAATCAGATGGCGCAAACAATAGTTTTGTAATCGTAGATGTTAATGGGCTTACCTCCAAAATTTTCATTTGTTATATGCCCTTGTTCAAAACTTATTTTTATAAATTTCTAAAGTCCATTTTTTCATCAATGTACAAATTTTAATTTTTTTCTATCAACTAAGTAAAGTTTGTCCGTGGGACACATCCCTCAAAGATACAAATAATGCTTCGGGGATAAACAATTTCAACGTGGTATATTATTGGGTCCACTGTATTATAGAAGCACATTAAATTGATTCGTAAGTTTCTCGTTTTTCGGTAGTTTTTCGTATGAACATTAATGGTGTGGTGAGTTTATTGGACACACAGGTCTCAACTACTACCAGCATTGATCCATATCCCCTTACATCAATGCAATTTCAACAAACTCTCACTAATTCCATTTCCATCTTTCACAAAACAAGACTTTTCTAAATATCATTTTCATTTCAAGTTCTTTATATATATATATGTGTTTCTGATTTCCTCATAGACACAAACACATATAGTACGCAGTTTCTTTCTCTCTATCTCTATATTAACTCTCTTTTCTCATAAATCATTTATAAAAAAACAAAAAGATGGGTATTGCCCGAGAGAACCGGGTCGAAGTCAAGTCGATGCTAACCGCGGTATCCAGCAAACCGTCTGGATCGGATCGGGTACACCCGTTTACCGCCTTGGACGATGTCTTGAGTCCACATACGGTCCACGTCATCTTCTACTACGCTCGTAGTCCGTTCGAGTCCTTTAACCTCGACTCGGTCCGTATCCCTTTATCGGAGCTCCTCTCCATGTACCCGCCCGTTATTGGTCGGGTCACCAAAAATCCAGACGGGATCTGGCAGGTCAAGTGTAACGACGCGGGACTTCGAGTCTTGAAAGCCAAAGTTTCTGTTGGCATTGATGAATGGCTGAGATCAGCCGATGGACTTGAAGAATATGATCTAACGGCTTGGCAAGACATGCCTGAAGAAGATCCGACTACTTGGTCGCCATTTCGTCTACAGGTAATATATATATCGTTTTAAAAAAAAAAATCCAGCATGATATATATATATATATATATTTTTTTTTTTTTTGTCAGAAAAAAATAACGTATGAATTTTCGTAACGGTATATATTTCTTTTTTTTTTTGTAACGAGCTGGGTAGATAAACGAATTTGAAGGTGGAGGAGTAGCGATAGGCCTGAGCTGCCCACACAGACAAGCAGACCCAACAACACTTACGATTCTGTTAAAGTCATGGACGGAAGCTCAACGCCGTCAGTGTATCGTTCATCCTCCATCCTTTACGCCTCTGCCCTCCAGTTTAACGGATACTGACGCCGTTAAATCGGACCGTGAGCCCTTCCCAAAGCCCATTACAGGGCCCGTTTCAACCAAAACTGCCACCGCCACGTTTAGGTTCTCTGAGTCCGCTTTCAAGACATGTCTCGACGAATATTCTATCGAGGGAGTATTCCCCAAAGCCTCGCCGTTCGATGTGTTTGCCGCTCTTTTCTGGACACGTGTCGCTCTGGTGAAGCGCATGTGCGATCGAGTCTGTATCTGTGTGGATTTCAGGAGGCTATTGCCTAACCCGCTTCCTTACGGTTTCTTCGGAAACGCTTTGAACTTTTCGTCTCTTGAGATGACTGGCGTGGTGGTTAGGGGGATTGGACACGTGGCACGTTCGATAAACGAACACGTGAAGAGTCTAGACGTGGAGAAAATCCGGTCCGATCTGAAACGGGCTGGGTCACAAGGCCAGATGTACGGCAGAGATCTGACGATCGTGAACATGGAACATATGATCGTGGAAGGAGAGCCGTTGATGTACGAGGCTGTGTTCGAGGACGGTGTTAAGCCTGTGCATGTGAGTTACCGGATCGGAAACCACGGCGGAGAAGGGATGATCACGGTGATGCCGTCGCCGGAGAAAGGGTTTGGGAGGACAGTCGCAGTGACTTTGCCGGAGGAGGAGATGTCGAAGTTACTTGCGGATCAAGAAATCCTCCGTTTGGAGCCTAAGATTATGTTTCGATCCAAGAATGTTTAATATGAGACATGAGAGTGATTATTAAGGGTTAAAAAACTTATTGTAATGGATTTGAAGATTTTTGTTAGTTTTCTTACGAGTTGTGAGAATGGATTTTTACCTTCTTTTTTTCCCCACGGATGAGATCTCGACAGTCAAACCAATCACAAGATAAATGACAAGTACTTGCCTATCACAAGTTATATATAAAAAAAAATGATGTAAATTTGTTTTTGCTTAATTTATATTTTCCAAAATTTTAATTGAGTCCCAAAAAATTATTGGTTGTAAGGTCGAGAGTGTATCCAAGTAAGTATGTTATAATTAAAAATTAATGAAAACTAATTATAAGATATAAAGTTTATTATTAAAAAAATATTAATTAAGGAAGGGGTTACGAAACACAAGCCCCCCATTTTGACTTGATAAAAACATTAATAATTTCAATAATATCCATAACAAACTCGGAAGGCAATCCCCTATTCCCTAGTTACCAGCTTGAACTTAGTACATACACAGTGTATGACTTTTTCCTTTCACTTCTTATCTGCAACAAATCTATAAACACCATCATCAACCCATCTTTCATTTCGTCTCAAACCAAAGAGAATAAAATGGACATCGAATCTTCTACATCATCCCTTTCACAATCTATTCATCAAGAATCGAGAAACCAAGCTCTTTTCAATAAGCAGAGAGGAGGATGGAGAGCTATCAAGTACATTATTGGTTCGTATGTACATTCTTAATATTTGTTGAGGGTTTAATCTAATCTTATACATGGAATATTGATTTATGTCAAAACTACATTGATTGGGTTGGTGAAGCAAACGAGTCCTTCGAGAAACTGGCGTCTATGAGCTTGATAGGGAATTTATCGGTGTATCTCACGACAAAATACAATCTTGGTGGTGTTTTCTTGGTGAACATCGTCAACATCTGGTTTGGCTCGTGCAACTTTCTTAGTATCCCGGGTGCTTTTGTCTCTGATGCTTACCTCGGAAGATTCTGGACTCTTCTCCTCGGTTCCATCTCTTCTTTCCTCGTAATTTTTCCTTCCTCTCTTCATTCCAACATCGTATAAACAGGACGACAATATTTAAGTACGTGCAAAGTGTGCTTTGGTACGGGACATGTGATAAACTAACAAAACAAGACTCATGTATTTAATGGTTCAAAGTATATTTTACTATTTCTCTAAACATATATTCCAAATATTGAATAGGACTCGGAATTTTTATGTTTTACTTGATGTAGGGAATGGGAATAATGGCTCTAACCGCAGCTATTCCACGTTTAAGACCCGAGGCATGCAAAGATCCATCAAATTGTTCAAATCCACCTGCGGATTGGCAGCTCGCGGTTCTCTTCGCTAGTCTAGGTTTATTAGCCATTGGAGCAGGAGGAATCAGACCATGCAACATCGCATTTGGAGCAGATCAATTCGATACAAACACGAAAAAGGGCAAAGCTCAGCTTGAAACATTCTTTAACTGGTGGTACTTCTCCTTCACTGTGGCTCTTCTCATTGCATTGACAGGTGTCGTCTATATACAGACTAACATCAGTTGGGTAATTGGTTTCGTGATCCCCACGGCTTGTCTTGCATTCTCTGTCACCACTTTCGTCATCGGTCAGCACACTTACATATGTGCAAAACCTAAGGGAAGTGTGTTCGCAGACATGGTTAAGGTTGTTGCCGCTGCTTGTAAGAAACGTAAGGTGAAATCTGGAGAAGGTGTAACATTTTACTTAGGCCCTTCTAATGATGGATCCTCCACCACTTTGGTCCAAAACAGACAAAGGTTTGTTGTTTTGTTACATTAAACTGTTTTTTTTATTTGTTGCGTTTACATGTTAAATAATTATGTTTACATTGTAAACAGTTTGTTATATTGTTTTTTTTTTTGTGTATTTAAAGGATAAGGTTTTTGGACAAAGCATCGGTGATAACTGATCCGAACGAGTTAAACGAAGAAGGTAAGGCTAAGAACAACTGGAGATTGTGCAGTGTGAATCAAGTGAAGAACCTCAAGTGCGTAACCGCGATTTTACCGGTTTGGGTCACGGGAATCGCGTGTTTCATGCTAACTGACCAACAAAACATTTATGGGATCCTTCAAGCGATTCAGATGGAGAAAACGTTTGGACATAACTTCCAAGTCCCAGCAGGATGGATGAATCTTGTCTCCATGATCACACTTGCCGTCTGGATCTCACTCTACGAATGCGTCATCTTACCAATAGCCAAACGAACCACAGGACGCAAACAACGGTTAACGACGAAACAGAGGATTCAGATAGGCATCGTGATGGGTATTGCTTGTATGGTTGTCGCTGGTGTCTTGGAGAAGGAGAGAAGATCTGCTGCTCTCAAGAACGGTTCGTTTGTGTCTCCTGTTTCGATTGTGATGCTGCTTCCTCAGTTCGTGCTTGCGGGTTTAACCGAAGCGTTTTCTGCGGTGGCTCTCATGGAGTTTTTGACGGTTAAGATGCCTGAGCACATGAGAGCCATCGCCGGAGCGATCTTCTTTTTGAGCTCGTCGATAGCGAGTTACATATGCACGCTTCTTATCAATGTGATCGATGCCGTGACACGCAAGGGAGGGCGTTCTTGGTTAGGAGATAAAGACTTGAACAAGAACAGGCTCGAGAACTATTTTTTCATTATAGGCGGCATTCAAGTCTTGAATCTGCTGTATTTTAGGTTCTTTGCTTCCAGGTTTGTCACTGAGAAAAATAAGGACAACAGAGATTTTTAGTTACGAAATTGATCACTTTTTTCTCCTTTTTTCACTAGTTAGAGGTTACGTTTCTTTTTTTCTTTAATCTGTTTTCAGTAGACATGTGGCTTATTTCCTTAAACATTTTTAAAAGGGTTATTGCCTTATTGGTGGTATTTTGAAAGAGTTTAATTATAGGTTCGATATTCTACTGTTAGTAGATTATGGGTTCCGTTGGTTTCATTTTTTTGGTGATTTCATTCAAAAATTACTACCCTCTGTATTCCGTTATTTAACTTCAAATTATATGTAAAATTCTATTTAAAATACATATATTTAAAGAATAAATGAGTAATGAGTAAGGAAAATAAAATTTAGTAAAAAAAAATTTTGGGGGTCTTAAAATATAACTATTATCATAACAAAAATTCGGTGGTCTGATAAACTGTATAAAAGTGGTGATCCTAAGTCATGTGGACCGGACCTGGCATTACTAATAGGTCATCGTTTCGTTACCAATTTTTTTTTTTTTTTGACATCGTTACTTAACATTCTAATTGTTTTACTATGCATGTTTTTCAATTGTGATTCGTGATTTAAGAGTTACACGCATGATAAAGGAGATGACGATATGTTGATTTTTGATTAAAGAAACGAGTATGTTTGTAACATACTCGTTTATACAAACAAAGAGAAAGCGCCATCGTTATAAGGAATATATAACTTCAAATAGTGTTTGTCCAGTTACGTGCATAGTGACGATTGACTCAACTTCAGTGTTTATACGTCAATGTCATAATGATATAGCCTTCAATATAATACTACTATATCTTATGGAATTTATCTACATTTATAAAGATAAGAGAGTGAAATTAGAGACTATAATCGAATTATGTATGATTCCTGAATAGGTCTAAAAGACTAGAACTAGGCATCTTCCAAAATCTGGGAAAAGGAGAGGTGGTGGTGGTGAGTGAGAGTACTGAGAGTAGTGGTGACAAAAAACCCAAAAGTAGAGCACAATTATTTTATCATTTTGTTTTCTTCGTAATCAAAATAAATAAATAAAATATTGAGGATATTAAACAAAAAAATAAAAGTGGGTCCACTCGATCTTATTTGTACATCCGTTCCGGACAGAATTTACTCGGTTCCACGTGCGATTGGCTTTCTAACCGGGACCACACTATTTGAGTAAAGCCATCGACACGTGGCAAGCATCGGGTACCCTTCTCCAATAGTTATTTTAATCTAAGCCGTTGGCTTTTGCGTAACATCGTACCAACCTGTCTGCTGTTTGGGAATTCCTATTTGTGTCTGTCAAAGAGGTTTTGATCTTCTCTCTATCTAATATGTAAATTCTACGAATAATTTATTAATCTTTTCCCGAACAACCACAAAAAAAATTGAGTCTTTTTATCATTAAAAATTATCTGTGTATTTTTATGGTAAAGTTTAAGGTGAAATTTCTTACTCTTTAAATATGTCACGTGAATAAAAATCCAATCCCAAAACTCCTTGCTGTGCCTGTTCATGTTTTCTTGTTTTGTTTTGTTTGTTTGTTTACTTTTGGATATAGACCTATTTTAGGTTTAAGTTGTTAATTTATTACTCTCATTCTCTAGACATATTTGACTATTACGGATTTGATTATTGGTTATATATATCTACATTTGGCAAACCTATTGAGCTTCTCAAATTGGAAGCCTCTAACTTATATTTACAAACTTTGGTTTGCTATGAACTTATATCTAAAAACTTTTTTTGATGATTTTATATCCTTCTAAATATACATATACTACAACTTAATATTTTATTTAATATGTTTAATCTGTAAACTATCATTTGGTAATGACTCATGACTATTGTGACAAGTGAGATGAAAAGAGAATCCATAACTTTTTCGTGTAGATTTGCATAGTCTGGACGAGACTCGTGGATCGTGATTCTCTGGGTTTACTTTCTGATGTTGAACTTATCTTAATAGTCAATTAGGCCAGCATTTTCTACACGCCTTTTTTTCCAATTAAATCATGGTTTTCTCCTTAGTCCTAATGTTCTACCTTTAGTCAAATCGTTGTAAGAAAGTTTTTATACATGAAAGAATAATCCATTGTGGAAAAAGTAGAATCAATAATTTATAAGGTGGCTCTATGCTAAGCAACCTCCAAAGTCAAAATAGTGAATTCATATTCATGACAAGGAAAACAATAGTAAGCATTTAATGAACGTATGTCGGAGGGCTTTCGTCATCATATTTTGGGACTAGAAGAGCGATCAAAGACCAATTTACTATTCTCAATTAAGATTATTTCGAATTGATTAAGAAGCATATACACATGTACAGAGTCGTTTCATTCACAATTTTGATTGTCAACATATCAAGGTTGTGTTTTTATGTTGTTTTCCTTGTAACAATGAGATGCGAACTTATAAGTACATATCAAAATGACTAACCATAGAGTAATCATATAAATACACATTCATATACATATATTGCATCTTTATCTATAAGTTCCTTCATATCTAAATCATTAAAATGATACAAATGTTTCCTAAAACATCAACCATCATCGCATGGAAAAAATGATTAACATATCATCAATTCACAACTGATCATAATAAATCATACGAACATACTGCACACGAACCCTAACTGTACCAGGAATCAACATCCATTAATTTTCAAGCTGGTGACTATAGAGGATTAAACACTTAAGCGTGAATGACCATTATTTATCTTATAATAATCATATAAGATAAAGGTTCAAAAAAAATCCATAAAGATTCTTATTCATAAAAAACTACAAAATTAACAACAGCATCAGTGGATAATGCAAAGAAGTCATTACATTAAACACATAGAGAAGCAAATACGAGACAATACATAAAAAGGGGGGAAATTATACATATATATGATCAAACAGTTGCACCCGAGTAGTTAGCCATCAGAGACTGACCTTGTTGTTGCTGTTGCTGCAGCGGTACAGGCGGCTGCGTTTGCGTTTTCTGCCTGTTGACTCTCTTCCTCTTCTTCTCGTAGCTAACACCACGAGCTTTGGCCTGGAAGTCTCTGACCTCACGGAGGTATAACCTGACGGCGCGTGAGCCAAATGGGTTAGCCTCTGGAGGGCCACCGTTCTCCTCGTAGGCGGCACGGAGGCGGCCTATGAGGGCGTCGAGTGAGCCCCAGGCTTGTCGGAGAGGGCAAGGGCAAGGCGCAGGAGGATTAGGGTGGCCAAAGAAGGCGCAGTTTTGGTGGTGAACCTTTGTTTTCCCGAACTGGTCGAGGTAGCGGAGGAACTCGAGCACGTGCGCGCCGCTGCACGACGGGAGAGAGAGCGGAGGACGGTGGTTCCGGAGGTATTGGCAGAAGGTGTTCCAGTCACGGCGTTTCTGGTTCTCGTACCGGCTTGAGGAAGGAGGTGTTAATTGTGTGGAGGTATTAGGGTTCTTGTTTGCTTGGTGAGAGACTAATTCCATAGCTTCTCTTTATTTTGAGTTTGGAAAGTAGAAGAAGAAGAAGATGGAATCTGATCTAGGGTTTTTGCTTTTACACGGATCAAAGAGATTAGGGTTCTTCAGATCATTAATTAAACCAAACAGAGAGAAAAGGGTATAGAGAGGGACTTAGCTGCTTGTCATGGTGAGATTGATACTATAAAAGGGATTGATTCAACTTTTGCAGATCAAATATGAACAGAAATGGTGAGGCAAATAGAGAATAAACTGAAAAAAGGAGAGAGAGAAGTGAAGTTTGTTGCTGCTTATAGAAGACGAGAGAAGGGGATATATAATTGGAAGAGATCAAAAGTGGGATTTTCTTTTTTATTCCATTTTATTATTTTCTAGCTTTTCTACTTTGGGAGATGATGGAGAGACAATACACAAGATTGTGTAAGTAGTTTCAAGACTCAAGGAGCATTAGGATGTCATTTAAAGAGAGATAGAGAGAGAGAAAGAAGAAAGGGGACTGAGTGTTACACAGCGTAGAAAAGGGTAACTTCATAGCTGAGGAGAGAGAAAGAGAGAGTGACCAATGGGTCAAGTGGGGAACTTGAAGTTGAACATTGACATGACATGAGGAGGAAGAGTCTATGTTCTCTGCCTGCAATTTCCAGCGACATTTTTATTATTTTTATTATTTTTTCATTACTTTATGCGTTTTATTTACTTTGTTTTCGCATTATACTTTGTTTTCGCATTATTCTTGTTTCCTCCCTCCACTTTAATCTTGTTTTACTTTGAAAACGACCTCATTAACATATACTCTGTCTTTTTCTTTCCGGAAATCATGGGTTTTATACAAACTCAGAATATAACACCTTTTAAAAAAAAAAATCCAGTCGTTTCTAAAATTAATTTTCCTGAGAGGTGAAAACAAACAACACCTCCTTGTTGACAATACAAGATGCGTTGGTGTCCATGCGCTAGTTAATTGAATCCGTATTCTTTTGTTTGCTACAAGTAGAGTAAAGTTTTTATGTGTACAGCTTCATCTCAATGGTAAAAGCTGCCACTTGAGCAGCAGTAGTACTAATCGCTGTTAACTTTGGCAATAACTCCGATAGTAATTTTAGTACCAAACTATTTGGACCAAATTTAACTAGTTTTTATCTATTAATTTTTAGTATATAATATTTATATACTTCATAGAGTAATATTTATATACTTCATAGAGTATAAATGTTAAAGAACATTGTTCGAACAACATTAAACTGAATAAAACGGTCGCAACTCGAAGGTTTTTTAAACACTTTGGTCTCGCTTTAAAAATCTTACATCTGAGAAAACTTAGCTGTTAGAAAATCATTGCCGGGATCTTCAGTTATTGATTTTTGGTAGCGACAAATCAATAATCTAGATTCTTGTTTGATCGCAGCGTTTGTCTCTTCTACACTACCTTATCTTGTGTATATGTTTGTTGAACCTTCGTTTTCTTCATACTTTTTTCTTGTCGTCCCTTCGTTTTCTTCACACTACGATTGACATATTAATGTCTAAATCCAATCCAGCCTACTAATTATATCAAAAAAGTGTATTATATCTACAAAAGGGATTGTAAACAATTTATCTCAAACGACTTCATTTAGGTTTGGCACTTCCAAAGTTTAATAAGGGTCGCGAATTTTCGAAATTCATATTCCTTTGTATATGGTTTATATGCTGGACAACTTTTAAAGTAAATGTTTAGTGTGAAATTACTAGATACAATACATATAACATATTGAATACCGATTGATCTTGCTTTTGAATTTTGCCTATATAGTACTTAACGATTTCAAGCCTATTTACAAAATTGGATGAAATGAAAGCCTAACTCGACAGGTTACGCGGCGAAAGTTAAACGACCAGCTTTCTATCAAAATTGATGACAGGATTACTTAGATTTCAATAATATTTATTATATGCCACATTAATAGAAGATTTAATATTGATTTTTATCCGTTGATATAATTGCAAAATAAAGAGAACGCACCGCAAATTCAGAATCATACTTAATTACTTATGTACGGATGAAATGAATGCATTAGTGGTTAACAAGAAAAAAAATGTATGCATATTAGTGACACAAAATGATAAATATAACGTTTGCAGATCAAAAAGGTTGTTAGTTCAACTAGAAAAATACAAAAAAGGAAATTCAAAATTCTCATGATTGTATATCATTTTAAATAAACTGTATTATATATAGATATATTGATTTCCGATTTGGTGGGATGTAAGGAGTTGATTTTGAATTAGAACATTACAAAAGTTAAACAAATTTGAATATGAAATCGATAACTCTAATTCTTGTTCAAAAAAATCGAATCCATCCGAAAAGGAGTTCGACATTATTAAACTGGAGCTATATTATTTTGGTCGGGTTATTTTAGAAGCTTGACTCTCGATTAATCATCCGTCTAGACTGATGTAAAGTTTATAACAAATTTTTTTCCAAAGATTTCAAAAACCTTTTTCATTGAAAAAATGATAGATGAATCTACATGATTTACAACGATATCATCATCCTAGACAAGTTTCAAGATTAGAGAAAAAAAGAGTTCAAAGACGTCGAATTGTAAATAGAGAGAGATAAGTGCCTAATAATATCATAATAATAGCATTAAAGTGAAAAATGAAACACACAGGGGCGCCTTTTAAATGAGAGGTAGAGCCACGGAATGACGCGTGAGAAACCACGCGTTTGGGATCCATCTCTGTCAGTGAAAAGCAAAGAAGAAACAGTGGTTTGATTTGACACCAACCAACGTCACATTTATTGATTTTTATACAAACTCTCTTAAATAATCTCGATTCATATTTGTGATTTTTGGCTTAAAGAGATATTTCCAGCTCTATGCTCCTCGAAACCACGTGTGTTCTACAATTTTTTTCCAGTTTAGGTTTGTTTTTGAGAAAGAACAAGTACTTAAAATGTAAATATACGATGACTGAATTCCTAGATCCGAGTCCTTTACGAAATCATACATTCGCTAGTCGCTAGGAGCTATTATACACAAACAAATTTTTGTATTTTTGACGCTCTAGAAACTTGAAGTATGTCTTGACTTTTTGGTTTGTCCGAATAAAAAACCACAAACAAATTCGTTTTTGTCCATAAGCTATAAAGAATTTAGTAAAATGTTATAAATACGAAATGCTAAGTGAAGAAATACAAATCAATATGGTGAATTCTATTAGATATGTGGTTGACAAAAGATTTTAGTGTTTCTATATTGTGTTTGAAACTCGGTTTCTAGAAAATTAATTATTGCATTTGCATACATAGTGTAAACCCACTAAACCACATTTTGAGATCCACATTTTTAATTACTTTATAAGCATCTAAACTTCACCAATTAAAGTTATAATTGGATCGTCGTATCTTATTGTACTACTGTTTTTTTCCACTATATACCACTTATTTTTTACCTTTAATTGGATAGATTTTAACTCTTTTCTATCACCAATCTTCCCCTGAATCAAGAGGCACACATGTTGTATACATTTTGAGATCTCCATAGGATACATATGATAATAGAGAGAGAACATCGTACGGGGAACAGAGTTCCTGCATTTGGAAACTAAAGCCCTATTAATATCATACTACCATGAATCTATATAGGGTTAAGCTTTTAAGACCTTTATTTTTGGTTAAACCAAGACTATTTATTCTTTAATATTCATCTAAAAGTTTCAAAATTGTCGTTCCCTTTTGTAGCAAAATACCATCGTTCCATATTTGGCAAAAGAGTATAGACTTTTCACATGTCCTTATGATTCCTTTCCTCCCTTCTTGTGTCTCTCTCAGGGTGCATTAGTCACTTGATTATTTGTTTTTTATTAATTTATTAGCGTACATCTTTTATATATATATATATATATATGCTAAAGAATTACCGACATTTTCCCAGCAAAGACAAGAGTATTGGTACACATCCCATATTCTATACATTCTACTTGATACTTACGTACCTATGTATGCGTACCTTCATTAAATGAGAATTATGTAGAAATATATTTACCCGTCGTCTCAAATTAAGGAATTTTCGAAACTATATAGATGCACATGTAAGCATAAAGCATATCTATTGTTTTTACAATGAACGAAGCAACAAACAACGTATGACAGATACGCGAGAATAGATGTTACAACTTACACGCAGGCGTAACAAACGCGACCTAAGCGGACGACAAATATATGTTCAAGGTAGTAGCACAATATTGTTGACAAAACAATAAAGGTAGCGAAATATCATGAGAACCTTTTGATCAATCTATCATTTTTCAAGGTTTTTTTATCTACTATTTTCACCAAGGGGTACTAGAAATTGCCACTTTTCGTATTTGTTTATCAAATCTGCTCCTTAAATTATTTTTCCTGTCTATCAAATTGTCAATTAAATCAAGTGGATGGTGGTCTGAGTGGTTTTAAGAGTAAGTACTCAATGACACTAGTTCAATTTTATTTGGGAAGAGTGATTTACGTTTTACAGTAAATGTTATAAACATTTAGCCCCAGACACCGGAAAAATTATGGTCTAAAGGCCAACTTCCACCATTTGTAAAGACCAAAAAGTTTTTCAATTAAAATTTGTCCATCAAAACCAAACACCTAAGACTTTTCACAAATGATTTGTTTGTATATCACACATTTGTACTAGATAACGCTTGTAGCACCCAAAAAATAAACGTTAAGATAGATCATGTGGTAAAACCCTTTTTTTGCAATAAACAATTTTAGGTGTTAGGTTTTAAAGGACAAGTTTTGATAGATCACAGCATGGACAAGCTTTGATAGTCAAATAAGAAAAAGTGGTAATTTATAGTATTAGTTTATTTTCGTCGACTGAATATAAGCGATCGAGTGCTTGTGACATATGAAGAGGGTGGAAACAAAATGAGTATTTCCAAAGCACCCTTGATCTGATAGCGAATAGAAATTATCTAGATCCCAGAAGTTCATTGATTTTACATAACATTAACGTTCAGAGATTGATCAGAGAGTATACACATCAGATCTCAGAATGATATATGAGTATTGGCAAAAAGGTCACAGAGTCACAGACATATAATTGAGCATAAGAATGTCGCTACAAGAAAGTCAAATTTTCAGTCGAGCTCGCTGCTTCGCTACTTCGATAGTAAGAAGTAAAACGAACAAACTAAATGCCATCAAAAATCGCTAGCTTCTTCTCGAGGCAACGAGTAGATGGATGTTTTGCAATTGCAAGAAAACTTGCTCATAAAACGTTCACATTAATTAAACATCAACAGAGGATTATTCAATAAATAAGATGCCAAAAATGATGGCAACTAAACTCTGATTCCAGCTTGTTCGGATAAAACCTCAAATAAAACTCACTTCTTTATATTGTGAAAATGATGAGAAAACGAAAAAGTATGAATTCAATGATTATCTCCTTGTTTAAATCATACAAGTGAAAAGACAGTAAACATTCTTGTAATTCTTCTGTGTTGATTAAATTTGAAATTTCAGCAACGAAAAAAAAAGATCTTAAACACTCTAAAAAATACATCATTTAGGAGTTAGGTAAGGAGTAAATGTTGGCGGGAAAATAATAACGCGAAAAGAATATGCGATAACCAATCCGGATTAGCTCCGGTTCAAAATCTTATTAATTTTCGGGTCTTATCTCATTTTGGACGAAGTTGATGATAAGGCAAATTTATTAAACATCATCGTCTTCCTCTCTATCACTCTCTCTCTCACCACTCACAACCAACCACCATGATCTCTCTCATTGCAACAACTCTCAAACCCTCAATCTTCTCCTCCTTCACACAATCCAAAACCAATGGATTATCTTCTCACCCGAAAACCCGACCCGTTAACCCGAAACCGTTCACCATCAACGCCGCCTTGATACCCGCTTCAAACCGGCAAGCCCCGGCCAAGCAACAGCTCTATCAACCATTCCGTCCTCCTCCGTCTCCGATTCCTCCAAAATTCCGATCACTCGACGCCGCCGGCAAAATCGAAGTCCTCGCCGATCGTCTTGGTCTCTGGTTCGAATACGCTCCACTCATTTCCTCACTCTACACCGAAGGATTCACTCCTCCCACCATCGAGGAACTCACCGGAATCTCCGGCGTCGAACAGAACTGTCTCATCGTCGGGTCACAAGTCCGAGACTCTTTAGTCCAATCCGGCGCCAAATCGGAGCTCATCGCAGCTTTCGACACCGGAGGCGCAGAGCTTCTCTACGAGATCCGTCTTCTAAGCAATTTCCAGCGAGTTGCCGCTGCTGAGTACATCGTCGATCACGAGTTCGACAGGAAAGGAGCTCAAGATCTTGCGCGGGCCATTAAAGATTATCCTCACCGGCGTGGAGACGTAGGGTGGAGAGATTTCGATTATAATTTACCAGGAGATTGTCTCTCGTTCATGCTCTATAGGAAAAGCAGAGAGCACAAGAGCCCATCGGAGCTTCGAACCACATTGCTTGAACAAGCCCTTGAAGTGGCTGTAACAGAGAAAGCCAAGAAAGCTGTGGCTCGTGAGCTACATGGAGAGAGCAATGAGGAGAGAGCAAAAGAAGAGGAGATGAAAATCATTCGTGTTCCTGTTGTGAGGTTGAGGTTTGGAGAAGTAGCAGGAGCGAGCTCCGTTGTTGTTCTGCCGGTCTGCAAAGCAGAGGAAGGAGAGGAGAAGCTTAATGAAGCTCCAATGGAGTTTGAAGGAGGAGGAGAGTTTGGTGTTGTGGAAGCTGAGAAAGAATGGAGCCGATGGGTGGTTTTACCTGGTTGGGATCCGGTGGTAGCGGTTAGGAAAGGAGGAGTGGCTGTTTCGTTTAGAGATGATCGGAAAGTGTTGCCTTGGAACGGGAAAGAAGAATCGATAATGGTTGTGACCGATAGGGAGAAGAAGACTGTGGAAGCTGAAGATGGATACTATCTGATTGTGACTGAAAATGGAATGAAGGTGGAGAGAGGATCGGTGTTGAAGGAGAGAGGAGTGGAAGAGAGTTTAGGGATGGTTGTTTTGGTTGTGAGGCCACCAAGAGATGATGATGATGAATGGCAGATAAATGATGATGAATGGGATTAGAAGAATACGTTAGAAGAATATTAGTTACTTCAGTATAACAATACTTGTGTTTTACGGCAAATATGTAATTTTTTGTTTGATCAATTACCTCACTTTTCTTTTCAAATATGAATCTGCATTAAGATTCTCCAACCACTGTTTTGACTTCATCTACATTTTGTGCATAGCCTGTCAACAGAAGGTGGAGAGACAAGGTTTTTCAGACATGTCTTATTGATAGTTCTGAACAAACTTTTGTAATAAGGATGTATCTCACGGAAACTAAAAAAAAACCTAAAAAAAAATGGGAAAAACATATCTGCCCTCCTCCAAACACTTCACTTGATGGATTAGCAGTCATGGCTGATACAAGTATTAGCTGGTGCAATATTTCTTACACGATCGATAAGCGCAGAAAGTTCTTGGTTAGTGTAATCAAGCCGATCCTTTGTGATCATAGACTCTGCTAGGAGAGTTTCTGTGAGCGAATGAAACGTTTGAGCACAGTCATCGCCAATGCCTAGTCCATCTTGATTCTCTTCAGTGACAAGGGGATTCTCCTGTCTCCATCGAACCAGAAAGTACTGTTCCGGTATATGGAAGCAGTTCTTCACGGCCAGCACTCGAAGAGAGTGCCTGCACAAGATTCCCGAATGCTCAAATTCCTTGCATGAGCAATGGATCTCCTCATTTTCTGGATTCCAGAACACACAACATTCTCCTTCCATTTTCTTAAAGTGATGTACGATGTATGGACCATTGGCCATCTCAGAGACCGCATACTGAACAGACAAAACCATTTCGTTTTGTAATACGCTAAAGGCATACGGCGTCAGAACCCCCCTTGCATGATCTTCCATTGGCATACTTGTTTTCATGCTCGGATAAGGAACTCGCGGCGGGATTTGCTTGGCTAGACTTGCAGCAGCACTGACCTGCATGCTCTCTAGAATAATGAACTCAATGCACTAATGAAATGATATTGACATTAACTAAAACTGTAAGTTCCATAAAATTCACAAACCTCTTCAAGTAATACTTGAATGCAAGTCGGTCCAGAGACAATTCTTTTCAAGAAAGAATCTACAGACAGATTAAACTCAGCGGTCATAGTGTGAGCTAAAAAATGTTCTCTGATGTAACAAGGTGACCAGGTTGCTCGGCACGAATAAAGCAAAGCCGCATGCCTATCTGGAACAAGACCAAACCGAGTGACAAGGAGATCCCACTGCTGTTCAAATTCATCTACGTTCCCTGCTCGGCACAACATCTCAAACCCAGCTCTAAATTCATCATAGTGAGACCCAAGAGACTGAGAAAACCAGCTTGCTAGTTTGGAGACAACGTGCCACATAAATACAACATGGTTGGTGTTTGGCAGTTCCCTCGCAATAGCATCCTTAAGCCCTGTATCTATATCCGTCAAAATTGTCTGAGGATGTCGTCCCCTCATGAAACGAACAAAAGTCTGTCCAAAATAAGAAGAAAAAAAAAAAAAAAAGGGAGAGCATGATCACACAGCATAAATACATAGATGTACTCCCATCTTGACAAATACAGAACAAAAAATGGATGCACAAACCTGTAAAGCCCATGTAAAAGCACGGCAGCTCTCATCTTGCAGCAAAACACATCCCAAAAGAACTGCTTTACCATTATTGTCAATGCCAAAAAATACCCCAAGGAGCAAGCCATAAGTGATGGACCGATATGTGGTGTCGAAAACAACCACATCGCCAAATAAAGAGTAGGCCTGAACAGAATCTCCGTAAGCCCACGCAAGGTTTTCAACTTTCTGGTTCTCATCAGAGGTACAGTCATAAGCAAAACCCATGTCTCTCTCAGCCAACGCTTTGCAAGACTCCAGAAGCTCAAGCAGGTCAGTCTCTCGTTTCTCAGTAAGGAAAGCATCATTCTCTTGAACAGTCTTCTTACACGCCCTAACAAAGTTCCTAACATCTTTCTCTATAAATGGCAACTGCCCAGCCTGAACACCTTTCTCTAGCTCCAGCAACTTCACAATCCGATTCACGGGGAATCCAGCTTTAGAAAGCAAAAGAATCCTCTCCTGATCAGCTTGCTGGATCTTCCGATATGCAGGGAGAAGCCTAACTTGGTCATCTTCAAGAAGCTCATGGTTATGAACATTGCTGAACTGTGAAACATACCACTGAGTCACTCCTTCAACGATTTCCTTAGTCAGATACAGCTTGGCGTCGCATCCGCATCGCACGGACTTGCGCTCGCGAGGGTGCTCGACATTGGCTTTCTTTCTAGGCTGATTGAAACCGGAACGGTAACAAACGAAATCTCGCCTGTATACTCCTAGATTCTGGCTCTCCGTGGAGCGTGCTTTCCGAATTGAGAAACCAATCTTCCTAGCGAATGCACTGTAATACTCAAATGCCTCGTCGTCGGTTCTGAAAATTTGACCAACGTAAGGCATGAACACAGTATCATACGGTGACGATGATGATGATGTTGTTGTTTCGATCTCGTTCTTAGTTACCTGGAAGCTTGATTCATCTCCTTCGACTCTAATATAGCACTTCCAATCACCACAAGGACACTGCTGACGCCGAATCCAGATGTTATTCAACGGCTTCAACGCCATATCAAAGCCTTCACAAGGTTATGGATTAGAAGAAGGTTCTCGACATCTCTGCTTGCTTCTCAGATTACTCTACCAAACGACGATCTACCACTTGTGGCACGAGAGGAACAATCGGGAAAGCTTACGGAGAATCGAAAAATCGCCAAGGAATCGGATCTCTTCAATTAGGCTTCTTCTGAGTGATACAAGACTCTCTGCGTCTGCTTTCGAACTCTCGACATTGCTCTCTCTGGGTTTTTTGGGCTCTTACAATTTGGGGATTTCCTTTTCTTCCTTTATCTGACTTATTTTCTTTATTTTCAATCAATTTTCTCACTAAAAAATGACAATTGAACTATTATTATAAACAATTGATAAACTATTATAAGTTTACATTCACAATTTTGCTTAACATCATATACACATACAAATTATGGGCGAATAACACCTAGACGACATTCTATAGTGCTTTTTTCATCAGCCTATAGTGCTTTTCATGACAGTGAAAACATACATATACCCCTCCCCTAATTAACTTATCAAATTCGAATTTCATATAATTTCTCACAAGAGAAAGGCAAAAACATTCCTAAAAGTATATTTTGGGTAAAGAATATATAATATTTCTTACAATATAATTTATTACTTCTTCCGTTTCGTAATAAATATCGTTTTAGATTTCATTTTTTTTTTTAAAATGAGTGTCATTCTGCATTTTCAATGTAACTTTTTACTTTTATTTCTTGTTTTATCCCTCATTTAAAGATAATAGTTTTTGTAATTAAATGTTATAAAAATATATTAATTAGGGGTATATTTATATATTTTATTAATTTCTTAATATGTGTAAAATGTGTAGAATAACATTTATTATGAAATGGATATGACTAAGCGGAACTATATAGTTTGAGAAATGTGAGTCAATGATTGTGACTTATATAATCTTGTTATCAATAATCTGATATTTGATCTTTCAATTATTTATGTAAAAAATGTTTATTAAAAAAAAGTGTCAAAAATACAAAACGAAACTTCAAAGGCTCTCAAAAAAAAAAAAATAGAGAAAATGTGTCGTAAATAAAAAGAAAAAACAGAAACTGAACTTTTGATCCATTCAAGGAATCTCCACAACCTAAACCATCTGTAATAACACATCTTTTCACAAATTGGCCCCTAACAACTTTTTAAATTTGCCTCATGGGCTTCTACCCAAACCTGGCTCTGCATTTACTCGTAATCTCCATTTTCTGATGACCCATTTCCTCTCAGTCCTGCACACCATAACATCCATAAGGCCACCATATTAGTCCAAACCAGAAACAAAAATGACAGTCTTAGCAAGCCATGTATTGACATAAAACCAAACATACAAAATGAAAAGAAAGAATTGGTTTAGGTTTGTTTTTACCTGAAAAATCATAACCAGCACCGCCCCATTCAGAAGGCCGGGCATGTGTCATGTGCATACCCTGAGGTGGTTGCATCATGAAATGAGCTCCACCACCCAATGCACTACTAGTCAGAGTATGATGATGCTCATCGTTTGGATTTCTTCCCGAAGATTCCATACCAGAATGGAAGCCATGCAAAGATTCTGTGCCAGAAGGAGAAGGCAACAAGTTTCCACTTCCTGAAGCATCATCTCCTTTCACACCATTTCTTCCATCCTTCTTTTTCTCTAGCTGAAATGTACCCAGAATCACCTGTAGGGGAAAACCAAAGCCAAAACCAGACACTATCTTATCAACCTTAGCAAATTTTTAAAGAATCCTTATTTCTACATTCAAGACAAGTTTGTGGTGTTAGTTTAGGAGAAAGCGACGGGACAAACTTTTCTATTCACAGGCGAATGTTTTGAACCTGAATGATACTGTAAGGCATGAGGAAAGGTACCTGAACAGGACCAGCAGCCTTTAGGAGTCCGCCAACTCCTCCACCGAAGATCTGACCATTTGCACTAGATAAACAAACGCTAAGGCCACCAGTTTTACCACCATGCTCTCCCCGAATATAAGATCCACTGAGTGAGAGGATTTCGTACTGACCCTGAATAAAAAGTTTATAATTCAGAAGCAAGTTGATGATCATATGCAACTCTCATGCATGTATGTCAGAAGTACATAAAATTCTTTTAATGGAAGTTTGATTGTAACAGAACAGATATTTATTGCTCAAACGCATATTGTACTTGACACAAGGGTCATCAAATTAAAACAGTTCCCAAAAGAAACCAATTTCATAGGCTCTAAGAATACACTGAACAGATAATTAATTCATCATCAGCTCACAGAATAAGATAAGAAGAAATGTTGGCGTAATTTCTTTCAGAGTATACCATATAACCCTTTTCCAAAGTCTTTTTTACGAAGCCAGTTCAAGAATTAGTTTAGGGGAAATATATAGCAAAAAAGAATCACCTCATAAGATACACTGGTTCCTGATGCGAGGTGAGACAAGGATGCGTTAGAGATGGCGCCAGATGCAGAGAGAATGCATAACTCATGCTTGCTTTGCTCAGCGAATAGGATAATTTTCTGGGCCACATCCTATCAAATCAATCCACAAAGCACATGAAAAGAGAGCTAAATCAACCCAATTGGTATTAGCATCAGCGAAAGAGCACAACACTTAATGAACGAGCTCTATAGCAAACCAGATTTCAACTGATGCTAGATTGCGTTTAAACCAATAGATTTTGCAGTTTTAACCAAATCATAGTCTCTCAAAAGAAAGGCCTTTAAAGTAGTTCACAGAAAAAGTCTCACCTCACCAGGAGTTATATTAACAATGTGTGGAGTAAAACTTTGCCCCGTTTTTCCTGCAACAAGAAAAAAACTTATGTGAAGCTCAAAAAATGACAACGGCAAGAGCAGTACCATACACACTAGAAGGTAAATTGGTAATCAAGTGATCTTAGAAACTGATTTGAATTTTTAACATGGACGCAGCAGCCATGTTAAAACAAATAATTCAACAAAGAGCAGATCATTGAAATCGCAAGATTTAGATGAATGGTACTGCTCCCAAGTTTCAATGCAAACAAATCAGAGAGACAATTTCAAGCAAAATGATGCAGCTGAGAAACAAGAATCTAGCCATTCTTCAATGCGTCTTCAAAACAAGGATTTTGCTCCAAGATATAACAGATTTGGAAGCACAGAGAGTGTCTATGAAAACTCAGGGTATGAGAGCTACATATACAAAGACGAAGAGTTGCATACCAAAGCTGGAAATATTTACTTTGCAGATCATCCCTAGAAAGGAAGTTAGGAGCTAAAAGAACTGTAATCGAAACTAGAAATCAATGACTAAAAAGGATTTCGATAAACTAGCAGCAATACCGGCATAAGTCACATAGAAGTCGAAGAATTTACGATTCTAGATCATACTTTCACAAGAAAAATCAAAACTTTGCATCAAAATTTCTAACAATTCGATGATAAAGCAAAAAGGGTTTTTGTATTACGCACCGAAAGAGCCCAAGAGGGATTTTCTGGACCCGGATTTAGGCAAAGGCGAAACGCCGGCGGCAGCAGCGGCGGCGGCTTGCTCTCTCCTTTCTCTGGCGGAGGAATTGCTAGCAGAAGAAGCCAATTTCTTAGCAGCTAAAGCTTGCGCAGGCGTCTCGTACTTCCTGGGACGACCTCTCTTTCTCTTGACTGGATCAATCGGAACCGTGACAGCCGAAGACGGCACGGAGTGAGGGTAAACCGCGAGAGAGGAAGACCCATCGTTTGGCAAATTACCATTGTTGGAGGATGGAATCGAGTTTCCGGCGGAGGTGGTTGAAGGTGCGGCGGAGACGGTGGTGGGATTGTGGTGGTGGTGGTGATGGAAAGGATGGTAGTAAGGAGAAGTGAGATGCTGCTGCTCTTGGTGGTGGTGCCTTTCGTTGGGTTCCATTCCTTTTTAGATGATAGAGAGAAAATAAAATTGTTTTTTTTTTTCCTTCCTTAATTTTTCTTTTTCTTTTCTTTTAGGGTTTTTATGCTTTACCGATTTCTTTTTTCTTTTCTATAAAAGAAAAGGATGATCGTGTTGTCGTCGTCTGGGATTTTGATCTGTTCTCAGCCGTTGGATCAATCTTTTTGACTTCACTATCTTGACTTCTGCCTCTGAGTGTGATTTCTTTTGTTTTCGGGTTAATTTTTTTTATTAACCGGATATATGATATATATTAAGCGGATATATGATATATTATCATATCCTTCTTCTTTTTATTTTTCTTGTTCATTCTCATTTAATTATGTTTTGCAATTTCGAGTAGACCGCCTACGGATAGGATGGATGGACATCATTGGTTTTTCTGATAGGTTTGGTTCGCTTCACTTCGGTTTAGATTTGGATTGAGTTTCATGTTTCGGTCACAATAAACAATGATTATGCGGAGGTCACGTTTGTGTTTAGGTGGTGATAAGTAACCAGTCCTCTGTTGACAAAAAAAAAAAAAAAAAAGTAACCAGTCCTCTGATGGTTAATGTGTACCACCTATATACGGTTTTTTGGACGTTTAGATTGGATTCTAATCTTAAAGAATCTTGTTGGTTTCACCAAATATGGTTTATAATGTATTTGCAAAAGCATGTAAACAAAGATGTAAATCATATTTAGTATAAAATGTAAACGATTTAATATATCAATTATATTTACCATATAACATAATCTACTTAAAGCAAAAAAATGTTATACATGGTTTGAATTTTCAGAAGATTATAACGGATATAGTCATTATTCAATTCTCTTGTTAATGTCTTAACCAAGACAATATGAACAACTAAGGCATATGTAACTCTTACTGGTCTTTAGAACTTCTTACTAAAGCTGTTCGTTGCTAATGCATATAGTATGCGATGGAAGGTGAAGAGCAATGCTGTGATTACGACATAATCTTGTGAGTTATATATGAGCGCGCAATCCAGTAAACGACCAGTCATTTACTATCACTGTTGTTCAACAAAATAAAAAGTCATTTACTATCAATCACTCACCAACAAGTATTAATTATCACTACCAAACATATATATCCAAGTCCTAGTGGATGAAGGTCATCATTATTATATTTAATGTTAATTCAATAATTATGTTTGCTTGACCAAGTCTCATTTTTCATTTTAATCTGGGTCTTTGGATGGGGAGCAATGTCAAAGGCAGAGATGGAGACATGGAGTCCAAACAAGAAGAGTTTCACATGCGGTAAACATTTTTGGGGCCACTTCTTGTAAGAAAATATCGTTAACTTGGGTCGAATTAAGTCAATATTCTAGCACTAGCTAGAGGTGGCAGATTTGACTCTTTTTTGGAAACTTTAAAATTCGTTTTTTTTTTTTAACTAAACATTTCAGATATAAGGTTTATAGTTTATTTGGATTCTAAACCAAACGTAGATAATATATTGGTAAAACGAACACTATCTCTCCCAAAAATTCTCGAACTAAAAAAAAAAGGAACCAAGCCATTTTGGTAACTTTTTTTTTATTTGTGCTATGAGCCTTTCAATTTTCGCTGCCGCCCATTGAGTTGAAGAGTGGTCGCAAAATGAAAAACTAAAACACCATCTGTACTAAAGACTAACTCAATTCATGTTTAAACCAACAAGCACTAATTAATGTTTTAATCTATTTTGCTCGGTCAAGGTTGGATGAAAGTCAAAGCGTTGGTGCCAAAATTGTCGAGTAGAATGGTTGGCAGCATATTGTATATGCAAGTGCTGTAGTATCACTGGCTTATAAGTATGCGCATATTAAACACACAAAAAAAAATCCTCAAAGCACGATTTCGGAGAAAGAAAGAACCTTCACGTTTTTGTTTTCAAAATCAATTTTCAAAGTCTCAGTATATAATCGCTTGTAAAAGTCTTTTAATCGCATTTTTTCAATTCCGGATTTTAGAGGTCTTACAACAAAGAGAGAAAGAGAAGGAGGAGAATGGAGAAACAATTACATGAAACCGTGGAGGCTGCTAATTACGTCGAACGAGCTATCCGAGAGTCGTCGCCGGAAAAAGAGAAGGAAAAATCCCATAAGCATAGAAGCATATTCCACCTCCACCATCACTCAAAGGATGAGAAAGAGGAAGACAAGAAGAAAGAAGGATCAAAAAGAGAGAAGATCGCTGCAGCAATGGTTGGTCTCGGAGCCACCCTCAATAAGATGAAGCATAAAGGCCACCACGGAGGCGGTGGAAAAGAAGAAGAAGGAGAAGAAGCAGAGGCGGAAGAAGGAGATGAGGAGGAGGAGGAAGACGAAGGAGATGATGGTGGGGATGAAGAAGAGGGAGGCAAGTTTTCTGCATTCATTTCGATGATCGCTGAGGCTCTTGAAGAGTAAGCATTTAATTTGTGATAGCTTTGTTGTATTTTTAATTAGAACTTGAACTCAAATTTGTATATTTTCCAAAGTTCTAAATGTGATGCTATTTTAGAAACTTTTTTTTTTGTCGGCGATGCTATTTTAAAATTTTAATCGGAGAATTTATGATCTTTAATATCATATTTTGCAGTAAATAGCCAAATTACACTCCTTTACAAAAACGAGAGACGGTAAAATGGTAAGTAAGTTTATTCACTTATCTCGTGTGTTTATCGATTAACATAAATTTTGTTTTACATAGTATTCGTCGACCAAAAAAAATTCAGATTCAAAAACGCATTTACGTAGTTTCCACCACGAGTGTTATATCATTTTGAACAAAACAAATGGGATAAAATGTACCTTTTGTAAAAAGAAAAAGGAAAAATTGGCGGCTTGACTTCTCTTGCAATTAAAAAAAAACATATTAAGTGCATAATTAATTGCACACAAAGGAAATATTATTTATCAAAAATATTAAAGAAAACTGTAATGTGACTGCATAATAATTGATTAAAACTGGTTGACTTTTTAGTCTATATTTATATATTTGATAATTTGAACATACAGTAGAAGTCGCATACATTTTGTGATCGATTTGCGAAATGGTTTTTGTTTCTTGGGACATGATTTCTGAGCCTTAGAAATTGCTGAGAAGCCTGTGATGACTGATGAGCAAGCAGCGATGGTATGGATCTGCCGGAAATCTTATCATCGACTTATCTAAGCACATGAGTCAGATCTCGTAAAGCAACATCGTCCCTTTACTTATGTTTATGGACAATCATCTAAAAATCCACTGTGAGATTGATTCTGATGATCTTAATTATTAGAACAATGAGTCTGATTTAACTGTCGTTATTTTCTCTTAATCATTTTTGAATTCAGATTTCTATTGAGATTACATGATATATAAAACAAATTTTGCATCCCTCATTTTTCTAAATCAGAGATTTAGTCAACAAGGACTCTGGTTAAAATTGGTTTAACTCCAACCCAATAACCGAACCAATATCTAATTCCAATCAGGTAAGCAACTAGTGATCTCCATAACTCCTCTTTAAAGCAAAAGACTTGACTAAGGTTTTTTTTTTTTTTTTTTTTTGAGAAATAACATACTAAGATTACGACACAACTTGGAGCGAGCAGATTTACATGGTACACTACCACGAAAGAGTTCACTTTTTTTAGGGAACAAACATAGAGAAAATAAAAAACACAAAAAAGTAAATAAGAGTTCTTTGCTTCTTCAACAAGCAACTAAACCAAAATACACTAACTTCAGACTCCTACTATTACTAATACTTCATCTGCTGCTGCTTCATCATTCAGATTCCTTGTGCCACACTCTTTCAATTCCCATCATCTGATGACTTCAAGTAAAGGGTTTCTCCACCATCCCCTGAGCTTCCTCCTCTGCCTTCACCACTCCCCATTTCCGGCTTCCCACGGCCAAATTCATGAAACCCACCAGCAGCTTCTCCCTGAAGGATATGGAGTCCGCTGCTTCCTCCTCCGCTGCTCGAGCTCATCCCCAGCTGGCTATGGTGAAGTTGCTGATGCTGAAGCGTCGCATAAGGCTGTTGTTGCTGCTGCTGAGCATACAACATTGAGGATCGAGCCGCCATTAGAGACTGCTGAGTCATCTGCTGTTGTTGAGTTGCTTGTTGCTGCTGCAAATAGTGTGACCCTCCTTCTCCTTGAATCAGCCCACCACCAGCAGATCCATACTGCCAACAATACCAATGAGTTTGTCCATTTCATACAACAAAAATTTGAATACTTTTTCTGATTTAACTATTTACCTGGCTGTGCACACTTGGAGGTTGAGGCTGAGAATCAGCAATTGCAGCCAAGTACATTAGGTTTCGTTGAAGCCTTGCCTGGTTCCTGTAACATTTAGATTTTTACCATTTTGATCATTTCCTATCATTTAACGGAACACAAGTGAATCAAGAAGATATGTTTGCTCTTACTCGGCACACTCGCTGAGCTTTCCTGAATTTTGAGACTCAACTATCTTCAGAATCAACGATTTGTTCTCGTCCAAGTACTACAGATTAATAATATCATCATCTTCATAAATCAGTAATGGTAAATAAAAAAATCTGTTATAAAATCTGATCTTTTTTTATTGGAATGAAGACAGAGAGAACTGGAGGAGACCCCAGTAAATTAGATTCCGACTTATCAAAAGACAAAAACGTTGAAACATCACAAAAGTGTATGAAAGATTTTCTTTCGAAAAGATTTTGAAGGACCACAAAAGTGAGGTTAGGACCAGATGTCGTTTCGGACCACAAAGTATATCTGGTCATGTAAGCAAAAAAAGAAACACTTGGACTGCAAATACACATAGATCTAATGATAACAATCTAAACAGGACCACCACATTTCACATAAATGGCTTTGTGGTTTTTGCCATCAATGAAACTTCCAGAGAACCCGAAAACCAAGACAAAGAGAGAAGCGAGAAACGTGAACAACCTTCAGTTCCCAAGATTTGTCTGTTTTGACACATTATTTTTCATTACATGTCTCAAGAACTCAAAACAGCTGGACCCTAAAATTGGTTTTCATTAGAGAGAATATCTTTAACGGTTTCAAGGACATATTCTTTCGCAGAAAGACCTCATAAATCTTAAATTTAGTGAGTATATCTCAAGCTTGTCCGGTTTATAAAAAGGATTTCTGTCGAAACGGGCCCCAAAAGAAAAAAAAAAGATGTCAAATGATACACTAAATCTTCTGGACAAGAATCCAATACAAAAGACCAAACCTCTACCAACCAGTTTATCAGACACTAATACACAGATATGCTAAAACGAATTTATCTATGAATAATAGATGGAAACAAGAACATAAAGAACCCAATAATCAAAATCTCATTTAAATATGTTGTGAGAGGAAAAGAAAAGGGTCTCTCGGGTAACTACAAGCGAGTTTTTACACTCTTGTTATTTTTAAAATTCAAAGAAACATATAATGAAAAAGAGATAATATAATAGAAGAAGAAGAAGTAGAAGAAGAAGAAGAAGAAGAAGAAGAAAACCTGCTGGATATGATCAGAGGTGACATTGCTGGGGTAGTAACCAGCCATCATGGGCTGCATCTGCATCAGGTGCTGCTGCATTTCTTTTGCAATTTTATATAAAACCTGATTATTCTTATTTATTTTTATTTATATATATGTGTTACAGAAAGAGAGAACCCCCACCACTAGACCCAAAGGAAAAGAGAAGTCACCAAGAGAGAGAGAGAGGGGGAGATATTAACTTTTGTATCTGTCTCACTTCTCTCTCTCGCTTCTTCTGTATATAGAAAACTCTTAACTATTGAAGATGTGTATCTCTGTGTGTGTGTTATCTCGCTTTCTCTCCTCCACAAAAAGTTGTTTTGCGTTAAAAGACTGAGAGAGACAGTGAAGTCTCTTAAATAGAGATAGAGAGATAGAGAGATAGAGAGAGAGTCTTTTTCTCTTTTCTTGGGTTTTGGGGTTTGGTTTTGTTGTTTTCTTTCTGTCTCATCCTATCTCTGTCCCTGCGAAGAAGAGGAGGTCACGTGACGAGTCATGCTTATTATAGAGACGTGAGATCTTTACATGCTTATGTATATGTATCATTGGATTATTTATTACTTTGAAGTTTGAACCCAAAATAGCGAATTTCTTATATTCTCGTAGAATTTCTTATCTTATTTACTCTTTCGTAAATTTATTTTCATACGGTTTTTTTTTTTGCATGTCTATGCAATATAATATTGAAATCTTTTCGAAATACGGTTTTTATTTTTGGCATTAAGGCATATTAAAATATATTTTGGCAATATTTTAACTTTTCAATGCCAAAAATATTAGTTATATATATCTTCTAGTTTCCTTACGATATCATACTTTTATTGTTAGTGTAATCGTTAATATAAATTAATGATATGCTAAGAGATTTAAAAAAAAAACAAGTCTTATGAATTTTTTTCTTTAATTGCTATGAGATGAATGCGTATGTAAATTATTTTTTGTAAATTTACCTTTTTTAGCTAAAGGGTTTAAAAGCTACTATTTTTTATGATAGTCAAATCTATTCTATTTAAATTTTACAGATAACTGCTAAATAAAAATGGGTTTATTCAATTTTGTAACTGAAACAATTTAGTTGAAGTTCAAACTACTTTTGAAGAAACTTGAAGACGTTCATAAATGAAGAAACAACTTGAGCACTTGTCTCGACCATTCACACGAGTTCTCTTGACCACCAAAACACTGCCGATACCAGTTGCCCTTGATTTGAAACTTTGTAATGTTTAATATTGATGACGCTTGACCACAAAAGTATCTCTCTAGTTTATTTATATGCTTTGGTAAAAGAATTATTAAGTCCCTCGAATTATTTTTTGTTCGAGTTCTTGAAGTACGTTTCGATGGTCGGTAATTTTAAAAGGAAAGATTTAACAACTATATTAACTTTACGTGGTTATACTAATTCCACGTTAAGCCCTCTAGTAGATGTAATTAATTATAAATTAACACCTTATTCGTTGATACCAACAATGGATCCGAGATATTCCTTCTGCATATATGAACCACGGAGGCTCTACTTTTAAGGTTTGTTTGTTTAAATATTGGTACCCAAAAGCCAAAACTATATTATTATGAATAGATGCTGCTAATTAATCTTCAAGGATAAATGACGTGTTTTATTTTCCCGATTTATATAGCCTACGACACAGTAACTAAAGCAATAGTATATACACGCTGCTATATACTAAAATCAAACCAAAAACAGTAATAACAAAGTTAACGACATTGTTCATCTTTTCACATGAGGCCAAACAAAAAGTTGTTTACTGTGAATTGAAATTATGAAGATTATGATCTGATTTCAAAACGCTAACAAATGATCGATTTATTTGGGTACAATATCTAAAACCAACTATTAAAATATCATGCAACTCAACCATTCTAATATTATAGATTTCTCGATCATCTTAAAAACAATTAATATATTTAGTTTATAGTATTCATGTGGCTCATCAAATCATGTCAGGCTAATCTCAAATTTTGATTTTCTTCAAGGCATTATTTCTAAAGCCACCCTTGAATTTTACATAACCGCTATAAGTTTTTTTTTAGCCAACTAACATCTATAATTTTTAGAAAGTAATTTGAGGTTGATGTGGAATCTTCTCCCATGAAAAAAGTGTTGCAACTTATTTTGCTTTACTTTTTTTTTTGTGCTTTACTTGAACAATAAATAACAAAGATATTGGGAGATTATTCAACAAGAGACGAGTACATATAAATATAAAAAATGAGACTTGTAGAAAATGAGCTGGGATGTTTTGTGGTTAGGTACATAAATTACGAAAATTTCTCACTAACAATAAATGAAATGTTGTATGTGTAAGTTTGAATCACGTTGAAGAAGAATTTGTGCGTCTCTTTTTTTTTTTTTAAGACGACCGCTTCTATCCAAATAACACTTCCTGTCAGTTATGCAGATTTATGACGTCATTTTGAGATTCGAGCTGGTTCGCTATCTCCCTCGCGCGCTCTTCCTTCACGCGCTCTTATTTTCTACTCTCTCTATTTTTAAAAAGAAATCATACTTTTTTTTCTCCTGTACGCTATTTTAAAAAATAATGATTCTGAATTCTGATGTGTTTCTTTTTTGTTTCTGAAAAGAGTAAGAGATGTCTGAAACTGGTTTCTTCAACACCTTTTCATAATACATTACATAGTGAAAAATATTTAACATAATTTATACCAAAAATGTGTTGTATCGAATATATTTTACTCAATAAAAATAGATTTCTTCTGCCATATAGCACCAGAGGACGATGGTTGAATAAACCTTTCTATCAAAAGTAAATGATATCCTTAGATTATTATAATAGTTTAAACTCTAAAGCGAGCTTTGAACAAGAAAAAAAAAACTTTAAAGCGAGCTTGGAAAATAAATGAGAAAGACACATTTTACATGCAAACGACCATAACAACATACCTCCGATGTGTCAAACATGTGATGTCCACGTATATTTTATGTCTTTTCTCGCCTAAAATTTGGCAAGTTTGTTAATTGTCGGTTTATAAATAACTAATGAGAAATGCTTAATGGCAAGTGACAGTACTATTGGGTTTCACTTTCTAATAAAAACAAAAACAATTCCACCTAAATTTTATTTATTTTCATATAGAAATGTATTATAGTAAATAAATGTATTATAGTATTTTATATCTCTTCACCAAATGTTAGATTCTACATCTGACAAGGAAAATATGCAAACATGCTCTATGTTGAATACTATATTATCTCGAATAATTTTAATGAAAAAAAGTAGTAGTATTTGGGTTTCCACCTACCAACAATTTCTACTTTAAGCATATATGGTTGACAAACTTTTAGTTTGATTACAAAAACATGACGAATTACTGTATATAAGAGAAGCTCTCAGTTCTTTAAAGAATTTATAACATTAGTATTCGTAACCAAACATTTTTTATAAAAAAAATATTCGAAACTGGTAAGCTATTTTTAACTATAGTTCTAGAAGCTAACTTTTAGAAGGAAAAAAATAGGAAAAAAATATAAGGAATGTGGAGGTATGAGAAGCTAACTTTAGATATATATTTGATGCACAATACGAAACAGAAACACCGTATAACTGCTAGTTGTTTTTTGACGTCACTTGTTATTTATAAGTCTGGGGCCTCATACTCCATAAACGCTTTGGAAAAATATGCAAACGAATGAACGCTAGCTTATTACAACCTAGTTGAATACTTAAAAGGATATTATAATTCAACTTTGATTAAAAGGATTTTCATTTATCCGTATCTCTTACCATATCTAATTGTTCTATTAATTAGTTTAAGGTTAAAAAACCATAAAACTTAACCATTATCAATCAAACTCAAATTCTTCGGATGTGCCAACTAATATATAGTGTTTGACCGGTGTCACCGTTTATGACAAAATAAAGAAAACTTGGTGACTCTGTCACGATATTCGAATTCCTGTGACAGAAAGAATCGGAGTGCTATTTGTTAAAAGTTTTGAAATACAAGAAATTTTATCAATGTGGGAAATGGAGGAGAGTCAATAATTATGGAATTGGGTCCCAAAAGCTCACATGATCTCTGAAAGTCATGTCCAATCCATCTCTCAAAATTTGCAATAAGATGGTTGACAAGACTCCTCTTTTTCCTTGTTTTTTTAGCGACAAGACTCCTCTTTTAAAGTTGATGTTTAGAATAAGATTCCTAAGAAATATAACAAAATAACAATATAAAAGAATTATAAACGAAACTTATCCAATGGCACTACTCCCAACTTCAAATTCTTGCATGCGATGTCTTTGGACTACAAAATAAACGTTATTGTGAAATATATATATATATATATATATATATATATTTCTTTATAATACTAATATTATATGATATAATCGACCACACGTACTTTTAAATAGAATATTGATTAAAATTTCAATATGCAATATAAAATTATTTATTCTTTCATTAGGATTTTCTTACTATATATTTTAGGTACACCATTATCAATTTTCTCTTTGAATTTTATATTTCTTTTACTGTTATTTTTTACAATTTCTCGATAACATAAAAAATAGATGATCCAAATTTTATCTGACTAATCTTTCCAAATTGAGTGTAGCTATAATTAATTTATTCACTGAAATTTTGAATGGTTCTAAAATATGACACCATGAAACCACTTTGTTTAGAAGTGATTTTCAATTGGATACATATATATTCGCAAGTGTCTTTTGGTCGCAAAATGAAAGAAGTTGAAAATGTCCTAAAAGGAGGTTTATAACAGGCCGTGCAGATCGACTTCCTCGCAAAGAAGGCTAGAACACAAGGGTTTTGTTTTTTCCCATGTAAGTCCCTTGGCTCCTGCCTGGCTCTCCTTAGAGGGAAGTGTTTTTTGGTAACTTAATGAAATGGGTTTTAATGTAAAAAAAAAAAAAAAAGTCCTATACAAATGAATCAACGATGGCTGGTTAGGAAGACCCTCGCTCTCATTTTCACCCCTCTTTTGTCTAAAGCATACCCCCCATATATGTATTTATTTCATTGTAGTACAATTTTCATAAAATAAGCATGTTAGTCGTTGACCTCCCAAATAGTAATGCATGTTATTCTGGATTTACTAGTAAAGTGTTTTAACTTTTCAATATCGACACAATATTTCGAAATTTTGTTGGTGCTTGTGGCGAGTAAAAACTGAGGTCGATAACTTCAAAAATACAAATATGGAACTTGAACCATGCTTGCCTAGACATGATGTGAAGGTTAGGAAAAAGCAATATTGGTAATAGTAATGATAAAAGAGAAAAGAAAGTGAATGAGTCTTAAGAAACAATGATTTAAGAATAGTAGTTACCATTGATATTGCTTTGTGTTTGTGTTTGTGTTTTGTCCAACCAAATTGATTGGAATTACATGAAGAGGGAACATGTGGGTGGGTATGAAGGCATTAATGATTAGCGAGTGAAATCAAAATAACGTTAGGACCTCTACAAGGAAACATACCCTACTTTTCAACCCATTCCTCTCCTCTTTCACACCTCTACATTTTTTCCCCTTGGCTGTTAAATTTTTTATTTGTCTCATCACTTTCTTCAGCCACTCCATTTCGAATAGCTATGATAAAATTTCTAATCAATGTTTGGTAATCATTGTCGACATTAATGATATCAAATCTATTTCTACTCGATCTAATACTTTTAAATTTTATTTTGTACTAGTTCTTAATGTGAAAGTTAATAACTGTTTGTATCATTTAATAAAATCTATATATGTTATCATGAAGTTATGAACAATTTATATCCATCGATCTTTCTCTTAATAAATCGATCTAATATATATTTTATGAACATATAGTTCAGATTTTATTTTATCGTTCTTGATATGAAATTAATTAATAAACTTTTTCTATCATTAGATCAAATCATTTATTCTTATCATGAAGTTGCTAACAGTTTAAAATCGATCTTTTGTGAAGATACTATTCAGCTATTAGATCGTTAAAGATATATATACAGTATATATACATATATATACATACATATATATATATATATTCAGCATGTTGATCATCATGTCTATTTGTTCATAAGAATGATTGAGAATGATTAGATAACGCTTATCTTGATCATAGGGAGCATGTGAATGAATTCGGTGAAAAAGAAGGATTAAAAAAGAAAAAGAAGAGAGAAGGACATAATTTCACATGCCATGTTAGTTTGGGTGAAGCTTTTTTCCCTCTTCCAATGTAACGTCACATCTTCATTTCCATTTTAATGAAATTCAAAGACGTTAAATGACCCATCACTCTATCCATCTGTTCCCCCTTCTAACTTCGTGCCGTTTTTTTTCCTTTCATTTTTTCAAATTACTATGAGATCAATAATACATTAATACTTACTAATCAATAAGAACATTTAAATCATTTTCTCAATACGGAGACTTAAAACCCATTTTCCATACAAGGTTTCCTAATAAACTACTTGTAGAACTGCATTTGTTAGATTCTCTAAGATGAAATTTTACAAGTTGAATTTTTTTTATAAATATGAATATATTTTTAGTTTCTTGACCACATATAACGCATAGTTAAAGACAAAGGACTAAGACTGTAACCTAGTGGTTTATGTTAGTGTCACTGTTTGTGTTGGTATCATGTTAAATCACGTATGATACATGTTGAAACAAAGAGCTCTACAGCTGAAATTAAACATTGGACAAAATACGTAAACCAAACATAATCAGCAGCAATATGCTACATGTTGCTACTACCCACTGAACTAATTCCTTAACAAATGAGGATAGACCTTGTTCGTCTGTAAATAACTGTTACTATCGTCAGCAACGACTACTGATTATATGTCGTTACAAATGTTTGTTTCGTTTTTGTAGTGATTTATCTGCTAATTAAATTGATTAATATAAAGAAACGGTGATGGAAATTATTTGATCGATCATGTATTTTTGTCGTCGAATCCAGCTACACGCAAACAAACGTCATCTGATCGCCAAATGGACAGACCATGGGGAAGATACCAAATCTAAATAGATACTGCATATGGTTCTACAACAATCCTTTAGAATCGAACCATGTGAAGTAAGGTACATGTTATATATACAGTCTAGTTAAACTTATATATCTGATTTAGAAAACTCAGGAATTTTGGATCTTGATGAAGCTTACATTAAGAATTTAACAAGACCATGTTATATCACAAGAATGCGCTCTTGTCCTCGACAAACGTTTATAATAACTAGATTTTGTGCCCACGAGGATATTTTGTTTATTAGTAATAGATTCAACGACTGTTGCCCCAAACAAAAAAAAAAGTAATAGATTCAACGACTAAAATTGGGCCCTTGGATGATTGATCTTGGGCTTCTATCACCTATGCCTTGCTCAAAATTCTCGTGATGAAAATTTGTAAACATTGTCATATTGTCCAACAAGGAGAGAACCAAAAAAAAAAAAGAATAATCAAACACAACAACATTTCATTGTCTTTCCATAATTCCATTCCACTATTTTTATAGTCAGTAATTAAACATTCTGTCTTATGTGTCGCACAGTAGAGTTTGCTCGTTGTGTGGTTCATATATATATATATATATATATATATATATATATATATATATATTTATATGTTTTCCTTTTAAGGGAGAGATTTACTCTCTGGTTATTCCTTGCCTTCAGCATCGGTTTTTGCTTGTAGAGTTGGTTTTTCCTCCGTTTTAGCCTCCTCATCCTCCGGCGCAATATCGTTGGTCACCGGAGTAATCAGAGAATCAAATTTATCTGATTTCCCCAATACAATCTCAATCTGTACATGTCAAATGCAAAATGAGAAAATCGAAAATACAAAAATAAGATCTTAGGTTAGCATTTTGAACAGTTTCAAAAAAAGAAGAACTCGCCTTGGCCTTCTGAACTATTCTCCCTTTGTTCTCGTCTTTCATTCCCACTGTCGATGTCAGAACTTCTGCTTGTTTGTTTGTTTCACACAAATAAAATTTTCAGGAAAAAAAAGAGAGAAAGAAAAGAAGGAAACAATGTCAATGACGATAAAGAACATTTACTCTTCTCGGTTGCAAGTCCATTGTTCTTCAAGATTTCTGAGATCGTAACCACTGTTGTGATCGCTGCAATTACACATTTAATCAACTTCTATTTATCTAAAGTATTTTAAACACACATATATATAAAAAAAAAAGAGTTGAAATTGAATGACTGTGAAAATAAATCTACCCATTCCAAGTGCAGAGAGCTCGACCTCGTTGTGCTGTTGAATATACCTCTGCATCAGATAAATTGAAATCATAATCAATCTACAATTGCAGTTGATTTTAAACGATTGACTAATGATGATTAACAATTATTATGCTGAACCTTGGCGAGATTAACGTAGAAAAACAAGGGTTTCTTGGTGTTAGAAACTTGAATCCTGTTCTTCTTCTGAGTTTCCACGACGGTTGTTGCTGACAAGAGGATGTTGCTCGCCGGAGAAGTCACCGGCGCATGAATCGGAGTGGCTACTTCCATCGCCATTATTTATCTCAATTTGCGATCTTCGAAACTTTCTTTCTTCTCTCTCGAATAGCGGGAAAAGGTCTCTGTTTTTGTTGTTTGGGAGTTAATAAGCATTTAAATAGCGGTTCGAGGAATCGGCAAGAAAACTAATGAGAAAGTGACGCGTGTTTGTCACCGGTTGGTTCGTTGACCGAGTATTAAAAGAGAGAAAAACGGATCATTCCCATTTGCTTTCATTATTCGCTTCTTCGCAATTCACACGATCTATACACTTTGCGGACTCATGAATTAAAAAAAAAATCTCAATTATTTTATTCAAAACAATCTGGGCCGGGCCTATCTAATTTATTTAAGAGCCCGATAAGAAAATCTCAATTATTGCTCTCATCTTCGTAATATTAACATGATTCTTGGCCCATGCACGTCGTCACCTTCGATAGAAAATCTAGATTATAGTAGAAAGTGAAACATATGAAGTGATCGGTATCTACAAAACTATTATCCCTTTCTTATCTCTGACAATCCACCTGGTATTATGGGGTCAAAGTTTAGAAAATGGTTGGAACAATATATATTTTGGTTTATTTGACAAAAAAAGGACCGGATACGAAATCAACTAGCACAAAATAAGGTAATTCAAATTTAAGGGGATAATAGTTTGTAAATTGCTATTTTGCGATTGAATATCATAAACAACCTAATTTGTAGTTTCAAGATGTTGGATCTAAATTTTACATTTGAAAATATCATCTAACATCCAACACCAATTTATGGATTTAACTATCAACACTAAAACTCATACACTAACTATATAACAAAGCCTAAATTCTTGGTGCTAAATGGCTATTGTGGTCCTGTGGTCACTGGTCCTACACTGAAATGAATCCATATAGATTGTATACACCCACACGATACGTGTGAGCATACGTGTGCCGTCGATGTGCGTGTTTGAATCTAATTTATAAACATAATTAATGGGCATTCTCATTTATGGTCATCCCATAACCCAAGAGATTAGAAAAGCTGTAAAGTTTTAAAGAAAGCTAATGCCTTTTCCCAAAATGGATACTCTCACTTTTCCCCTCTTTGAACTTTGACCATAAGAAATAAAGTGTTAAGACTTTTCAAACCTATTAATATGCTTTTGTAATTACATACTTCTATATGATATATCACACTAATCATATACAGCACTACTAGATATAATCTCATAAAAATGGTCTACAAATATTAAAATTTAGTTCTGTTTTGAAGAATAACTTAAAATTTTATATTACGACTTACCAAATGTTTGTTTTGATAAACCTCAACATTTGCTATTTTTTTCTATAGACGTTCATGTTTTTACAAAAATAACACAATTTTATAAAACAGCAATGATTTTTGGGACACATCCATCTGCATATAGTAGATATTGTGTACAGTACAGATGTTTTGTCGACGGATTTATTATTGTTATAGTCGTTACGAGGGATAATGCATGGATATCTTTCTTGTGTTCCATCAATTAAACCTCTCATATCAACCACTATTCAAGGCATTCAAAACAAATGTTCCCAAGAAAATGTAGAAAGTTATAAAAGGTAAAGAGACAAGAGGACCCATAGATAGATTCGGAAAATCAGAAGAGTTGGCTCGGACAGTGTTTAATCTCGTGTCGGCGTTAACTAACATCGTCAACATTGACGACGCGAGTTTAAAAGCGCGAAAAAAAGCAAAAGACGATTCACGTGTTATCCGAGGATGTTTTATTTTACGCGACAATTTTTCTCTTCAAATTTGTCGACACCTATAAATTAATGTATAACCGAGAGATTTTGTGCTTTGTAGTCGTCGAAGATAAAATGATGCAATCCAAATTTTTCTTGATATTTAATTTCAGTTTATATAAGAAAAAACGTGAGTATATATAATTATTTAATCAAATAGATTTCTAATGTTCAAGGTATAGACGGACAACGACTTTATATATGGCTGGATAAATATTCTTTTCGACAGAATATTTAATTGACAAGATGATGACAACTGCGAGAAAAAAAAAGAAATTACTAAATATAGAAAAAGCTGTTAGAAGAAATAAATGAGAAAACAGTCAAAAACTAATAATTAAATAAAAACAAATCAGAGCCGATAAATATCCACCAGCTTAACAAATTATTCACAGTTCCAAAACAGTCACCGCCAAAAATTAGAAGCAATCTTTCTTTTCTTGAGAGAAAGAGAGAAAGAAAGATAGAGAGAGAGAGACGGTAAAAGAAAAATCTTTTTTTATTTTTTCTCTTGTCTGGTAAAGCTCACGACAGATCGGAACGAGTAGCGACGAAGACTGGGGTTCTCAAGAACATTTGTTCAATCAGACAAGCTGTAAGAATATTATCTCACAGTTCTTTGTTTCAATTTTTTTGTTCTCCCCTGTTTATCGAGGAAAATGTGATTCCATTTCCACATTTGTAAACAACTTTGATTTTCTTCCTAGTTTTTCGTTTTGAAAGTCCATTGTTCAATGTCTGTTTTCTATGTGACTTTTGCCCTCTGCATCGACCAATAAAAATTTGTGATATTGCTGGTGTTTTCTTTTCAGCTCCGAATTCAGATTAACATCAAACCAATCTCTGCTCAACCCTTTTATAGTTATGAACAAAGCTTGTAGGATGTTGCAAATTCAATCAGAGAGATGAAAGAATAAAGTCAAAAATTGAAAACCTTAATTGGCATTTTGATTAAACGAAATTGGTTTTACTTAAAATGCATAATTTAATTTTAAAATCTTGCTTTTCTTGGGGTGAAATATGTCAGAAGTTGGAATGGGAAAAGAAGTTGTTGAGTTGGTGAACACAGATGCATCCAATGGAAGGGTTCACGTGGCTCCCAAGATAGCTGCAGAGGAGGATTATGAGGTCAAGGAATGCACAGAGGAAGATTCTCTCTCTCAGAATCATAAATCTCCTAATGTAATCACAAATTATTGTATAATTCTGTGAAGAAGGAGATGGTAATTGATTTAAGATATTAACAGTGGTTTTGACTCTTTTGGTTTTCTTGTTATATCAGAATGATGTGAAGAAGTCGTTGCAACCTGAGAACAAGAAGCATTTGGATGAAGAAGATGACTATTCTCTTGCTTCTTCGTATCCTTTTATCTAGTGTCTATGAGAATAGCTAATTACTATCTAACAAAAACCACTAAAAGTCTAGTTATTGGTGATCATTAGTGTCTTTACTTTGTTTGTGATTCTTGACTATATTCTACTCTAGCGTTGCAACATCACTGAGGAATGGTAAGTCTAGAGTAACTCATGGAACCGCTCCACGGTTTAGGAGTGCTCAGCGCGCTGAGAAACGCAAGGAGGTAATTAACTACAGTATAATAGCGTTTACATAAAATTCAGAAGTCATAATCAAATAGACAATCTACAGTATGTTTTATTCTGGTTCTGTTAATTAATTTTGTCTTTTTGTGGGTTTAGTATTACCAAAAGCTTGAAGAGAAACACCAAGCACTGGAAGCTGAAAGGAACGAGCTTGAAAAAAGGCAAAAGGCAAGACCCCTTTTTTAGTAACTAAATCAAGAAAAATGTAAATGTCCCTTTGCTTCTGAAAAATCTAAATGGTGAACACAAATTCTGCAGGAAGAACAAGAAGCAGCACTAAAACAGCTTAGAAAAAATCTCAAGTTTAAGGCTAATCCCGTTCCTAACTTCTATTACCAAGGACCACCCGTGAAACCAGAGCTTAAAAAGGTATTTAGTTGTTTCAAGAAAATCTCTCATCTTTGTTACGATTCAAGATGATCTCACCTCTTTCTTGTGTGACAAGAAAACTTATGAAATGCTCTTTTGTAGTTTCCTTTGACGCGTCCTAAGTCGCCGAAACTCAATATGTCTCGGAGAAAGAGTTGTAGCGATGCGGTTAGCTCTTCCGGTGAAGAGAATCCGAAGTCAAACTCTGCACAGAACCGACACAGCGTCGGCAGAATAGGATTGAAGCCTGTGACTGTGAACGAGTGCTCTCAAGAAGCTTCCATGGAGGAAGGAGTTTTCATAGCCTAATTTGATTGTACCGGAGAAAACCAAAGCAAACTCATGATTTCTGGTTAACTTCCGGTATTTGTTGGATTTAAAAACCGTTCCCCTCGAGCGGATTACTGATTGTTTGTTTGTTATTTTCTTTTTTACGTCTGTCTCTACTTGATTTCGGTTTTAATTTTACGTAACCTTTAAATCTAAAAGTTGTATATTTTAAGTGTTGAGGAATCGTGGAGCTAAAGATTGCATCAATTATACCAGTCGTTGATTTGTACGGACTTAGTGTCGTTAGTTGCAATTAGCCTCAAGAGAGTAGAAAATGGTAATGACAAAATTTTGTGATTTGTGTTGTTGGCTTATTTGATGTTGTAATTTCATTTAGAAATTCAAAGATAGGTTATTTCATTTCTGGTTTTATTTTTATTAGCTCCATTTAAAGAGCCGTGAAAGAGTAAGTTCGCAATTAGAGAGAACAGAGGAACCAAATCATAGCAGAGACAGCAGTTTACATTTGCTCAAAAAGCCAAACCTACTAAATCAACATCTGATGCAAACAAAAAACATTCTGAGATACTAAATCTATATGTAGATAAGGCTGAAGCCAATTTGTGATGCAAGAAAATCCGAGTCCACGAGTAATCCCAAGTAAGTAGCCTCATGACAAGTGGAATATACAATTGCAGATCGCAGCTACAGAACTGACTTGGTTAATCAAGTTTGAGCTGATTGGGAAGAGAGTATTCTTGAATGGTTATGCTCGCCTTCATAAGTCACAATAAGCATAGAAGTTTCATCTACACATCGTTCCACATGCTTCCTTGCTGGACAACCTCGCACGCTGCTGCATTTATAGTATCCTCTGTAACATCAAAAATTAGCAAGTTTATATAAACCAAGCATATGAACTAGTCTCAATGGCTAAACATGTAATATAATTTACCTAGGATGAGGAGAACCCTTTATTGGCTTTTGTCCATATTTCCTCCATGAATATTCATCAGGAGGTATATCCGCAATCTTGTTACTGATTGCTGGTACTTTAATCGATCGTTTCACCCTCATTTTCCTGTAAAGACCAAACAAATAACAAAACATTTTTATAAACAAGAGAATCAAACAAAACAAAACACTTTTCTCAAAAACAAGAAAATGACCAAATGACAAACCTTTTCTTGGAACAATGACATTTGCTTCTACTTCCACACTTGAAACTACCAGAACAGCTAGTCCTCCTGGACTGCTGCGATATATGATCGGATCCCTGAGGCAATCCGATCAAATGAAACGAGTTTCTATCGTAATCCGTCACACTACCATCCATACTAAGAGAAGAAATAAACGATCTTGATCCATTCGACATACTTGGGGAACAGCAACTACCACCAACAGACCCATCAAACTTCAGATTTAAACCACTATTGCTCCTAGAGTACACTGCTTGCGGCTGGTTATGGAGAAACTGATATGGTTTTGGATCAATAGCTCGAAAAGCCGGTGGCTTTAGCTCCAGATACGACTTGTCAACACAAATTTTCTGGTTAAGCATCATCATTGGAGGATGACCCAGTTTCTGTTTTGGGTCAATTTCACTATAACTAGCAGCAGCAGCAGCAGCAGGTGGTATCATCTGAAGAGGCTTTGGTGCTAGAATTGGAATGAAACCACTTATAGCATTATTACTGCAAATGGGACTTTCCAAGAAGATGTGTGGAGGAAACAAAGGAGACCTAAACAACTTGAAGTTGTTGTTGAGTTTCCTAATCTTCCTTTGACCGGACCCTCTAGTCAAAAGAGAGGCGACTCTCTTGAACTTGGAAACGGCTTCTCTTGTTTCAACCATTATGGCTTTGGGATCATTGGTTTGTTGTGATAAGAGATTCAAGACTCCATGACAGCTTTCCACGGCTGCTTTGTTTGCAGCTTCAACTTCTTCCATTTTTCTTCCGCACAAGGTAACAAAACGAAAACCTAGTTTCCTCTCAATTCCAAATCTCTTGAGAGAGAGAGAGAGAGACTAAATTTAGGGGGAATCACAAACTCAGATCAACCTGCCAAACAATTGAAAACAAAAAAAATGAAATCTCAAATTCAAAATCAGCGGGAATCCAGTCGATTGGACATGATTACGTTTAAGCTATAAACTTCTATCAAATATATTACCTCATACGAATATAAAAACTCACTTAAACCCTAAAACCCATTGGAAAAGAAAAAGGCTATCATCATGACCTCGCTCAAACATTGAAACTCCAGCTTATGAACATGAAAACTCCCAGAAGTTAAGGGTTTTAAAGAAGATATATCTTATCAAACTCTAAGAAAGAAAGAAGTAAGATTCAGCCCAAAAAAGGAAGAAGAAAGAGTTACAAGGTTATGACTAGCTTTCTCTGTCTCAGAGGAGGAGGTTCTTTAACTAATAAAATTCCCTCAACCCCATTATAACACAAATCTTTCTTCTATACTTTGCCAATTTGATTTCGAATAAAGAAAAAGAAAATGGCTTAAGTTGAAACAATGCTTAGAGAAAAAAAGCATAGAGGTGAGAGAAGAGAGAGTGGAGTGGAGTTGGGTGTTCAGAGATAGTCGTCACAGTCACAGTGGAAGGAGAGAAAAACAGAGTCCTCTGTCAAAGATTTCGTGGTAGGTCCCACTGCTGGACCTACTTTGCGTCTACTTTTGTTTCGTTTAAAATGTAATTAAGTATTTTTTTATTTATTTAACAAAATAAGTCCTTTTTCCCCGTAAATTGGTAAATATTGCTTGTTATTTAGAAATGTTTATGGAGGAGGAGTTAATGATGTAATATTGCATCTGCTCATCATGATCATATATGTAGTATTATTGTGAATAATAGGATGAAAATATATCCAATTTATTTATTTGTTCTCTTTTACCCATAATTTTCTTCTATTAAGAGGACATGATAATGATTACATAATTAAAATAAAACTGGGAACAAAAATAAAATTGAAATAAAATTAGGAATTGGTCGTCAATGTGGTCCACGTTCCAGCTTTGTATTCTTCAGAATCTCGAGCATGCAACTTGGAAATATGACGGTTAAGATCGTGACACGTGTTGCACGTCTCTGTCTTCATCGTAACACGTGTAACTGGAATGTTGACTGAACATGCACTGTTGTCTGTTTCTTGTCTTATCTTGAAAATAGAAACATTCTTTACTCTATAAACTATGTACTCAATATTACTAAATTTTTGGAAAATCAAATAGGAATTGAATTCTCTGAGAAAAAGAGTTACATATTATGATGTTATGATGTTAAGAGACATACCTCCAATACTCGCAAATAAATTGCAGGAGATTAATTAATAGTTTGCCCATTAAGAAAAGAGAGTTAAACTAGAATTAAGAAAAGGTGGACCCAAAGTGAGACAGAGTTGACCTGGCAAAGATTCTCTCTGCTTCTTGTCATGTAATGAACTGTTTGTTTCTTCACAAGACTGTGTTGTACAAAAAGAAAAACTCATCCTTACCTTTTGTTCGTTAGTAGTTTCAGTTTTGTTCATTCATTAGTAAATAAATCTATGTGAATTTGTGAAACACTGACATACGTTAACTACGACTTGAGAGATTAGTTTTTTTCATATGTTTTCTGCTTGTGTAGTTTCTGGTCTTAACGTTCAGCTTCTGTATTGTCCAATGCAATATTTTATGTATTATTGTCGTTTTCTCTGTCATTGTATGTTCGTCTTCTACGCGTTAGGTCAAGTAGGCATGGCCGATTCATTTTCGTCAATTTTCACACCTACAAAACCACTATCATCATCACACTAGATTGGCCAACTCCACCTCTTAAAAAATTTCCAACTAGTGTTCTTTTTCGAATATTATACTAACATATATAGAGTACATAGATCAAATCCACTAAGGTTCTCGAAACCGTCAAAAACATTAGGAGAAAAAGCCAAAAAGTAAATTGATTATTTGGTTGACAATAATCTTTCTGACGCATGAAGCTTTTCTTTTCCTCTTTTTAATTTTGGATATCGTATCAAGCCCACGATGCATATCTTATCACCATTCCTTTCTTTGATTTTACTCCTATCCAATCATATACATGTAAGGATGTTCATGTGCAACTTTAATAATGATGTGTGCCGTATTGTGAAAACATTTGTCTTTAACGAAAAATAAATCAATTGTATATACAAAATCAAAGTGTAATAACCAAATTAGGTTCTCCGATATAGGGTGACGTCTTTTGTATATTTGGGAAGACTGGATTCATACTTCATAAAATCCCTTTTAGATACGATGTTAGTAACTTAGTAATGTATGCGTCGAGCTTATATAAGATATAAACTTATTATCTATTGAACGTAGAGTCGTTTTCATATCCGGGACCAATACAAACTATTTTTTCAGAATATGTTTCTCAAATTGGGTGATGCATTTGAGAAATCTTATATAAATTGATTTTACAGTTTCTCACTAAATATCCATCCTTTTGAATTAAACATGTTAACTCATATCATAATCAATTACATAATAAAAGAGTTTTCTCTCTATCTAGGGTGTCCACCTCAGCAAACTCTTAAATTTTAACATTAAAACATATTTAAATTAAGCATTTAATACATGTATATTTATATTTATTATTACTAGATTTAATACAAATTAAATAAAATAAAAATTTTTTAGTGTAAATAAAAAGATAAGTGATAGTTAGATATTAATACTTAAAGAAAATATAATAATAATTAGATTAAAAATATATGTATTATTAAAAATGATATATTATCTAAACTGAAAAAGTTAGAAAAATGACGATAATTAAAAAAAAAGATAAAAACTGATGAAAAAATTAAAAGATAGGAGAATTTAGAAATATCAAAATACAAAAAAAGACGCAGATGAATACGAAACAATATCAAAATAATAAGATGAAGAAAAAATGAAAGAAAAAAAAAAGAGAAAGTAGAAGTCAAGAACCAGAGAAAAATGAAACAAAAAAAATAAGAGAATGAAGAATACGAAGCTAATGAAGAGAAATTTTAGACAATACGAAGACAAAGACATTAAAAATAAAGAAAAAAAAACAAAAAATAAAACTAATAAATTATGAAAATATGAATATGGAGAAAGAGTATAAAAATCTAAAAAAAAAAGAAAAGAAAAAAAGACAAATATAATGAATTAGTTGTTTAATAATTCGTAATAATAGATGATTAAAAATAAAAAAATTTACAAGGAATAAAAATTAAGAAAAATAAAAATAATAAAAGTTATAATCACACAATAGTAACAGATAAAATATAAAAATACATAGAAAATTTTTTCATAGAAGAATAATAACATTATTAAGAAAAATATATTGTTATATAGACACACAGTAAAGATAACTAACAGAACACAGTTATTGTTAACACAATACAAATTTAAAAATAAAACTATTAAACTAAGGAACAAATTATCAACAAATTATTTATTAAGAAATAACATCTAAAACATATAAAAACATGAACATAAACTAAAATCTGCGCGAAGTACGGTCTCAACTCTAGTTTTTTAAATAATGATTTAATCATTTGCAGACAAGGCTTTACGAATAGCAAAACTATGATTAATATGAAAATTAAAAACAGATTAACGTTTCAATAATGAACCAAAATTACATGTGTGAACTAATAATGGAAATGTCAGAACGTTATTAGTTTTTTTTGTTGGCTAAACAGAACGTTATCAGTTGAACTATTTGTGCTTTAAGTTATAATCAATTGTCAGTCTTGGATATTTATGTAGTATTCATCTTGCTGTGGATGAAACCATTTGTACTATGAGTTTCATATGCTCCGAAATGACTTTATAATACCATATTAAGAACAACAAGCTACATCAATTTTGATATTAACATGCACATTGTTTACCATAAAATACTAAATAGTATATAATAAGTAATTTAACTCAAACATATGTCTGCATAGGATGATTGCAATGCTAATAAAGAATTGTTGGCATGAATATGAGATTTTAGTTCCATCGTCCACTTTGGTAGAATGGTAGTGACATTTGGTTCCACATCCACTATGGAATGTGAATATGATCCCCAAAACACAGAATCATTGAGCCATTATATAAAATATACATTTCGTTTTTTTATTATTATTTAATATCTAGTTTGTCGATCCTTTTTCCAGATTTTTTTTTTAATATTAGTTGGTTCGGTACAATGGTACATGATTTTTACGAACTTTTTACCACGTAAAGATTTGTTTTTTGTCATGTTTATCATCTCTTTTTGCTCCAGTTGGGAACTTCGATTTGGAAATTTAAGTAAATCTCTTTGTGAAAAAATAACAACAGTATGCCCACTCATCAGAAGCAACAAAGCAGGACGATTGTGTATTTTGTCAAATGTTTTTGTGTAAGAAATAGTATTAAAATACTAATATATAATAATTATAAACAAACACGATGTTAAGAAAAAGTAAATATGACAAGAGTATGAAATGTGTACAGCACTTAAAATAATTTTGTTGAAGTAACGCCTGTTTTTGTGATTATAATTTGACTTCCGTGCCATATGACAACAAATGACAAATTCCTAAGCCACTACATAATGGCTTTTGAATATTTTAATTTTATAAGGATACAAAACTCTGCCCAAAAAGTTTATTATATTCTGACAAAACTAGAGGTTAATACGTAAAAAGTTGGAACATACCATATCAAATTAAGCATATATACTTGAACGAAAAAGTGATACTTCTTCGAACTTTTCCTTATGCCTCGCAGTTTTTCTGAAAGAATGAACTTGTACTTTATATATGCCTTGCAGTTTATCTGAAAGAATAAATTCGGTTTTAGCCTCTAAATTTGTCTAAGTTCTATTAATTAAGTAACACATAGGAGGGAAAATGATTTAACTTCTAACTCTGAACCATACAATATACTTGATAACATATAACAAAACATAGATATATAATTTTACAAGTGTTTTCACTTTTGATTACTTGATAAAGCACGGGCAAATTAAAACGAAAGAAGATCTAGTTTTTTTATGCCTATCATATTACATAAAAAAAAAAAAAGAGAAAGAAGAAGAAATAATACACCATTTCCTTTTACTTCACATCAGGAAAAAAAAAACAAACCGGATTATATTTTTTTTTTGTTCGGCTGTAAATTACCTTATCGCCCTTTGGGATTTACAATCTGAGAAAATATTCCGCTGTTTTCTTCGGAGGACAGGTCACTCACGTCCTGTTCACCGGCGCCGACGTTGACCACCATGCCTCCTCCTCCTCCGCCCAAATCCTCCGATCCACCGCCATTACTAGGCGTTCGCTGACGTGTTCCGTCAGCAGTTTCCTGTAGCTGAAGCGCGAATTCGAGATTCCACAACACATCTCCCATCGTCGGCCGATCTAATCCGCTATCGGAGAGGCATTTCTCCGCCGTATCTGCAAATTTCTTCAAACATTCCGGATTGATCTTCCCTTTCAGGTTAGGATCGACTATTTCCTCTAGAGTCCCTTTTCGTTTGCAATTCATCGCCCAATCTCCGAGACTCACCTGTTCCTTGGGCAAGCTAGGGTTCAAAGCCGGCCTCGCGCATAAGATCTCGAATAGAACAACACCGAAAGAGTAAACATCTGATTTCTCAGTCAATTGTTGTCTTCTAAAGTATTCTGGATCTAAATATCCGAAACTTCCCTTGACGACAGTCGTCACATGGCCTCCGTTCATATTCGGCCCGGTTTTGGATAAACCGAAATCGGAAACTTTCGCAACCCAAGTCTCGTCGAGCAAGATGTTTGTGGTTTTCACGTCACGGTGTATAATCGTGTACTTTGCTCCTGTGTGAAGGTAATGGAGTCCTCTCGCAGCTCCAATGGCGATCTCTAGCCTTCGTTTCCAAGTCAGTTGAGGCCTCTTCGTGTTGTAGAGATGCTCCCTGAGTGTTCCAAGGGCCATGTAATCGTATATCAGACACATTTCTCCTCCGTCGTCGCAGTATCCGATCAAGGACACCAAGTGTTTGTGCCTTAGCCTCGAGAGAAGCTCGATTTCCGTCTCGAATTCGTTTAGGCCTTGTTCTGAGTTCGGGTTTGATTTCTTGATTGCCACTTTTGTGCCTCCATCTATAACTCCTTTGTATACTTTACCAAACCCTCCCACTCCAATTACGTTTGACTCGTCGAAATTTTGTGTCCCGTGTTTGATTTCAGGCAGTGAGAATCTTCTGCATAAACCCGCTGCGAGATTAGATAGGTGGCTTCCGTTGTTGCTCTTACCAGATATAGTAGATTTTGTTGCAGATGTGTGGGAGTTTCCGTAAATAGGAAGCCAGCTCGATGTGTAGGATTCGCTTCCAGGGAACTTTCGTTTCCTTTGATACATGGTGAAGCACAACGCGCAGAGTAAAACCGCTGCAACTCCTCCAGCTGAACCAATGACGAAAGCTGTGATTCTTTTGTCAGTTCGAAACTCCTTTTTACCATCTTCGTTGGCTTGCATAGCTGATGGCTTTGGGTTTGGACCCGCGAGGTTTTTCATCGTCTCCATCTTGAAAATCTCTAGCCCGTTTAGCTGCGAATCGAGATACTCTGGCCTAGCAGCTACAGATGGAGTCATCTGAAGCGAAATCTCCTCGCCTTCTGCTCCTCCGTTGTTGGCATCTACGTATATTGCGTAATCTTTGTATGTTGGGATGCCTTTCCCTCCTGTCCATGCGAGTATATCTGCAGCGTTGGTATCCGCTTGTGCAGTTCTGTTGTTGATGTAAATGTTGAAAGCTTTCTGATTGACTTTAGAAAGCTGGAATTCACAGAAATGGAGTCTCATGATGTAGGTGAAATTCGTATCGACTTGAAACATCCATGTGAGGTTTGATTTGATGTTGATATCTCCGTTTGGTCCCTGTGATCGAGCTGTTTTGTAGACATCGGCTGGAGCGGTTGAAACAGGCATTTTCTGGTAATCAATTCTGAAATTGTTGCTTGCTTGAAGGGTAACACCAAGACCTGCGCTAAATATGTAAGGTGCATCGTTGTACCAAGTTCTGGTTAATCCGCCGGAGTCTTGGCTTCCGGGAATATCCTGACCACCGACATTAAGCCTAAACATCGTCTGAAGATTTGATGTCTTAGCATCTGCTGTCTGGTCTGCGAACCCAACAAGAACAGCCGAATCAAACAGTTCCGGCATCTGAACAACCTCGATGCCGTTAATGAAAGCAAACGCCTTTGGGTGTTTATCTGAGGGAGTAAACGTGATGGTCAAAACATATTTTTCGCTTGGTGCAAGAGAATATTCTCTAACGAGGTAAGCCTGTGTCAAGGCTTGACATGTGATAGCCGCACTGAAGTTGCTTAGAAGGGTAACGTCGTTAGCTGCCACAGAGAAATAAGAGTCGGCAATGTTGAGTCCTGTGTATGTTGATGGGTAGAAATGTAACCGGAGCAAATGTCTTTTGTCTGCTTTAACCGGGATTTCATAAGTTGCAGGAGCTGTAAAGATTCTTGCTGTCATGTAAGGAACTGTCGAGAGAAGCGAAGGATCTTGATAAGTAGCTGTCGCATGAACCGTGTTCGCTGTTTTCAAAAATTTGGTGTCGGATTCCCATTTTTTCTTGTCTGGATCAACAGATGGTTCTGACGCCCCGCAGCTCAACGCAAAATCCTGGCCTTTAGACTTAGAAGGAGAAACCAGAAGAACATAGAAGAAACAGAGGAGGGAAAACAGAATCCGGGTTTTCTCGTTCATGGCTGAAACATTATAAAAAAACAAGCTTTAAATTCTTAGGCGTACAAGACAAGTATTGAAAATAGAGATTACTTTTCTCTATAGGCCTTACCTGAAACACCAACAGAGAAAACTGGAGGCTTGTTTCTTCTCCTATCTACCGCCTAACGATGTCTGAACAAAGCCATGGAAACAAAAGCAGAAACCTCAACAAGACAAAAACTGCTTGTTTTCTTTCTCTTTTGTTTTCTTTTTTCTTCAAAGGGTTATTGGTTTCTTCTCTTTTTTCGGTGTTGTGCTGGAAAGAGAAACAGAAAAATTGGTTGGTGAATCTATGGAGGAGAGTTTTAATAGAAAAAAGCTATATTTAGCAAATTGGTTAGTAGAGGAAAAATATGCTTTTGGTTTCTAACTCGCTTCATAAAATAAATTTCACGACTGTAATTTTTTGGGTGTAAATATATAGAAATTATTTATACTACAATATTGTTTCAAAGATGTAGTAGAATTCTGAAATTTGACTTGTGATCCTTTAAATAGGAAAACTAACAAGTTTGGTCAATGTATATTCTTCTAGAGTAGGATAATTCTGAAACTCGTTTTCTTTTTGGGAGTCAAGAATCTAAACAAAGCTTCCCTAAATATATGGGATGTGTCTTTGTTTCAAATTTAAACAATGGAGGAAAATAGCTCGACTCTCCATTCAATAAATCAATGGTGAGAACTATATTTTTTTCAAATCCTCCATTAAAGCTCCTTGAGTTTCTTTTGTGAGTGTTTATGTGGTCGGGTCAGAAATTTTTTGATGTAGAAAGGGGCATACAGAAGATTTTCTGATCAGCTCGACCCGTAGAAGCTTCTTTGTTGGCCGTGTAAAATTGGTGTCACACGCGGCCAGCAGATGAAGAACATACATTTAGCCCCAAAAGCAAAGCCAAAGCTTTAATATTCTCCTAAGAGGTCAAGAAAATCATCAACGAAAAGCCCTAATTTGCACCAAAAGGTCTTTTCCATCATAAACTCAAAACCCTTTCCTTGCATTACAAACTACCTCTTCAAAGTGATAAAAAAAAAAATATGGTGAGGAGAAGAGAAGGCCTTACCTTACCAATCTCGACTTCAACGCCATCACTTCCTGAGCCACCACCTGATGTTAGAATAGTGGCGCCATTAGGCTCGCAGAAACCAAAGCAGCGGTTATCTAAGCAATTATCAATGCGTGAGACACCACGAGATGTTGCTTGGGAAAAAAGGCGCCGTCAGATGTTAAAGATTCAAGAGAAGAAGCACAAAGGCGTCTCTGAAAACGAATATGATCCAACGGATCTAACCGATGAAGACTTAAGGGAGCTCAAAGGATCGATCGAGTTAGGGTTTGGTTTCAAGGAAGAAGCCGGATTGAAGCTGTGCAACACATTACCAGCATTGGATCTTTACTTTGCTGTGAATAGGCAGCTTTCTCCTCTACCTTCACCTAGTAGCAGCCGTAGCAGCAATGGAGGAGATGGCTCCTTGTCTTCTACTTCTGCTTCCTCAAGCAGCATACCTTGTAGCCCCAAAACTGATTCAGATTCCTTAAAGATCTTGTGCCCTGGTAAAACTAAACTTCCACTTTCATCTTTTTATAAAAATGCTGATTTAGATTTCTTGCGTTTAAATAAATAACTAAACTAATCACCATGAGTTTGAGTTTTGTAGGGGACAATCCTCAACAGGTGAAACAAAGATTAAGGCACTGGGCACAAGCTGTTGCATGTTCTGTGATGCAATCTCACTAATGAGTGTGTATAGGTTGTAACTCTAAGTTTCAACTTGAAGTATTTTTTTTTTAATTTTGTTGGTGAGATAGGACAGAGAATGAATCCTACTAAGTAGGATCTCTCTGAAAGAGGTAAGAACAGAAAAAGATGGAAATTTTTTGAGGAAAAAACAATAGAGAGAGTAAGAGATTTTGGCTCTCTCTACATACTTGTGGAAAGGGAACAAGAAACAAAAGAGGAAGCCCTTTCTTATTCATGTACTGTATGCATATGACCTTTTAATATATGGTCGTGGATTTGATGAATGTTTTCCTTAAGAACCTTACATGTGTAATTGCAAATGCAGGGATCTATGATTAAAATTTTTTGACAGTATTTTACTTGTGTATTCATAATATATGTAGTAGCATTAATGGAACTAAATAGGTAACAAAAGATTTATTATACATTTCATATTGCGCATTAAGATCCAAACTCCTGTGATCCTACTCAACCCACAAAAGCTACAAATCAAAGTCAACATCAACACAAAAGCTACAAAACAAAGTCAACATCAACACAAAAGCTCATCAAAAGAAGTTTCATAATGCCTTCTCCTAGCATGAAGAATGAGATTTCTTATAACCCGACTTTTAACAAACGTATATTCTCTTCTTCTTTCTGTTTCTCGGCTCTCCAAATAAGTGAAGTGATTCTATTGTTTCTGACTTTTGAATGTTGAAGTTGTTCTCACAGATAAACACTTCAACATACCGGTCTTAATTACTTTGATTTCTTATAACAAAAATCAAAATTTGAACGTTGAAGACTTGAAGTTATTCTCACAAATATACACTTCAACATACCAATCTTACTTTGATTTCTAATAACAAAAATTGGTTTTGGTTCCATTAAGCTTTTTTTTTTTTTTTTTGGACAAAGTTTCATTTAAGCTTTTCTCTTCCAAAATCCATCCATAATTTCGTAGACAATATTCCGTCATTGGTAAAAGAATGGATCAGAGTAGGGGCAACTTAGTAATATGACAATATAAATTTAATTTCTCACTACTCTCTACTTTTTCTTTTGACATCAAATTTCTAACACGACTCAAGTGTATAACCTAGAAAAACCTTCACGCCGGGAAAACAACCCTTCACCGTCGTTAGCTGTATTTCAGCTACCGCGCCGTCGAAAATTAGTTCCTCCCAGTCTCAGGTACGCTTCTTAACCTAATTCCGCCTTCGCAATTCAATGTGGTTTCGTTGAATAAGCTCACAACTCCCTCGTTTTTGGCCTTTTCTCTATTGTAGATCTAAGGATATGGCTATTTCCAAGGATCTTTATCCATCTCAGGAGGATCTCTTATACGAGGAGGAGATTCTGCGTAATCCATTTAGCTTGAAACTTTGGTGGAGGTATTTGATTGCTAAAGCTGAATCTCCTTTCAAAAAGCGATTCATTATCTACGAGAGAGCTCTAAAAGCTCTTCCTGGAAGCTACAAGTTGTGGTACGCTTATCTTCGAGAACGACTCGATATCGTCAGGAATCTCCCTGTTACTCATCCCCAGTATGATTCACTCAACAATACATTTGAGAGAGCTCTCGTCACGATGCACAAGATGCCCAGGATTTGGGTCATGTATCTTCAGACTCTCACGGTGCAGCAACTGATTACTCGAACCCGGAGAACTTTTGACCGTGCGCTCTGTGCTCTGCCTGTGACGCAGCATGATAGGATCTGGGAGCCTTATCTTGTCTTTGTGAGCCAGGAAGGTATTCCGATTGAGACCTCTCTTAGGGTTTATCGAAGGTATCTCATGTATGATCCTACTCATATTGAGGATTTTATTGAGTTTCTGGTGAAGTCTGCTCGCTGGCAAGAAGCTGCAGAGCGATTGGCCTCTGTGCTGAATGATGATAAGTTCTATTCTATTAAAGGGAAGACCAAGCATACGCTTTGGACGGAGTTGTGCGAGCTTCTTGTGCACCATGCTAATGTTATTTCGGGTCTCAATGTTGATGCTATTATCAGGGGAGGCATTAGGAAGTTCAAGAACGATGTTGGGATGCTGTGGACTTCTCTGGCGGATTACTACATTAGGAAGAATTTGCTTGAGAAAGCCAGGGATATCTATGAAGAGGGTATGATGACAGTGGTTACTGTGAGCGACTTCAGTGTTATATTTGATGTTTATTCAAGGTTTGAGGAAAGCACTGTTGCCAAAAAGATGGAGATGATGAGTTCAAGTGATGAAGAAGATGAGATCGAAGAGAATGGCGTAGAGGAGGATTATGATGATGTCCGTCTCAATTTTTCTCTGTCGGTAAAAGAGCTGCAGAGGAAGATACTGAATGGGTTTTGGCTGAACGATGATAATGATGTTGATCTGAGATTGGCTCGCTTGGAAGAACTGATGAACAGAAGACCTGCACTTGCAAACAGCGTGCTCCTTAGGCAAAATCCGCACAATGTTGAACAATGGCATCGTAGGGTCAAAATTTTTGAGGGAAACCCAGCAAAGCAGATTCTCACATACACAGAGGCAGTGAGGACTGTAGATCCTATGAAAGCAGTTGGGAAGCCTCACACGTTGTGGGTTGCTTTTGCCAAGTTGTATGAAAACCATAAAGACCTGGTCAATACAAGAGTGATTTTGGACAAGGCAGTCCAGGTAAACTACAAAAACGTGGACCATCTCGCCAGTGTGTGGTGTGAGTGGGCTGAGATGGAGTTGAGGCACAAGAATTTCAAAGGAGCATTAGAGCTGATGAGGCGTGCTACTGCTGTACCGACAGTAGAAGTCAGACGGAGAGTCGCTGCTGATGGGAATGAGCCAGTCCAGATGAAGCTGCATAGATCCTTGAGGCTCTGGTCCTTTTACGTTGATTTGGAGGAAAGCCTCGGGACGCTAGAATCGACGAAAGCAGTCTATGAGAAGATAATGGATTTGAGGATAGCTACGCCTCAAATTATTTTAAATTATGCTTTTCTTCTTGAGGAAAACAAGTACTTTGAAGATGCTTTCAAGGTGTATGAAAGAGGTGTCAACATATTCAAGTATCCTCATGTCAAAGACATATGGGTAACTTATCTTACAAAGTTTGTTAAGAGATATGGGAAGACAAAGCTGGAGCGGGCGAGAGAGTTGTTTGAGCATGCAGTTTCAAAGGTAAGCTCATCTATTCCTTTACACTTGCTGGTTGATGAAACAAACAAAAAGTATAACTGCTTTCAAATGGCCAGTTACTCACAGAACTTGTCTATTGATGTGGTGATATAGTGCGTGATCTAACTTTTCTTTTTATCTTTCTTTCAGGCTCCATCTGATGCTGTTAGGACCTTGTACCTTCAGTATGCTAAGCTAGAAGAGGATTATGGTCTGGCCAAGCGAGCCATGAATGTTTATGAGGAAGCCACCAAAAAGGTTCCAGATGTCCAGAAGTTTGAGATGTATGAGATATACATTTCCCGTGCAGCAGAGATATTCGGTGTTCCCAAAACTAGGGAGATATATGAGCAAGCAATAGAGTCTGGACTTCCACACAAGGATGTGAAGCTCATGTGCATAAAATTTGCAGAGGTGGAGAGAAGCTTGGGAGAAATTGATCGTGCTCGTACAGTCTACAAGTATGCCTCACAGTTCGCTGACCCAAGGTCCGACCCTGAGTTTTGGAACAAATGGCATGAATTCGAGGTTCAGCATGGAAATGAAGACACCTACAGAGAAATGCTTCGGATCAAGCGTAGCGTTACCGCAAGCTACAGTCAGGTTAGTTCTTTTATCCCTCTGTGTATACATACTTTAAGATTTTTTGTGCGGTTGGAAGCTGAATGCATGTATTTTTGTTTTTCAGACTCATTTCATTCTACCAGAGAACATGATGCAAAAGGACAAGATGGTAGACGTGGAGGAGGCGAAAGATGAGCTGAAGAAAGCAGGTTTGCCAGAAGATCAAATGGCAGCTTTGGAGAGGCAGCTCATGGCTCCAACGTCGACCACAGATGCGTCAAAAGATGGTGGAAGAAGAGTTGGGTTTGTGAGCGCAGGAGTCATTTCACAGTCGGGTGAGAATGAAGGGAAACCAGTGACAGGGAACGGAGAAGATATCGAGCTTCCAGAAGAGAGTGACGATGATGAGTCTGATGGAGAAGACAGAGTAGAGATCGCTCAGAAAGAAGTCCCTGCTGCTGTGTTTGGAGGACTCTCGAGAAAGAGAGAGGAAGACGGCAAAGAAGCTGCGGAAGGCGGTGAGAAACTGGGTGCGTTGGAGAGGTTAAAGAAACAGAAACTAGCTCAGTGAATCCAATCCTGTAGCACAGTTTCTATTCTCGTGCTTACGGATTGGGATTGTATCATCCAAGAACAAGATCTTAGAGAGTTATGAGAAATTTTGTATTTTTGTTTCGTCTCAGTACCTTACCACCATTTGTTTACTGCAGAGTTCTCTATACTCTTTCCAGTTCCTTGGTCTTAACTCTTAACTAGAAAAACTATCTACAGTTGACAAATTATACAAACTTTGATATAGGCACAAAAGAAGAAGAAAATTGTACATGTAAATTGGGTAAAATAGTATGGGCCAGATCGAGGGTTGAAAATTAAAAAAATTGGTTTAGACTCTAATTCTTTAGATATCTTCTTATATATAGAACTTGCCTAACTCTCCCTAATTGAGTGACACATCATCATAAAAATGACATGTGTTACTTTATATAATTTAGAGTTACAATTTTTTTTTTAAATAGTAAATTCATAAATTTTATTTTTAAACCAGTCAAAACAGTTTTGTGTATTAATTGATTGATATTCATTTTGTTTTTATATAATTCACAATTTTTTTTATTAATATTGCATTTTAAATTAATTTCAAGTGGATACATATCAACCTCTCCAGTGCTAACGTAACAAGCCGCTGGAGAGAGTTGATCAAGTTTTATAATATAGATATTGATTTACTTAGAGAAGCCAATTTACAATTTCATTATATTTCGGATTTGTTGGTATCAAGTTTTATAGGTGTAACTTTAACACAAAAAGAGTTTTATAAGTTTAACTATAATATCAGCATTTGTATTTTTTTTTTATTTTGAGGCGACTATATTTGTGTTTGTAATGCAGTTAAGTAGATCTAGATAGTAATTTGAAAACAAACAAATGTATCTAAATTGATGGTATTGACTATTGATCTCTTTTGCAATACGTTTAATTTTTGTGACAGTTGAATGAATATATGAGAAAACCTAACAAATGAAAAGAAAAGAAAAAGCAAATATCAAACTCAACGAAGAACATATGCACAAATGTGGCACATAAAACATATGATTATAAATGGCTTAAGACCTAACCAATTCACCGAACCAATTTGTTATATCTATTTCAGATTTAAAAAAAAGAAGAGATGGACGGTTTACTGAACAGCATGGCTGATCTTGATTACTCTTAACAACTCATATTAGAAACGAGCATTACATGGTGTTACTCTATAGAACAGAGGTTGGAAATGCTAAAGAATGTTTTTTTTGATGATTTCAATGAATTCATTCCTATTTTGCGATCGCAGATATATAATTCACATTCTAACGGTTAAAATCTACGTAGTCATTTCAGTACATTCAAATGATTAACTTACTTTTCATATGTCAATTGCCGGCATGCTTTGGTGATCTTTTGAAAGAAGAAGCAGAGGAAATATCAACACTGCTGCAGAGTGTGGAAATACCTGCTCTCCCAAAAGAATCAAGAAAAAATAAAAGGATTGACCTTGTTGGCACAAGGCTTACAAGAAAAAATAAAAGGATTGACCTTGTTGGCACAAGGCTTACAAAAGATGTCATGGTCAAAATCATGTCTGAGGCCAATTCGTTAGCAAATGTACAAACTTAAACTGGATTATTATTATTGCTTATTTATAAGTTTGTCAGTTCGTCTCCTGGCTCATGGTTGATTTTTTTTTATTGCTTATTTATAAGTTGTCATTCATAAATAGAATATATTATAATTTGTTTCCTGGCTCATGGTTGAATTTGTTTGTAAATTTACTTTCAAATTGGAAAAAAAGAAGACGATCCTCGGAAAACAACTCTTTTGCTTCTCTTCAACTCTATGATATAGGAAAAGTTTTCGTATCACTTAAAGGTTTGTTAGGGAACCAATATTCTTTATTTAGTCTATAAATTTATTTTGAAATCTACAATTGTGTCCCTAACACTTTTTGTCTCTTCTAACATGTAGTCACTGTGAAAATAAGAAAAACTGTGCCAACATCTAAGAAAGGTTCTCCACAAAATCAAAACAAAGACAATGGTTAGGATCTTGTTTATGTGCTACTTATATGAACAAAGAATTCATGTTAGCTTTGAGAGTTATGTTTCTGGTTCTCTTTTTTTGAGATTGTGAGATGTATGTTGAATAGTTATGTTGAATTAGGTGTTAGTCAATCTTTCTTTTCCCAGGCATATATTTTTTGTCTCCAGGAAAAAAAAGAAACTTGGATATGATGTTGGGTGTGAATGTCAGTTTATGGGTGAAATCAATGTTTTCTCTATCACCGTCGGTGTACAACCAACAGATTCGTTGGAACGAATAAATGAATTCATAGAGAACTATATGGGGGTTATTGGTAAGTGTTTTACTAGAATTCAAGTTATTATCTAGTTTTTAAAATTGAGCTTCGTTCATCATTTAATTTGGTAATATTTATAGGAAGCTGTTGGTGATGCTTCTTTTAAAAAACAAATATGAAACTCTACGAAGAACATATGCACATTAGTTACACGTTAACATATGACTATAAATGGCAAGACCTCACCAACTCACATTTCAGTGGCTTTCACTCGTATTCTCTCAAAGTGAGTAGATGATATACAACTAATCTGCTTTTTCTGTTATACGTGATTGATAGAATTTTGGATGATTTCTCTAAAGCCTTGTAATTTATTTTTGAAAAAGCCAGAACTATATCTTATCCAAGTATTAGGCCATGGTGAGTTATTCAATCTTGTGTATTATTCCATATCCAAGTATTATGTCATGGTTTTGTAGCAATTTTAACCATCTATCAATGTATTTATTTTTAATAGTGTAAATGATCCTTATACTCCTCCGTATATTGGCCAAGACAGCAAGGTGTATAAGTTTGTGGACAAGTCTTATATATCACTATGGCACAAATGTGAAGAATTCCTCCCAGCTGTGAACTTCTGTGCGTATCTGAATGTCACAGATAATATCACAAATCATCTTATGGTTGACGGAAATGAATCTTGGTTAATAATTTCATTGTCACTATCAGAACACAACAAAGAGGAATAATTTACATCATTTATTCCAACATTCGAAACGGTTTGAAGTACGAATTCATCTTAAAATTTATATTTCATATCACATCCTTTTTGTCAATTTTTGTTATAATTTTCATCTATCAATTTATCATATCTATTTCCGGTTATCATAAAAGTTAAGGCGAGATCTCGATTTAACAGCATCTCAGATCTTCAAGAGCACTCTGGCCAGCTCATGTTAGAAATGACAATTAAAGGGTACGTTGAAGATGCGTTCAAGGTGTATGAAGAAGGTGTCAAAATATTCAAGTATCCTCATGTGAAAGACATATGGGTAACTTTTCTTACAAAGTTTACGAGATATGGGAAGAAAAAACAGGATAGAGCTAGAGAGCTGTTTCAATGGTAAGCTCTTCTATCCTTTCACTCATGCTAGTTAATAGGCTGCTTTGTGATGATATTGTGCTTGATCTAACTTGTCTATTTATCTTTCTTTCAGGCTCCATCTGATGCTGTCAGGACCTTATACCTTCAGTATGCAAAGCTAGAAGAGGATTTTGGTCTGTCCAAGCGAGCCATGAAGGTCTATGAGGAACACCAAGGTCTTAACTACTAGAATATTACATTCTTGAATCTGTTTGTGCAGTTTTTATCTTAGGTTCATCTGGTGTTAAAAATTGAATGTTTAGCAAGGTGTTCTTTGTTCTTAAGAAGAAAAGCTTTATAGATTCAAATCAAACACCATGGGGCTAATTTTCATAGGAACATTACTCTGCTTCCTTCAAAAAGAGTATTTGATCTAAACTCATTGCACAAATTGTTGTAGCTACAGTAAAAAGTGAAGCCTAAAGTCTCATCTTCATTCATACACTGTCCTTTGAGCTCGACGAAACTTCAGTTTTTTCCTCTTCCTTTTTGCTCATTGCTACCGGAGATGAGTCAGCAACAGAATCTTCAGGTTCTGTCTTAAGCTCAGATTCAAACTCTTTTGCAGCCTGCGTCATTACACAAACCCAACAAGCCTTCATCAATGCAAATTGAAAGACAAGAGCTTAAAGGAAACACAAAACATACAATTAGAAGCTAATATATATATATATATATATATATATATCTTAGAAGAACCATGAGCCATAACAATTACCAGTAAGTTTTATAGAAAATATAAAGCTAAGAATATCACTCTAATAATGGAATCACGAGCATTGGTGTGATCGGTTTTGGAAAGAGAATAAGCTACATAACAACATGTTTTGGATCTATAAGCTATACAGCAAAGTTATCAATGAGCTTACTGTTTCATGGTGGACTATTTAACAAGCAAATCAAATGTTTTGTTCTTGATCTCTACTCTATACAGCAAAGTTTTACCCACTCAATTTCCAATCTTTCTGATTTTTCTTATCAATTCTTCACAAATCCAGACAGAACTCATACAGCAACTAAACACTTGAAACATAAAATTCCCAAAAACGCATCCCTCCTTATAAGACCTTTTACATCAATTCCAAATACAATCAACAAGCTTTTCACATGAACTGGCAAAAGAAACTCCAGAACTGCATATTATCTTCTTCAATTCAAGTGAATACACATCAAATTTATTAGCAGCTAAACTGAAATTTCGAATTCCAAATTCCAAATTCAATCTCTATTCTTCTAATCAGCAAACCTGTTGAAAGCTCTTGACGGTCTTCCCAATACTCTTTCCAATCTCAGGAAGCTTCTTAGGTCCGAATAGCAACGCAGCGACACCAGCGATCACAGCAAGCTCAGGGACACCGAGACCAAACAGGGCATTACAAGTGAGTGGCTTTCCCCTCGGCTCTGGTCGGATTCTTGGTCGAATCGCCACCAAAGAACGGGTACTTGGTCGGGTCGTCACTGTGAAGCAATTGGAGAAGAAGGAAGAGCGAGATGATGATAGAGGCAGAGAAACTGGTGGGGGAGAAGATAGAGTCGCAACAGATGTCGCCATTTCTGCTCTCTTTTTTTTATTTTCTTTTTCTTCTGGCTCTACTTCTCTCTGTGTTCTTTCTTTTATCCAATACTAAAATAAATTAAAAAAAAGGAAATTCTTTTTTTTCAGCTACTATACTATAATACTTAAAAAAATTAATTATACAGTTCTTCCAAATATATGTGCTCAACATGAGTCTACAGATTAATGAAATATGCAGTTCTTCCAAATATTTTTGGTTATCATCAATTTTGCAAAATTAACATATTAGTTCTACTAAGTTCACTTAACAAGAAATTAATGGATAAAATGAAGACGCTTGAATTTGATAAATCCTTGCTACCTTTGCAGTATTTACAGCAGATGATGTTGGAGACAAATTGTTGAAGAAAAAGAAGAAGAAGAAGAAGAAGACAGAATCAGAGATAACTAAGTGTACTTCAAAATGGTTATTAGAAAAAGAAAAACAGACAACTTTTTACAGAACAATATTAACTTTTGACTCACTCTCTGTTTCTCTCTTGTGACGATGTTACAAATCAAGTTTCTTCTTAGCAGCTACTTACTGATCCCCAACGCTTCGAATACGTTTCTGCAGATGTTCCAAGCTAGCAACTCTACGCATCGAAGCTGTTCTGTTCATTTTGCACCCGATCAAGGCCTTGCTTTTGTTGCCTGAGCTGGTCTCTGGTGGTGTGGTGACGTGGATGCTTTCGTCTAGAGAATTTGATGTCTCTGGAGGAAGAGACACTGTTGAAACCTGAGGCATGGTGTGGAACATTGGGTTGAAGCCAGTGATTCTCTTCACTGTCTCCTCAGCCATTTTCACCTGCAATATAACATGTTTCAACAGTCTTTAGTATAGGTAAAGTGAGTTTTGCTTTACTCTTTTTATCCGAGAGAAATAGTTGGTTTACCTTGGCTCGTAATGTTTCGATATTGGCTTTCAAAACTCTGTTTTCTACAGCTGCGTCATTGAATGTCTGAGTTACCTCAGTGAGACCTTTCATGAGCTTGGAATTCTCTACACGAAGCTGTGAAACCTGCCAAAGCGAAAATACGAGATGGAGATTGTAAGATGTGAGCTAAGAAGGGTAAAGAGAAAGAAACAAATGTGGCGAGATTAACATACTTGTGTCTCTAGCTCACTCAGGTGTGCTTGCTTTCTTCTTCTGGACCGTCTAGCTGATTCCCTGTTAGAAAGCATTCTGTAATAAACAAACAGTAAACAAACAAATGTTCATATTCAAGCCAGATTTAGTATCCTGAGAGGCAATTCAAAAATGGGAAGTAGATGTGTTTTATTACCTTCTCACACGCTTAACATTAGAAGGGTTCATATTTGTTTCACCATCAGCTTCTTCTTCATCACCTGAGAGCTCAGATCCACTTGTTATAGCACTGCTCATCATTGGTGTAGCTGCAAATGAGAACAATACAGATTAGTTCCATTAGAATGAGCGGATTTGAGATTTGTGTTAATACGCATTTACAAAGAACTCTTAAACATCGCATGTGCAAACACAATAACTATCAACAATATCATTAAGGGGTAAAGCCGTAAAGGAATCAAAACACGTTTTAGCTTCTATACAAGCAAGAATAACAGAATTCAGAAAACATGTATGAGCAATATAAAAAAAAAAAAAACCTTTGGAAGAAGCTAGAGAGGCTTGTTCTGATGCACTGGATGTGTATGCTCCTCCATTCTCAGATCTACCAGACGTCTCCTGAGGTTTAATGAAAGATCCCTGCCAAGTTTCGATTTCAACACCACAAAACAACTAACGAAGAAAAAGTTGTAATCTTTAGAAATAGCAAACGGTTCTCTTCTAACTCAAATCAACTCTAGAGAAGAGATGAAAGTTCACAACTTCAAAATCATGTCCCCGAGATCCATACATCCTAATACTCAAAATGAAAAAAAAAAAAAAAAGCTTGGTTCTCTTATAAGTCAGCTTTTCAAAACTCATCAATCTCTCAAAAGCTTCGAGTTTGAAACCCCAAGCATGTGAGTCGATTCAACTAACTGCAAGAAATCTAGCTTACAGATAAAAAGGTTTGATTTTTCCATCCACTAGGAACAACTACATTTGCACATCGAAAGCTATCATCATCAACCGATTTCGTGCAAATGTTAATGTAAAAAAATAAAAGCATCCAAATTCGGAAACTAAAAATCCAAACGAAAACATACTAAAAATGAAGCGTGAGCAGAGAGAGATTGATTTTATACCCTTTTCATGGCGACAGCAGCACAAGCTAGATTGAGTTTATTCTTAAGGAACTCTCTGTATTCCTCGGAATCGACCGGAACACTCGGAGAAGGAGGTCCAGAGACGGAAACACCAGACGCCGTCGTAGCTTCTCCGGCGGCTGAGGATTCTTGTATGAAACGATGAAATGCCCACTCGGAGTCGCTACGATTCATCGCCGTCGTTCCATCGGCCTCTTTCGCTAGCTCCGACCAGAGAAGGTTACCGGAAAATTCTTCAACGGAGAAAACCTTTTCCATTTTTGTTAATAAATTTGTTTATTTCTCCCTACAAATTTCTTCTTATCCGATTGGGCAGTCTTTGAATTTTTATAATATGTTCTTTTCAACTTTAATATATATATTTTTTTTGGTGAGATATTTAATTTTTCCGCAAGGCCCCGTTAAGAATGTTTATTCCCATTGACACCAAAAACTTTTGGTTTATTCAGTTAGGTCACTATTTTCTAGTTGTATGTAAGTATGTAACTAAAGAAAACAACATGACTCCGTCACTAAAGCTCTCAAAACAGCTCTAGAAGGTGTGAAATATACGCAAATGCACCTGATAGTTGAATCTTTTTGATTAATTGAGTGTCTTAATTTCTAAAGAAAAAAATGCAGGAAAACAAAAAAAAAAAAACAATTTGAAATTTAGGTTTCAAATGTGATGATATGAAAAAGGAATCAAGATTTAAGGGCCACATGACCCAATAATAAAAAAAAGAAGCAGTAGAACTTTTTTTTTTTGAATTGGGTCCAAGAATTTTGGAATGCAAAGCTTTCTTTTTCCCCAGGATTTAAAGATTATAGTGAACCATACATAAAGTTCCCTGGCCAATTGTATACACTAATGTGTATATGAATCAATATTTGCTTACAATCAATGATAACACAAGACTTTGAGGGGCTTGAAGAAATATCTTTGATTCATTGACAAATCTACACGTAATAAGATTGTTTTTGCCTTGTTGGATTTAATATTTGTATTCCAACGCTTTTTGGGTCAAATCCAAGTCAGACTAACGTGGCAAGAGGGGTATTTTGGTTAATCTGGAAGTTGATCGGCGTCGAAGGATATTTAAATAGTATAGTCGTCTTTGTTTTTGTAACTTCATTTCGTGGGTCCATTTTTTTTTGCTCAAAAGATTTCTATTTAGGTCCGTCTATTTAATTAATATTCCCATTTGCATTTTACAAAGTTTACAAATGAGGAGGGATCCGAGAGGGACGTAAGATATGGTTGTTTAGTCAAGTTAGATTAGAGAAATGTACTAAACTTATCATTCTTGGATAAGAATCTATCCAATTCAAGTTGCATTTTCGTGGGTCCATTAAGTTTTTGCACATGTGGAGGTACGTTTGTGCGAAACGTCTTGTTGAGAGAATCTATCAAAATAACAATTTCAATTTTAGTTTACAGAATCCTTTTCTTGCATTAGAAACAAAGATATGCAGTAAATAATTGTCTAAAAAAAAAAATTCATCAAAATACATGTCTTATAAAGTTATAAACATATTCCAAAACAATTTCATGTCACTATATTAGGTTTTCGTGGATTTTTTCAAGTCAGATGATCTGTTCAATTTTTGTTTTTTTTGTTCTTTTCAATTTCAAGCCTTCTAAAAGAGTATATGGTTATCTCTTATTTCATTTACTTTTTATTGATGCTTCAGCTCTGCCTTGAAAAACAAAAATTCAGCATACATCGCTTAAAAACATATTCTAAATAGTTTCATACCGCTAAAATCTTTTAAAGTCAAGTGATCTGTTCAATTTCAGACCATGTCGTTTCATGTGGGATTTATCTCATTCCCTATAAACGAGTGTATTTTATCTCTTAGTTTTAACTTTTTCATCGTTTATCTCTTAGATTTAACTTTTTTCCGTTTGTGCTCTGATGATTTGTTTTCTATTTAATAAATAATATACTAATGCAAAAAGATTGGAAAGATAAAATTGCTGAGAAAAGGATGGGCAAACAGGTGGGACGTGTTAAAGGGCCAACGTGAAAGGTGATAGCTCATTCATTATGGACAAAAAGTAGGCCCCATTTATCTAGCAACAAGGCTTCATGGGCCCAGAGTTTTCCCTCCTTTAGAACCACATTAAATATTTGTTCATGTTTTTCCACGAGCAATATTTCAATGTCATTCGCTCCACAATTTATTGGTCCAACACAATGTTTTGGAATGTTCAAATAAATTTGAGTACTAATTACTCATATTTTATAGTGGATATGGTTTATGCTCTAGTCACTTTCCCTACATTTGCTTTGTTTGATATTTTCAAAATGTAAGAATGTATCAAATGGGGGATAATCCACTTTTTGACATATGAGTTATAAGGCTCATAAGGAGATTTGTAGCCCATTATAGTCCACCATAGCAGGCCCGTAATGGCATTACCGTAATATTTACTAAACGTCAGGCCTTAAACTATAACGTTAGGGAGAGAGTCAGCGATTTTGACAGACTTCCATTGACTAAGGAAAAAATAAGAAAAAAACAAAAAAGTTTTCGAAACGGTCTTTCTCCGTCACCTAACCTCTGAAGTCACAGCAGGTGATCTCTCTCTCCTTCTCTCGAGAGAAATGTCGAACGCGGGATTGACGATTTTCGACGGTGAAGTGCTTAGATCCATCGATCTCAAGCTACCGGAGCTCGAACATACCGTCACCGGAGCTCAGCTTCTTGAAATCTCTGAATCTAAGGTTTCTGAGTCTCTCTCGGGCCTCTCACTGCCGCCGCACCTCAAAGAAGCGGCGATCTCCAGAGTATCCTCAGGAGACGAAGTCAATTTCCGGCGTACGGATTTCAACAGCCAACAAGCATCTGAGAAACTCGGAGTATTTGTCTCCGCCGTTGCCGATGCTCTTAGAGGTATTAGCGATAAATTCATATGACTTAGTTCTGTCTCCGATGATCCCTTTTATATTGTGTATTAGCGATAAATACACTCCCGAAATCTTAACTGTACAGAACTTTTCAGCTAATCTGATCAAATAGATTAAGCCGCTATGGATCATGGAAATTGGATATGCGTAAATGCACATGTTGTGTGTTCGATGATTGATGTTGATCGTCGAATTTGGCGTACTTTGTTGTTGAAAGAAAGAGAATAGGCTTTTTTCATAGATTGATTGATGCAGATACTTGGTCTCTCTAGCTTATTTTACTGAATGTTACAGAGTGATAATTTTTTTACAGATACTCCAATTGTGGTCTCAATTCTGGATGGGAGTACGTTGAAGTTATTTTTGGAGGATGAGGATGATTTTGCAATGTTGGCAGAGAATCTGTTCACCGATTTAGATGAAGAAGATAAAGGAAAGCTTTGCAAGAGCGAGATACGAAAAGCTCTTTTACACATGGGTGTTGAGATGGGTGTCCCTCCACTCTCAGGTTTGTTCTTTCTTCCTGTTTTACTTTGCCTTTTGAGGTCAATCCTTTCGAAATCGGTTTTAGTTGTGTTTGGTCTTAGGCGCCACAGATATTTAGCAGCAGTTACATAGTTTCTCTTGTAGCATCAATTCCGTAAAGGACTTGCAAAAAATTATAGTTTTCAGGTTTTTCTTTATTCCATATTCTGTTCCTTCCACGTGATTAAAGTCAACCTCCTAAGCTCCTATAGGTGTACCATGTATTTCTGCTTTTGGTATTTGTGGATTTAGAATTCTACATTCTGTTTACCTTTGAATCGTTTCATTCCCACTAGCGTTTTAACATAGTCCGGCTTGTTTGGAACAGAATTTCCCATCTTAGATGACATCATCAAGAAGCACGATGCTGATGGTGATGAAGAGCTTGGACAAGCACAGTTTGCTGAACTATTGCAGCCAGTTCTACAAGGTATAGCAGACGTCCTTCATGAGAAACCAATAACCATTGTCCAGAACGTTGAGATTTTCACTGGATCAAGGCTGCGTAAGGTTAGTCTACTCTCTGCTGCTTATAAAATTTAGAATTTCTAAAGAACACATACATAAACTTTACATGTACTTTTTATTCTTTTAAAAAAGCATGGATCTTTGACCAGCTCTAACAACCTATTTTTCTCAGATTCTGGCAGACGAGAAGACGCTCAAGTGTCTCGTAGAGAAAATGATCTCGGAAGAGTCTAAAGGGAAAGACAGCCAAGGACGGGCAGATCTTATAAAGAGTTTGATAATAAAGAACGGGAAAGAGTTGGGATTGCCTCCATTATCTTCAGAGAACGAATCAGTGGCTCTTCTCTATGACAACATATTTTCTCAGTTAAATAACAGAGAGAAAGGAAGCGCTGATGCTTCCACAGAAGAGGGGTTTATGGATGCTGTCAAAGATGTACTCAGGAAATTTGAGGAGTTGCTCGAAACCACACCGGTATATTCTGCTATTACCAATCTCTAAAGCTGGCCATTATACTCCGTATATTCCGTAAATCGATCATTAACTTAAAGAGAGAAAGACAGCGAAGATTCACATAATCTTTGAGAGGTATATTATTATTGTATATCTGAGAATCTCAGTCACACCCCAATTGTCTTTCCCATTTGGTCTGAATCAAAAATATGGATGATAGATGATTTTGTTCAAAAGTAAAGCAATTAAGTATTTTGGGTAAATTTGACATCTTTTTATGTATCTATAAACTTATAGATCCATACACCCATTAAAATCTTCCCAGTAGAACGTACCACGAAAGGTAGTCTGAAAATAGGAAACATGTGACTTTTGTAGTTAATCAGTGTGGGCCTGTGGGGGATATTTATCAACGTGCAGTTCCCATAACGTGCGGCGTCAGAGAAAGGACAAAACGTGCGACTCTTTTAGCCGAGGAATGTGTGAGATAAAAAAAAAAAAAAGGTTGGACGTCAGAGATGGGACAATAAAAAAAGAATGGTGAGTGATCCTTAAGCCCTAGAAATGTGTAAAGAGATGATAGATATATTGATAAGACGAGAGAAAAATCTCAAACTTGGCCACTTGATTATTGGTACCACAACAACATCAACTTGACGATGATGGTGAACATACTGTGAAAGGACCACAACTATTATCGACTTAACAAGGAAAACTTTCTCAATTAAATATTAAAACAAGAATTAGGGGATTTACTACAGAATGAGAGAAAGACATCAAATCCAAAACATTTATTATTGCTCTTTTTTTTCTTCGTAGGAAAGCGTGTATCTAAACATTTTACTAGCCTTAATTATATAAATTAACTAAGGCAATTTTTGAGCTTGAAATCATCTTTCACTCTTTTCCATCAGCCGCGCGGAGTGATCCAAGCTGAACCGGTGCTTGAGTCCCAACCACCTTTGATGAACCGTAAAGCGTAACATCACTGCCTTTAGCCTTCTCCTTCTCAATTTGTTCCTTTATCCAGAAGTAGGTTATTCGAAGCCCCTCCTGATTATACCAACATCAGATCGTTACTCTCACAAAAAGATGCAAACTCTTATCTTATCTTTGAAGCTACTTAAGTCACAATGTTTTTTGGTACCTTCAATCTCATTGTTGGAGCCCAACCAAGCTTTTCTTTTATCAGATTGTTGTCTGAGTTACGGCCACGAACACCTTCTGGGCCTGGAATGTGGTGAATCGGAAGATTCTTCTCCTCAAAGCTGAGAACCATCTCAGCCATCTCATTCATGCTCACCATCTCATCGCTTCCAATGTTCACCGGCTCACGGAAATCTGATTTTGTCAACCTTAAAAAAACAACAATGAAGGAAATACACTCAGAGAAGTTATGTGCATCAATAGATTTTATCATTTTCTATTTTGGAGCTACTGTCTCACCTAAGCACACCTTCAACACACTCATCAATGAAGGTGAAAGAGCGGGTTTGAAGCCCGTCTCCCCACATCTCAAACCTATCCGTGGAGGTGAGAGCCTTTCTGCAGAACGCAGCTGGAGCCTTCTCTCTTCCACCTGAAGTGACCAATTTGTACAGCAAATATTAAACCCGATAGTGAACAGATAAATGGTAAGCGCAAAAGACTATTTCTTTATCTGTTTACCTTTCCACGTTCCAAAAGGACCGTAAATGTTATGGAACCTCCCAATGCGGCACTCAATTCCAAAATCTTTGTTGTAATGCTTGCACAACTCCTCCGTTGCAAGTTTCTCCAAACCATAAGCATCTTGAGGCTACAAAATATATTAGAGTATTCTTTGTCACGTAAGAAAGTTATCTTTTGCAAGAACATACGACAGATAATCATCAGTTAGACACAAACCTCTGCAGGCCAAGCATCTGACTCCTTGAGGCTCACATTAGTCGTTTCCAGCTGCTTGAACTCGGGATAGATACATGCACTAGAGGCATAGAAGAACCTAAAACACAGAAGAAAAAAAGATATAAAGTTCCAATCTTTAACTCTGTTTATAAGAAGAAAAAAACTGGTGGCTCAAGAAACCAAGAAACGCAATCAGACCTCTTAATCCCATTGATCCTAGCAGCCTCGATCATGTTGAAGCTGATCATGGTGTTGTTGTACATGATGACCGAGTGGTTGGACTGGATGAAACCCATACCACCCATGTCGGCGGCTAAGTTAAAGACGTGATCAACACCATTAGTGACCTTGAGGCAATTCTCCATGACCCTGAGATCAACGAGATGGAACTCATTGCAGAACATGTCTTCAGTCATGTGCTCATTCTTCTTCCAGTCAGAAGCAATCACGTAATGACCTTCGTGCTTCAAACGGCGAGCAATGTGGGAAGCGATGAAACCTCCGGCACCGGTGATCGATATCCTCAGCTTCTCAGAAGGCCAGTAAAGCTCTCTCTCAAGCTCCTTGTATGTGTAGGCACCATAGTCAGCTCCATTGGTTGTTGTCATTCTGGAGTAACGCAAAAAATACACAAATCTATCAGAAAACATGAAGAAAATTGATTCACCTACATAAACAAATGTCTTTAACTATTACACAGATTTTAAACCAGGAGACTTGTTATTTCACTAATATCTGAAACAAAAATCAGAATGGAGAAAGCAATTCGACCTAAAAGTGAAAATCATCTTTATCCAACAACTCAGGAACAGTAAGATCTCATGCAAAATTTGGCTCCTAATAAACTGTACAATCTTACATTAATATACAAAAACTAATTCATTACGTCGGCAGAATTCTTCCTCTGATAAATAATTAGTTTGTTTAGCAAAACACAGATTGACGCATTGGATTCGACTTGAATTACCCATGTTGTATACACCCAGAAACACAAAGAAGATTATCAAAAGTTCGCAAATCTCAGAAAGAAAAGGATTTAGTGGAGAAAAACAACAATTGTGACGAAATTGCAAATCTGAACATGAAATTAAAACCCTAAATTACAGGAAGGAATTAAGAAAAAAAAACGAAACCGGGTGATGAGAAAAAATGAATGAATCTAGGAGAAAACCGGGAATAGGTCTTTACCTCAAAGAAGCTTCGAGAATCGGAGAGATTGAAGACGGTGAAGAAGAAGAGATAATGCAAAGGGGAAAAAGGAGAGGTGAAGGAAGCGATAATTTTGGGGAGGAGGAGGGAGAGAGTAATTGTGTGTGTGTTATATATAGAGAGTAGACAAGGAGACGAGGAAGCTCACAACAGAGCAACACCACTCGTTATTAATTTTTCCAACTCGTATTAGTTAGTATTGTGCCTCTCTGTGTTTTACTTCTTTTTATGGACTCTAAACAGAACTAAACTAAACAATTTGGTTAATTTTTTTTTTTTAATTTCCTGTTTATTATACTTGAATGGATATTTTTTTACTCGTCTGGAATATTATTATTTTGTTTGTCAACTTAAAATAGTAAGTGTATATTGTATATGATGTGGTATAATTTGAAAGATGCTCCCACTCCTTATCGCCATGGGTCCATTTTGTTTGCTAATATTAGATGTGAAAAAACCAACATAAATCATTTCTTGAATATATATATGAAAAAAATTTACGGATTCTGATGTAATTAACATTAGAAAGTTGCTGTCGAACATTAACATTAGAAAAAATTGAATAATTTGACCAAACCGTGATAATTCTTCTAGTGGAATCTCATAGCGAGATGCCGAGATCTATTGTTAGAGAGAACCGGATACATCTAGCAATTATAATACAGAAAATTATATACCTTCGATATTTTCTCTCACTCACCACTCAGACGTAAACTTATTATAAATTGAGCTTCCCCTCTGTATCTGAACTTTGTTTGAATCAGGCAAAAAGCCAATTAATTAGGACTGAATTAAGGAAAAACTGAAAAAGAAAGAAACCAACCAGTCAAGCAACTTTACTATAATATAGTCAGATACTTATGCGCCAATCTCATATTTGGTAGCGGCTAGCGATACGTATACATCTGAAATAAAATAAGGTATCCTGACCGGTTTGTCTTTAGAAATCATTAGATTTATATTTATATTAAACTTTTCAAATTTATTTGATAACATGGAATGACAAAAAATACTGAGATTTTAGATCATAATATTTGAATGCTCGAATGGTATAATATACTGTTTGATTAAATAAAAAATCAATGACTTTAATTATATATACATATATACACAATATTCATATCCTAGATGATTCTTATAATTTTGTGCATAGTTACTAGTACTCCGAATTACATTTGTTCATGCATCTCAAAAGACACGTAATTAGTTAAAAGAAACAATCACTCTAGTCCCACATTTTAACATGAATCAACTAACAATCTAATTCAATCATTACATCCAATGTTATCAATCTTAATCTGTTTCCATATAACCAATACGCCTTTTTTTTCCATTTTCAATCGATTTTACCATTATCAATCCCAAAAATCATTTAACCATTCCAAAAGCAAAAGGATTCTAAGATCAAAACAACTCAAATTTGACTAAGTGAGAATGCTTAGAGAACCTGCTCACCAAATCATTCTTGTAAGTTTTAATACTAACATACCATAAATGATTGATGTCAAAGATCTAAAACAAACCTCCTGATATTAAGATATGGCGAAAATGTCAAAGAAGAAGAAGATGAAGCTGATCTTCTTCTATTTTTGACCCCAATCAAACATAATAATAAATAAACCATATTTATTTTTCCGACCACACAGTCTGAAATTTTCCGAACGTATTTTCTTTTTGTTTTGTTTTTTGTTTTTAATTGGTCGAGAGAGAGAGAAAGAGAGAAAAAAAAAAAAAACGACAATTTCCTTCACTTTCTCGAGACCCATTCACTTTATATTCTAAAAATCTAAATCGGAGAGAAGAGTTATTTGGAAGCAGATTCTTTCCGGTCTATAAGATCTAGGGTTTCTTCACACTTTTCGCTGCTCCGATTTTGGTTGGTTGATTTCTGATTTGCGCCCTTTCGAATTTCCTCGCCCACGTCAAAATTTAGCCTCTCTTTTTTTTTTTTTTTCTCTCTGAAAGTGTTGATGCGATTATTGATTGATTAGATTTACGTGAAAATTGAGTATGGTGGACGCTGTTGTTTCCGGAGACATGGCTTGTCTCGACGCCGATTTGTTGCAGCTGCCGGAGATGTCTTCCTTTGTTCTGAAATCGAGACCCGAATTCACGCAGAAGCTCTTCGACCAGTGGCTTTCGCTCCCCGAAGCTCATCGACAGGTAATTCGATTCAGGGTTTCCTCCTGAGCTCACACTTACGCTTTGTTGGCTTTGTTACCTGTTGTATGGATATTCAGTTCGAATCTTCAATGGCATTGATTATGGAGTCTAGTCTATTTAGCTGCTAGGAATTGTAGTTGAACGGAATCTCTTATCCAGGGTTTTTTCGTTTTAATGTTAGCACTAGGACGATGCTTTGGTTGCTGGGATTTGCTGGCTGATTTACTCTGTGGATATTTATGTGTAAAGCAGATTTGTCTGCGTTGATCATTCATCTTTAGTTACAAGTCGGGAAAATTAAGTAGTCACTGCTTCTTTTGGCCTTTCATGATCCTCTATGTGTTCGACTGCTAAGTATACGATATCCTGAAAGACTTAGGGTGCGGTTTTTACTTAACTGGCCTCTGAAAGAGCCTGTTCGCTTCTGTTTTCCTTATGCTTATGCTTCTCCGAAAGTGTAATATTGTAAACAGTCTTTCACTGAAATCTAAAGTGCAAACTATTTTCTATTGTTTCCTTAATCTGTTTCCTAGGTTACATCATTGCTTCAAGATGCAATGGCGGGAGCTCCTTTGAATGTTCCTGGAAGTGCATCTGGTTCAGGTCCTGGTACCAGCAATTCCTTACCATCCATGTTTCCAGCGGGAAGTGCTCCTCCACTTTCACCTAGGAGTTGTGGTTCACCGCGTACAATGAAACAGAGGGCAGGCCCTTCTAATTTAGGCTCTCCTCTAAAAGTACTCAACGAGCCTGTTAAAGAGTCCATACCTCAGGTTTTGAACTGCCACTGCAAATTTCAATAAATGCATCTTTTTCCCCCTCTTTTTATGTTATAACGGAGCAATTTATTTATGATGGACATTGGATTTGGTGTAGTTTTATTTTCAAAATGGTCGCCCACCGCCGAGCGAGATAAAAGAGCAATGTATGTTTAGAGTCAACCACTTTTTCTACGGCCACATGGATGGACTGCAAATACAAGGTAAATGAATCATGATTTTTTTAATATCTAAAGGGACACTTATAAGAAATGCCTTATTAACTTTATTCCTTTTTCTGTACTTAGAATTCAAATTAGTCACACGAGAAATCTGCAAGATCCCATCTTTCTTCTCCACTTCACTCTTCAGGAAGATCGATGTTAATAACACAGGTTTTGTTACTAGGTGTGTGCCTCTATGCTCTTTGTATGTTGGAATCTGATATGTCCATAGTTTGGAGTGTGCTTCAAGCTTGCTTATCATTTTCTTTCCGCTCTTTCATGAGTTTGGCGATGACAATATCGTAAAGCCATTAACAGACTTTTAGAGTTTAACGTACTCTTCGTTTATGCAGAGAAGCATTTATTGATTATTGGGTAAACGGGAACATGTTGATAATGGATACGACGACCCAAATATTTAAGATACTAAAGCAGCATAATCAGAATTTCCTTGTGAAGGTAATTTTATTTTGATTGGCTTATTTAGGAACGATTGTTAATTTGTTCTGTTTGCATTTTGGTTCTCAGCTTTCTTTTTATTCTGGCAGGATGATTTCAAGCCACTACTTAAAGAACTTTTGGCTACACATCCTGGGCTAGAGTTCTTGCAAGGCACACCTGAATTCCAAGAAAGATATGGTTAGGTCTTAACTTCAGTTACATTTTAGTTAGTTTCCCATTTCAAGAATACAGCTTTCTGATACAGTTTGTATTTTGATGGCCCAGCTGAAACTGTTACCTACAGAATTTTTTACTACATAAATAGATCTGGAAATGGTCGACTTACATTTAGGGAGCTTAAACGAGGAAATTTAATTGATGCTATGCTTCACGCTGATGAAGAAGAAGATATCAACAAAGTATTGAGGTACTGAAAAAACGAGTTTGCTCTGTTGTTGACTTGTTGTAAATATAGAAGCATGCTAAGTTGTGCGGATCTGCAAATTATAGTTTTGTATTACTCCTTTTGGCATCTAACACTTCTCTATTTACTTTGGAAACTAGATACTTCTCATATGAGCATTTCTATGTCATATACTGCAAGTTCTGGGAGCTGGATACAGATCACGATTTCCAGATTGACAAAGAAAACCTTATGAAATATGGCAACCATGCTCTTACTTACCGGATTGTCGACAGAATATTCTCCCAGGTTTCGTCTAAAAAATCTTGATCAGTTAACATGATTATCGCTTGCTTCTTGTTCCAAGTTATTACTTCTCTTAAAATGACTGTTATCATGCATTAATTTCTACTCAGGTTGCTAGGAAGTTTACTAGCAAAGTTGAAGGGAAAATGGGATATGAGGATTTTGTGTATTTCATACTTGCGGAAGAAGATAAATCGTCAGAGCCTAGCCTAGAGTATTGGTAAGCTGTGATATAAGGGCTGAAAGGTGGCAGACAGATATCATTTTGGTGTTTTAGTCTGACAAGTATATATTGGACTAGGTTCAAGTGCATTGACTTGGATGCAAATGGGATTCTTACGCGAAATGAGATGCAATTCTTCTATGAGGAGCAGTTACATCGAATGGAATGTATGGCACAAGAGGCTGTTCTTTTTGAAGATATCTTATGTCAGATAATTGATATGATCGGACCAGAGGTTCAACAACATGTCTCTTGTTAATGTGGTTCGAAGAAGTAGTTGATGTTTCCAGTTTTATTTACTGACTCTTTTGTTTTTTTTTGTGTTCCATTTTTTCTTGTTGCTTGCCACAGCATGAAAGCTATATAACCCTGCATGACCTGAAGGGCTCCAAACTCTCTGGAAACGTCTTCAACATCCTTTTTAATCTTAATAAATTTATGGCATTTGAAACACGGGATCCGTTCCTCATTCGTCAGGTACTTCCTGTCTTATGTTTAACATTGCTGTTTCTTGTCGCAGGCCTCTTATATTTTTTTTTTAATGTCAAACGAAAACAGGAGCGTGAGAACCCTACACTGACAGAGTGGGATCGTTTTGCACATAGAGAGTATATTAGGCTTTCAATGGAAGAAGATGTTGAAGATGCATCCAATGGAAGTGCTGAAGTTTGGGATGAGTCATTAGAGGCTCCCTTCTGAGTTCATCTAGGTAAGCTTCCATGGTTTCACATTCTCCTCTTTGTAAACCGTTATGATGATCCGCGCCAATGTTCATTTGATGGAAATTCATATTGCCTTAGAAGCAACAGAAACTAAAATCTGGGATGGATTAGAAAAAGAACTAGGCAAAAAAAAAACTGAAAAGTTAACAAATATCTCTGATTTGTGCAATTGCTGTTATTTCATCATCATATTGGTTAATCATGCAGGGTGTTCCATTATCACTGAACAGAAATTCAAAATCATTGAGGAAAAAAAGTAGTGGAAGCTTTCTGGAGTCACGAAAGGGAAGACGAGTATCTTCTCTGCTTCAACATTCGTTATTAGGTCATCTTGGGGAGGTTATCTTCTCAGGGTTTACAATTTGGAATCCAGCTTTGGAACCGGAAAACGTTTGGAATTTCAATTTTCCTTTTCAGTTAAGCTGATTATACACGAGTTCCATTTATTTATAATCGGCGATGCTGATTGCATGCATTTCTTCTTGTTCATCCGTATTGCAATTTCTGTGCTTTTTATTCATATCTATATGTACTCTGTAGCTACGGAGACTTCCCCATCTTCTGTTGTTCAGAACTGTTAATGTGAATTGTTTTTTTTTTTTCCCCTTAATATTTGGAGGCATCCTAAAAGTAGTAGTTTTGTTCATTATCTTCTCAATAGCATCAGGTTGGCGTAAGTTTATTTTTAATTCTGGTCTTCTACGTTCTGTTTTTATTAGGACTAATACAGATTTTCCTCATTTTTTGAGACATGCCTACATAGATATGACTTCATGATCCATCATAACAACAACAAAAAAAAAAATACATTGCTCCTGCATGAGAAACCAGTGAGTTTGCCAAAACTTTCATCAACGATTTTTGGATATTATTTCAAAACATGAATCTTTAGTATCCTTTTTTTTTTCTTTCCGTATAAGATCCTGAGCTAAATCGTATCGAATCCCATCTTGAATACTCTATAGTTGTGGTACAGAGTCTACACTCTGAAATACATGTATCTTTTGTATCTCTTTTCCCACGGCAAACAAGGAAAACAAGGGGGATTAATATTCTCGTGAAACCAGTGAGTTTGCCAAAACTTTCATCAACACTGTGTGGATCTTCACCTAAACAAAGAAGGGAAGGACCCGAAAGATCTTAAGATCAAATAGAAATCGAACCCATCTTGAATAACTCTACTACAGTACGGTGTTTACTCAAACTATTTTGTCAACGAAAATATTTTTAAAAAACTTTTATCTGTATTTTGGATCGCTCTCTTGTCACACGGAACAAGGAAAAAGAAAAAAGGTTGTACATTTTCTGTCGCATTTCCTTGACATTTTCGTTACCCGATCACTATTACGCTCCTTTGAGAAAGAGACCATAATCTGATTCTATATCTTCTTCAAGATCTGAAGTTTCTTCACACGTTTAGCAGCTCGATTTGTTGGATTGCGCCTGTTCGATTCCCTTCTTCTCCACATCCAAATTCCTTCTCGTTTACTTTGGTAATTCGTTGTTGGTTGATGCGATTGATCGATTGGATCACGTAAAAAAATGAGTATGGTGGATGCGATTGTTCCCGGAGACATGGCTTGCCTGGATGCCGATTTGTTGCAGCTACAAGAGATGACTTCATTTGTGCTCAACTCAAAACCCGGATTCACGCAGAAGCTCTTCGACCAGTGGCTTTCTCTTCCCGAAGCTCATCGACAGGTATTCTCCGATTTTCCACTTGTTGCATCTCAACTCTGTTCTGCTTCATTTTGGCTTTACGGCCTGTTAGTTGGGTTTCTTGAAGATTGGTGCAAGTTCGGATCTTTGATAGTGTAGTGTTATTTATTCAGTCTTATTCTCTTTGCCTGCTAGAAATTGTTGCAGTGGGTGTTAGCTCTGAATATTTTATTCAATCGTCATTTTACTAGCTAAATTACTCTGTGGCTACTCTTCCATGATTGCCTAGAAATATACCCTGAAAGAAGATGCATTATTGTCAGCAACCATTCACTGAAATCTCCAAGTCTAAAACTTTGTTTTGCTCGTTTCTTAATCGGTTTCTTAGATTGCATCATTGCTTCATGATGCCTTGGCTGGAGCTCCTCTGAATGTAACTGGAACTGCATCTGGTTCAAATTCTGCCACCAGCAATTCTATCCCTTCCATGTTCCCTGCGGGAAGTGCTCCTCCGCTTTCACCAAGGAGTTGTGGTTCACCGCGTGTGACGAAACAGAGAGCTGGCCCTTCTAACTTAGGTTCTTCTCTAAAAGTAACCAGCGAGCCTGTTAAAGACCCAATGCCTCAGGTTTTGAAATGCTTCTGCAAATTTTTAAAAAGTGCATTCCTTTTTTCCATCTTTTATATACTAATAGAGTATATTAAAGCGTTGGTTTGATTGCAGTTTTATTTTCAAAATGGTCGCCCACCACCAAGCGAGATGAAAGAGCAATGTATGTTTAGAATCAACCACTTTTTCTATGGTCACTTGGATGGGCTGCAGATACAAGGTTTAGTAGTCATAACAATATTTATAGTAACACTTGCACGGGATGCCTAATTAACTTTATTCCCTTTTCAATACTCAGAGTTCAAATTAGTCACACGAGAAATCTGCAAGCTCCCGTCTTTCTTCTCCACAACACTTTTCAGGAAGATCGATGTCAATAATACAGGTTTTGTTACCAGGTGTGTGCTTCTATGCTTTTTTGTATGGTGGAATCTGATGTCCGCGTACTTTGCATTGTACTTTAAGCTTCCTGCTCATTTGGTAGTCTCTCTGTCATGAGTTCGGTGATCATGGTATTGCACAACTCAGTATAACAGCTTTTAGTGTTTGATTATGCAGAGAAGCATTTATTGATTATTGGGTGAACGGGAACATGTTGATAATGGATACAACGACCCAGATCTTTAAGATACTTAAGCAGCAAAATCAGAATTTCATTGTTAAGGTAAATTTCTTTTGATTAGCATATTCAGTCATGATAGCAAGCTAATTTTCCCCATCTGCTATGCTCTTGAGTTTGCATTTTCAAATTTCAAATTTGGCCAGGATGATTTCAAACCACTACTTAAAGAACTTTTGGCGACACATCCTGGGCTAGAGTTTTTGCAAGGAACACCTGAATTCCAAGAAAGATATGGTTAGGTCTTAACTTCAGTTACATTTTAGTCAGTTTCCCATTTCAAGAATACAGCTTTCTGATACAGTTTGTATTTTTGATGGGCCAGCTGAAACTGTTACCTACAGAATATTTTACTACATAAATAGATCTGGAAATGGTCGAATTACATTTAGGGAGCTTAGACGGGGAAACTTAATTGATGCAATGCTACATGCTGACGAAGAAGAAGATATCAACAAAGTGTTGAGGTACTGACAAAAAGAGTTCGTGCTATATGGTTTTGTTTTACATCATTTGAACTCAACACTTTTCTATTTACTTTGGAAACTAGGTACTTCTCATATGAGCATTTCTATGTCATATACTGCAAGTTCTGGGAGCTGGATACGGATCACGATTTCCTGATTGACAAAGAAAATCTTATGAGATATGGAAACCATGCTCTGACTTACCGGATTGTCGACAGAATTTTCTCCCAGGTTGTCTAAAATATTTTGATATTTTAGAATGATTTTTAATGCCTGCTGCTTGAAGAATTAATTCATATGTGCTCTCTTTTTATGGATTCTGCCCTTCTTGTTCCAAGTTCTCATCATGGATAATGCACTGGTTTCTACTCAGGTTGCTAGGAAGTTCACAAGCAAAGTTGAATGGAAAATGGGGTATGAGGATTTCGTCTATTTCATACTCGCGGAAGAAGATAAATCGTCAGAGCCTAGCCTCGAATATTGGTAAGCTGTGACGCAAGGATCCGCCAGACAGATAGTATTTTGAGTGTTGTTATCTGACATAGTTATACATTGTATAACCAGGTTTAAGCTCGTAGACTTGGATGCGAATGGGATTCTTACAAGAAATGAGATGCAATTCTTTTACGAGGAGCAGTTGCATCGAATGGAGTGCATGGCGCAAGAGGCTGTTCTTTTTGAGGATATCTTATGTCAGATAATTGATATGATCGGACCAGAGGTTTAAACAATTAATATATATTGAACGTTTCCCGTTTTGTGTTTCTAATTCTTGTGATTTTGTTTTGTTGGTTGATTGTTTCTTGTTTCCTTTAAGCAGAATGAAAGCCATATAATGCTGCATGACCTGAAGGGCTCCAAGCTCTCTGGAAACGTCTTCAACATCCTTTTTAATCTTAATAAATTTATGGCATTTGAAACACGGGACCCGTTCCTCATTCGTCAGGTACTTCTTGTCTGAACTTTTTTTTTACCTTGTTGCTTCATGACTCGGGACTCTCTTGTAACATTCAATAATGTCAAACGAAAACAGGAGCGTGAGAACCCTACACTGACAGAGTGGGATCGTTTTGCACATAGAGAGTATATTAGGCTTTCAATGGAAGAAGATGTTGAAGATGCATCCAATGGAAGTGCTGAAGTTTGGGATGAGTCACTGGAGGCTCCCTTCTGATTTCTCATAAATGTAAGCTTCCCCGGATTCAGTCTCCTCTTTATAAACTCGTGATGATGATCGGAGCCAGTGTCTGCTGAACGAAAAATCTTTAGAAAGAGAAGCTAAAATAAGTGAAATGGATAAAAAGGAAAAAAACTTTGAAGTTGAAGGTTGTGTCATATGTTGTTGTTTCATCATATTGGTTAATCATGCAGAACAGAAGTACACATTCATTGGGAAGAATCTTTGGAGCTCATTGGAGAATGGAAAGGAAAAGCCATAATTAGTTTGGATTTCGTTATTATGATTATAAGTTTTCTACGTTCTTTTCATATTTAGCTACTAAATTATACAGAACTCTATATTATTAATAATGGTCTAGCTCATCGCTTGTATTTGCATTCACTGTGCTGATGTTTTTACCTCCTGGTTTTTTTGTCTGTACTTTGTAGCTGTGTTACTTCATTATTTCTTCCACTTGTTGAGAATACCATAGTTTTTTTTCTTTTTTTTGGTTCTGTTTTTAGAGGAATCCAAGAAAGATTAGTTTATATATTTTCTTAAAACTTTATACATAGAATGAGGATCAATCTCAGCAAGTATTGCTTGTTTTTTTATATTACAAGGCTCCAATTTTGTTGAGAATTGTTGCCCCACAACTATCAATCACAAGACAAGGAACCTCAGTATCTTCTTTGTCCTAACTCTGGCGTTGATAACATTGCGGTTCCGAATCCGTACACCACACTTTTGATCGGACTCTAAAAGGATTTGGGAAAGTGGCAGATATCGTAATTTTTTTGGGTGTTTAATCTCGCAAATTCGATCTGATAATTTTTTCAGATTTTTAAAAAGAGTAATGGGCAGAGAAATTAATTAAAAAAAAAATGTCGAGTGGAGAATGGAAAGCTGAACCAGCCACCCTGGAAATGTAGAGAGAGAGAGAGACATAAAGCTGAGAATTTTAAAAAAGGAGGAAAATCAGAATGGTAAAGCCGTAAATACATTCCAAATCCAAGGGTTATCACTAGTCCTCCCTCCAGAGAAAGAAAGAACCGTAAAGCATAAACCAAATGGTCGCAGCCATAGATATTTTTTTGCAAATTGAAGAGAGATCTGAGTAAGCTTTTAGGCATTTATGGCGTAGTAAGTTCCTAGACGCTAGATCGAACCGTAGCTGGAACATCATTTGTCTCCTCCGTGTTTTGGATCGGACTGAGGAGAGATTCAGACAGCTCCGGTCGGATTCCTCGAGCCTCCTCAGGTGCCTTTTTTTTTTAATTATTGGTGACCTTTCCTTTTCATGTTTTGTTGGAATTAGAGAATATAGAAAAAAGCGAATGTAGAGGCATGTGTCATGACCAAGACTGGTTCTTCTGAATCTCTGATAATCACACTGCTTTAATAAAAAACAAATTACAGCTTGAATGGCATTACCAGTTTTTGCGTTAATTTTTTTTTTTTGTTGCGTTTTGAGATTTGTTTTCAGTCGGTGGATTGATATATTCTTCTGTTTTCGCTTATTTGAAATCATGTTTTTTTTTTCTTTTTTCATTATCTTGCAGTTTAATTGATGATGGGTTCTTATCTTCGGAATCTGTAGGTTTTCTAGTTCATATTCAAGCTTTTGGTGAAGCTCATTAGAGGACTTGTTGTTGAAGAAGATAAAGAACTTGTCGTTTCTAGGGTTTTGTTTGTGATCCTGAGATTCTTCTCCTCTGTTAAGGGTCACATTCAATCTTCTTAGGCTTGTCATTTAGTTAAAGAAAGAGAAGAAGGTGAAGAATGTATACCAAACTCCTCGAGTGATTTCTGGGAATGGAGAAAAGTATAACTTAAAGAACAGAGAAGAGAGTGTTGGAGGATCAAGAAGTGAGTCTATGGAAGATTACTCAAAGTATACTAATAGTCCTGCCCATCTAGCGGTCGTGCTTCATGATCATGCGGCTCTTAGGCGAATCGTGATGGACCTTCCTCAGCTAGCCAAGGCTGGTGAGGTTAGTAACGAGGCAGAGTCTTTGCAAGCTGAGGCTCGTGCTGATGCTGTCGCTGCAGTCATTGATCGACGCGATGTTCCTGGCCGTGAAACACCTCTGCACCTTGCTGTTCGTCTTCGAGATCCAGTCTCTGCTGAGATCTTGATGTCTGCTGGAGCAGATTGGAGCCTGCAAAACGAGAATGGTTGGAGTGCACTTCAAGAAGCGGTTTGCACTAAAGAGGAAGCCATTGCTATGATCATTGCACGTCACTACCAGCCTCTTGCCTGGGCTAAATGGTGTCGGAGGCTTCCTCGTATAACTGCTTCAGCGTCTCGTATCCGTGATTTTTACATGGAGATTACGTTTCATTTCGAGAGCTCCGTTATTCCTTTTATTAGCCGTATTGCTCCCTCGGATACTTACCGGATATGGAAACGCGGTTCGAATCTTCGTGCTGATATGACACTTGCAGGTTTTGATGGGTTCCGTATCCAACGATCGGATCAGACTTTTCTTTTTCTAGGAGAAGGTTACACGTCTGAAGATGGGAAAGTTTCACTACCTCCTGGTTCTTTGATTGTTCTTTCTCACAAGGAAAAAGAAGTAACAAACGCTTTGGAGGGAGCAGGAACCCAACCGACAGAAACGGAAGTTGCTCATGAGGTGGCGCAGATGTCTCAGACTAACATGTACAGACCTGGCATTGATGTCACTCAGGCTGATTTAGTTCCTCAGTTGAATTGGAGACGGCAAGAGAGGACAGAAATGGTCGGGAGCTGGAAAGCAAAAGTGTATGACATGCTTCATGTGATGGTGAGCGTGAAATCAAGAAGAGTTCCAGGTGCAATGACTGATGAAGAACTGTTTGCTGTTGATGAAGAGAAGATGGCGAATGGTCCCGGGAATGATGGCTTTGAAGATGTTTTGACCTCTGAGGAAAGAAAGCAATTGGACTCTGCCCTGCGGATGGAGAACTCCGATGCTGTTGAAGATGAGGAGAAAGACGTTACCGATCACCAGGAAAACGGTTCAGGAGGAGAAGCCAATGGTGCTCCTCTCAAGGAGAAGAAAGGCTGGTTTGGCTGGAATAAGAAAGGCTCAAAACATGGTCCTGATGGTGTTGAAGATACAACAACAAAGCTCAAGAAAGGCTCAAAGTTGGCACCAGAAGAGGGAAACCAGAAAGAGAAAGGGAAAAGCCAAAGATCGTCATCACTAGCTGATAATGCCAAGGAGGATGCTGGAGATGGCAAGAAGGGAAAGGACAAAGCCGGTACCAAGAAGAAGAAGAGTGAGAGCGAATACAAGAAAGGGTTAAGACCTGTACTGTGGTTAACACCTGATTTCCCTCTCAAGACAGAAGAGCTTCTTCCGCTTCTTGACATATTAGCCAATAAGGTCAAAGCCGTGAGGAGACTCAGAGAGCTCCTTACCACAAAACTTCCCACAGGAACATTCCCTGTCAAGGTAAAACTCTTTTGCTCCTTTATGAACTCTCTTTTACTCGATCTTATGTTTTGCTCATCTGGTCCTGTCTGCTCATTGTGCAGCTTGCGATCCCCATTATCCCAACCGTCCGTGTTCTTGTCACGTTTACTAAATTTGAAGAGCTCCAACCGTGTGAGGAATTCTCAACGCCTCCTTCGAGCCCGGTTTTTCATGATGCAAAGTCATCAGAGAACTCATCATCAGCATCATGGGTGTCGTGGATGAAAGGAGCTCGTGGTGGTGGCCAATCAAGCGACTGCGATAGCAACCGGTACAAGGACAATGAAGTTGACCCTTTCCTTATACCGTCTGATTACAGATGGGTCGACTCAGCTGAGAAGAAACGCAGAATGAAAGCCAAGAAAGCCAGAATCAGGAAGAATAGGAAACACGGTGCTCCAAAAGCTGGTAACTCGAGTTCTCGTTCCAATCAAGAACCGGAACAACAATCGCCACCCTGAAGTTGTCACTTAGTTGAGACAAAGGTTGGTTGTGTTATTTGCTATTGATTTTGTAGTAATGTCGTCTTATTTGTGAAAATTCTTAATGAACACGTTTGCTATATATATGAAACAGCCATTTTGCTTAATCTCCAACTTTTCACATTAACCAGATTGAAAACCATTTTGTAGACTCGGTTCAGTTGGTTCTTTGAATTGTTTGAAAACCAAACCGTAAAAAAACCTTTCCTTTATTATACTGGAAACTCTTTGTACAACAGATGAAGAAACAAGGAGAGGACTTAAAACTAAGTTCTGTACATTAGCGAAAGTTACCAGAAACGGTCTTTATTGACACTGAGATAACCGGACATGACTTTACCACCGGTATTCCTCATACCGTCGATGAGGAAACACCAAGTGGAACCCAATGCTCCGACGAAGAAATCAGCTTCCGACGCCATTAAGAAGTTAACCAGAGGATAATTAGTGCTCGTCTCTCTCCCTAGGCTCGCTTCATACTCAGCCATCGATTTATTACCGACTTGTCTCGCCACTTTCGTGTAATAGAATCTCCATTGTCCATAATCCTTGCTCTTCTCCACAACTTCCTTCATCTCCGTAGAGAGCCAGATCCTGTTGAGCTCAGGAAACCTGTCTCTGATCCGATCAGCTAAACGCATATACTCTTCCAAAGCTGCGACTCTCATCTCACACGCTTTGTCTCCCATCCGCACGTGCACGCTCAGCATCGGCCTCGGGATCCACGGCTTGTGATTCGACCACACGTGTTCCTCAATCTCTGTCCTAATAATCTTCTTCTTCTTGTTCTTGTTTCTCCAGTCTCCTACACTGGAGACAACAATCTCTGCAGCTTCTTCTCCAAACGCGGAATGTCGAGCAGCGTTCATCAAACCGCAAGTGTATTCCGTTTGAAACCTCATCAAGTATCTCACTGCCTGTGCTCTCCACCATCTCCGATCCATTTTCCGGTGACCGGAGATTAAACTTCCGTTGATATCTGTCGTGGGCTTCATGTAAGTCCAAGGCTTTCCCCATAGCTTTGGTATATGACGAGACCAAATCTCCTTTGTGCTGTAGTTTTGTTTCCCTGTAACAATCCCACTCTCCCACGCTTCCCTCTTCTTCATCACCTCAAACGCGCGTTTCCGACACTCTGGAGATGTTTCCGGTAGAAAATAGCAAGACCAGCTTCCTCGAGAAGAACCTGCAAACTCAACCAAGTTGATCCTTTGTAAACATTTTTATCAAGAAGATGTTCAAGTTCTTGGAAAAGTGTGTACCTTTGCAACCGTCGTGATCTGCTCGGTTATAGTGGTTTGCAACGAGCACTCTGTTTTCGTTTATAGCGATCGCGAGAAGACCAGTCATTCCAGCGATCTGAGCTCCGACTCCGAAACCAGGAAGCGTTTCCCAATCAGCCACGAGGAACTTGAGATTCTTGTTTTCACAGTCCAGAGGATGCTGATGAATCCATATCTCTCTTTGCACTCTCCTCGTTAATGGATAATTCTCCTCATCTCCTCCATTGATCTGAAAACAAGTGTTTGAATTTTGTGGTCATCCATCATCATAGTAGCTGCTTGATGATGACAAAAGATGAAGAAGATGGAGAAACATACCCAAGGAGGAACTGTCCGATTCGTTGTCTGTGTATCTAAATGCTCTTTAACTCGTGTACTCTCTTCACAGTTCTCCAAATGTGGAGCTCTTGGGACATCAGATTTGTTCATCCCTAGTTTCTTGAAGTAGTCTTCATTGTTTAGTAATAAGTTGTCCCAAGTAGAGACCAAAAGTTTTACCTGATCATCATCAGTTTCTTCTGTATCAGCTTTGCTCTTCCATTTCAATTTACGGTGGTCTATGCTTGCAACCATATCTGCATCAACAATTTTTTATCGATGCATGAAACACACAACAAGTTACCAAATCAAATGATCAAAATTTGTTGAAAAACTTACTGACGATTTGAGATGTGGAATTGCAGGGAGGAAAAGCAGAGGAGAAGGAGAAGGAAGCGAGCTCGAAGGTGCCAAGGGAAGTGAGAGCAGCTAAGAAGAGTGAAGTGAGACAGATTCCACAGAGGAACCCAACAACACAGATTTGACATGGAAATGAATTTCCAAGCTTTAATGCTTTCTCTGAAACCAGTCTCTCTAATGACTTCATACTCATATTTCCTCCTTTTGCTTCCATTGATTTTTTTCTATTTTCTTAAATCTTCCAATTCTCACTAAGAACCAAACCCACTTGGCCTTCTTTCTCTTGTCTTTTACTTCTCTTTGTAAGTGAAAATTTTTCCCGAGATAATCACTGCTTTTCTTCTCCCTACCTATATAATTTTCTCAGGAAACTACTTTCTTTTATAGCCACGCTTACCAACTATCAACCAGAAATCACATGATATTTCTCTAACTTTTTTTTGTTTCTTTTCTAAGATAAATGTATATTTTCTGGAAAGAAAGATAGAGATCAAGATGCTTCGATCAAAATATGTTTGTTTCCTTCTTCATCAGTGGTCCATTTTCTAATTTCCTGTAACAGTGAAAATGACAACAAAATAAATGAAACAGATCAAAGCAAATGAGAAAGAAAGAAACAGCTTCAAAATCTGATGAACAATTAAAAAAAAAACAAATATCAGCCATTATTTCTATCTATAAATTTAGCTGAATAAGCTGAACTTGAAAATTACTTCATAAGAAAATGAATGAAAATTAAAGAGGAATAGAGAGGAGAAACAATAAACCCATGAAACGGACTGTTACATAATTATGGAGATATTAAAGGAGAGAAGAGCATAACTGAGACTCCGCATAACTGTTGATCATATCTAAACTCAATTATTTTAAAACAATTTTTTGTCGTTATTTTAAAACATTTTTAAACTGTACAGAATCTATTTTCCTTAAACAACAAAAATTGGGAAAAAAATATGATTTCGATACGTGATATGAAAAACGCCACTTGGATTATAAAGAAAGAAAAAAGAAAAAGCGTTTTATAACAGCTGGTCTGACAATGAGGCAGGAATCATAACACAAATTTACTCAGACCAAGCCAAGTATCCATCCACCCAGATCTAAAATATCCATCGATATTGTTTACGTACTAATTTTTGTTGTAATTAATTAACCAAGAAAGTTCAAACATCATGAAAGTTTCATGGAAAGGGAGAGAAAAGAGAGAAAGCATTGAGAAGCTAAACCCAAAAGCTCGGTTTCCTAGGACATAAGTGACAAGTGAGTGTTTGATGTGAGCGAGGTTGAACTTGTGTTGTGTTATTAAAGTAATACTAATGTATATCATGACACTGTATAAAGTAGAGAAAATTATTCTTTTTCTTTTATTGGATGTTTGGTGAAGCAATTAACTACGATTCCTATGGTGTGCTTGAAAAAGTACAAGTGACTTGAATTAAAAGTTTAGTAACAAACACGAGATCATGATGATAATTGATGATTTTATATCTGTGATTTATTATTTTATTTTTAATTGAAAGATTCATTTTTACTTGGTATATACAAATCAGAATATAATAATCTTTTCTGATTTCCACATATGGATCAATGAAGCTTCAACAAATAAATCTTTATGACAAAGAAATCATACTCGGCTGGGCAAGGGAGGTATGATATCCATCATACAGTTGATAGCTCTTTCAGTTTGTAAAACAATGGAAGCTGTCTGGCTGATGGGGAAAGTGTGTCCTTTTGTACCGACTTAAGTCATAATCAATTCATATATACACACAACAGACTTCAGAATTTCAAGATTCACTTTGCATTTAGGTCAAAACCAAACACAAAAATAAGACACAGAGCTGATAAATGAACCATTTTTATGTACACGAGAACATCTGCAATCATCTTCAGTATTACTTGGTCTTCAGTTAGAGCCTTCAAAGCAACTGTCTCTAAACTGAACAAACAGAGCTAGGAAGAATATAATTTTTCTTAGAGCAAAACTGGAGTTATTGCATCTCTGGGTTTCCACAAAACACCTAACTTAATTCCCAGTTAACATATGTTTCTCCAACGAATTCAACCTTAACATGTTTTAATCTTCTCTGACTCGTTTCCTTGACGATGAAGCAGATTCAGTTTGGTCTCCTGTTTGTGTCTCAAGACCAAATTCGACTTCTGCAGATGTAGTGTTGCATTGCTTTGGTGATGCATCTGAGGGAGAGCTCTTGCTCTCTTGTAACTTCTGTTGTTTCTCGAACATCATCTGTAGGTATCGGCCCTGCTTTTCAATCTGCAACTGCAGCGACCGTTGGATCTGGTGCATATAATTTTTAAACAACATCAGAAAATATTCACGATATGTAGGACTACTATTCTTTCTGGTTAGAAATCAGGCAAAGAAAGGATAGTTTTAGTGATTACGCAGGTGAAATCATTACCTCGAGCTGCTCATGGAGACGTTTCTGAACTTCCATCTGTAACCTCAGAGCTTGTGTGATCTCAACGCTCCTGGAAAAGAAATGGTAACAAAGTTAACTAGCTAGAAACACATATAGGTATTTAACCCTATAACAATCACAATTCTGAACAATACGAAGAAAAGGTTTATGGCATGTGATGCAGTCAGAAAACTGAAAATTTCTTACGTTTTCATGTCAAGAGATTTGATATCTTCGATAGATGTCATCTTCTTATCTTGAGGTTCTCCTGTGAAAAAAAGAAACAAAATTTATACAAAGATATGTTCTCCTTCGTAAGCTGTTTTTAGCCTATTTCTAGAGAGTGACCAACTTCTTCTTAATGGCCCTGGTTTAAAGCTCAGCAACAGTGCAGAAATATTTTGTGAAAGTATATGAAATCCTCACCTGTAGCTTCTGAAGTCTCTGGTTTATACCTTGCCGTTCTGTATTTCTATAGAAAAAAAGTTCAACATAGAGAATAAGAAATGAGGCAAGTATAGGAGAGAAACAACACGAGATGCAAAAACAAATGAACATATGGATAAGAACAAACCTGCAAATGGCTTTTTACATGATAAATGGTCAAGCCAGGTTTATTCAAGAGCTTCAAAATAGCCTTAGGCGTGGCTCCTATGATGGAATATATAGAAGTCAAAAGTAAGTACCACTGTTTAGAGATAATTGCCTTGAGCTTTTATTTTCAGGAACAAGAGAAGAAGAAAGCTTACGCACGTTCATTACCACCGAGTTGGTTAACAGCATCAACGAACGCCTCATGAAGTTCTTGTGTCCAGCGCATGCGTTGTTTAGATGTTGCTGCACTAGATGATGAGTTTCTGCCACTGATCTGCTCCTCTGATACAACAATCTGATGCTGCTGGTAAGCTTGTATCTCTTGCCTTGGTACTTCCGAAAGTGGTGTCGGTATCTGTTACAAATCATGCAAAGACTGAATAAATGACATATGGACAAGCAACAGAGATCATATATGGCTAGGGAAACTGAACCTCTGAGTTTGGATTGTGGGAACTTGGATCTCCGAGAAGCTCAGACCAATTTGGCTCCGTACCATCGTCAGCAGAAATCAGCTGATCTGCCCAATTTTGCCACTCGCTTTTCTCATGAGGTTCCACTGATGAGACCACCCTTACCCCGCTACTCTCTGGTTGTGGATTTGGAACGGGAACATGGTCAGAAAAATCAAAGAACTCATCAAGTGGATCTGTGAACTGTTGAGGGTGATGATTAGTCAATGACGCTTCCACAGGGCAATCCTGCATAGCCAATCTGTCGCTTGGCTGAGTTTGGGAACTCCTTCCATGAGCTGAAACATTGCAGAATCCAGAGGGAGACGAGAAGAGATATCCACTAGAGACCACCTGATAAGGCACGGGGTTATTCATCAGTTCCTGACCCGATGAAACCAAGAAAGAGTTAGGCAACTTGCGGTATCTGTCTTCTACAGTAGCATGAAGAGCTGAAAAAGATGAAGACATAGCGGTTGAATATCCGAAATCATTAGCCAGAGTCATCGAAGAAGAGCAGTTTTTGCACAACACCCTCCACAGTAGTCTAATTCAGAAGGCGAATAGCTTTGCAATGAGATGCATGAATAACAACGAGATATGAGACTCACATTGGGAAACTTAATAATATACAGAATATAACTTTTTGCAGAGGACATGAACCATTGAATAAATTCCTTTCACACAATTCCGATTCTATGTTTTTTCCCAGTCAAATACAATCTCTCTCAGGAATATTCCTAACTTTTTGTTTTTTTGCCTTAGATCACAACCTCTTAGCTATCTACCCTTTCTCTCCCTCAATTTTTCTTGCCTTGATTTTTCCCTGAGAATCCTCCTCTAATCTTCAACAAAATGAAGAGATTGAAAGAAAAGAGAAGAAAAATATATCCAGAGACCTATGGACCAAGAGAAATTAATCATGGGGGATGATGAGGGGGATGATGAGGCATCTACATCTGGATAGTGAAAGGCCATTTCATATAAGATATGGAATCAGTGCTTAGGGAATGAAATTTACGACCACTTCCACAAAGGTAATATTGGCTTTTGATGAGCCAGAGAGACGTGTAACGAGGAGCCACAATAAGCATCAATATCGAAAACTCAAAAGAAGAATCTAGGATCCAAAGCTAGATGTTAAGAAACTAAGAATCAAATTCACTAAAATTGAAAACTCAAAGAAGACTAAAGGAGAATCTTTCAATAACTGTTGAGAAACTCAGAATCAAATTCACTTAAAATAAAAGCTGAACGAGACGATTCTAGGATCCAAAGCTAGCTGTGTTTAAACATAGACCGTCTCTTCTTAAGATCATTAAAACCACACCTTTTAATAACCATCATAACACACAACAAATCAACCCAGTAATATCAATCCTGTGGAAAATTGAAAGAAATATAAGGTACATTTGATAACTTTACTAATCACTTAAAAAGAGATTGTGAGGGGTTGAGAAATTGGATAAGAGAAACTAACAATCAGTGAGCAAACAAAAAAAAACGATCGTCTTCAAAGCCTGTGAACTCCGAAATCCCATAATACAAGAAAATAAACCCAAATAATCAGATAATCCACACAAATTTCACAGACTGACACACAAATCGACTCATCAACTCCTTAATTCGAATCACAGAATAAAGTTTAAGAACACAAATCGAATACAGGTGGAATTATCCACAGTAATCGCCGGAGAAGAAGAACAAAAAAAGAGTGAAGAGAATCTTACTCGAACTCAGCAACGGCGGCAACAAATCAATACGGAATCAAAGAACAAGAGGGACCTGATGAATGATTAGATTGATGGAAGAAGGGCCTTTTTGGTTTTAGTATTTGTCTTCTCGATGTCCCCAAAGAGAAAAAAAAAAAAAGCCTCTCTTTTTCCTCCTAAACAGAGGATCATAAAGAGACGTATTTTGGCTTCTCTTTCTTACGTCTCTGTTCTGTTCTACCCAGTTTTTTTTTTTTTTTTTTTCTCCTAACTGTTGGATTCACACTCGTTTAGCTAATGGCACTCGTGAACGGCTGAGATTTCTGTGGAGTACGAAAACTATATTATCTCTGCCGTAGAAGATCCGTGGTGGCTGCAAAGTACAAAAGGAAAGAATTAGGGAGGGGCCCATTTAATGTTTATTTATTGGCATGCCTCAATTTTAAAATTATTCTGATTGGTCAAATGCGTACTGTACGTCAAGTACAATTAATAAAAATTCTCAATTTTCTCATAAGCTCAATGAATTTAATAAGGAGTTTACTTTATTTTGGCTATGAAAGCTCCGTTGAATATTAGACTGGTTTTTGGAAAACATATGAATGATAATTTCAAGCTCAATATATTAATTGACATTGCAGAAGTGGTAATACAAAGAGAACAAAAGAGAGTCAATTAGGCAATGGCAATGGAGAAAATTGGAATTAAATAAGGAGCTTTATTCAATAACCATTTGTTATGATTTGCATGTGTAAAAGATGATACTTTTTGGGTACTTTCTTAAAAAAATCACCTAAACCTGGCTTTGATCATTTAGGAAAACTATATTTAAACTTACTGTTCTATGAAAAATATTAATATACAGTTTATAGAGTTATCTACAAAACCGAATGGAAAAAGACTATGATGCTCACATGATTGAAAGTATACATATATATATATTTATTTATTTATTTGATATTCGTGTTTGTGATATATAATAAGAAGGGATGATTTTGCTTACTCTATAGGAGAATGAAAAGAAGCAAAAATGGCTTAGTCACAGAAACACGTGGAAAGTCGAGCACGTGTCAACGAAGGGAAGGTGGTTGTTCAAGGCGAAGCAACTCCCGCGAGTTCTTTGGGAAACAGTTGCACTCTTCTCAGATCTGTTTATAAAAAGAAATAGCCTCTCCTGATCTGCACTCTCTCCACAAACTCCACCACACACAACCAGAGAGATCTAGAGAGAGAGAGAGAGAGAGAGATAATAGAGAGCGATGGCGACAGATGTAGGAGCAGAGTCTATTGCGACGGTGGCTGCGAAAGCTCCGGTCACGGCGGAGAGGAAGGTCCGGACTGATCTCGACGATCGTCTCCCCAAGCCATGTTCGTACATTTTTGTCTTTTTATCTCTTTTTTTTTTTTCCTTTTTTCCATTTCCGTATATATTTTTTTTGTTTCTTCTATTCTACGATACGGTTTGATTCCAGCGTTTTTTAGTTATTTAGTAGTAGTGGAAACTGATCGAAAATTTACGAAATTGGATTAAAATTGGTTAAATAATAATGGATCATTGGACTAGATTGGTTGTATCATTCATATATGTTTGTGAAATTGGTTTGATGGATTGAAAACAGATGTGCCTCGAGCGATGGTTGCACCAGACACGGAAAACGTTAACGGGACAAGGGGACACAAGCACCAGGACATGTCTGTTCTTCAGCAGCACGTAGCCTTCTTTGACCAGGACGGTGATGGTACCATCTACCCTTCCGAGACTTTCAAAGGTCTCTTTTAACAATCGAAGAAACAATCAAGAATCAAGAATATAAAGATCGTCGTGTTATTAAATAAATAACCCTACTTTCCTCTGTTTTGCAGGATTTAGAGCACTTGGTTTCAACGTTGTCTCTAGTTTCTTTCTAACACTCATCGTTCATCTTACCATGAGTTACGCCACATTGCCTGTAAGTTTCGTTCATCTTACTACTAGTATCTTTATCTCTTTTGGTTGGTTTCCTCAACATGTCTTCTCTGTTTTTTGACTCTCTCTCTTTCTCTCTCTCTATTAAAAAAAAAAAAAACAAGACTTGGATTCCTTCTTTTACCTTCCCGATTTACATCAGAAACATACACAGAGCCAAACATGGAAGCGACACCTCAACTTACGACACAGAAGGAAGGTTTGTCCCCCAATAAACCATTTGGCCATATATATGATGTTTACTTCTCTGGACTTGTTGTTGATTAGTAAATTTTGGAACTTTCAGGTACATTCCTGCAAATCTGGAGAACATGTTCAGCAAGTACGCACGTACCGTGCCTGACAAGCTAACTCGCCACGAGCTGTGGCAAATGACCGAAGCTAACCGAAATGCCTTCGATTTCTTTGGCTGGTCTGTATCCCATCTCTCTCTCTTTAATGGCCTCTCTCTCTCTCTCTCTCTCTCATTAATGGTGTGAGAATATATGGAAACAGGGCAGCGAGTAAAATGGAGTGGGGAGTACTCTACATACTGGCTAAGGACGAGAATGGTTACTTATCCAAAGAAGCAGTTAGGAGATGCTTCGATGGGAGCTTGTTCGAGTATTGCGCCAAGTCCAGAGCCTCTCCTAAAAAGGCAGACTGATTACTTTCTTTGCATGCAGTTAATTAGTCTCTTAAGTAAGTAAACTTTGTTAATTTAGTCTCCTAACCGAAGACAAACACGAATCAGATGGTAACTTTTTCATTTGCTACCTAAGTTTCTCATCTTTTCAATGCTTCTTTAAGTTTCTGTATGTTGCCAACTGTGTTGCTTGAATTATATTAATATGTGCTCAATATGTCAGTGTTTGGTTGATTTTCCACTCATATGCTTGATTTTTTTTGTTTCTTCCTCTAATTTAAAGTTTCCTTGTATATGTACTTTCTAGAATTTTAGGCCTAAGCAGAGAAAATTTTCAGAGCTCTATACGGTTGAGCATAAGGCGAATGCATAATAAGATTTCGAGATTTACATCCCTAGGAGACTTGTTCATTTGTTTGTTCCAGTATATGCTCTCAAGATACTCTTTGAGTTATTAGCGTTTGTATATTGATTTCTTTATGTTCCCAATTTTCTAAAAAAAAATAGATTAATGGCAGAGAATAAACATTTGTTCGGTCTTAAATGGGAACCAAATGAAGCTTCCAGGCTCATCTTTCTATTCGAAAACTGGTTCTAGTTCAAGCAAAGGAGGTGAGTGAAACGAAAGAACTTGAGTCTGGTAATAGTTTAATGGGATAATTATTGACCGTTGGTATGAGTTGCAGAAAAGCTTGAACGTTCAAAAAAGTTTGTTTGATTATTTTTGTTTTGTAAAGTTTGCGAGTGATTTGATATAACTTTTTTTTTTTTGTGTGTAAAACTTGAAATAGAGAATTAAGTCAATAGAATAGACATTAATCGATATGAAACTTGTCTAATTGGTCAGACCACACACCATTTTGGGTAGACAATGAAGTTTTCCTCTAAATTCTAAGCACTTTGAAGCTGAATGAAGTTTGTATCAAACACCAAACGTTTAGAGTATTTAGTATTTAGAGTTTCTGCGTTAGTAGAATATATAATACATGCCCAAAGCAAGCCTTGGCAATGGCAAATAGCCCTAAACTCCAATCAGAGATCATTCTTAAACTCCAAAAAGGAAACTGAAACTACGTACACGAAAGGGAAAAGGTCATTGCTCGATTATTTACCACTGGCCAAGATATCTCTCATTCTCAAGGCTAGCCAAGATAACTACCCGCAAAATGTGATGCGCGGATTAAGTTTTTATCAATAAAATTGATCAATAGAACTCAGAATTAATTTAGTTATTAAACTTATAGAAGCCCTAACCTTCATTTGCTTAGAGAATGTGCCACGCAGAAACATGTATTTGGCCATGATACAAGAATTAGGCCTGGGCACGGGACAAATACTTGCCATTTTTGGTATACTTGATACTTGACTTGCTCCGTTCAAATATCAAGATATTTATACTTGTACTTGACTTGTTAATATCAAGTACTTGCAATTTCAAGTACTTGCCAAATTTTTCATTATTTGCAAGTTACTTGGTTTGTCCCGTTACTTGTAAAAGTATAAATAGAATACTAAAAAAACTAAAATTTCGGGCCATATTTAATTAAAACCTATGATAATATTTAATATTTTGACCTTTAAGTTTTTGGAAAGCTTTAGATATTGAAGTCTGGCAACTTATTTATCTTTTGATAAGCAGACTTTTCTTTCCTTTTTTATGTTGTAATCGATGTGGAACAAAATTAAAAAAAAAATCAGAGATTTGAAACGAGTAACGGGTCAATAAGACCAAATAGTAACTTTTTTTTTAATATTTGATACTTGTCTTATACTTGCAAGTAATCTTCTTAAGATACTTGATACTCTACTTGATCAAAACAAGTACTTGGTTTTACGGGACAAGTACGGGTCAAGTAAGGAGTACGGGTCGAGTACCAAGTAATTGTGCCCAGCCCTAACAAGAATGACCTCTCCTGGGCAGAAACATTCTTAAATACAGTTTTATTTAAAACGGTGTCGTTTCACTCTGTGAGAATATAAAGCCCTAAAGTTTGCACGGACAAGACTGACCAAGAACTCTTCTTCCTCGGCCGTCGACGTTCTCCACAAATCCAGGTGCTCTTTTCTTCCTTTTACAAAGTAATCAACTTTACAATCTCTGGATTCATCTTCAAATTTTTAGAGGTCCGGAGATTCTATCGAAAGTCTTAATTTTCCGATTCCATATTTGATCGTCTCTTTTTTTTTTTTTTTTAATGTCAATTTAGTTGATACGAATATATCAATCATGGTGTCTCTTTAGGGTTCTTGCTCTGCATCCCTAGGAGACTTCTTCTTTTGTTTAGACTGCTAGGTGCTCTTAAAATACCTATTACCGTTTGTTTTAAATTTTTAAAAATTTCTGAACCTTTTTTTTTTAAATCACCTTGTCACAGAGACAAAGGCAATTTTAGATTAATGGCGGAGATTAAACCATTGATCGGTCTTAAATGGGAACCAAAGCTTCCAGGCTTGTCGTTAGATTCCAAAACTGGTTCCAGTTCAAGCAAAGTAGCTGAGCAGAGACACGAAAGCGGTTCTCTCTGGACTTCTAACTCAGAGCTCGTTGATGGACTTTGTCTTCCTCCTACTGATCCAAGGAAGATTAACAAGATGAGTAGAAAGAATCTCAAAGACTCCGCTGGACCAGACTGGTGACTTTGCGTTTTCACCAATTATTATATACCTTTTTTTGTTTTGTTTGATATTGAATTATCCTCACATTGTTCCTGCCACTGTGGATAGGTATGATATGCCGGCACCAACAATGACTCCCGAGTTGAAAAGGGATCTTCAGATGCTTAAGGTCATTGGTTTCTTTGCTTCTTCTTTCTTTTGATGTTGTTGTCCTCAGATTTTGGTTTCGAAGTCCTAACTCCAATCTAATTTTATATTTGCTTCAGTTGAGGAATGTATTGGATCCTTCCCAGCACTACAAGAGAGTTGTGTCCCGTTCAAAATTAGCTGAAAAATATTTCCAGGCAAGTCTCTGAGCTGCAAACTAGATCAAGACGAGAACTTTCTTTCTTTTTTTTGTCTCGGCCTCTGCATTACACTAACTCTTATCGTTTTCTTTGTTTCAAAAACCAGGTTGGCACAGTAATTGAACCATCTCAAGAGTTCTACGGGAGATTGACAAAGAAGAATAGAAAATCAACTCTTGCTGATGAGTTGGTGTCAGACCCCAAAACTGCTCAGTACCGGTAAGTTACATCCATTGTCTTCTAAGTAGCAGTGTTTAAGAATGCTTAGGTTCTCTATCATAAGAATGGAAAAATGCATGTCTTTTGAGACTAGGTGGTTGAAAAAACCTTTAGTTTGTGATACCACGAGTTAAAATGCATCTAAGTTGATAATGGAATTGAACCCGTGTTTGTTGAAGAAGTTGCATGGTGAGCCCTTGTAGATGTCCTGTTGGGTATATTTGTTTGTTTCGTATCTATGAATTGGGAAAATGTGGTATGTTTCTGTCAAAATTTTACGACAGGAATTTGGTTTCTTGAGAATTGATAGATGTTGACATGCGTTGGAACGTTTGCTAAGTGATTGTGTTGGTTGTGTTTTTACAGGAAGCGTAAAGTCAGGGAGATTGAAGAGAAGAACAGAGATGTTCAGAATAAGAAATGGAAGAGAAAGGGAAAAGACTCCAAGAGCGCAAAACATAGAAGGAACTGAATTTACATTTATTAGAATATGGTTGCAGTTTTGGTACACCTTACCTTTGTAATGACTGTTGTTGTTTTAAATTGATTGAATTTTAAGGTTTCGTTGGCAATCACCCACTTACAGGGGATATTTAACTTAATGAAAGAACCACAAAAGCACAGAAAGATTATCAATTCATGGTCTCATCCAACAAGTAGAAACATATACTATATTTTAAAAAATAATGCTCTTATTATAGAGTTTGGAAGTATTTATTTATACTAGAGATGAGAAAACGTAATAACACAATTTGTTATTGATGATGTGAATAATTCATCAACATTTTCGGATCCTTATTACCATTTGGTTTGTGATTTGTTAGCAATGAGCGGAGTTTCTGTAACATAGCTAAAAGTTTTGGGGGCTATTTGTGTTCTTTTAAATTATAGTGGTCAATTAATTAATATAAGAAAAAAGGGTTTCCTCATCAAACTTCTCGTCTCTTTTGTAGAGCTAAACGACGCCGTTCGTTGATTGATCGATTAGGGTTTTTGTCGGCCGGCAGTTTCAGGTAAGCTGTTTCTGTCCCTCTTCCACTCTATAATCCATGATATATGTAGTTTTGGTGATGTTAAAAGCCGTACAAAATATCCAGTGAGAGACGAACACTTGATTCAATTTCGTGTTCGTATCGTGAATCTAGGCATGGGGTCTCATGAGCAATCAGAGAAGAAATCGCCTGAGAAAAGTGGTTCGAGCATTGTGTCTAAGAAGGTCGCGGAGATCTGGGAGCGAATGAACGAGGGAGTACCAAATAAGCGATTCAATTTTGTCTCAAAGAGCTCAACCGCTTTGCCCGCGAAAAATTCAGCTAATAATAACGTGAGATTTATTTTTTTCTTCTTGCGTTCTGTTTTTGATTGTGATCTTTGTCTTCTGTGATTTCAAATGTTGTTGCTTTTTTCGATTCGCAGAACTGGAGAAGTTATCTTGGTGTGGATGCGAAGAAGAAGAAGAAGGATCAAGAAATTGTACAAAAGGAAGATAGTGTTTCGGATAATAGCTGTAGCGAGGAGGCTAAAAGCATTGCTGCAGCCGCTCTAGCAGCTGTCAGAAACGCAACCGCAACCGCTGCAGCTGCTTCGAGCCGAGGCAAGATTGAGGTCAGTAAAAGCTTTACCTTTTGTTTTGTTTTGTGTGTGTTTTGGTTCGGTGTAGTTAGAAACTAAGATCTCTCAGCTGACAGGAACTAGGAAGATGGATTGTGTAGGACTAAAATCTCTGTCTCTAGTTAGTATAAAGCTTGCTTTTTTTTTGCCTCTGTAATGTTAGAATCTAAGACCTCGCAGCTGTTTGGAATTAGGAAGATGTGTTGTGTAGGACTAAACCTTGGTAATATGTAAATTGAGCATTCATTTGGTTGATGCATATCTTAGATAACGGAGGTCAAAGACTTTGCGGGTCAAGAAGTCGAAGTAAAGCGGTTAGTGGAAGCGGATTCGAAGGAAGCATTAGAGAAGGGAAACAAAGGGTCTTCCTCTGCTTCCTCCTCGGCCGCAACGACTTCAGCGGTTGATGCGGTTCTCGAGCAGATAAAGAAGAAACAGAAGCTGAGCGTTCTGGACAAGACGAAAAAAGATTGGGGAGAGTACAAGGAGGAAAACAAAGGCGTTGAAGACGAGCTAGATAAGTACAAGAAGAGCTCGGACAAGTACTTGGACAAAGTTTCGTTCTTGGAGAGAGCTGATTACAGACAGTTTGAGAAAGAGAGAGACGCTCGTTTAGCTCTTCAGTCCAAGAGAAGACACGATGAGGCCTGAATGTGAGAGACTCTTTTAGCGTTCTTCTTCTTCTTCGTCTGCTGTAAGTATTCTTGTTTTTTTTTTTTGGTATTTAGGGAAGTGATCTAACGAAACCTTATAGCCGTTTTGCTAAGTGATTTTATTAAATTCTTTGCAGTCTCTAAACCGAGTTTTGATCTGCTTCATTGATTCGGTGGTTTTCATCTCCGGCTTGAGTGCGTGCTGAAGAATGAAGATCACCCTCTCTTTAGGCTATGGACAATGAGATGGCTACAAGCCAAGGATTCTGTTTCTAACCATATGTTACATCAAATGAAACATCGTTGTGATTGCATTCTCGGTTTTTTGCTTTCGTTCGATTATTCAAAAGCGTAGGAGTGCTCTTGTAAGTAATTGATTTTTCTTGTTTAGTCTTTATCAAGAATGCTTTTAATAAAAATCATTTGAGTTCGATGATTCTCAAGATGCTCTCATGGTATTGCCTGAAAATAATATGCCAGAATTTACTACCCTCCCTCTTTATTTTAAGGAGACCTTGTCCGTTTCATAAGTTTTACGATATGAAATCAATATGTTTCTGTACACTAATCTAATCCAATTTAGATTGGATTATATAATCAAACTAGATTTCATATGGAACTTTGCATATTTAGAAAAATGTTTTATTATTCACCAATGAAGAAAACCTAAAAAAGGTTTGTCAAAACTTATTACTATAGTCGTACGTCTTATCCCTTGTAACTTTTATAATGTCTGTCGACTTAATGACATCTTGCTCCTTTGATATTGGGTAATTTCTTGTATTGCTTTAGATTAGGTTGTAAACTTTCTCATTGGGTATAAAATCTTAACATAATTAAAGCAAAAAATATATAAAAAAATTTGTTGTTGTCATTTTCATTTGAGAGTATCGCCGAAGCTTGTCGAGAGAGAGAGAGAGAGAGATGGATTCATCGGCGTCGTTTGTAGGGAACAGATATTGGGTCCTCCGACACGGCAAGAGCATTCCCAACGAGAGAGGCCTCATCGTCTCTTCCATGGTACGCTTTTCTACTCCTCCTCCTCGATCCTCCTTCTTCTTCTTCCTTCAATCGTCGCTTGTAAATTGATGTAATTGCAGGAAAATGGTGTGCTTTCAGAGTACCAATTAGCTCCTGATGGTATGGCTCAGGCTCAGCTCGCTGGCGAATCGTTCCTTAAGGTAAATTCAATTTCTTTATCATATATACAGACTCAACACTCTCTCATGCGCTTGCTTCATGAGGAGTTCTTGTATGTGTAATCCTCATGTGCAGCAACTCAAGGAGAGTAACATATCACTGGAAAAGGTCCGCATTCGCTACTCGCCCTTCTCCAGAACCACTCACACCGCAAGGATTGTCGCTCAGGTCCTCAATCTCCCTTTTGATACTCCTCACTGCAAGGTACTCTCTTTTTCCCTCCCCTTTCACATGCTTTCTTATTACAAAACCTTATTACAAATTGTATCTCGATCCATTTACTGTTGCTCTACGTTATAATGTCCAACTTGCATATGGGTCCTCATAGTCTACAGTGTTGACCCTGCTTTTCCCTTGCACAAACTATGTTTTTCTCTCTAAGCTCTCCTCGTTGATTCAATTGATAATTGCTAACCAGATGATGGAAGCTCTGCGAGAACGTTATTTCGGACCTACATTTGAGCTCAAGTCACATGACAAGGTGCGTGGTTTACTTATAGTCTCACTTACTTCCCTTGGAGATAGAGCATAGAAACGGAGGGTGACATACCCTTTTCATCTCAAAGTTTGTTTTTTTTTTTTTTTTTTTTTTCTGATTGCCATAGTACCAAGAGATATGGGATCTTGATGAGAAAGATCCATATATGAGACCACAAGGAGGAGAAAGTGTTGATGATGTTGTGTCCAGACTTGCCACTGCCATTGAATCCATGGAAGCTGAATATCAAGGGTAAGATCATAATAATAAAAAATGCTTTCTTCTTCTACACCCCAAGCTAAAAGGAATAAGTGTGTGTTCATTGTAAATTTCCCTCAGATGCGCAATTTTGGTGGTGAGTCATGGAGATCCTCTGCAGATGTTGCAGAACATTTTCCATTCAGCAAAGCAACAACGAGGAGATGGTTTAGCAGAGATCATTCAGAAGGGCAGAGTTGCTTCTGTCTTGTCACAGCACCGCAAGTTTGCTTTGCTCACCGGGGAACTCCGACCCCTCGTCTGAATTTGGCAATCTTCATATTGAAGCAAGCTTACTATATTAAAAAAAAAAAAAAAGTATTCAACTTTGGCATTGTTTTGTTGCCAGTTCTTATCTGGCAATGACATTCTTGCAGTTACTTGATTTGGGATAAGCTATTATGACATCATTTTGTTAAGCGGACCATGAAGGGTTATTCTTCTGTGATAAGAAACCATACTTAATTTGTATCTTTGTTGGTCTCTCTCTGTCCCTAGACTTTGTAGCAGTTTCTGAGGGGATATCATCACCTTCATTGCAGAGTCCAAACCGGTTCCGGTTTGCTTGATTAATTCTGTTTTTTTCTTTCATTTCTTTTCTTTGTTTTTTCTCCGGATTGAAGAATGAAAAAGATCACCCTCTCTTTAGGCCATGGACAAATAAATGGGCTTTCAAGCATAACTTTAGAAGCCCAAGTTTGTGATTGCAATCCTCTCCGTGTTTTGTTTTTGGTCCTATTAACAAAACCTTAACAATGCTCTCGTGAATTTTGTTTTCTTGCTACTAGTAGAGTTTCTTTTCTTTTTTCGTTAAAGTAGTAGAGTTTCTTTTCTTTCTTTAGTTTCTTCTTAATCTAAGATATATGAGCTTATATTAATTCCAAAGATATTGTGAATCCAGAAATATTAGCGAACCTCATTTGGCCAAAAGTATTAAGCGCTGAAAGAGGATTGTGCCTGGGACTAGAGGTTGCTTTTCCAAGTGAAGGAGTTAACCAAAAATATACAAAAGCTTGAAATAGATATGCCAGACTCTCAAGTTAAGCAGGATTTCGCATTAGTAATTTAGTAGAAACAGTCAAATTGCAATCATGTAATCTCAATAAGCAATATGTGTATATTATTAGACTTAGAAAACAATACTAGCAGCATTTTCTCTTTTTCTTACAATATGATTGAATATAGCGCTGAAATCACGTTGTGGAAACATAAATGTTCACGATTTGCAGGATTTTTTGAAATAGAATATTTTTTGAGATTCCATACCAAATCATATATACTCATGTACTAGGAAACTTTCGTCCATTAATTTTTCGGATAGACTAACGCTATCTTGAAAATAAATATTCTATATACTATACTCTAATAGAGTTTACAAACACAAGGCATATACCATATGTATATCAAACATTTAATCCACCGATCTAATCCACATGCGGTTTTTAGACATAGATCAAATATTCGTATTTCCATATTTAGTACGATTCTAGATTCAATCATCTCCAATATCTCAATCTTGGCATACAAGAATCGGATCATCGCATTAAAAAACGTTACTGAAGAATGAAACCCCACAAAATGAAATCCAAAATTAATTATCTTTCTCATTTAATCACCCTCTCTCACACTCTCCCCCTTAATATATAAATGTAAGATCGAGGCCCTCTCAATCTCTCACCCACTTTTATTACCGCAAGTAAGAACAAACAAAAAAAGAGTTCATATCCTAAAGAGACTTAATATTTCTTTTTTTTCCTAATCGTTTGAGATGGCACCAACAACAAAGATGGCCGTTGAGATGAAGAGAGAAGCAAGTCCTAACGTCGGGAAAAGGGCTTACGTCACTTTCCTAGCTGGAAACCAAGACTATTGGATGGGTGTGGTTGGTCTGGCCAAGGGACTTCGTAAGGTTAAATCGGCTTATCCTCTTGTTGTGGCGATTCTCCCTGACGTGCCGGAGGAACACCGTCAAATCTTGGTTGCTCAGGGATGCATCGTCCGTGAAATCGAGCCTGTCGTCCCGCCGGAAAACCAAGTCGGTTATGCCATGGCTTATTACGTCATCAACTACTCCAAGCTTCGTATTTGGGAGGTAAAATCTTGCTTACTATATTTATGTATATATGCATGTTTCATATGACCGAAAATTAATTGTCACGTGTTGAAAGTTAATAATTAGGTTTTATATAGCCACGTGCCATGAATCTTGAATTAACATTGCATATTCATATCAAGATATTTTGAATGTTTTTTTATGCATATGAATTTTAACCATTATCAATTAAAAACCAAATATAAATTATAAATGCAGTTTGTGGAGTATGAGAAGATGATATATCTAGATGGAGACATACAAGTGTTTGGTAACATCGATCATCTATTCGATTCACCTTCCGGTTACTTGTATGCCGTCAGAGACTGTTTTTGCGAGGGAAGCTGGTCCAAAACTCCTCAGTACAAGATCGGTTATTGCCAACAGTCACCGGAAAAAGTGACGTGGCCGGTGGACAGTCTCGGTCCTCCGCCTCCGGCTTACTTCAACGCTGGTATGTTGGTTTTCGAACCGAGTCTTGTCACATACGAGGATATTCTTCAAGTTGTTAAAGTCACTGCTCCAACTTCTTTTGCTGAACAGGTCCGATTTTATTTTCTTTTTCATTTTTTCATTATTTGATTTGAGTTTTCATTTCTGTTACAACTCTGATAATAATGTTTTTTTTGGGGGGTAGGATTTTTTGAATATGTACTTCAGAGACATTTACAAGCCAATCCCTACGACCTACAACCTCGTCTTGGCTATGCTTTGGCGTCATCCTGAGCACGTTGACCTTGACCAAATCAATGTTGTTCACTACTGTGCTAAAGTATGTTTTATTTTTTTTCTTTCAATTTTTCTTGACATGTTTTGATATATATATTTTTTTGTTACTATATTTTTATATTTATAAATCAATTTTTATAGGGTTCGAAGCCTTGGAGATTCGCTGGAGCTGAAGAGCATATGGATCGAGAAGACATCAAGATGTTGGTGAAGAAATGGTGGGAGATTTACGAAGATTCGAGCTTGGACTACAAGAACTTTGTCGAAACTGAGTCAAAGCTTAACCCGATCATTGCAGCCTTAGCCTCCAAAGAATCCGCCGGAGATGGCCTCACCAACCTCGCTCCCTCCGCCGCATAACCAACCGTGGAGGCTATTCTGTCTCTTTCGTTTTTTTGTTTATCCAAGGTTTAGCTATATATATATATATAATTTTAGAATAATTATATATAGCAGCCTATTTTCATGTTTTATGTTTGTGAGATTGTGTGGTTGGCCTTAGTGTTTTGTCAAAGTAATAACCTCGGCCACCCTTTGTATCTCATTTTCCTTTTATCATTTACCAATAATAAGAATGCTTTCATTTGAATAATTCTCTTCGTTTTGTTTTGTTTTTTTCTTTTTGCAAAACCAGCTTAATACAAGAAAAGTAGCAAATGATTGAGACATGAATTAAGAGGAGTGTTACTTCTCGAGAATGTATCACAGCGCCTCTATATTGTTTTTGAAATTTAGATTTCATGAACAGAATACAAACTCTGGTTTAAAAACTCTTGTGTCAATTAAGACCGAATTAGTAAGAAAAAAAAAACCCATCTTAGGCCAGGTTGTGATAGGTTCGGGTCGGTTATGATCGGGCAAACCGTTCTCTGATGAACTTTGGACATTGCAATAGAAATATCGATTACTAAAAAAAAAATACACACACACAGGAGTTATTGCATATTACATGAAGCTCAAGGATGTGTTTTTGTCTATGAAAATGTTAAAAAAAAAACAGCTTGATTCTAAAGATCAGCCGCGGGAGGAACGTCGTCAACGGTGAGATCTACGCCATCATCTGGCAAATCAGATCCGAGTGGTCCAAGTATCCCTTCAGAACTCAGCGTCAGTCCACTCTGCTCAAAACATACACCAACATTAACTTATTATCCTCCACCAAAACCAAAGCTTCTCTGGTCATCTCCGGAACCAAACCCCAACAACATAATTCTTGAAAATAACCAATGGTGGTTATGAACTAAAAAAGAACCACTTTTCAAGAACTCATTTGTCGTGGTCAGTGAGGCCGTTAAATGCAGTCCAAGATGATTACTATTTATGTACACTAGCTTGTTGGAGCTTAAGTGCATCTGATAAAACTTGGAGATCAGGCAAGTGGATAAATCATACCTCAGGTTGGAAGCGAAGCATGTCTGCACGAGCCATAGCTTCTGCTTGGGCGATTCTCTGTCTGAACGTCTGAGCCATCTCCTCAGCCTTGAGACAACAGAAATGTAGAAAACAGGAATGAGACCAAAGAGGGAAGAGAGAGAGAGAGTAATGTCAGTGCATATAGTGTTACCTTCTCGAAAACAAGTTTTGGGTTGCGAATCATATCACCGGGTGTTGGCTCCAGCTTCTTGGTGGAGAGACTTACTCTTCCTCTGTCACGGTCGTGGCTCAGTATCATAACCTGTAAGCATTACAAGTTAGGTGCTGTTTCTCTAACATCCGAATCAAAAAGTTTTTAAGAATATCCGTGGTAGACCTTAAGAGTGTCACCGGGCTGAAGAACAGTTGCGATATCTGAGACACGGTCATGACTGATCTGACTGACATGGAGAAGCCCATTGATTCCGCCAATGTCGATGAAGGCACCATAGGGTTTCAAACTCTGAACAACTCCGAGGACCACAGATCCAATTCCAAGCTGAGCCTGGCTGTCTGCTACAGCTTTACGGTTGCTGAGGACAAGCTTTGTTTGTTCCTCATCAACCTCCACAAATTTGAGAGGTATTTCTTTATCCAGAAGCTCTTCAGCTGCTGCTTTCTGCCAAATAAACGTAGAAAAAACACATCATTAATCAGGTTGTATTTTTGTCTTAAAAGCAACCAAGATTCCGGCTAATCTTAAACAGCTCTGAGACAACTACTAACCGATGATATTTGCGAAAATGGCACAAATCCACGAAGACCCTCCACTAGAGCCACCAATCCACCTTTGTTAGCACCAATAACCTACGCATATTAATCCAACTGCTGAGATTGTAACCAGAGAGAGAGACCACAAGAGCAGCAAAGAAGTTCCAAACTTACCTTAGCCTTGACAATGACATCCTCAGCCTGAAGCTGCCTGCATCTTTCCCAAGCAAGTTCGTATTGGATCATCCTTAAGCTCAATAGCAAGCTGTCGTCATTTTCGTTTTCACCAATGATGACAAACTCTTCTACCATACCAGGAACTATTCCGGCTTCTTCCACATGCTTGATTCTATGAATGCACGCTTGTTCAACTGACAAGTAAGCCGATGACTTTGCAGAAATGTCAACTAATGCACCATTTGCCTCAGTCTTGAACACCGTTCCTTTCACCTGAACAATGCCATTACCACAAATGATTCAGAACCAACATTTTCGTATAGAACAACAGATTAAAGAAGAAACCTTTACTCAATATAAAGAAATATCACAAATTTTCTTAATAGAACAACAGATTAAAGCTTCAATTTCGAAATTTTCTCAAATTCCACAAAATTAGAACGGAGAATAAAAATGAATTAATAGAAAAAAGATGAGACAAACCCTAGTTCCGATCTCGGAATTGAAGTCGTATTGTTCAATAGCAGCTGCGAAATCGTCGACAGTGAAAGCGACACCTTCCATGGGAGCAGTTCTGCATCGCTCGTAAGCGTCCTCGAACATCTTCTTCAGCTCGAGCCGCTCTTTAGTCTGCCCGCTAGACATCGCAACCGCCGCGACAATCGTCGGAGAAACGGAGGCGGATTTGTTCTGGGGAAAGTTCTTCGAGGCTCTCCTCGACAACCTAGAAGAGGAAGAGAGTGGAGAGCATCTCAACCCCGTGAATTGCTGAGCCAAAGACGCCATTTTTTTCCTGCACTCGAAGAGTCTCACTCACTCCACTCACAGAGTTTTTATCTGTTCTCTTCTATGGCTCTTCCTGCGTTTTATCGCCGGGCTTAGATAAGGGAGATTACAAAAGGAATAGAGATGATGATCTGGACTTGGGGACATTTTTTCAATTTGATCGGACGGTCGAAACAACTGCTACACTTTGCATTGACACTACATGCCGTTTATTAACTATTTAAAACAGCGTGACGTTCGTGCCATTGGCTAGTAATAAGAAGAAATGCCTACACCTGACACAGTGTGTCGTTTAACGGATGTATACAAGCACCGCGCGACGTTTAACCACACAAAACATCAAGATTGATAATTTTTGGGTTATACTTGCAGAATTTTACAGTCCTTTACAGAAGAATGACTTTTTTTCCTAATTTCTAATGCCTCTGTACATCATCCATATTCCATATTATCATATGATTTTTATCCTCATTTATAAGATAATATAATAATATTAATTGGGCCAAATTTATATGTAGATTATGAGATTTTAAGTCAGAGATGAATTATTTATATCTGGAGAAATTAGGTAAAATAACCATCAAAAGAAACTTTAATTAAGTGTGTAACAATTAAACCAAAATAATGCATATTTTTCAATAAATATTCATTCTCTTCTCTCCTTTTCTTGCGATTTTATTATAAAAAAAAATTCTACGACGAATACAAAATAAGCAATGAGTAGTTGTGGTTCTAGTTGGTTCCTTTGCAAATGTGCCATCTAACGATGCCCACAAGTATACTTTGGCACAATGTTTAATGTTTCACCAGTTGGCCTAATCACATAACTTACATCAAACCATTCTTTCTCTAAAAAAGTACTTTTCATTATTCAGATTATGATGTTCACCCACCAATTAGAATAAGAGTACAATCCTTAGAAGAAAAAGATTATCATAGTTATAAGTGGCCACGTCTTAGATATGCTAAATATAGTTGGCTTCAATATTTTTATATGAAAACTAAAGAAGATTGATCATTAGTCATAAAATCTAACCGGTAAGTCCTTTTATATACAGTATCTCTAACGTCAATATGGTGTATGATATCTAACAAGATTGATCATCTGTCATAAAACAGAGTTTTCCTAGAGTCTACGTTATTTGATATTTGCCATATATGAAGAATCTTTCAGATTCCTCCAACTTCCAATTTTACGGACAATCGTTAACTTTGTTGACCATGAAAATTTACTATTTTCTTAACCATTAATTGTGGATGTAAGCCTGTAACTATGCTATTCGAATAATGCCATTTTTCTTCTGTTGGAGATTTGAGTTCTGAAAATGACTTTTATATTGTAGTACCCTATTTAAAGAAGCTTGCAAATGATATTTTAACAGGTAATTTTATAATTGCATTGATTCTTCAGAATAATTAAAGAGGTCGGAAGCTTCGCAAAAGATTAAACGATGCGTGTTAGACCTCATGGTTTAGATTATAAAATTAGAATAGATAATTAAGATTTAAGATTAGTGTCGTTTGTAACAATCATTATTAGACACTTCTAGGAAAAGAAAATTCTCAATATAAATTAAATAGAAGTAATCAATAACGACGCCATGTATTTTGGTTGTGTGTACGTGTCTAATTGCTAGACCAGATATCTCGGTCGTCCCGAATTAACATAAAGCTGAACACACATTTTTGTTCTCCTAAGGTATTGATTAATAATGTTGAGCTATGATGATTAAATGAAGTTTAACCATTCATCTGCAATATATTGAAAAAAAAAAACTCTTTTGGTGAAACTAGATCCGGTAATCTCTAATCACTTCTTAATTTGTTGAATTAATATTTCTAAAGCTCTCCATATATATATATATATGTATATATATACATATATATATATGTATATATAAACTTTAGCCTTCCAAAGAGCATTGGACGACCATGTCATTACGTCACATTTTCATATATTTTGGTGAAAACCACTCTGTCGCATTTTGAGTACTGCGGTATAGTATCGCAAATTATATGAAAACATCGAGTTCTTATTAATTAATACTGTCATAACTCTTGTCCAAAACACCAAATCATGTGCATTCTGGTTTTATGTAGATGGTAAACAAATACGCGCAACAAGGTGTAGGGGTCGACTTATTTTTTCACGAAAAGTAGTCCAAACCTCATTAATGCAATCATTTCATAAAATATTCATACTAACTAGTTAGGGATAAGAAAAATGGGTGGATAACGGCACTGTTTTTAATTCGATTAGGATAACTTACGCATAATCGGGAGCTACAAGAAGGTGAAATTTAATACCTAAATATACTTTTATCAATTTTAAAATTTCGAAGCTATTCGAATTATTATGACAGACAAAAAGTAAGGGTTGATTAGTTTTGGTTACAATGGATCATTAACGCCGAACGACATAATAAGAATGATTGTAAGTTTTCCGAAATTTACAATGTCTCCATAAGGGAGGCGAGAAAAAACAAAGCAATAAAGATCAAGGTTTAAAAAAAAAAAAAAGAATGATTGAAAGTTTTCCGAAATTTAGTGTATTTTTACTTATTTCAACACATTCTATTTTTTTGTTAAAAAATATTAAAACACTCTTTTTACAAAATTATTTCTCATTATAAAGTTAAAAAAAAAAATCTGAAAACTCCATGCAAATCTGAAAACATTATGGGAAAATGGAACTTATATGATAAGCCAATAAATTTTACTGTTTATCGCGACATTTAATCAAGGTTTAGACTGATACTCAAGAAAGTTTTGGTTTGAGGTCTGGTTAGTCTAAACCACGTAGCTAGTAACGGAGCTCCGATAGATAAGGAGGGTCTGTCACAAAATCAGAAAGATGTCCTGCAATGAAGAAGTATCGTCTCGTAATGTGGTTTACTTCAAAAGATTACTTAACATACGTTAACATTAATTTCCTAAAATATTTAGATGCACCTCATTGGTATGTTGGCTAAACGAATTTTAGTTTTTTTTTTATGGGAAGGGAGAAGTGGAGAAGTGTAATACGCATGTGAAAAATATTAAATGCTTTCGCGTAAAATTATACATATATAATTGACAACTTGTTTGAAATTGGAAAAAAGTGCATACTTGTTTTTATAAAGAATACGAAGTCACACAACTAACAAATACTCCTATAAATCAAGAAGTATAATTACAATTTACACGCAGGGAAAGTCAAATGTCAACCTTCAAAGCTCAGGTGCTGAACTAAGTGCTAACTAAGCACACTAATTAACTTTTAAACATTAATTAACTCCTACCACGATCCTTAAACTAGTGTTCAGTTTACGGCATTCTTTATTGTTATTCATTAGGATAACGCGTTTGGTGAAAAAAAGAGAGAGAGAGAGAGAGAGAGAGAGGGGAGATTTATTACTATGTACATACACGTATGAGTCTCCAATAAAAAAGATTGTAACCTAAATTAATGGATAATGTATTGATAAATGCCGTAGGAGTATTGTTTATAAGTCTTCTCTTATTTGCGATGTATATATTCTAAGTTTTTAAACAGTAATGTGAACTGAATTAGCCTTCATCACCTTTTGAATTATATATGCTGTATATGTATTTGTGCAACATAAGAAATATAGCCAATTAGCCACCAAAAACAGAGAACGTAACATTAAACGAAAACAAGGAGAAATAATATAACAAGTTTGGGCACACATAATTACACATGTTTAGACAAATCATTTATCGGCACATATATATATATATATATAGTTTAATTTACGCGAATTTTGAAACTCCACATGTAATTAATTAGTTGCTAAGCCCATCAAGGTCGAGCAATTCAATAGATGGAAGCCGTGCCGGCGTTTGTCGGTGCCAAGTTGCCCAACATTGCGGTTTGGGTTGATAAACACTCTCGGATGAGTGGTTCAGTGCACTCTTGGAACCAGGTTGAACAATAAATTGAGTATTATAATTATACTAGCCAAATATGTTTTCCTGTACTTTTTATATTTTTGTTGAAATAGTTAAATAATTGGCGGCAGTACATTACGAAATTCTTGCTATAATAAAGTATAAGTTATTGAAAAAAAAATCTTATATTGCGGCCGTCTGTGAATTCTTACCACATGTTGCATAAAAAGTTAGAGAAGCAAACTTAAAAAAAAAAAAAAAAAAAATTTGTTCATCTATAAAACCATCAGCTTCTCGATCTTTCCCTGTAGTTCTCTCTCTCTATACACAACTCCAACAAAAAGTGACTCTCTCATTTTACGTACTCACACACAAAAAAGTACAAAGTCTAGATAATTTTTGTCTGAATCTCTTGCTGGATCTCTCTTTTTCAATGGATGACCAAAGAAGCTTAAAGATCAACAAGAACATGGAGGATTTCGAGAGCAATATCGAAGATATGGACCTAAGGAGAGGTCCATGGATCGTTGAGGAAGATATCAAGCTCATCAATTACATTGCTACTCATGGTGAAGGCCGATGGAACTCTCTCGCTCGTTGCGCCGGTATGATACACTAACATCTACTTACTATATATATATGCACACTCTGATTAATATATGTAGGTGTGTGAATGTGCTCCATAATTTTTTTAAAAACAGCCAAATTATACACAAGTTGCATAACCTGATTAAACTTATTGTTGTCTTGGGTTAAATCCATGTTATGTTTCGATCTCGATGTGTATGTGTTTTTTTTTTTTTTTAAAAAAAAATCGACTCAATACTCTTTTTTTTTTGATTAATTTATTTTATTTTTGAACTTCAAGATTTGGATTTTGCCTTGTATGCACAAACGAAAAGAACCCTTCATGAGGATAAACATGTAGAGTTTTCATGTTTCTCTTTCTGATTATGTTTTATTCTTTCTGAATTGCTGCTAGAAGTAATTTCATTCGAATCAGTATGTATGATTCTAATGAAATTTTTTTAGGTATATGGACTCAATTATTTTTCTGTTACGAATGTGGTTTCAATTATTTAACCCTATAGGTTTTGATTAAAGTATCCATATTCGTGTTGAAATAAAAACAAAATAACTAATGCTAATAAATGATAAACATCTATATGGGGAGAGCACTAACGCAATGGAAGAAAGTTTGCTGGAGAAAAAGACCCTTTTAGATAATTTGCCTCATAGCAACGGTCCATATAATTTATAGAGTAAATCTGATAACTTTACAAAATATGAAAATATTATGAAGAGTTTCTTACGTATGAAATCATCATACAAAATGCGTGTACACGATGATGTCTAAATAATAATCTCTTCCCATATGAAACAGGACTCAAAAGGACCGGAAAAAGTTGCAGACTACGGTGGCTAAACTATCTCCGACCAGATGTTCGCCGTGGAAACATAACCCTTGAAGAACAACTCTTAATTCTTGAACTTCACTCCCGTTGGGGCAATAGGTACTTTCTTATTTTCAACAAGTACATCGATACACTTCTATATATTTGCAAGAATTTGGAGAATCGTTGTTTTGTATTAAGAAAGAATTTGATCACATGCAATTATATTTTCCTGTGATTTTCAGATGGTCTAAGATTGCACAATATTTACCAGGAAGAACAGACAACGAGATAAAAAACTATTGGAGAACACGTGTTCAAAAGCATGCAAAACAGCTTCGATGCAACGTGAACAGTCAACAGTTTAAAGACACCATGAGGTATCTTTGGATGCCTCGGCTCGTAGAACGGATCCAAGCCGCCTCCGGTTCAACCTCCACAACCACCACTGGATCTGCTGCCACATCATCTTGCGTCACCACCTCTTCAGATCAGTTCATGATGACGTCATACGATGATGGAGTCAACAACAACACCAACATGGACCATTTGGGTTTAATGAGCAACCCTAATGTTTATGTCACGCCGGGAAATTCCAGCGTGGCAGTATCTCCGGAATCTGATTTGGCGGAATATCACGTGGCACCTAGCGAAGTGGGAAAGATTGAGAATAGTTATAATGCGGATCAGAATTTGGTGGGTCCACGAATGTCGTCTTCGCAGATTAATTATTTGGATAATAATAACAATGGGTTATTAAGCGGAGATTCAAGGGCGATGCAGGAGCAGAGTTATGTTAATTGGTTTGAAAATATTAGTGGAGCGATACCTTCTTTTTCGGACAGTTTTTTGAACATTGGAAGTGATCAAAACTTTTGGCTCTTACAGCAACAACAGATTCTCAACAATGGAAGCTTCTGAATAGACAGGAAATTGGTTTTATGAAAATGGGAAGAAAAAAAGAATAGTAAAGTGGATTAATTAGTGTGTGAAAGGAATTTGTGTTATGAAGAAAAAAATGCTTCTATTTGAAAAAGGAGGGTTTGTTAAAAATATTAGCAACTTTTAGATATGGGGACGTACGATTAGTAAATTGTTATTTTGGGATAAATTTGATTGGTTTATGTTCCTTAGGGATTTTGATACTATATTTTGTGCTGATAAGATCTAAAAACAATTTGGAAGCTGAATCTCTTTTTTTTTTGTCGTTTGTGAATTGATGTGAAAGATGTTTTAAAACTATAACAAAGTATTTAGTGATTTCCTTCATGGAAGCATGCGATTATATAAAAAACAATTCACTTTAGTATATAAGTTTTTGCCAAAGAAGCCATTATTGGTTCCACCATGTTCCATACTACTAAATTAATCCAGCATATGTCACACAAGCAAACAAAAAGTATATATTATAATGACTTTGGCATGATAAAATGAGAAAAAATGGATAATCCAAATATCCAATTCATGATGCTTTTAAGAAGCATGTCTATGGGACCTGTACATGGGAAAAAGGGGTCGGAAGTGTGTGAAAGGCTTTGAGTTCAAAAGTACACAATCCAAAAACTGCTTTTCAATATTATTATTTTATCTCTACGTGCCAATGTCTCAATGGTTAATGTCTGAGTTTAAAGGTGGCCATTAAGGGAGATTATTATTCTTTGGGAGAATGCAATAATTATCAATTTAGTTATTGAAATATATGCTTAGTGATGATAATACCACCCTTAACGCGTGCAAATCTTAGTTTTTAATTGAACCTCCAATGATGTACGGACGATCCCACCATTATCCAGAAAATACCTTCCTCACAGTGTAAGTCTGTAACACTTCGTCGTCATCCAAACGATGTCGTCTTCCTATCTGCAATTCTTTTATAAAATATAAAGGGAACTGGTGTCAATGTGACGGGTTTACCCATATTAACATCCTAAACTTCGATCAATAGGGTGATCGATGTCATAACTTATTAGTGATTTGAACAGTCACATATATCATCAAATTAAAATTTTAATCACAATTCTATTGTTTATTGCATTACAATAAGTTTACAAACATATCTAGGATCTTCTTAATTAAAGCAATACTTTGTAAGAGAGATCATGAGTGAAGAAGTTAGGTAGCTCAGGAGGGACATATAAAGGAGAGAGAATATGAATCCTACGAAAATACAACAAAATCTTGATCAATTTAGCTGAGACAAACAACTAAAGTAGAAACTGGACAGTAACGAGAAATCTAGAAAATGGAAATAGTAAGAAGACAGAAAAGGGTAGAGTAAAGGTCTTACAAGGTCAAGAAAAAAGAAGAGGATATACTAATTATAAGAAAGAAAAAAAGAAGAAGAAGCTCATGGGTAGGATAGCGTCATTGATTTGATCATGAAGAAGAACAGTTCATTATCATCTTCTTCTTCTTCTTCTTGATATAGCCTTTTTGTCCTAAGCCAATAGAAAATTATGGACTACATAAGTTATATACATAATTAATATAATTCGTGTGTGTATGTGTATGTGTGTGTGTGTGTGTGTTTATACCTTGATCATGACACCTTGGTGGTTCTTTAATCCATGAAACGCTTTCAAATTCATCCATAGCCTGAAAGAGAGATAGAGAATGTCTTTCATAAAAATTTATATATATAGACATATGTTCAAGACACGCACGGGCGTAGCTATATATGTATATGTATATATAATTTTTGTTTTGCCTGTAAAGAAAAAAAAAAAAAATTAAATCCATATACTTTTTTCACACATTTGACATGAAATCTATCTATTGGCAAAATTTACAGCTGTGGTCATATATAATTGAACCATGTGTCGTATTTTAATACTCATTTAATAGTTGTTTTCTTCTTAAGATCCCAATTCTCTTTAATATTCAATTATTCATCATATTAAGATAATATAGTCACAAACTAATAGATATATGTAACTCCAAGTTATTGTAAATGGCTGTAAACAATCATTTGACCACTTTGGTCACTAGATTTATGGCTCAATGTTCCATCTGAAATGCATTTCCAAATATATTTTTGTCATAAATTATGCATGCTCATTTTAATAAATGTTATTTTATCCGCTAGCGTTACCAAAACAGATTCCAAAAACACTAAGCAAATTATAGAGGGGATGCATGCTTCCACTTCAATTTTCTTGGTTATCGAATTTGAAACCCCGGCCCTAAAAGATCTTGTAAGTTCTAAAATCAAATTGTATGTAGCATATTTTGATTGTAAATTCTGACACTAAGCTACTAGATCATGAAAAACTCGTCTGTGGGCGAGTCATCTTCCATGTAATATTACGAATTTATTTAAGAGACTTCTTTATAAATATTATCGTAATTTTTTTGTAGACGTCAACTGAGGTATAAGCTAGCGACGAAAGTCTTTCATATCCAACTTATCAAAAAAGAAAAGTACTCCGTATTTCATATCCTCGGGAAAGATAAGAGAAGGTGAAAATATTATCAATCAATGAAAGTTGACAAAAGGGGGGAAAAAATAAATGGAAAAAGGCAAAAGGGAGAAAAAATTGAAGAAGTAAAGAAACAACTTATGTTGCCTGAGGAAGATAGGGAAACTGATGTGACCAAAGACACAAATCATTGAGACAAAGCTACCGAGTTACGACAAATACTTCTCCTCAATTACACTTTCCTCTCCCTTTAATAATTCATCTCCATTGTACACATATATGCATGCTAGCTTGTGAGTTTATCTGTTTATACCATGTATGTAAATGTATATACATACGTATACAACACTAGACATTTTGTGTATAACCCGAAGGCTACACACACACATACAAGAGTTTATCATAAGGTTGGCCCGAGAAGAAGCAAGACGTCAACATATCCTTGTAGTTTGTTCTTAATTCATGATAAGTGTAGGGTTACCTTATTGAAATATATATAGATATATATATATATATATATTTTTAAAAAACAAATATGTACTCAACTAATCCCAAATTTACCTTCGACTAAGCACTAGATCCTCCCCAGACGATGGATTAATGCGAAAGAATTTTTGAACATCGGTTTGTTCTTTTAGTACAGTTTAACTTGTTCTCATTAATTTGAAAAAGAAAAAAATTAAAGCATTACAGTATATGTAATAATATGGGCCTTGGGCCTAAATAAAATAAAACGGTAAAATGTGGTCGTTGTTGATTGGCCAGTCAGAAACACGCGCATCTTCCCCATTATAGTTGAGTTGTTCAACGCTCGCGCGATTTCGATTTATCTGTTTCTTCATTTTCGCTCAATTTCTTTCCTCAGTGTCCAGTGATCTCTGAAATTGTTTTGTTTTCCTTCCTTTTAATTTTGGCGTTTCAAAGAGAATTTGAAACCGATTCTCTATATCCTTGTAATTCTGGTTCGATCGATGGGTAATCGAAACACACAATCTCTACGATCAGGTTTCAAGTCTAGGGCTTTTCTGATACGGTAAGACGAATAAATTTTAGGTTTTTAACCACTTTAGATTCCTCTTCTCCTCGGTATTCGATTGATAGGCCAATGGATAATCGGAAAGGTGCTCTCTTTCCCGATGAGGTGATTCTTCAGATTCTGGCGAGGGTACCTGTGAAATCGCTGTTCCGGTTCAAATCCGTTTGCAAAACTTGGTACAGATTGCCTTCCGACAATTACTTCACTACATTGTACAACCAAGTGTCTGTAAAAGAGCAAATGCTTGTCGCCGAGGTATCGGATTCTTCGGAATCGAAATCTAGCTTGATCTGCGTTGATAATCTGAAGGGTGTTTCTGAGTTGTCACTGGGTTTTCTTAGAGATAGGGTGAGAATCAGGGTTTCGTGTAATGGCTTATTGTGTTGCTCTAGCATTCCTGAAAAGGGCGTTTATTATGTCTGTAATCCATCGACTAGAGAGTATAGGAAATTGCCTAGGAGCCGAGAAAGACCCGTTACTCGGTTTTATCCAGATGGTGAGGCAACTCTTGTTAGCTTGGCTTGTGACTTAACCAGGAAGAATTTTTACGTGGTCATGGCTGGTTACCACAGGTCTTTTGGTCAGAGACCTGATGGGACTTTCATTTGCTTGGTGTTTGATTCTGAGACCAACAAATGGAGGAAATTCGTTTCGGTGCTAGAAGATTGTAGTTTCACTCACATGAGCAAGAACCAAGTGGTGTTTGTCAGTGGGAGGCTTCACTGGTTGATGAGTGGTTTGTGTTATATACTTGCACTTGATGTTGAACATGATGTCTGGAGAAAGATTTCTTTGCCTGATGAGATCAGATGCGGGAATGGTGGTAATCGGGTTTATCTCTTGGAAGCTGATGGGTTTTTATCTGTGATTCAACTATCAGATGGGTGGATGAAGATCTGGAAGATGAGAGACTATGAGACTGAAATTTGGACTGTTGTTGATAGCATAAGTCTAAGGTGTATCAAGGGATTGGTACCTGGAATCTTTCCGATTTGCCAGACCGGCGAGTATGTGTTCTTGGCTACTCATAAACAGGTTTTGGTGTATCAAAGACGGAGTAAGTTATGGAAAGAGATGTTTTCTGTAAAAGGAAGCTCTTCTCTTCCTTTGTGGTTCTCAGCTCACGCCTTTCGCAGCACCATAGCGCCCTGTAATTAAGCTCTATATGTATGCTTATGTTGCCTCTTCTTCTACATTTTTCTTGTTTGTTTTCTTGGAACTTGTAAGGCGCGTGTAATTTGTTTCAAGGTTTTAGCTACACAATTAAACTCGAAACTAGCTAAAACGAATCAGATTGCGATTCTTTTAGTACAAATATGTATATACACGTCTAGTTTCTTCTGTTTCCTTTAGTACAAATAGTTTGTATTGTTGGATTTTTGTTGAACCTTTTTTGGCTTCTCCTTGACGTCATGAACAACTTGAATGTCTTCAAACAGTGACAAAGGCAACGACTTAGACAATAAACCGACCTGTGTCTTGAAAGTAATCAAACCAGAGGAACGGTTTACATGAATTTCACCGAGCGAGATCCAGACCACGAACTCCTTGGCCTTAACCCCAGTGAGTTTCTTGATCTTGTTTGGTTCAAAATACGCGGTGACTTCATCTTCGAAACATACCACAACGTTATCGAATCTGAACACTTCTTGATATCTCTTTTTCTCTTCTTTCTTCTTCTTGTGCTTTAACCACACGAAACCCGTGTCCTTTACGTAACCACATTCTTCGATCTCCTGGTTACTAAGGAGCCGGTTTGGTAAACCGATTTCGGACAAAAGCGAACCAAATTTCTCTCTGCATGTCTTGTCTCCATGGTACACCTCTGCCTTGGCTTTCATGGCTTCTGTCACCATAACGATTATATGATCGAGTTTCTTTGTGTTTGGATAAGATTTAAGAATTTCTTTGAGGCAATGAGGTATTCAAAGTTGTCTTTAGGTACTTTTTAATGTGTTTTAAATGTTGTGCAAGTTTGGGAATATGCGTTCTCAAGTGGATCTCTCTAATGTCTTTTACCTTGCAAATTGAAACTCCTTTTTTGTTGTCTTTGTCATTTTATATACTAGAAAAAGGATATCCTTTGAGTTCAAGACCATTTTTGTGTTTGTTAACCCATCGTTACGCAGTTTTGCTCAATTGCACGTAAATGAGTTACAATAGTAAATGATTGACTAGATGGTGACCCGCTGCAAATGCACAAATGTTAGAAATTAATCAAATTTATGTAGATATATAATCAAAATACGAATTATGTATCTAAACAACAACTAATAATCATTAATGTTTAATAATACGGTTTAAATTTCTATAGACTAAGGTTATAGTCTATAGATAACAGATAAGATAGATAAAGTATTCCGACATGTGATAATAAGCATTTATTTAAACAAAGTTTTATATTTAAACAAAGTTTTATATGAGTACTGGAGATCTATACCTATCTAATAAATAGCAGTATCCAAAATCTTATATTAAAAGTTTTTTTTTTACTATTATACGATGTAAAAAACGAACTTATAAAAGTATAAACGAGCAATTTTCATTCGATTCTTGAGAACACTTGATATCATTCGGTAGTAAAAAAGTAAAGACTAAAAAGACACCGCCGGTCGAAACCTCCGTTTACTATGTAAATCCTTTGTAATTAGAAATTATCATATAACATTAACCTTTTACTGTGTACTTACTTTGTTACTGGTAAATATCTGTGATTTAACAAAACCGAATTTTCACCAGCTCATCTTAAACAGTGACACCGCCGGTCGAAACCTCCGTTTTCTGATCGCTTCGGTCTTTTACTCCAAAATTGCTGCGTGTTTTTTCTTCATCGTTTTTTTCTTCTTTCTTCTTTGTGTGTGTTCAAATCCTTGTTTCTCTTCACCACTCACCAAATTCACAGATAAATCCCAATTTGGTACATCGATTATGAGCACGAATTGATGCTCTAGGGCACACTTGTTTCGTTCTTTTCTTGTGGGCCTTTCTTCTCCTACCTTTAATTGACTTTTCTTCTTCTCATGGAATCTCCTCCTTCCTTCTCTGCGCCTCTCGTTTGGAATCAGAGTTTCAGGTATCTTTTTTTGTTCTCTTCCCAATTCGCCTTTAGAATTCGTATTCTTGTAATCTCGTCTGCCTGGAAAATACGATTTCGGGCATGTCTCTTTTCACTATTCTAAGTTAGTTTTTGCTTAGTTTCCTCCAACCATACGGAATCCGAAAGCTTTTACATGGGTTTTAATCTCAATTACTCTCCTGAAATGAAAATTTCGTCTTTTTATCCAAAGATTTGAAGTTGGGTGCTGAAAGTTCTTCGATTTGATCATTTCCACGTTGCTTCAACTACTGTGATTTTATTGTTAGCTAGACGTTGTACATAACAGTCAATTATTTGGATTAGTTCTTCAAGATTGCTATTTTCGCTTGACTTAATTTGCTCTGCCTTCTCCAGTGGCAGGAAATGCTAGAGAAAGTCTCAGTTGATTGCGCTTTACATACTTGTTTGAATTAGTAATGGCTCGGAAAGGAAGTCACCAGAAGAATGGATTGGATCACCAAACGAAGCAAAAAAAGAAAAATTCTGATTCTTTGCTGTCTTCAAAGGGACAAGGGAAAACTAGTGAGGCTGAGACTGTCCTGAAAGAGAATTGCCAAGATGATAAACTGACAAGAAGTAGTCCGGTTTCTGAAGCTTTGGAAAGAGATATGGATGCAGTGAAAGATCAACCTGTTTCTTCAGAGACAGATTTAGCTGGAGATAGACCTCATAATGAACCTGGTTTTACCACCGAAGAGACTAGATATATTCCATTTGGTCGTGAACACATCAACGGTCTTATGAGAAGCTTGCTGGATATATTGAGCACAAACAGCCCCTCGGAGAATATTGGGCTAGCATACAATGCAGCAGTCAGGAAACTGAGGATACCCACTGCTACCATATCAAGGGAAGTGACTCAGTTTATGGAAAAACACAGACCTTTGATAGTTTCTCTCAGATCACGAGTATATAAAGCCCGTGATGTTGTTATAAAGAAAATTCGGCAAGCATATCCGGTTGTCTTCAGATGGCTTATGCACTTTGGCAGCATAATTCTTCTTCTCTCTCTGGTTTGGCTGGATTGCGCAATCCGAGGTTTTGATTCTTTCATCCGGATGGGAACAGCATCCTTTTTCTCAATCATGTGGTGTGGTCTCTTTTCAGCGTTTTCCATGATCGGCATGACCAAATTCATAGTGATGTCGGTAAGGATCTCAAATATGATTGCCTATATGTTTACTTTTTATGCATATGTAAACATTCGATAAAACTACAGGCTGCAACTGTTCTGGTGGCGTTGTTCATTGGATTTGTTGTTGGGTCTATCACACTTGCCATTTCTGGTTTGGTTTTGCTATGGCTCTATGGTAGCTTTTGGACAACACTGCTCTTCCTCTTCTTCGGAGGTAAAAGTCCTTCCTATCTCAATCTTGTAGCAACAACCATACTCTTGCATTATTTTGTCTTATACAATGTGCAATGTTTACTGATATAAAGGTCTGGCATTCATGCTGAAGCACGAGCGCGTTGCACTGTTTATCATCACAGTGTATTCAGTCTATAGTGCATGGAGTTATGTTGGATGGCTAGGTCTTCTTTTGGCTTTTAATCTTGCTTTCATCTCAACCGATGCTCTTATATATTTCTTCAAGAACAAATTAAACCAGCAGAGCACAGCTGATGGACCTACCGAGCCGTTAAATGGTTCGTCTTTTGAAAGCGGCCCTGGGTTTCCGGGAGACCGTGGCCCAGGAGTCCCTTCAACTAGCGGAACAGAATCTGAGTTAACATCTGAAGATGAAGTTGCTCGGTTGCTAAACTGTGCTGACCACTACTCAGCATTGGGCTTACCTCGGTACGGGAATGTTGACATGGCTTATCTCAAACGAGAATATAGGAAAAAGGTAATGCTGGTTATTTTTTCTCTTTGAAGTTAATATCTTTCTGCCTGTGTTAATTGCAACAAAACCGTATGTTGAGTTTATAAGCATTTTGAATGATTTAATAGGCGATGCTGGTCCATCCTGATAAAAATATGGGGAATGAAAAAGCAGCTGAAGCTTTTAAGAAACTTCAGAATGCGTATGAGGTAATATTTTATTTCTCATTTCATCAGCTTGTACTGGTGCATAAAGTTCCTCCAACTCTGATCTCCCTAGCTGGCCTCTAGGTATTGCTTGACTCTGTAAAGCAGAAATCATATGACGATGAATTAAAGAAGGAAGAACTACTGAACTACTTTAGGAGGTTTCAGAGTTCTTCTCAGAAGGTATGTTTATAGTTGCCTGCCTCTTATTTCATCTTCTGAAAACATTCATTGTTGCTAAAAGTGTCATTTTTCTCTCTTTGCTTAATTCCTCAATATATTGGACCCTCAACTCGGATATATGTCTTTATTTTAAGCTGCTAACGTAATAAATCATCAATTACCAGGATAGTCGGGGACACGGTTTCTCTGGATCCGGCTTTGGAAGCTCAGAAGGTGAAGGAGAGGAAGCTTTAAGAGAGTGTAGACAAATAGCGTGTAAAAAATGTGGCAATCTCCACGCGTGGTTTCTAACAAAGAAATCAAAATCTAGAGCAAGATGGTGCCAGGTTTTTTTCCAACTCTTCATCTGCATCTTAGAGATACTATATAATACACCAGTGATGAAACTACTTGGAAGAAATTATAACCTATAGTACTTAATTGATTTACTCGAGCTCTGCTTTCGAATCTCAAGGATTGCAAGGAATTTCATCCGGCAAAAGATGGAGACGGTTGGGTTGAACAATCTTCACAGCACGTCTTGTTTGGGTTGTTTCAAAAGGTATTTATACACGCAAGTTTTCATTTCATTGGTAAATGTAGTAAATAGAAAAGTTTGAGGACGGTACACTCTGCGCCTGATTGATCCACAAGAACACAATTTGTACTTATCGAATGACTCTATGAGAGGTTTGTTGTTGCAACGCAGGTTGATATGCCGCGTGCTTACGTCTGTGCAGATAGCAAAATATATGAAGCTTCTCAGTGGTATATCTGTCAGGTACCCAAAAAACCAATCGCTTTTGCTTTTGCTTTGGCGTTTCTTAAGAGATTGCTTTGCTTTGTTTCGGAAGGATTGAAATGTTTTTTATTTTTTATTTGAATTTGTTGGAAGGGAATGAGATGTCCAGCAAACACCCACAAGCCGAGCTTCCATGTGAACACGAACGTGACAGGTGCAAAACGAGGAACGAGTGGTTCATCAGGGCAAAGAGGAAACCAGAGAATGCCAAATGCAAACATGGATGAAACAATGACGGAGGAAGAGTTCTATGAGTGGTTGCAGAACGCAGCACAAGCCGGTATGTTTGATAATGTCAGCGAGAGCCCTTCTTCTGCAACTGCCAGTAGCACTAGTAGTAGTAGCAGCAAGAAGAAGAAAAAGGGAAAGAAGCAATGGTGAAAAAACGCAGAGCAGTGTTGTTTCATACTATTATTTAACATGGTGAAAATTTTGTACCCTTTCTTTTTTTTCTTATATGAAATGAAACTTTAACTTTGATAACTTTTATTCATACAGAGAAAAAGCTCTCGAAAGAAGCCGAATGATAGATACAATACAACTGTATTGTCTTTTACAGATAAACTAATTTAACAATCACCAATTGATACAAAAGTCTCCTAAACCAATAACTGTCATGAGTTTCAAAAGGAGAATTACAATGACTTGTATAATGGGGGTGCTTTTAGGGTTGATGTTGAAGTGACTTCTTGAGATGTAAGGCTTCTTTGAGCTTACGACCGAGAGCAAAGGCCAATGGTGGAGGGACTGCGTTTCCAATCTGCCTATGCTTGTGTGCTATCTTCCCTGAAAACTCAAAGCTATCCGGAAAGCCCTGCAATTTTCATATACCAACAAGTTTCATTTCTCTTTTTCTTTTTGATGGAACCAATTCTTAAGAGCCCTATTCATAAGCTAACAATTACTGTATTTCCAAAAACAGAACTGAAAAATCTTTCCATAGAAACAAGTGCTTTGCCATTTCTAAAACTGTTACTGATCCTAGAGGACTGGCTAAGGAACAGAGGACTTCTTTTTATTACCTGAGATCGAGCGCATTCACGGACACTGATAATTCGGTCTTGGTCTGGATGGAAGCACATTCCGACCATTCCCATAGGCTGAGGATCAGTGATGGAAGTTGGAAAGTTGCCTTGCCAGTCCAATCTCCCATAGAGTCCTTTCCAAGACTTACATTTCTTTAGCAGACATTGTGGAATCATATCTACCATCTTCCCATTTGATAACGGCACCTATTATAGTTAAAGTAAGCATTTAAGTTGATCTTAAAAAGGAAACCCTTTTGTTTCCACTAGTCGGATGTATATAATACTGACCTTTTCGTCTGGGAGGTCATGCCAATCAGCACCTGGCCTCTTTGGGATATTCTTACATCGAGTGAGGTTTATTTCATTCATCTCCTTGCAGATATGATCCGTGAGAACATACATGTTTCCTCTTATTGCTTTTTGGAACCACGAGGTTGGGTCCTCTCCATACTGCAAGACAGAAAAATGCCCCCAAAAAGGTAATTTAAATAAATGGTTGTTGTGTTAACATTAGGAGTATGTGTGTATAATAAATACTTTCTCCAAATGGATTTATCATCATACCGCTTTGTATATTTCTGATGCTCCGTTTTGAACTGGTGGAAGATCTCCAATGGTGTCTCTCACTGTGATGGGACGGAAAGGTGCACCAGATTTAGTGTTACGAACAGCAGCATAGTGTGCACCTTTCGATAGTGGGATTTTCAACTGTGGACCACTAAAGACATGCATTGGCTCAGGCCACTCTGGAAGAACTTCTTCTGGTGCAGCTGCCCATATAAAAGCTCTTTTTCTTGATTGAGAAACTCCATACGCACCTGCGTCCAAGATTCCGAATCTCACCTGGAAAACAAACATCATATATCAAACATATATACCAAATAAGAGGCAAGTGTGGAACACATCAAACATGAGACGAAGTAATAGCTTTTACATACCTGGTAACCCATCTCAAGGAGAGAAGCGAGCGTGAGTTGAAATGTTTGCCCTTTATTGAAGGACACAAAGGACCTCACGTTCTCAAGAAGAAAGTATCTTGGCCGGAAATAATCAGCAAACGAGAGGAATGCTAATATCATTTCACGCTGAACTATACTCCAAAATCTTTGGTTGAACCGGTTCATACGAGAAAATCCCTGCCATATTTTTTCATAGTTTAATTAAAAGAGCTCTTCACTTATTCAACAAAAGTTGTAATAGCAACAATCTTAAGAATACATATATATCTATATACCTGGCATGGAGGGCCTCCGTTGATGAAATCAACCTGACCAGGCAGTGGCAGATTACGCTTCTCGTCCTCATCAAGTTTGGCTGCGAGTTCATCAGCCTCTTTTGTAGAGATACAATCATCTTGATCTCCACCTTTCTCCATCATGGCCCTGCGTGATCATCACAACAAACTGATCACAACACAATAAATAGCCACAGTGGAAGAGTAAGTGTTTTATCTTGTAAGATATATTACCTAAGAATCACGTTGCAGTTGTTCACAAAAACTGCTGATTCAGGATGGTTTTTCTTAAAGGCCTGTCCAGCTGGCTCTTCATACTCGATGGCCCACTTTGTCTCACATACGCCTTTTGTATATAAAACATGCAAATAATTACAACTTTTGTTCAAGCGTTTTTGTAGAGTAAGTGTTGACTGGAGATAATACGTACCTGCTTGTTCCAGTCCCTTAGAGAGGCCACCACAACCAGCAAAAATATCTAGCGTAGCCAGACGCATCTCTTTAGGTGCCTCTTCACGCTTGGGAGTCGCAGAATCCTCAGCTTCACTCTCTAAAGCCTTGCCCTTTTTCTTTCTTGGAAGCTTGTCATCCTCAGTTGTAGAGAACATCGGTTTGATATTATAGGGCAACTGTTACAAGACATTTAAGAGAGTGACAGTTCCACTTTGTATCAGAAAATTGAATTATATACAGAAAAAAAAAATTTTGACTTCTTGAAGAAATATATACCTCCTTGAGAGAATCATTGGAAGGGTCATAGATGTGTTCACAGAAGAAGATATGTTCTGATATTGGATATTCACCGCATAAAGGCATATCATTTTTCCTCCTCACTTCACACTTTCCCTGTAGAGCCTCTGGAGAGAGAACATATGTATCATGGCTGTAATACAGCTACGAAAATTGCAACAACAAAAAAAAAGGAGACAAAAATTAAAGATGGTAAGATAAAGTTATCAAGAAAAAACCACTAGATATATTACATAAAGAAATAGTTCTTACCTCTCGGATGTCTGAAGTATAGGCCTTGTCTGAAGAAATATCCTCAGGCCTATAAAACCTTCTCAACTGAACCTCAAAGAAACCCATTATAGATTCTTGTGGGATAGTGATCTCCAGCAATTGGCAAACAGCATAAGCTTTTAAGCCAATGTTCCTCCCAGACTTGTGTTTTCCATAACTCTCCGTCAAACCATCTATACTTGTCATATATTGGGGGTTTACATAGACAAAATCCCCACAAGAATATTGAATCCCCTTGGAGGAAAAGCTTTTCTCTGAAAGATTGAGTTTAAACTTTAACCTTTCCTCTTCAGCCACCTTGATCCTACATGAACTGCAGAATCCAGAACCACGGCCAATACTACTTAGAGGAAGAGTAAAGAAGCCTCCTCTCTCAGGCGAGTATAAGCTCTTGCAGAAGTATTCTGTTGGCAAGTCTTTTGCCTTTCTCTCTTCTGCTCTTGCCCTGTCAAGCTTATCTGCCGCAATGTTCTCTTTCCTGAACTGATGGCCCCATGGCCTTGAACGGAACTCGAAATGGGCTTTTCCTAGTACGTCCTTTAGCTCTAGAGCCATGCAATCATTAGTAAGGAAGAGCTCCCTCTCGTTAGCAGCATTACCGAGAACTGTCTCGGATCCTCTTTGGAGGAGTCTACCATGTAGCATTTGGCAGTGGTCTGATCTTTCGAACATGTATTCCACAAAGTACATGATCGGAGTTTCCTCTGGATCATCAACCCTCAAGACGACCGCATCACCTACAACCACCAGTTCTTCTCCAACTAGGGCTTGTCCATAGAGAGGCTCACCAGCAGATGTGAACCCTTGACTGTTACCCTCCCATCTAATCTCCAGTTTACCAGAACTGCTTCGGATTTTCTTTGGAGGAGTATGAGACTTCTGAACCTCGACAGGTTCTGGTACAATCTCCTCTTCGTCATCATCTTCTTCTTCATTTTCACTCTCCTCTTCAAAATCTTCCTCCTCATCTTGATCTGCATCATTCTCTTGATCTGCATCATTCTCTTGCTGTGGATCATTCTCTTGCTGTGGATCCTCTGGAGTGTAAATGGAGTAATACTCTCCCCAGATTCTGTTGATCAGGCGAGTTGTTGTTGCTTGCATAGCTTGCCTCTTGGATGCCACAGGTGTCACACCTTCCCTCGGATTCATCAGATTCACTTCCCTTGTCACACTTCTCTTCTTCTTGATGACCCATTTTGTGTGGTGCCTTTCCTCCATTTTCCTCGCAAGCTCCATAATAAATGGAGACTTTTTGATATCATCGTTAGGAAATTCTGAGAAAATCTGCAAGATTATTTGTCCATGGACGACCACATGTCTCTCAACAGTCGAGAGATCATCAGAAATGTAAGCTTTATCTTTCTTCTCGAACTCAGACACTCTTTTGATGACATTTGCAAATGAAAGCCTAGCAACCCTAGCTTGCTTCTCAAGCAAAGCAATAATGCGTACCGCAGCCATTGCTGTTTTCTCAAGAGGTTTATACCAAAGGGCGTATTGCTTTGACGGTTTCCCAAGTCGATACCTGAATATACCTAATACGTCAGCAACAGAATAAAAAAAAAAACAAAACAGAAACGTGGGTTACAAGTTACTATAATAAAACGGCTTACCTTGCTACATCCGTTATTAATGTAACGGAGACCGTTGACGACCCACACTCAACCATCCATTCCTTTATTTTACTGAGTAATATGGGCATCCCATCATGATCCTTTGACTTTGTAGAGGCTTCAGAATCACCTTCACAAGACCAGTTTCCAACATCGTCGGTCATCAAACCAGATCCAAAAATAGTTACATCAAGATCATCACAAGGCTTCATCGGAAGAAGCTCTAGAGGTATCAACATAGAATCATAGTCGTAAAGAGCCCAGTTGTGAAGCATCCTTCGAGGCAGTTCCTCAGTGCTAGCATCATGCAGTATAAGCTCATCCGTTTCATCTTGGTAATTCTTATAAGAATCTGGGAGAGGATAATCTTTGGCAATCTCATCTTCATCGATCTTTATGTAAAAACTTTTTGAAGCAGGAGCTGATCTACGGTTTTTCCTGGGACGTTGAATATATTTCCTATACTCTTCGTCTTGTATAATCTCAGCATATCTTCTGGACTTTGTCTCTTCCACTTCAGCAACTCCACCAATCCTCAGAGCCCCATTAGAAGAGCTTGCTCCTTCCACTTCAGCAACTCCACCAATCCTCAGAGACCCATTAGAAGAGCTTGCTCCTTCAACTTCAGCAACTCCACCAATCCTCAGAGCCCCATTAGAAGAGCTTCCTCCTTCCATCTGCACAGCCTTGTCAAGTTTACTCTCATCTCTGAGAGAAACGAGACATGGAATCTCCCGATAGCTTGTCTCATGTTTCTTGGCTGTCTCGTCCAGACCAAGAAGCTGGTTATATATGAATTCCCCTTGGAATATAACAAAATCTCGGATTTCTAAACCGCTAGAAAAGAATTTGCTTCCACTCATAGACCTAGAAACCGCCGCGAGCAACTCGGGAAGACTTGTGTCAAGGTTCCCACCTGAAGACTTGGACAGTTTCTTGTGAACCGCTATTGAGGCACGAGCCTTCTCAAGGAAATAATCATACATCTTCTTGTACCTAGTATCAGGTTTAAGGCAATCATAATCTGCCAATAAGGTTGAGATCCATATCACCGGGGAGCCATCTTCATATCCAGAGATATTCCAATTCTCAACTCGTCCAAAAGAGTCGCACCTCACGCCATCTTCTTTCTCCTTGTCATCACCTAAAGGTAAGATAACACCTCCGATGAAAATGTCATCAACCTCCAACATCTCCACTGGCTGTGGAACTCCATTTCTATCATGTAAATGGAATTTAGTTAGCCTCCTTGTTTCACGAGTCTCGTTGCTTTGCGGAGAACTTGTTAAGCTTAGAGCTGCAATCTCATTGTCCACAATCTGCTGTTTCTTGGTTTCAACAGTAGAAGATTTCTTAGAGATACGGAAAGACGATCTTTCCTTGAAGTCTGTACATGCGGCAGCTCGCTTTGGTCTAGTACTCCTAGAGCTAGAGACATCATCATCTGGATGAGTTCTCTTGTTTTGCTTCCCGGCGTTAGTCTTTGAATCTGTGCTTCCATTTTTCTCCATTTCTTAAACCTAACATGTAGTGCAAAAGGTCAATGTATAAGTCACTCTAGAGTTGAACAATAAATAAAAAAGAACCCACATGCAGCATCATTTTTGAATGAATCTGTATAATCCAAAACCTCGTAGCAAGTGTTTCTACATCGCATTGATTATATCGACGCAAAACTATTCATATAAATCCTAGAAAATCTCATTTAAAATCCAGGTTGAAATGTTAAAACAATAAGAGTGGGAGCAGCTAGGGTTTAACAATCTCATTTCCAAAACCTAACATGTAGTGCAAAAGGTCAGTGTAAGTCACTCTAGAGTTGAACAATAAGAAAAACAAGAACCCACATGCAGCATCATATTATTTGAAGAATCTGTATAATCCAAAACCTCGTAGCAAGTGTTTCTACATCACATTGATTATATCGACGCAAAACTATTCATATAAATCGTAGAAAAACTCATTTAAAATCCAGGTTGAAATGTTGAAACAATAAGAGTGGGAGCAGCTAGGGTGTAACAATCACTTTACTTTGAGAAGGACACAGAAAACTTACGTGAAGAAGCGAAATCGGTCTGTGAGAGAAATGCAAGAAAGATTGAAGATAGATAGATGAGTAAAGGTTATGATAGGGCTTGGTGAGATTTGATGGAGAGGATTAGTGAGTATATATTTAGACAAGTAGAAGAGGAGCCAACGACACGTGGCAACAAAGGCGCTAAACCAAGCCTTTTTAAGATAAGAATCTCTTTTACATGTAAGGAAGGAGAGCTGGCCGTTGAATGGTACATGCATATTTCACTGTAAATGAAATGGTTTAATTTTGGGGAATAATATCCCATATAAATCCCTTACAGTTTTTGACTACAAAGATATGTTTCCATATTTTAGTCAATTTGCTATTTTCACATTTTTATATTTACTTTAGATGGGCATTATATTTTTTGGTCAAAAGTAACGGACGAATTTGATATTTATGTATAAATTTTTTATTTGACTATTCAGTAGAAGTTAAAAAATGAATGTTTTAGTTGAAAATGAAGGGTTTTATCTAAGTTACATGCAGGGAAACTTCATCCGAAATTGTTTTTGAATTTTTTTGGAAATATAGTTAAAAACATGAGTGTGGAAATATTAGAGAGCTATTCATCAGCCCATCATGGAACAGAAATACCATTTTGTTGCTAAGATATGTCTTCCAAGCAGCCATTTACTCGGTCTGACGAGAAAGAAACAACAGGAAACATGGTGAGACTCTTTCGACAGTGCACCGGCTAATCAAGATGATAGATAAAAATGTCAGAAACCAGCTCAGTTCAATCTGAAGCAGTGAGGACATGAGATATGAAGACTGAAGAGGGCTTCATAATGTGGTTTTCCACAAGATAATATTCCAGAGTACAACAAGAGTAGTTTCCTTTGTTTTTTGAGTTCCAAAAACGATTGATCAAAGTTGTAACAGTTTTTTTTTTTTAATAGAATTTAACATTAGATTCAAAAGAAAAAAAAAGAGAGCATAATTCCTAAAAATCGTAGTTTAGAAATGTAGTGTAAACGGTTCATTATTTCTAGAACAAAAACCCTAATTGAAAAATAAAAGCCTTAAATACGGTGGAAACCAAACGTTTTATAACATAAACTTCTCTATTTTTTCATAAACGCGTACTAACTGAATACGTAAGAAATATTAGAGTACAATTTGTTATTTTAGTAACTTACAAACCTAATTAAGTAATTAACGTGAGATCCTTTTTTAAATCGATTTATGCTTTAATTTTAAGTTCTAACTATGAAAATTAAAATTTAGAAGTACGCAAAAAGAATTTTTTTCGCATATTTAAATATATTTTTGCATATCTATTTTTATTTCATGCAACCTAACTTTTGCTTTTTTTTTAACCTATCTTTCAAAAAAAAAAAAGAATTAATTTTTACCTGTGTTTATTTTCTGAAAGTTTTATCCGCTAACAGGATATCAATTCTATGAATTTGATTATGACATGGGAGTTATGGATTCTAGTTGCAGTTTGGCATAATAACATTTTAAGTATTAAAAGTAGCATTTGTACATGTTACACAGCTTATACTTCATCTTCAATGGTATCATCCAACTTTGATCACATATCTATATCTGTTTATATATGAATATTGTAAGGGGAATGTCGACAAGGCATATTTTCAAATGCAGCTTATGTGCTTGAAAATCCATTGGAGATTTTCCAAGATCATGTAAAATCGGTTCTTGAGGAGGGCATTGATATGTTCAAGCTCTTGAGTCTTGAGTACATTATGACAAGGGAGTTATGGATTTGAAAAATTTGAACTGATATGTTCAAGCTCTTGAGTCTTGAGTATATTCTGACATGGGAGTTATGGATTTGAAAATTTTGAACTGATATGTTCAAGCTCTTGAGTCTTGAGTATATTATGACATGGGAGTTATGGATTTGAAAATTTTGAAAGGATCAAGTATTGTTCATTCATGAAAACAGAAGTCAGCTTTTATTCACTAGTTCAAATATTAAAAAGTATCAAGTTACAATTCTTTTTGCATAGTTGAATAATTTTTTAGTGCATAAAACGGTCCGAGTTCAAATCGTGCCAAACCAATGATAAAATTTAAGGTGGAACCGGCCGGTTCGTGGTCTTCGTCAACGGCGCAATTCCCTTCTTCAAGACTGTTATGTTTCTCTTGCCTTGTGTTTAGAGAAAAGAGATCATTTTGGAATTTCAGTCCTTTGAGGAAAAATGGTGGCTCGGAAGTTTGTCATCCACCACCAAGATTCGATCTTTGAAATCGACTACGACACCGAATATGGCGTTGAGGTCTTTCTCTCTCTCTGTTCTTCCAATAAATATTCGTCTCCGATTCGATTCGATGCTGTCATGTTTCTCTGCAGGTTTTACAGACTCAGATTTTCTCCCTCACTTATGTTCCTTCTGATGAGCAAAAGGTACTTTTTTTTCCTTTGTAATCTGATTTTACTTTCTTTTCCGTTTGTGGAACCTCTGATGATTTCTGTTATCTAATAATTGGTCAAATTGTGGGCGATAGATCGTTGCGGAAGATGATGATCGAGTGGTATCGTTATCGGATGAGACTGATCTCACTTCTATACCCGATAAGCTTCGATTGGTCTCAACTGGAGGAAACTCCGAGGACATTTCACAAGGAACCTCTGGTCAGATCGAGAAATCTGATGCGGAAATGGTGAAATCAGACGAAGAGTTGGCACGAATGTTGCAGGTTTTGATCAGCATTTCGTATCAATGTTGAAAGTGATTTTGGCTGCTCTTTTCATTTGGGTTTCCTGCTTACAGGCAGAGGAAGAGGCGATGATGTTTCAACAGTATGTTGCTGCACAAGATAGCAGCGAATTCGAGAGCAGGATAAGGCCTTATGTCAGCCAAGTCCTCATGGTGATAGACTAGATTATTCTTTGAGTCTTTTTTTTTGTAAAAAGAAGTTTGTTTTCTGTGTTGAATGTCTGACTGCAATTTTTGTTTCAGTATGAAGATCCAGTCCGTCAAGAAGCTGCTCGAAAGACCGTTCCTAAAGACGAGCTCGAGGAGAAAGCTTTGGTTTCTCTGGCCAAGGTTTGAGCTTATATTCACCGATGAATAGAACTATAAGTTTTGATATTAGTGTCCTTGATGAAATTCAGAATTAAAGGTTTTAGGTTGAGGTTTACTTGAGCTTTAGATCTTATATGAGATTTTTTTACTGATCCAAGTTTCTAACAAACATTTAGGAGGGGAATTTCAAGCCATCTAAACATGAAAAAGACTACGCTTTCCTGCTTCAGCTACTTTTCTGGTTCAAAAGATCCTTCAGGTTTTCTAAGCTCCCTTTTCCTTGTCTTTTAGGACTTTTCAGATTGTCACCTACATAATCCTAAAGTGTAGAGTTGAAAAAACAACAGAAAGATTACATCTCTTTGAACTGAAATTTGGTTCATATTTTGAGCCCAAAGCTGAATTATAAGTTACAGTATGGAAATCCTTGACGGGATTTTGAATGGAAGATAATATGACTTAACATCATCTTATCATTGGTTTGTACTGTTATTTGTTCTCTCTGTGCAGCATTTTTATGTGTAAGAATATGTATATAATGGCACAGTAGTTTTAAAGAACCTCTTTCTCTGTTGTTGCCTGTGTGATAATGCAGATGGGTCAATGAACCTTCGTGTGACTATTGTGGAAACAAAACCATAGGCCAGGGGATGGGAAACCCACTTACCTCAGAGCTTGCTTATGGAGCAAATCGAGTTGAACTATATCGGTATGTCAATTACTTTGCAGTTCTGCATAGTTTCATTTGCGCAGGAAATGTGACATGTTTATTCTGAATTCACGGCCTTTATTCTAGGAGAAAATGTAGGACTGTAAAAGCTGAATCATTCCTATTATATCTAGTGTATTGTATTGGATTCTAACAGCTCTTTTAATTATTTCCTGTTGGTGAACTCTTTCGACTTACTGTTTTGTTCTTTTGCTATAACTTTTACAGGTGTACCTCGTGTCCAATAATTACTCGATTCCCTCGGTACAATGATCCTCTTAAGGTGACTAAATAGCTTGTACATTTGAAGATATATATGTTCTTGACTTCATTGACAGGTTCCATATTTCTTCCGTGTTCATGCAGCTCGTAGAAACAAAGAGAGGTCGCTGCGGGGAGTGGGCCAACTGCTTTACGCTATACTGCCGCTCGTTTGGCTATGATTCTCGTTTGGTATTCTGCTAACATCCATCGTCACTTCCCGCAAATTTTTTGGAACTGCTTTGATGTTTGTAATGTGTTTTTGTAATATTTTTACTCATTTACAGATACTGGACTTCACAGATCACGTCTGGACGGAATGCTTCTCTCACTCATTGGGAAGGTAAACTTCATATGCCAAAGAAACGTCTATTTTTCAGTTGTGAAGCAATTTCAACCGAGTGATTTGAGCCGTTTTTGTATTTCTGCAGATGGATTCATCTTGACCCTTGTGAAGGAGTGTATGACAAACCCATGCTATATGAGAAAGGGTAAGTTTTCTTTCTTGCCAGTTACCTCCTCTTTCCATGATTTTCATTTAACAATCCCCATAATGGACTCCCATATTCTCACAAAATTCTCTGCCTTGTAGATGGGGTAAAAAATTGAATTACGTTATTGCGATTTCCGTGGACGGGGTTTGTGATGTCACTAAGCGATATACAAAGAAATGGCATGAGGTAATGCTACAGAAAAGCAGCGAATGTTCTGTTTTGTTTTAAGAATCAGTAACAGCATTTCCATTTCTCACTCATGTTCTTGCTGTTGTTTTCCACTCTAGGTTTTATCTAGACGAACTCTCACAACTGAATCATCTCTGGAAGCTGTTCTACGAGCCCTGACAGAGGAACGGCGAGGTAGCTTTATGTCACAAGTTTCTGCGCTTAAACTCCGAGACAGAAATGAGCAGGAAGAACTCGAGAGAAATCTGCATTCCCCAGATGATACCTCGGTTTCTTTACCCGGAAGGCAAAGTGGAGATAAAGAATGGCGCATTCTGAGATCAGAATTTGGTTCAGGAGAAAACAGCTCTGTCAGCTCGTCCTCTTGCCCAGTTCGCACATGCGTTGATGACCATGTGACCAACATTCATGACTCGTTTCTGCCTATCGTGACTCAGTTCGTTGTGGATGATTTACCTGTAGCAAGAGCAATCGAGGTCCTTAATATGATCAAGCAAGTCCTTGTGGATCTGAAGAATGCGCCTTTCAAAACGAGGAAGGCTCGCTTGACTTTAGATGCAGATAGCTCAAGTTCATTCCCAGAGCAGTTTCTCCCCGCACTGGAAGTTTTGCTTTTTGCTCTTTCTTTGAAGAGCCAGAAAGACACAGACGAGAAAAGTCTCACAATATGCTTGGTGGGTAAACCCACAGAAACGGCTTTAGCATTGCCAGTTGCATTGGACGCTTTAAGGGAACTGGTCACTGACCTCAGAAAATGCCAAAACTTGAACAAAGATTCACTGTCTTTTCCATTTCTGAAACAGAACAGGGTATGCTCTGGTTCTGTCCTCGCGAGTGGTGAAGAGCTTCCTTCTGGCATCGTAAGTAGTACACTACTACAATCTTACCATTACTTAAACCCCTTTTGTTATTCCTAAATAAACATGCCTCAATGTTTCAGGCAACCGCAGCTTTTGATGGAATCCAAGAGTCCAAATGGGAGGAACCAAATGGTGCAAAAGGTATGAAAGAAATAAAGCCTGATTCGAAAATTCTGGTACATGTGTTATTACATGACATGATGAGAAATACCCATCTCTCATCTTACACAGGCTGTTGGATCGTGTACAAAACACTCTACAACCAGGTGCAACAACTCATTGCATACGAGCTCATGTCTGCAAATGATGCCCCAGAGAGAGACCCCAAAGATTGGTAAATGTCTTTTTTTTCTTTTTCCTTATCCTTTTTTTAAGTCTAAACATACATACAAATTTGGGCTATTTGTCCTCACTGTTTTTTTGCGATTTGTTACCTTTTCCCAGGGTTCTTGAAGGAAGTAACGACGGTGGATCGACATGGCATGTTCTGGATAAGCAAACTAATCAGGTATTCGAGGAGCGGTTCCAACGCAAATCCTACAAAATAACATCTCCCGGGATCCAAGCAAATATCTTCAGGTGAGTTAAATGAATTTTATCTGATCTACACAGCTTGGTTGAGTCATGACCACAAATGTGTATTGAATTGGATTAATGTGAATGTTGCAGGTTCCGATTTTTGTGTGGACGAGACGTGAATTCGACCTCCAGACTACAATTAGGGAGCATCGATCTATACAGGAGCCACCATTAATTAAACGATGCACATCAAATGTACTATATGTATAATCATCCATTGTGAATACTTTCTGCAAATTGATGTCTTAGTGGGGGAATTATTGGCCTGTGTTGTTTAATGTGCAAGTGTAAGCTATTGTTATTGATAAGTAACTTCATGAGACCAAATAATATCTCTCTCTCTCTCTCTCTCTCTCTCTCTCTCTCTCTCTCTCTCTCTCTCTCTCTCTCTCTCTCTCTCTCTCTCTCTCTCTCTCTCTCTCTCTCTCTCTCTCTCTCTCTCGTCTTATGTCTCTGGTCTCTGTTTCTGTCAGAAACCATATTCTTTTGCAGCAAATCAAGTCGGGGAAAAAACTAAATTATTAAAAAAGAAAAGGTTTTTCTTTCTTTATTAGTTAAGAAGAAGCTCTGGTTCTGGTGTGGGCTTAACAAAGTTAGGAGAGGGGTTACGAATCCTCGCTGTTTCTTCTCTCTCTCACACAAATCAGCTCACCTTCTCTCAGCTGGTCAGACAATAGGAGAAGAAGTCGTAATCTGTAAAATTCATCTATGGCGGATGCGCGTGATGATCTAGCTGAATCGCTGCAGAATCTCTTCACGAGTGTATCATCCATGGTGAAATCCGAGCTCCAGGTGAAAATAAAAATCCTAACTTTTTAACAGATCCAATTTGTTACCTAGAATATGAAATATGAAACTGAGACTCTCTGTGGTGGTGGATGTGGAGGATAGGGAACGAACAATCAACTGGATCTGTTGGAGAAGATGAATCTGAGAGTTGCGTCGGAGTACGAGGATTTGGGTGACGTGGCAGCTGGGCTCAGGGTTTTCGCGGAGCAGATGAAGTCGAAAAGTGGCGGCTTGGATGAATTCGTGGGACAGATGGACGCGATCGAGAAACAAGTGTCCGAGTTTGAAGCTGTCGTCTCTGTTCTCGATCGATATGTCTCTGTCCTCGAATCCAAAATCCGAGCTGAGTTTCGTCATCGTCGTTCTAATGACTCTGTCACTGGTTGATTCGCCATTGTAATTATCAAAATAATCATCATCATCGTCGTGGCTTTTTTCTCTTCTTTTTTTTTTTTCCCCCTAACGTTACTGAGAGTTGATGGTATCGAAATCTGGAATCCTACCTAACGAATGCTATCTGGATTTTTATGAACCTTGAGCCTATGTAGGAAAGACTCGTCTCCATTCGGTTTGAGTTTTAACCAAACTGTTATTACTGATACGAGAGATTGCAATCTGGTTTTCACTCAGTGTCTGAACCAGAACAGTTGTTTTGTTTCTCTCTTATGCACCTTCCCAGGAACAGCTCTGTCTTATCACCTGTCTATGTTTCTCTCAATAACCATTTTTTTAGCAGCATCAAATGAATATGGTGAAGAAGTATACAGAAAAAGAAAGAGAATTGATGTAGGTAGCCAATGTAGCTTATGGGTCTATAATCAGGTCAGGTTAACAACATTCCATCAACCAAAGCTTTGCTTTTGCTAAGCTAAACTACAAAAACTGAAAAATTTAAGAATACAAGTTAATTTCCTTGGAGGTACGTAATAAAACTTTCAAATCATTGTAAGTTTGTGTAATTATATTTGTACTTGCATTTGTAAAGCTTCGTATTTTTGTTATTAAATTTTTTATTAATTATAAAAGATATTTTATAACAAACAAAATAAATTAAAACAAAAAAAAAATTGTTCTCTGATGGGCTTGAGAACACCCTTACGAGAGAGTTGCAAATATCTCGTCCGTTTATTCTTCCTCGCTCAAATTCGCTCATCGTCTCGATTAGTTCCTCCTAAGTCCTAAGCAAGCTCGCAGCTTCGATCTTCCTGGTCTCGTTTCTAATTGTAAGTTTTAATTTTTTTATTCCTTTTGCAAGTTTTTATGTAGATCCCTGAGTAGATCGGATAGTAGTTAAAAGATCGATTCACCATAGCTGCATTGACTATGGAATCGATAAACCAGATCGATCGTCATTGCGCTGTTGTAGGAACTTTACCTAAGTCTATTTGGGTTATTGTCGTAAACTCTTAAAGAGTTAGGAATCGAAATTTGTTGCGATCTTAAAAACCCAGCTGCGAGAATCGTTGCATCGAGTAGAAATTACTAATTTTCGGGCCACCATAAGCTCAAACTCAATGCATTTACGCTTTTATGATCTAACACTTGCTCTATGTGTTGCTGATTTTCAGAACAAAAACTTCAAAAAAAAAAAAGTTCTCACTTTTACTCTCAAGATTTTTTGTTTTTGGCTGATAATGTAAAATCCAATACACAGACATTTGGTGTAATCTGAAATTTGATGTGGTCAGGTTGTTTGATATCTTAAATGGGTTCATCTGAGAAGAGATCAAAGGACGTCATGAGTGACATACCAACCTTTAGTGCAGAGAACTTGCAGAACAATTTGAAAGTTATACAGAACAGGTCTGATTCAATACAATTCTTTCTTTTCTCGTTTTCAAAAGATGTTCATTCTTGTTTTGACGATCTTGTGTGTCCCCAATTTCTTGTTCGCAGCCGGACTTTTCTGTCTATCATCGCTGGAGTGCTTGCAGGAATCATTGGATTCACAGGCTTGACTGGTTTCGTATTTTACTTTGTGGTGATGCTGATCACATCAGTTGGGCTCATGGCCAAGGCAGGATTCTCAGCAGACTTGTACTTTGATTCTTGGAATCGGGTCCTTTTTGACGGCTTTCTTGGTGGCCTTATGGTATGCCATCATTTTTCTTTCCTTAGATATTCTGTTAGCTCAACTTCAATCTAAGCTATTCTCAGTTATTCTTGGTAAATCTGTCATTGCAGACTCCTTTTTTTATGTGCTTTATCAACCTGTTAGTCTCATACTAATTACGGTCTTGTTTTCTCTTTTTGGCAGTCGTTTGTGCTGTTCTGGACGTATCCTTAATCTTAATCTCTGGTGGTCACACTCATTTTAAGAACATGTGAAAAAAGTAAATCGTAGGTTTGATTAGCTTTCTGAAAGAACATATGAATGGTTTAATGTAGGTAAAATGATTAGCTCCTTAAAACCTGTGATTAACCTCTAAATGGCACTTATCGTTTAGTAAGCTCTAACTTGGTTTAGGAAAGAAAAAAAAAAGAAAAGGACATGTATCCACACTCGCTCGTTCTCTTTTCTCTGTTTCTCTCAGTAGGTTTCCTTAACAATGGAGTAGATTTGCTTATGACTTGGTGCACATATTCTGAGCGTTCTTCAGCTGAAATGAAGATGGTGAAACAACTCTCAAGAAGAAGTGTCGTAATTTAAGAGTTTGGTATCTGCAGCCTCTTCAAGTAAATTGGACGATGTTTCTCTGGCTCCCTTTTTGAACAACAGATTTGAGTCTGTATTACTATTTCTGGTTCAGAATTTACCTGCCGATTACATCAATTTGTGAAACCTTTGGATTGATAGTTCAAGTATTTTAATTACCCTTGCGTCAAATTTAATATTTTCATCTCTTTTTCTTTTTTTTCCTTTTTTCGCATGTAAAAAATATATCTGAAGATGCCTGCCTATTATCTAGTGAGTTCTCAATGGTAAAGTAGACAAAATACCTGAAACGAAGCTAATATTGCCAGCCAAGTAAAGAAAAATACGACAATGTAAGTCAAGTCTAGTGAATCGTAAATGGTTACAAAATGAATCTCTAGTTTTCTATCAAAACTTTTATATCATTAAATTCTTTCCTCTGATGCCACTCATCGAGGTTTCTGTAAAACCCATCCTGACGAGCTGCTTTCACAGAGGTCGTGCATCACCTGCGCAGCAACACCGAGAGAGTCAGACCAAAACAACACTTATGTCAAAACACATAAATAAAGTGAATGAGAGCTCAAAGTGATACCTTTTGGTATTCGTTGCTGGTGATTTTACGACGAAGTACGGTCTCGCCTGCTACAAATACATCAGCTCTCATAAGCTTTGCTCCAGGTGAATTTCCAAGTAAGAGGTCAATAACCACGCTCCTGATGGTCAAATAGAGACATTACAGACTTCAACAGAAACAGAATGAACCAATGTGATTATTATTTACCAACAATAAAAAACCTGAGAGGGTCATGTTCTGGATGGTCTGGAGACAACTTATAGACAAAAGAGCCGTGGATGTCAACAGTCACTTCACTTATAATTTGTTGGAGCTCTTCTTTGTGAGCATCCACAGCTAACGCCACTTGTTGTGCCATGCCTGAATCAGCCTTTGGATTATTTGATGTGGAAACTGCAAGATCCCTAAGTCTTTGGCAGATCGTCTCGTAGCTGCACACAGAGTAACCATACGAAATCCAATAAATCTGAAAATTACGAGGTTCAGATAATTCCAGAGTGTAATTGCCAAGAATCTCACCTGCAAACTTTGTGAGATTGAAACACCTTTTTCAAGGCCTTTAGTATCGCCCTCCGAATATCTTCTGACATTTTTTGTCCAACAAAACGATGTATTGCATTTCTTGAACTTCCTCCTTTGTCTGAGAGAGTTGTTGGGATCTCTGGTTTAACTGTACCTGAAGGATTTTTGCCTACACCATTCCTTAAGTTATCAGCTCTACTTTTGCCTCCTTGTGTTATCTTTGGTGTAAGCTTTTCGTCCAGAGCCTTCCAAAAGATTTCTTGCTTATTAGCAATCTCCTTGTATGATTTTATGAACGAAACATCAGCGGGCTCTTTGAACTTCCAATCACATAGCAGGGGCCTTTCTTTGGCAAATTTAGTCAACATACTTGTTATCTTTTCCTTAAGGCGACCAGTTGCTGCAACCTCAGAGTACGTTATAGTTGAACCCTTGCTAAACAGCATCAGGACATAATCCCTGGAAGCCTCTTGGGGCCCGTCAAGTTGTAGTAGCCTAGTTTTGGGAGTCCATAAACCTTGAACTAACCAGGCATAATCTTGGAGGACCTTTAAGAAATCGTTGTCTGAGAACTCTGGGGCATAGTGCTTAAGAACACTGTATCGAAATAAGGGAGGTCCCTGTTATTTTTTAATAACAAGTTAGTTACACGGCTTATACTTATATCTTACTCATAACTTAGAAAGCAGGATACATACAAACTTTATATTCAAAAACACAAAAGAACAGGGATTAACACAAGCACTTATTGAAAAACATAATGCTGACTATAATGGCTACCAACCTGGCAGAGCAGCTTTTGCACACGTTCTTCAAGCGGTAGGGAGGTTAAGACCCTGAAATCAGAAGAATATTTCATGAAAGAACACGTAAGAAAGGGTGCAAATGTTGACTCGATGACACTTGAGACCAGACATTTGGTAGAACAAGAAAAGGGAAATCGATATATTGAAAACATGATGCACTGCACCTTTTCGATGAATCTCTTGATTCAGAGTTTCTGCTGCTTTCCCCACGGCACAGTGAGTTGATATAAACGTCCCTTCAATAAAATATAAGAACATATTAAGAAGGAAAACAAATTTTAAGGCAAGCAGGAAAGACACAAACTGTCTCAAGCAAACTCAATGAAAAGGAAGACAACATACGGGCTCATGTTGAAGTCTATTGAAGAGTTCCCATTGGCCATCATTCCGTTAAGATATCTGGAGCAAAATTCTGACTGAAGTCCATGATACTTGAGTGCAACCCAATTCTGAAGGAAGAAGAAAGATAGCCACATAAGTTTAGGGAACCATATCTAACAACAACTCAAAGAGAAGAAAGGATCACATAAAAACTAAATAAAACCAATTCTCATACTTCTTCAGGAATCGGTTTCTGATCCGTCGAAGCCTGCACTCCCTTGTTCTAACAAATAGACTCATTATTAGAATCATGTAAATGGTGGCATAAGCAGCCAAACTACCCAATCCAATCTTTGACAAAGCAGAAAGGAAAAATGAAATAAAAAATAAGAACGCTGAACTTTACAGGAGCAACCATGCTAAATCTGCAGTGCTTTAAAAATTGAAACCAAAATCCTTACACCTCAATTCTTTAGCACTAGTAGATGATGATCCATACCTGTCTTTTTGATGTTCCAACAGATTCTCCAGTAGCTTCTGCGTGTTTCTTTTTGGATGAAAGATACTCCATAGACGGTCGGAGCTGAGCAACAGCATGAACAGGATTCAAGTGTAACTGCAAGTCAACAAGTCCAATTCAATAAGATATTCACACTACACAACAATGTTATCAAGCTTCGAAAAGAGGGAAGAAAATACCTTATCACCTGAAAGAACCCCTACAGCATAATCCAATGTAGGAGGCTGCTTCCATGTTGTTGTCAAGGTCTACCAAAAACAAAAACAAAAAATGAAGTCGCATCAAAAGATCAAACTTGAATCTAAGCTTAGAACTAAAATCTGACCTGCTTAGTCATATGTAATTCACTTCCAAACTTGGAGTCATAGTTCCTCGAATGGACATCCATAGACAAATCAATTTCCACCTGGGAGGTCGAAGGATTCACTCTAACCTTTTGGATACATAAATAAACAAAAAGATTAGAACACGAAAAGAATGCAGAGAGCAATAGAAACAAAACGATAAAGGGGAATGAATACTCACTGCTTCGCATCGTTCATCCATTTCGTATGGACGCCAAGACGGTCTTAGAGGATATTGTAGAACATAAAGCTGACAACATTGAGAAATCAAAACTCTTACACGATTAGCAAAATCAAATTTTTTTGAAGAATCTAATCTAATATAGGTGAAGGTAGTCTCTAACTAACCTTAGTGTTTGCATCAATAGACGGATTGAAGAAAACGTCAATTTCACGAACAACAAAGTCTTCTTCTTCTTCTACCTTCTCCTCCTCCTGAAGTGGAAGCTGATCTTCCTCCATCAACTCAGCTTCCGTAGACTCCAGCTCCTTATCCACTTTTGAATCAATCTCCATTTTAACGGCGCCATTGTAGACCTCAGGCTCAACCTTGGGGCCAGCGGATTTCGCATCAACGTCGTGCTCACTCTTGCTCACCGACTCCGATGGAGTATCAGTTTGTGACGGCGGGTCGGCTTTCTCTTCCGGTTTAGGTTTGGGTTTGGACTTTCCGGCACGACCAGGTGCAAATCTGCGGGTTTTGGAAACCTCTTTTGGTTTGTCTTCGTCATCAAAGTCCATCTTTTTTTTTCCTGTGAGCAGAAAAATGATTCAAAAAAGGGTTCTTTTTTTCATTCTGAACTCAAACAACTGATTTCATTGGGATTTCGTCCAACCCCAGAACGTGATCATAACGAATATCATGAGCTCGTAACTGGAGAAAGACAAAATTTTCTCTAATCACTAACAAAAGCCAATATTCATAAATCATAATCGATAAACTTGAAACTAATCTTATGAACTCAGAGAAACGGAACTGCAGAAGAATGAAAGAGGAGCTAAACAGAGCATAATACCTGAAAATCAATTAGGGCGTCTCAAGGAGAGCGAAGAAACTAAAATTTGCCGCTCCGGAAGAGCAAAAGAAAATCGGTGGGAGGTGAAGAAACTACGTTTGCAGAGAAACGGGTTTAACAAAAAAAAAAAAAAAAGCATATGGGAAGGTTCGAAACAGAGGCTTGTTAGACAGCACAAAACCAAATCTTCCAACTGAGCTATTTGGGCTGATTAGACCAGCTCCATCAGGATCTCTTTAAGTATTTTTGGCCCAGAAACCTAAGGAAAGTTGTTTAAAAAAAATAGAAAAGCCCAAAATTATCAACGGATCGATCCTTCACGACGGGCCGGACGAGACAGTCTCATTGGTGACATGGACGAACGTGATTGGTCGTTTAATTTTTTTGGGAATGAAAATTTGATGGAAAGAGAAAAAAACATTTCTCTTTCATCGGGGAAAAAAAAACCCTCGAGCTCTCTCCTTTCTCTCGTTCGCATCGGCGATTTCGATCGGCGGAGGTCAAATCCGCGTTTGAAACAGGCTCCGATGGTGAAAAATTCGGCGGATATCCAGTTCTGTCGACAGTTCCAGATAACAATCCGATTACTCCTTTGATTGACGGTTTTAAATTCGAATAGGGTAAATTAGGGTTTGTCGTAATTTGGGGGAAATTTTTGAAAAGTTAAAATCATGTTGTTATGTGTCGATTCATAGATAATATCTGTGTGCGGTAGTTCAAAACAGTCATTGAAGCCGATTTAAGGCTATTTCGGTGAATCGATTTGGGTAATTAGGGTTTCGTGATTTGGGTTTTTTTTTTCAAGTTTGTTCTGGTTGAAATTTGGCTTTAGGTGAATCGAAATGTGTCTGTTTTACGTATTCTGGGTTTACATCATATGGTTTTGCTAAAAGTATGGTTCGTTTGGTTATGAAGGATCCTCTGTTTGTGTTATTTGTTGAATTGGTTGATATATGATTTGGGTTTTATCATCATATTGAACTATGTTATCATGAATCTTTTTACATACCTGATTCGTAAAATCATAGTTTGATATTGAGTAAAGACAGTGTTTTGATCATCACATCGGTTCGTGATGATCTTCTTTTTGTGTGTTTGCGGCATTTACATTCTTATTTAGTAGCTATAATAAGTAGCTTTGCATTATGTTTAAGTTGTTTATTGTTGAAGACATTTATGTTTAAGTTGTAATGTGTAGTCCGAACAGAAGTCTCTTGTAATGACTCGTTTGATGGTTTGATTATCATTACTGCTTGTGTTGTTTACGGTTGCGTGCAGAGTTAATCTTCTTTATGTTTAATGCTACTTTCCTGGTAGGTAATAGAGTTAAATGCATTTATTTACACTTTTGTTTTGTTTTGTGAGGGTAAATGGGGGGAAAAAGGAATGACGGTTTTAGAAGCTGCAACCGAGTCTTTTCCATCAAGGTTAGTCAGCTTCTACCTTATTTTGTTATTTAGTGTGATAAATGCTGTAGTCTTCAATGCAATCGTTAGTTAGATAGGTTTGTGAGATGACTTGTGATGAATGCTTCCTAGGTATGGGCTTAGTAAATGGTAAATAACTAGTGATGAATGCTTGTTAGGTATGCGTTAAATGACTAGTGATGAATGCTTGTTGGCTTCTTAAAAAAGTTTGTCTTTAAAAAACTCATGTAATAAAACCTTAAATTCTCAAACAGCTTCTGAAAACTTATTTATAAAACACGTTACATTTGTCTTTCAACACTTAATCGTAAAATACGAATACAACTCTCTAAACCCTTACACCCAAACTCAAATAAACCCTTTTTCTACACGTTGCTTTTATGAATTCCCAAAACCCTTACACCCAAAGCGAAGGCTTTGTCAACTTATTAACTAGCCAGCTAGTTAATGATGTTTACGCGCCTGTGATAGATCTTGGGTCATCAGAAGTCCTTGTGTTTAGCACACAAACTACTGATGATCCAAGCGTAGGAGGGAAGAATACGCCTGAGAGAAGGAAGTGGTCGCCGAAAGAAGACGTCATTCTCATCAGTGCCTGGTTCAATACATCAAAGGACCCAGTCGTTGGGAATGACCAAAAGGCGGCAGCGTTCTGGTCGCGGATCATTTTGTACTACAACTCATCACCACTGCTTGGTGAATATCCGAGAAGGGAAATAGGGCAGTGCAAGCAGAGATGGGGAAGGATTAATGATCAGGTGTGCAAATTTGTTGGTTGTTATGAGGCAGCCATGAAAGAGAGAACAAGCGGGCAGAATGAGAATGATGTAATGAAAGCTGCTCATGAAATCTTTTTCAATGACCAGAAGATCAAGTTCGTTTTAGAACATGCATGGAGAGAGTTAAGGCATGACCAGAAATGGTGCAGAGCAACTAATGGCAAAGACAATGCATCGTGGAAAAGGAAAAAATGTGATGAAGGTTCGACTCAGTCACCAAGCCCTGTCGATGGAGGAATGAATGGCGAAAGTGAAGGTGCGGCTAGACCACCGGGAGTGAAGGCGGCGAAGGGCAAATCCAAAAAAGCCCACAGTAGGAAAGAGGATGGAAAGGATCTAATGGAGTTGCAGTCTGTCTACGCGCTGAAGAAACAAGACTTGGATGCGCGGTCAAAGCTTGAGTCGCAGAAAACCCTAAACAGTCTCTTAGCCAAGCATGGGCCTCTATCTGATATGGAAGAAGCACTGAAGATGAAGTTGATTACTGAGTTGCTTGGTTGATATGTAAGTTTTCATCTTTTTCTAAACTTCATCTTTGATCATTTGCTATGAACTTCATCTTTTTTAAAATGCTATTAAGTTATAAAATGCTATTTGTTGCATCGTTTCAGGGTTCGAGGACAAGGATATGTGTAACGGATATTTGTTCTATCACGAGCTAGCTGGTGAATTAGTTTGTCATTTGTGTCACGAGTTATTTCTGTCACGAGTTGTATTATTGGCACTTGTAGTTTTGGTTATTTCTGTCACGAGTTGTATTATTGGCACTTGTAGTTTTGGTTACTTGTGTCACGAGTAAAGTATGTTGTTAAAATGTGGGGTTGTAATTTTTTGTCACGAGTCATGTACCCTGTATTTTTGGCTATCTATTTATATATTCGAGAAGGTAAAATGGTTTACCCAAGTCACCTAAATCCTGAAACTTATTTGCGTACGTTCTCTCTACATCTCCTCCTTCCAATTCTCCACCATTTCTCCACCATTTCTCCACCAATTGTCCACCAAATTTTTTGTCCACCTAAACCATTTTATACACACAACGATGGCTTCATCATCAACAAACGATGATTTAGATAATGTTTATGACGATTATCTAGATGACATACTCGATGAGAAATGCGATAATATGTTTGACGCCTTCATAGCTCGCCAAGAAGCCAAAAAAAAAGAAGAAGAAACGAGCTTATATTGAGAGAGAACGCGAATTGGGGCACAACCAGCTATGGAATGACTACTTTATTGAAGATGCTACATATCCGCCAAATGTCTTTCGTCGTCGTTTCAGAATGAACAAACCATTGTTCATGCGGATTGTGGATCGCCTTTCTGAAGAAGTTCCGTATTTTCAACAAAGACGAAATGCTGCCGGACGGTTAGGTCTCTCTGCTCTCCAGAAGTGCACGGCAGCGATTCGTATGATGGCTTATGGCTGTGCAGCAGTCGCGGTTGACGAATATCTCCGTTTAGGTGAATCTACAGCCATTTTATGTCTTGAAAATTTCACTCATGGAATCATACAATTATTTGGCGATGAGTACCTACGGAGACCCACACAAGAAGATCTCCAACGATTACTGGATGAAGGAGAGTCACGCGGTTTTCCCGGAATGATAGGGAGCATTGATTGCATGCATTGGGAATGGAAGAATTGCCTAACCGCTTGGAAAGGACAATATACCCGCGGATCTGGAAAACCGACTATCGTCTTAGAGGCGGTTGCATCACACGATCTCTGGATATGGCACGCATTTTTTGGTCCCCCAGGTACTTTAAACGATATTAACGTTCTTGACCGTTCACCAGTTTTTGATGACATATTACATGGTCGAGCTCCAAAAGTAAGGTATTCTGTCAATGGACACCAGTACAAGTTGCCTTATTACCTCACTGACGGGATCTATCATACAATCCATTCGTCTTCCACAAGAACCGAAACATCGGATGTTTGCTAAAATGCAAGAATCCGTCCGAAAGGATGTCGAGCGTGCTTTCGGAGTCTTGCAAGCTCGTTTTGCTATTATTAAAAATCCGGCTCTGATATGGGATAAGGAAAAGATTGGGAAGATTATGAGAGCAGCCATCATCTTGCACAATATGATTGTAGAAGATGAACGAGGTTCCTACAGCCTGTGTGATATATCACAATTCCAACAAGTAGATGGAAGTAGAGCCTCACACGTGGATATGTCGTATTCCAGAAATATGCCTACAAACCTGACCAATATGATCGGCATTCGGAATGAAATTCGGGATAACCAAATACATGACCGATTGAAAGCGGACCTTATTGAACATATATGGAACAAATTTGGTCATACATTCAGTTACGATGACTAAACCGCTTATGTTTTAAATATCTGTAATTTGTATGTTTTAAATTTCTGTTTGTGTAATAATAATCTGTTTGTTTAAGTATGTATTTTCCAATTTTAATAAAAAAACGTTTTTTTATAAACTATGTTCAGCAAAAAAAAAAAGAGTTTTTTAATTTTAAAGAGACCCACCTAAGGGTTCACTAATGGACCATAAAAAAAAATTGAATCTCTTCTCACACATCACCTTCTCAAATAAATTATAAAATAATTCAAAAAATATTCTAAAGAGACTCAAGCTCAGTTACACCACTGGAGCTGCTCTTAGGTTTCCTTGTAAAATCTAAATTTATATTTAGCAAAAAAATAGTGATGGATACCACTAATCTTTATCATCTTTGTAACTGATAACTATTAAAACAATAAACTATTGCAATACATGATTGTTGGTGTTGGATTTAGCCCAAATCCAGCCCATAAAGCACTTTGAGTGAACAAGCCATTATAAGGGAAGTTTTGGGCCCTATAGGCCCGTAACTAAGGCAAGGAAAGCATCTCCAAAGAATATACTCAAGTACAAGTCAATCTAAGAGGACGCGGAAAACTGGATAAAAAGAGATCGCGGAGATCTCGGAGAAGGAGATAACGTATCAACCCGCGGATCTCGGAACAGTTCGTCTCGTTCTATTTAGTATGTTTCGTTCTATTTAGTATAAATAGGAGTTGAATCTCTTGTAAAGGAAATCCAATCTTTAGCACAAAAACACTTTGTAAACATTCATACTTCATCAATACAATCCAAATTCATCGATCTTTGTCTTTACTTTTACATCGCTCTTACCAGAATTCTTGCCCAAATTCTTCTACCACAAAATCGACACACTAAATCCTTGAGTGTGGATTTTAGGATCCACATTTTGGCGCCGTCTGTGGGGAAGAAACAAAGAAATTCTTACACCTGAGACCGATCTCGAAGACAAGTAAGAACGAAATGGATCCCAGAAACGTTGAAACATCTGGCTCAAAGACAAGCTCCGGCCTCACACTAAATTTTCGCATCGCAGGACGATCTGGAGGTGTCCAGATCACCGATACACAAAGCTCGTCTGCCCATAAACAGACAAATGAGCCGAGCGTCGCAAATCCGACAACCAGCTCGACTCAAACTGTTTCTTCGAGCGCGATGCGAACTACCGGCATGCCCGCCGTGTTACGCTCGGAGTCTAGAATGGCCCCAATATTCACATATTCGCGGACCTGGACAAGATTTGGAATTCCACCGATCGGATCCAGCAGTTCGAATCGAACTGAATCCATCCGGGCCGGATCGTCTCAGACGGTAGCCGGCGACGACCTAGCGGAATTTCGAAGGATGCTAGCCTTCTTGGCAGAACAAGCCCGCGAGCAACGAGCTATTCTCACACAAAATGAGAAAGAGATAGCTAACTTGCGACGAGAGCGGACACAACCAACTCAGTCTCAGGGCGAAGATCACGACGATCTATCTGAAGGGGAAGATCGAAGTCCGCCCCCGACTACTCGATTGGAGTTCGAACACCTCGCAAATGACAATCTGTCAGCACAGTTCGTCACTCCGTCGCGAACTAACAACACCCCAATATTTAGTGAGATAGTTAGTCATCTGCCGATACTCGGATACGGAACAACGGAGCACAACATACCTACAGCAGACGATTGTCGAAATCAGCTATCAACACCTCTATTCTTCCGCGGATCCCAAGGTCGTAGTACGAACCGTGCTAACCCACCAACCGACAAGCGATCTAACGAAGAATGGATTGCCGACGACACTTTCCAAACCGGAAGTCAGCAACAAGGAAACGCGCGCAATAAGAAGCGCGCGGAGGACCCTCCAAATATCATAGATCCGCGATCTATAAATAACATCGATGCGCTCCAGCGATACATTGAAGCAAACAACGCCGAGCTAAAATGTGTGTACGCTGCAATACATAAAGCAACGAGCGCGGCTCCTGATATAGATCGCGTGCTGGACGAAACTAGAAGGACCCCCTTCACCGATCGCATAGCTAACGCTAAGATCAAGGACACTGGGAAAATGCGGTTCCCAGAATATAATGGAACAGCAGATCCCTTAGCTCACCTCAGAGCTTTTAGGCTCTCTGTAGCCCGAGCTCATCTCAACGATGAGGAAAAAGAAGCAGACTATTGCCGGCTTTTCGCCGAAAATCTAGTCGGATCCGCCCTAGAATGGTTCGCCGGGCTAGAAGAAGGATCCATTGACAATTTCCAGCAGCTCGGTTCGGCCTTTCTTAAGCATTATTCGGTGTTTATAATGTCCAAGGCCACGGAAACCGACCTATGGACCTGCAGACAGAATCACCAGGAGCCCCTGCGGTCTTACTTGGCTAGGTTCAAGGAAATAAAATCCAGGATATCCGAACTAAACGAGGGAGTAGCACTCTCTGCACTCAAACAAGGGCTATGGTTCGACTCACCTTTCAGATAGGAACTATCGGTTCGCTGTCCGGTGTCTCTAGACGACGCTTTGCATCGAGCTTCGAGCTTTGCTTGCTACGAGGAAGAACAAAACGTCCTCCGAGAACAGTTCGAAGCCGGGTTACTGACACCCAACCTCTCCACCTTTGCAGACACGGACTCCCTTATGAGATCGTGACAGACATTAGTTCTAAGTATCCGCCGGACCCTTCTGTCCAGAAAACGGAGAACTTAACAAAGAACGGCTAAGAGATCGGCAAGGTGTGATCAAAGAACAAAGAGATCGAATCCTTGTCCGAATCTAGAGTTACCAGCAGGCCGCGACCCACTACTATAATTCTGGTGTAAAACACCTGAACTTTAGTATTGGCAATCTCTTGCTACACAAGGTATTCAATAACACTAAAGAGTGTGGCACCAACAAGCTGTGCTCTAACTGGGAAGGTCCTTACGGGATCGTCGAAGTAGTCCGCAGCGGTGTCTACAAACTCGCGAACATCAGAACCGGAGTGCCAGAGATAAGAACGTGGAATGTTATAAATCTCAAACATTACCACCTCCGAGCACCGACAATAATCGAACTACGTTCAGGCTTGATCCCTTGACGGGGTACGTAGGCAGCTCAGCACCGAGTCCAGCCACTATCTTTTTTTACATACTTAGTCAAAATTATAAAATGTATGTAACATCGCGTTTGTGAATAGAAACCCTTATTCCAAAACTCGCTCACTTCAAGATCTCTTAAAACGATCTTATAGCTCGAGGCCCCGAGCCCGCTAAGTAACGATTGAGCCGAACAATCTCAGCTTAGTTCGCTATCATATTGGGTAATTAATAGTCATAGTTTATAGCTCGCTAAACGATAACGAACTCTGCCAAAGTAGATTAAAAAGTCGTTATCCGCAGTAAACTATCATAAATCGATCTAAACAGAACGATCATCAAGCTCGTAGCTCGCTGAGTAACTTGGCGCCTACAAAATAAAAGTTACTATCACAGTTCGCCACTCGCTACTTAACACCATAACGCGATCTCTCTAAAACGATCGTATGGTCACAACTTATAAAACTTCGGCACATTTTAAACAAAGAGCATTTATAACGCCTTGTTCGAAATCCTGATCCCATGAATAAAAATCACGCGATATAGGTCGTTCAGGTCCCATGGGGTGAAAAATTCTCCATAAAATAGTCCGCCCCTTTAGTTCGTTTCTCACTAAACGGGCTGGGGGGCAATTGTTGGTGTTGGATTTAGCCCAAATCCAGCCCATAAAGCACATTGAGTGAACAAGCCATTATAAGGGAAGTTTTGGGCCCTATAGGCCCGTAACTAAGGCAAGAAAAACATCTCCAAAGAATATACTCAAGTACAAGTCAATCTAAGAGGACGCGGAAAGCTGGATAAAAAGAGATCGCGGAGATCTCGGAGAAGGAGAGAACGTATCAACCCGCGGATCTCGAAACAGTTTGTCTCGTTCTATTTAGTATGTTTCGTTCTATTTAGTATAAATATGAGTTGAATCTCTTGTAAAGGAAGTCCAATCTTTAGCACAAAAACACTTTGTAAACATTCATACTTCATCAATACAATCCAAATTCGTCGATCTTTGTCTTTACTTTTACATCACTCTTACCAGAATTCTTGCCCAAATTCTTCTACCACAAAATCGACACACTAAATCCTTGAGTGTGAATTTTAGGATCCACAATGATTATCTATCTACTTTGCTCTCACTCTTGTGTTTCAAGTGATTATCAGATATTTTGGTTTTGTATAAGTATAAAGAAAGAAACTCATCGTGCTTTATATTTTTTACTAAGAATGTAAAATTTATTCATCAAAAAACATTTTTACAATGACTGCTTCATGGTAATAGAGTTTGAAACTATTATAATTTCAGAATTTAAAAGAGAAAGATCACCTTGTGCCAAACCACACCACCTTGGAACCCTGTGCTGAAAGAGATGTGTGGGAGACGGTTGTGCTTTAGACACATCCGCACCTAAATATATATAGGTCAATCTCAAATCAAAAGCCACTTGACATTTTTATCCCAAAAAAAAAAAAAATGAAAATGCTTTATGCTTAGACCTTAATCAGTCTCATTATTTTCCTCCCTCAACATCAAATGAAAGAAGACCTTTACCAAACAGAGTCTGGAGAATCTAAGGAAGAATATGTGACAAGTAAAGAGTAGATTGTGTGTTGGAATTGGAATGATGAACACCATTTTCAACTTGTTGATAATTAAGCTCTTAATCTAAAAGAAATTCCATACATATAAAACTTAAGCAGTGTACGAAATCCAAAAACAGAATCGGATGCGATGCCTATAATGAGTTGGACAAAGATGTCGTATTAACAAAAAAAAATTAAAATGATCATTAGTGCATAACTAACAATGAAAGCAATAATAGTGGGATCAACACAAGAATACCCTAATGGAAGCGTGAAACACGTGCGGTCATATATGGGTATAAATATATGGGACCAAAATATCAACAGTTTTTAACTTTCTCCTCACAAAAGAAACGAGAGAAAATAGTAGATATAGTTAGAGACATCAGAAAAATGGTTACATATATTCTTAGCGAGAAGAAAAATAAAAAATAACAGTTAGAAACGGTAGATAGACAGAAATTTATTGTAAGAACATGTTACTATCCTAGTTTTTTTTTGGTCGAACTGTAATTTTATTAAAGCTCAAACTGGATACATAAGAGCTCTGAGAGCTTCTTTAGCGATGGAGTCCGCCTCGTTGTTAAACAAACGAGGAACAAAACAGAAAGAGGAACAAAACAGAAAGAGATCGAAGAGAAAGATAACGTCAGCTGACGTATATCGTGAACAATAGAGTGTATCTCTGTGTGCATTTCGTATGAGTTGAGCACTGAAACCAGAGACTGGGAATCTGAGAGAAACTGGATCTCTTCGAATCCATTATCAATGGTGAGGAGTAAGGCCTCTCTGATTGCCCAGGCCTCCGCTACTAACGCTGAGGATACAGACTGTCGGGAGCTTGAGAAACACAGCTTCTTGTCTTCATCTTTAACCATGAAAACAACCTCCATTCCGCAGTTACCTGAATCCACATGCCAGGCAGCGTCGACGTTACAGTCGATTCAAAAAGCTTGAGACGGGAACGTTATAGCGCGTGGAGGTTAAGGTTTTCGTATGGCTGACTGTGCTTCTTGCTAGGTTTTCGCTTCAACAATGGCTTTGTTAACCACTTCAACAATGAATTTTATATTTTTAATACAAATTGCGTAATATTAGTATCCTAGTTTTATCCGGGTTTTTTAAATCTTAGGCCCTGAAACTCTTTGCTTGAAGAGCTCATGTAATTAAACTACGTTCCAAGAATAAATAAACATAATTCAAATTTTATAATAAAAAACGGTGAAAACATTCAAATTTGCCGTTATATCTGGCATATATAGTTTATAACAAAGACTTTTCTTTCATTAGAAAAGAGATCGGATTCTTTTTGTGCAACAAACTGCATTCTTTCTACTAAGAGTTTTTCCCAAGGATATGTATCTAAATTTTATCAAATAAATTTGTGATTCCATTTATATATCCTCTTCTAGATAAATACCTGATGCATACATTGTTTTTTTTTTTTTCAAGTGTTATCGGAAATCCATATTTCTCAGAACGGATCAAAGTAGCACAGCATAATATTTGGATTCGTAGAGTCTTTTTATCTGGTCCTACGAACTTAAGATATTTTGTGGACTAGATATCTTCAACATAAAAATTTATTAAACAAATGACCTCTAAATCATGACCACTTGTCAGAACTTTGACACACATCATTTCCAAAAATGATTATATTAATAAAGTCTTAATCTTTCGTTTTTCTCTTAAAGAAATTCTCCTCTTTTATAAACCAAAAAAGGAGCCCAAAAATCAGAAAGCAGCACGAAAAGAAGAAGAAAGGGAGCAAACAGTATTGGTGATGTCATCTTCCCGATGGACGTTGATGGATCTACCATCGTACCTGTCGTCATCGTGGGTTTTCCGGTGGCCAGAAGTGAATTTATCATACATGAGCTCCGGCTGGAACATGAGATTGTTGTCGGTGTCGGGTAATTTCTCAATAATCGATGATCTCTTGTGGAGTTTGGTCTCGATCGTCGAATCTTTGGTTATCGTCGCTACGCTCTGTTGTTATTTCTTGTTTTGTGGTTGTACCCTCTGATATTTCCGTTTTTTCATAATTCTAAATTTTGTTCCGAATATCGTTACCAATTGAAGTCTCTGTAAATAAAATAATTGATGATTTTCGGGACATTTCTTGAGACTTAAATTTGAAGACAAAAAAATGATAAAACAAATGAAAATGTAAGACATTCCTTATTGCAAATTTTGTTATAATATTTTCTTCGCAGTTTTGCTATCTGATTTTTGTAGTACTACCTTTTTTGTCAAATGTTTCTTTAGTACTTGCAACGATGATCTAAGCTAAGTAGTAAAAGTACTATCTTGCTAGTATTTAACTCTAATCTAGAATTTTCAAGCGCATAGACGTTTCCGTTTAATTTGGACCGGTTTAGTTCGGTCTTACGTATTCTACCGATGTCAATATCGTAATCACCTTGGTTTACGATGGTGTTTAAAATGGAGGTATCAAACCATTTAAGTTTGGACTTAGGATTACTTAGTGTATTGGTTCGATATATATCGATATATGACATTTATATTGTGTGTATATGTAATATTATGAATCTAATTCGGTAATACCGATAGAAAAAGAAACATGAAGTAAGTTATAAATTCACTAAATCACTTCACTGTGTTTTGGGAAAAGAAACACAGATTTGAATGGTTGCTGCAACTACGTAGCAACGTTAGCTTTTAAAAGAAAGCGTAGATGACCTACTTACTTTATAAGAAAAGACTTTAAAGAGACATCTATAATTTTATATTGTCCGTATAACTAACATTCCATTTTTAAATGTGAGTCATCCTTTAAAAATAAAATTTTCATATTTGATAAGTTTTCATTGTAAGGAATTCCAATGAGGTGAGTAGTTAAAAGATTACATTTATGATTTATAGTTGACAAAAATAGAGGTTTTATTTATATAACAGTCTACCGGCGACTAACGAGGGTGCTTCACTTATTTGGACAATCATATGTTGTGGTAAACCCACATTACGGTAAATGATCTGTTTGAAGCTGAGAGAGTCTTTTGCTTTTTATAATCTTTTCGAGGTCTTTAGCTGTGTGATTTGCAATGATCCTTTTTGTGAAACATTTTGTTTTAAAAAAATATTTATATAACAGTCTTCCACGGGGTGAGCAACTTTTGTTCTTTTTTTGGGTTGTTTTCTCAAAGCGTCAAACTAAAAAGAGCGAAATAAATGTAACTATGTAGTAAAGCTGTGAACACTATTGTTGGAATCCAACGTAAAGCCAACTTCTGAATTTCTTAACACGAACCATAGGAAGAATAAACAATACAACTACTTCATAATTCTAAAAGCCTTTGATAAATTCTCATTAGGCCAAAAGAAAAAAATTTAAGCCTAAAGAAAAATAAAATCTCAAATCCATTTGTTTTGTTTGTTCAGTTTTCCTTTCTGCTAATTTCAGTGCGGACAAGTCACCGTGAGATCAAATGGAGAAAGTTTGGGCTTGGCCCACACCAAAATATACATGTTTTGAGGCTATTTTGAAAAATTGTTATAGATGATCAAAAGCTTTGATAAATACAATATATATATATACAGTAAAACCTCTATAAATTAATAATATCGGAACTACAATATTTTATTAATTTATCGAATTATTAATTTATCGATATAAAAATTAGCTTAAAAACCTAATTTGGAACTGAAAAAATGTATTAATTTATCGAAGTATTAATTTATCGAGTATTAATTTATAAAAGTTATACTGTATATGGTATCGGGTTCGAACGGGGTCAAATTATTTCGCTTTGTTATTTTCTAGAAAGCTATAAACTTATCGTGGCACTAGGGCCTCCCAAATTCCAGGTCGTTCTTGAAGATAGCTTGTGTGGTTTTACACATTTACGAAAGCTTTTGTATGTGTTCCACAGTTATGTATTTAATTATGGTTTAGTTTACGTGATGAATGTAAACACAAATGGTAATTTATTTTTCGTAAAGTTTTTTCCATTTTTTACGAATGATTTTGCATGTATTCCACAAATATTACGTAATTCATAGTTTATTTGATGTAATTACAATTGGTAAGTTTTTCTTTTCCTTTTGACCACCCAGGCAGAAATGCAAACAATTATTTGTTTTTACGAGGAAAAACATATGGATAGCTGTACTTCAAAAAACCACCAAATAAATAAACTACTTTCATCTAATTTCAATATTTTTATGTGTTTATTTCAAATCAATTGATTGACACATTTAGCTAAATGATTTTCATCGGTTAACCTATGTATGACACTAAATTTATATCCTTTAGCGAAAATAAATATCGCTTGATACATCATACTTGACACTGATGACACAACCAAGTTGATGATGCAAGTTTGTCTCTACTCGAACTGGAAACAATAACATGCTTCATACATCGAAACCATACGCACACCACGATTTAGAAAGAGGTTTCGCAGATAGTTCAATCTCGACTATACAATTTGCTATGTTGTAATGCTCAGTTCAAAACTCTAATAACTAGCTATCATTCTGTATAGTAAAAAAAAAATTATGTAAACACAAATGATATGCTTATTAGGTGTAAACACGACTGGTTATTTTTTCTTATAATGTTTACTCATTGCACCACAACGATATATAGCCTCAAAAGCTTTTTTTTGTATAATAAACTGTATATAAACGCAACTATGAAAAATATATATTACAGGTTCTATAATATGCAACCTCCCACAAAACGAAAAACATAGATTTTTCATACGTATAATAGCAACGATAAATAAATTAAATCCAAAATTTGGAGGAAAAAAATGCCAAAACAACAACATTCCAAGTTCTCAATAAATCAAAGATTGATGAAAGTGATCTGGCGGCTAGAAAAAGAAAAGAAAATGGTGAAACATTTCCATGGATAAGATCATTTTTTACTAGACATTCTTGGAAAAGTTATTTTACAATCTTATCTATACTTTTTAGTACTCCATTTTTCTACCATCATCTTTAAGTCAATCTATATATCTCTCTAAACTGAATCTATTTATTGATTTCAAGAAATTCACCCCATGTTAATAATATTAAGTAATCAAATTTCAATTTATGAATACTACATGAACCATATATACTCTCAACTTTAAACTAATTAAGAATAATAAGCCCAAAATTTCACTGACTTGGATAATCAGGGGAGATATTTATAAAAATCAATATTTGGTTGCAATGAGTAACATTATTAAAATTAATCATGAGATGTGATGATAACTACGTGATTGTGGCCAAATCCACTTTGTTGTTTTCGTTGTACACCACATATACGTAGACTTTGGATACACAATATACATACGTATTTATAGTTGACACGTGTTGTATTCCACTATATACAATAATATTATTTTAACTGTTGTCATTCTGAGTTTCGGATTATATAATGATTAACAATCCTAACCGCATTCCTCTTTCTTTTTTTCCCTCTAAATATACTTGTATACTTTTATTTCTAGGTTTTTATGCTGGATGTCGATTGTAGGTGGAAAGTTCTTTCGCCGATGTGCTCATAGATCTTCTTTACTTAGATCCTCTCTCATCTTCTCTTGAGAGGTTAGGCGGTGGGATTTGAGCGGCGTGATATATCTTTCCCAAAATTCTTTCAAATCTGCTCGTGAAAAAATAGATATGGCGCTACAGTAGTTACGGATTTTTAGATTTGCTGTCGTTTCTCTATCCAATGTAATGTTCTTCAGGAAATTTTCCAAAGTGAATTCACAGAAACGTCCTTTTTAGATATCATGTTTACCATGTGATCACTACATGATCTGCTTGGTCATGGTGTACGAACAGTCAACATTTCACACCCCATTTGCCACCTCTTTTTTTTCCTTAACTTAATTTTTTTTTTATAAAACTTACATGAATAGTTTGATATACAATAAGTACTTTGTAAGAAAATGTTGTATCAATCACTTGATGATATGTTAAGACGTTAGTTCAAATTTGATAGGTGTTTCAAAATTTAATTTACCATTCAACTCGTTTCAACTTATTTTACTGTGAACATTTAAGATCATCCAAACATAACTGGTGCCAATTAAGAAAAGAGACTAATATTGTTTACGTATACTTATATATATATGTAACTTTACGGGAATGGTGCGATTAAAGAAACACATTAATTATTAGTAATAACTCTCCATAATATACAAAGCATGCTTTGTTTTGATACTTAGTTGGTGATGGAGTAGGGTTGATGAGTAGCCTGTTAGAACTCCTTCTGTTTCTATTTTTTTAGTGATTAGAAGACAGTCCATTATGGACATTACTAACTCTATGCTTTTTGCATTTACTTTTATATTTAATATCAGCCATACATCACTTGTGTAGCTATCGGCTTCCTGAAAAAGACCTAAAGCATATATACATATATATATACATGTATATATATAGCTCCATGCATCTACTTTACGACTGATATATATATATATATATATATACAGGTGTGTGTATGGGTTTAGGTTTGTGTTTGTTAATTAATGTCAAAGGATGACTTAAGTAAAACAAATATAAATAAAATATATTGACATTAAAATAATTACATACCATAACAAATCATTTTTCTTGTAAGTAAATACCTTAAAAAGATGCTAGATATGTACAATAGCGTTTACATTTGGTTATGAAATATGAGAATTAAGTAATTGATGTGACTTGTGTTATATATGGTCCATATGGCCATATCTTGGGTCAAGTACGCATGTAGACACAAACGGTGTGCGCTTATTAATCCTAAAAGTCTTTATGAATATATATTATCTGTGATGACTGAAGACTAACATTAAAGTTCAGCGAAGACAACTATAAAAGAGACTTTAACTTGAGTTTAAGGCTAAAAGTTGTCTCTTTAATCTTTATGTATCAAGATGAATATGAATTTATATATATCTTCATACCAAAAAGCTAGTAACATTTAGCTCTCGTATGGCTAATTAGTAGTATCATTTAAATTTTGTTGTTATATGAAATTTTCGCGACCTAGTAGATCTTTGTTGTGAATTATCAACCGATTAGGTCGATAATTAAACATGTCGAATAAATGCGTGTTTGTGTATGTGAATAATTAAGTATTAAGGATAAACGATAGTAGTTATGAAAATTGAGCATATGAACATTCGATTAATTAAGTATTTAGTTTCATAGAATCTAGCTAAGGACACCAGGTCTATAAGAACTGTAAGTCCACTCAGTTATAATGGAAGTCAATTGAAGTTAGATATATATTGAATTGGAATATTCTATTATATATGCAATTACAAGAAGGCGTGATTATGCATGAATTTCGTATGGTTGCAACTTGGATATAGAATATCGATCTACAAAATTCAACAAAACCGAAATATCTTTCCATGTATATATGTGTGTGGATATATTCATTATTAGACATCGATTGGAATTGATAGAAATAAAATTATATGTAAAATTTGAACAAAAATGAGAGCTGGACTAATGATTTGATAGCATGATTACAAATACCCATAAAGTGATTACAAAGTAAATTAATGGTTTAGTTAACAACTCTAACTCCAAATGCTTACTCATTCTCCTAGATAATTATAGATTGAAACAAATGAGAGAAATAAAACTAATTATAGATAAAACCCGAAGTAAAAACAAAAAAGATTAAACCCTCCTTTGTCACTATTCTTAAAAGAAATGATACATTTTTATTAATACTCAAACAAAAAATGAAGTTATACCTATATCACATATACTACAAACCTCTGTTCCTAAGTAGCATCGGTTGTTTGTTTCATGGTGATTCAAACAACCAAATGCTAATATTTGATGAAAAAAGAACATTAGAAAGCCAGCCAGAATTATCGGTTTATCTTAGCCGGCAAAAAACTCCTCATATATGATAAAGCCTATCAGCTGGTTCCGGCCAAAAAAAAAGAAAGAAAAAACAATTGCCCCGGAGAAAGAAAAAAACTTGTTCATTTCTTATCCTCTTCTTTGGTTTGGGTGTTAATAGTATCCGATCTTATCTGCGAAGGAAGAATATCTTGAAGCAATCCATGATCTCTAATGGAGGAAGAAGTTGAAGTAGAAGCTTGTGACATATCATAACCATATCCAGGGAATGATGTTGACCCTGGATTTACGAAAGTGCCATCGGAGGAGCTTCTATTGATCATGCTTAGAGAGTTGTTGTACATGCTGTTGTAGGGCTGATGATGCTGATGAGTCAGCAAGTATCGTGGCTGAGGAATAGTGAATGATGACGACGATGCGGTGGTTGCACCATGGTCGAGGATTGGTGACGTGAGCATTCCGATGTGTCCACGTGGAGTCATGGGGAAAGGGTGTGAGTGTTGACCTTCGTAGGTTGTCATGACGATTGAAGGATCATCGGAGGATCTTTCCACTCTTTTCTTCACTCCACAAGCCACTGTGGTGCAACGATAATAGCTTCTGCACATTAAAAGAAGGTATTTATATTAGAAATATTATAACATGTACAAAACGTATTTACTATTTTGTTATTCGCTTTGAAGTTTGGAAAATTTTTGAAATTTGGAAGATATATATATTAGGAACAGAAGATCTCGAGATCTAAGATGAAGTTTTGGAACAAGTTTGAGATAGAAATCTTCCGACACAAGCAACATAAATCAAGGGAAGCAAAAAACACAGAAACCTCTCATGGAATGGAACAAAAGAAAATATATTCTTGGAAACGCAAAATTCAAACAATTTGGACCCTACACACACGCGTATTAGGTATCTATAGTCGTCTACATATATATATTGTCATAGTGAACATGTATATAATTATAAAAGCGTCATGTAACATGCATTATGCATATAGACTCTGAATATATAAAGCTCACTGAATCTAGGGCTAGTCTACACACACACTTACATATGTAAGTGAACATGCATATGACTACATATATGGTGTTTCATATATATATATATACATATGATTTTCTAGATGAACATGTATATATAGGTATATAAACACACTATGTAGAAAATGTAGATGAGTCTTGTATATGAATAGGAAAATCCGGATCTAGTGAAGTATATAGACATATATATGCATATAAAGTATAAGTAAACACTAAAACAAAGTGAGGATGATAATCTATATGGATCTAGGCTAGGGCTGAAATATACATATATATACAGAGTAATATATATTACCTGGGATAAGGACTGTTTTTGACAGCTTTCTGGCCGTACTTTCTCCACCTATAACCGTCGTCAAGATTATCAATATCACTTTTCGTCAGAAACGCAAACCTAGCTTCTCTAGCTTTCTTCTGGTTCTTCTTCTTTGCCTTCAACCTTCATTTATAACAAAAATACTCACAATATTTAATAAAATCCAACCCAAAACATAGATCAATCAGTCAAGAAATAAAGGATTCAATTAATTACTTACTGTGGCTTAGTACCCTTTTGATCCTGTTGATCTCCTTCTTCTTGATCTTTAACAGTAGCCTCCTTATTAATATTATCATTTGCAGCCTCGTTGGAGGAAGATGAGACTGAGGTTGAGTTTGGAGATGTCGGTGTTGTGTTCACAACTTCTGATGACTCGGCCTTTGTTGTTGCAGGCTGATGATGAGGCAAGGGCAAATCCGTAAAAAAGAGGTTGTTGTTGTTGTTTGGGAGAGGAAAGGCATCGAATGAAAAAGAAGATGAGTTAGAGGAAGAAGCAAATTGATGATGATCTTGTCGGAGCAAGTCGAGGAAAGAGTTTGGATTGTTAGTGGAGTGATCTTCGAAATAGGAATAAGGGAAAGGTAAAGAAGATATTGGGGTATCGAAGATGCTTGAGAGATTGATGTTGTTCCCAGCAAGCTCCAACTGATGATGATGATGATCTGATGACGTGACTAGATTCGCCATGTGTGATGATGATGATGATGATGATGATGCTTGAGAGATCTGTTGTTGCAGTTCTTGGTGCTCGATCTTCGTCTCTGTGTTCTTGATACTTTTGAACTCCTCCTTTTGTTGTTCTTGATGATGATGATGATGATGATGATGATCCTCTTCTATCTTCTTCTCCATGTAATAGAAAAGATGGAATCTCTGAGAGGATACTTTATAGAAATATCATCATCATTGTCATCTTCTGAGATTTTTTGTGAGGAAAGAAAAAGGAGAACTTTTATTTAGCTTTCTGGGTGATTATATGTTTTTATTTTATTCTGTAATGGTTGTGTGATTTGTTTGAGATAAGAAGGGGAGAGAGAGAGAGAGAGGTGTGAATATAACTTTTGTGGAGTTTTGGGTTCTTCTGGAAAACAGCTTGGATTTAGGAGGTTTCCCATTTGTTTATTTAATTATTTTTTATTTATATTTCCTCTCATTTAAGCGGGTAAGGAATATTAAAAAATGGGGAGTTAAAATATAAATAAAAAGGAGGAAAAAAGCACTAGCCACCGGTAAACGCCGGTCATGGGAGGCGTACGGTTGTGAATGGCAACGGGACGGTGCCGTCCTCTGCCGGGCATTTAATTTTTGTCCCTTCATTTCAGTTTTTTTCTTTCCTTCTTTATTCCCACAATTGTGTCGTGTCTCGTAACGGCATGGTTGCAATCTAGTCTCTAATTATACCAACTACTTACTTGACGTCTTCAAGTCCAAATATTACTCGCATTTTGAATTTCAGTTTTTACTAGGCGAAAAATTAACTCCTTGCAATTGTTTGGTGTTACATAAGCTATAGGCGGCTTACCCATTGATGAGTCTCAAATATCCCTTTCTTTTTAGTTCACCGTGTTACAAAAACTAATATGAGATGGCTACCAACACTCTGAATCACACAAAAATAAAAAAACATTCAGAGATTGCAGTATTAATGACTTACCTCTTTGGACATGTAATGCATTATCTTGAATTATGAAAACTCTGAACTAATTTTCCAATTAATTCACAACGTCTTTACTACTTTCATAATCTGTATACATGCAATCGATTAGATATTTGAATATATTTACACATAAATATATTCGTTTCATTGGTATTATGTATTTTTTCCAATTTATATGATATACTGTGCGTAAAAATTTTTTAATAGTTATAAAATATGATAAAAGAAACCTGTAGTTTTTTATTAGGAAATTATTTATTTTCATTCCAAGTAATAATTTTCCTACTACTCAAATTTATTTGTTGGCATGACCTTTTTAATTAACAGTATTAATATCTTGTTTTTACGCGTATTGGTACAAAGAATAATCGGTTAAAACGGTAGAGCGAGGGGTAGTGGCGCGTGAAAGAAGAAGACACATTTTAGACGGAGGAAACCAAAAGGTGTGGGTTTGCCGCATGTTATTATTGCTCTGTTTATTTTTTATTTTTAAACTCCTCGCGGCTTTCCTTGATTTTATTAACTTTTAACGGCAACTTGTCTTTTCAGTATAATGTTTTTTTTTTTACGGGAAAAGAAAATCTGTGTGATTCTGACATAAAAAAATTTACATTTCGCCTAATTCTATTTTGACTTGAACGTCTTGTCGTCGATTCTTTTCATATTACAGTTTGCAATAGTTAAACTTATTTCAAATTTTCTTGTTAACCGTTAACTTTTGGTAAATTTTTAAAGATTATTTAAAAGACCAACTGTTATTTAATCAATTAAGGACTACTAATAAACTACGACGAACTCACTACTAGTAATGTATAACTTATTTTTTTAATTGAGCGCATTTACGAATCTGAGAGACCATATTCAGTAATCTGAAACCTAAACTGAGTACATTTTTTTTATCAAAATAAAGTTTCCTCAGACGAATATATATATATAATAAGCTAACGGCATAAGAATAACAACAATTCCAATTTTTTCTTCTAAAAATAACTCATTATAGTGTGAGCAGTGAGCACATACTTTCACGTAGAGTAAGAATATAAGATGAGAAAAATGCTCCTAGGCAAAGATAAAACAACAGAAAGAGACAAATTGATGGAAATTCATAGTTAATAAATTAATGAATTGAATAAATTGAGAAACAGTAAAAGCAGGAAAGTAATTTAAAAAAAAAAACCATTTAAGATAAGGAGTAAACGCGTAAGAAAGAAGCTTCGAAAATAAGCTGACACAAATCATACGTCAGCAGAGAGTTTGCTTCTTCTCCGACAAGTCATCGGTCATAAAATCCTCTTCACTATTTATTGTTCCACGCCTCCACCATCAATTCTGTTTTTTTTTTCTTTTTGTTAATTTTCCTTTCTTTAGAGGTTTTGTTTGTTAATTTATGAAATATTTATTTTTTAATAGCATTTTTTAAGTTTATGTTTACACTTTTTGGTATATCTATTTTAGATGACACTTCTTTTTATATTTTATAGAAAAAATGACAAGATACCCCTTACCTATTATTAAACCAAAATCTTTTTACCATTTTAACCGATTTTCAATTTAATCTCTTTACCAATATTATTAAACCAACATTCTTTTTTTTTTCCTTCTTCCTTCGTGCTTTTCTTCTTCTTTCTTTTTCTCCACTTTCATCTTCTTTTTATTATTTCTTCTTCTTTCTTCATTCCTCTTTTCTTCTTCTAGATTTCTAGGTCTTTTTTAATTTGAATATGAGGAGAGGTAGAGACTTTCTGCTGCGGGACATCTCTGGCAGCTTTAAAACTTTAAATCTGCAAAGCTTTTCATCAAATAATCCCTTCAGGACTCATTCTTCAGTCGTCAACAGACCGCTTTAGCTCACAGCCGCTTTCGCCGTTTTCACCAATGAGCTCATCTGGCTGATCGTGATTTTGTTCTTTACTCGTGGATTCATCAAAACAGATCTCGGCAACAGCATTTTCAAGACATGGTCACATCCACACACACGGTCATATGGAAGTATCCACTAGTTCTTATATACGCATTCATCTAATCGATGGTTATGTATTCATTGTTATAGACTTGAGATAACATGGTTAATGTATCTTCCTTAAGTTGGTTCATAATTTCCTTGTATTCCCTCTTAATCTTTCTTTGCATCTTCATTTCTTATAGATCTGGTCTCCTTTCTTGACAAAGCTCTCAAACTCTTGGTGAGTTCGCAGTTACTTTCCACCATCATATGTTGGTCTCCTGACTGCCACAACCAAATGTTTATCCGGATTTTCTTTTGGATCAATATGTGTGTAACCATGTGGACATGGACACAAACGTTGTATCGCTCTCTATTTGGTCCACAAGTGATGACCCTCTTGACCAAATCTGCTTCTTCTTACGATGGACATAAAGTTTATGGACGTATCCACACAGATAAACACAATGCATTTTAAGCTTCATATCAATATGGGTGTATCCACGTGTACATGGACACAAAGCTTTGTATCACTCATCATTCTTACACCATATCTCTTATTGTCTGTGTCGTCATGTCTGTTGTTGTTCATGTCGTCTTCTATGCCATATCCCAGCCTCTCGTAGCTTCTCTCTTATTTATTTGTCTATGCATTTATATAGGCAGGTGATATTTTGATGTTCAAATCGTGTCCCCATTATCTTATCCATCGTAATCATGTCCATTAAGACATGTCCACATAGATATTTTATTGACTCTTTATTAAACTATCAACGGAATATCCATGGTTAAGTCATTATCTTATTGTTCTGTATTTTCATTGACATGTACAATTACCGATGACAGCCAATGGAAACACATAAAAAATATGAAGCAAATTTAGATATCTATACAAGGAGTGAGTTATGTGTACATATCCACATGACTTTAACTATCCATATAACTATAACCATATAGAATGTAGACTTTATAGTTAAATGATTCGTGGACATGTACTTGACAAACAAATTTTGATTCTAAGCGAATATATTCAAAATAACTAATACGACATGTATATGATAATATGTCCATATGGAAGGTCCACACCAATTTAGTTCAAGGCAACCATATTCAATCATTTGTTGGTTAAAGAAACTACAACATGTACATGATATTACAGTCAAAGGATATATCCACTAAAAAATATCTATAGGGAAAACAAATTTTGTGTACGTGTCCACTAATTAGATTTGTGTACTTGTCCATATAGCTTGTTTTATGTACTGTTTATTCTCTTCTCCATCTTCATACACAAACGACATAACTAAAAGCAATTCTAGTTGCAGAAACGGCGGATTCGCGACCATGAGATACAAGTGTAAATCCGGATCCAAATTCTGCATCACCATCCACGGAAAAGCTTCATTACTGTCTTTCGGATCCGTATGTTGGTTTGAATCTGTGAGAAAAAGAGAGAGAGAGAGAGAGAAAGAGAGAGAGAGAGAGAAAGAGAGAGAGAGAGAGAGATAGAGAGAGAGAGAGAGAGAAAAGAGAAAGAAAGTTAGAAACTGCTTTGTTGATTTGAATATTTTTTTTTTTGTATGGGTGGTGTTTTTAATGTATGTTAGAAAAAAAGAGTTAAAGAGATGTCTGTATGTACAAAAGAGAAAAAGAAATATATGTGTGTGTAAGAGGTAGAAGATATCAATGTCTGTAAGATAGAAAGAAAGAAAGAAAGAGATGAGGAGATAAGAAGTAATTTTTTAATTACTAAACCATCTTTAAATTCGGTTAACCAATTTTATCTAAACCGGTTGTTCTTCAAATTGGAAGGAGGAATTGAATTGGGTTTTCCAATCCACAAACTACAAAAAGTGCCATTTTATTTGTAAGTGTCAAAATCTGTAATATATAACTTAAGAAGTGCCATCACGTATAAGCGACTCTATTAAATCATATAAAACGTACATTGATGTCTTCAATTTTTTCAATATAGTTTTCTTTATTTTTAACAAACTAAACTAACTTGACATATGGCAACGTTGGAACTGTTTAAAATGTTGAAATAGATATAGTTCAACAAATGTTACAAAATTTGAAACGGAAAAATAAATGCAGCGGAACAAATTTCATGGTGATTTTAAATGTTATAATTATACTTAAATTAAAAAAAAACTTTAGTATTTTGGTTGTTTTAGTTTAGATTCCTTTACAGTAAATCTTGTGTTTACTTAATTCACTTAAAAAAGTTAGGTAATTCGAACTTTCATAAATGGAATGCAATAAATACAATATGTAAAACTTAGTGAAGAAAGATTGCTATATGTTTACCAGAGTGTAGAAAAATGATACCGATAAAATTTTGTGTAAAAAAATAACACATTTTAAATAAAACAAAATACATTCATTTGGTATCCTTTTGCATGGATATATCAATAGT